ATAATATGTAGGTAAACTTTCCTGTTGCTAGTTTCCTATGAAGTTTGTTACGTATTCTCTTATTACACGATTTAATAGATTAACACATATGTATGTATATACGTATATCTAAATATATATTGTTTTTTAAATATTTTTATTATAATAAATTATTTTTGCAAAGCCAACTTACCTTCTTTCTAAATATGGATATCAACTACAGCTAAAGAGTGCGATGTGGATAGATAACAAAGAATTTACCTGTAGGAAAACTTTTCCATAGATTTCAAAGTGAATTAATACGGTTGCTTCTCAATACTTGGTTGAATATTTAAATTAGTTTTAGAGTTCACGCAGATTTGAAAAAGAGAATTCAAATGTAGGTACATGTTAAAAAATGTTTAAGTGTGACAACTTGTAAAAAACAATTGATAAATAAATCATAAATGTTGGGACATTAACACACGGGACCATCTAGTTCCATGGTAAGCTACGAGGCTTGTGTTATGGATACCAGATAGTTGATACACTACACATATATAAATTTAAATACATATACATATTATAAATATTTATTATTTTAAATACTTAAAGAAGGTCAAGTCAACCGTCTTAAGATCCCGTAACGACCGTGTATAAAGAGAATGATAACACTGGAAAACGCGAAACACGGTACAACATATGTAGAGATCGTAAGGCCTGATACTCGGTCCACCCTGCCTATCCCGCAAGGGATATAGAGCGAAGTGTATACGTATATGTACATTGTACATATGTAGATATGTTATAAAATATATAAATCTTTTAATATATACACAACTACATATATTGCTATCCGATTACGTCATAAACTCGTAAAGGAAAAAAACAACTAGGTATATAAGCATGTAATCGCATTTTTGCACGTATGAATTAAAACGGTCACGTGTGGCCACCCTATTTGTCATGCCATCATGGATTTTGGTCACTTCGCAGCATAAATAAACTTAGTGGCCTCCTCGTTAATGTAATGATAATGTAACGAGCGTATGTGTACAGTATCTAAAGCAATTGTTTTATTTTGGACTTAATTTTTATAAAAAAAAAACCTACATAACAATAATTGTGTAAATTTACAAAATCTAAAAATAAATGAGTTACAATTCTACCTATATCTACAACTTACGTACGTAGGTGCCTATATCATAAATAACTAGCAACTCACCCTCGCTTCCCGCGGGTTCGTCCATAGGTTGCTTCCCCATACAAATTTTCATCCCCATTTTCACCCTCTTAAGGGATGATTTCCGGGATAAAAAGTGTCCTATCACCTTCCCAATGTCGCAAACTATCTTCTTACCCAATTTCATCTAAATCGGTTCAGTAGTTTAGGAGCCTATTCGGTACAAACGAACAAACAAAAAAAAACTTTCCTCTTTATAATATTAGTTTAAATATATATTAATATTTAATAGCAAATTACTCTTGATATATGACAGGTTCTACTGTAAAAAATAAATGTATGTTGGAAACGTGGCTACACAAACTGTACGTTTTTAGTTTATAAGAAAATTTTTATCGGTATCGACAGTAATTGCTTTGCAAAACTTGTTATAGGTAACCTACCTATTTATGCTTATCTAAGGTACTTTACCATAACGATACAATATTTCGCCTTAAATATTTTATAATGAAATAAATAAATCTTCTTCTTCTTCTTCTCCCTGCCCATTTCCCAATTACTTGGGGTCGGCGCAGTACATCCTCTGTACTGCTGAAAGGATTTGGCAAAAGTTTTACGACCGACCGCCTGCCTGACGTCAACCCTCCTAAATAAATAAATATTCTATATATTTACATTATATGATAATCATAAATATCTCTCTATATTTGTGATCCAGTTTACATTACTTACCGACGCTTTAACTAGTCTATGATTAAGATCTCTCAATTCAATCGTTTTGCCGATTCATGATTCTCTACAGAAAAAAGCCTTTACTTGCGTGGGATGCAACGTTAATATCGCAAAATTCTCATAATTCACAGCATATATCAATTAAAATCACTTTCTATTCTTTACACAAAATTTTGCCGTTTCTCTCACGTCATATATTAATGAATGTAACAAATTTTCAAGATATTATCAAAAAACCTATTCTAAAAGATGTACATATATTTTTCAAATACTAGATACATATAATACTAGCAGAACCCGCGACTTCGCTCTCGCTAATACTACAAAAATAACTCTAATAAAAACTCGGAAGTCGGTTTTTTTTAAGTTATTATTTTTATATTTTTAGTCTAGACGTAATAAGCATGTAATTTGTAGGAAGAAAGTTTTTAATAACATATTCGATTTGCTTAAAAAAATATTTATTGTTGATTTTTTTTAAACCGCTCGACCGATTTCTATAAAATTTATATGGGACCACCTGGGAAGTATATCCTTTCAAACAAAACAAAAATTTTCCAAATCGGTTCAGACGTCTTCGAGTAATCGGTGAACATACATAAAAAAAAGATTTCAACGAATTGAGAACCTCCTCGTTTTTGGAAGTCGGTTAAAAAGGTAGTTTCATACAAACCTTCACCCTTTATTTTACTCCCTTATAGGATGAACTTTCGAGAACTGCTAAAATACGTATTTATTTAATTTTATTGAAGAGCAATTATATCAAGTTTCAAGTAATTCTGATCATAAATATTTTTTTGGATTGTATTATAACGTGTATTCCCGTGGGAATTATATAATCTTCCGGTGTAAAAAGTATCCTATGTCACTCTCCAGCCTTCTAGATATCTCCACACAAAAATATCATGCCAATCCGTCACTCCGTTACGACGTGAAAGAAGGACAAACAAACAAATACATTTTCACATTTATAATATTAGTATGGATATATGTAATGTATATAAAACATATAATAATATAGCCGTGGTGTGGAAATTCGACCTTTCAAAGACAACTTAACTATTCTAGACTTAACGATTCTATTATAAGCAAGTCACTTACATTACGTTTGATTAAGCAGGTTTGAGTGCATTTTGACAAAACCAGCGTGGTGCCTCATCACGGTGCATGACGCAGTAAATTCCACCCGAGACGAGAGAAACGATGCGAAAGTAAAATCGTTATACAGAATCTTCCGTGTAGTATGTACCGTGTAGCTATTTTTGTTTTTCTTAATTCTTCACTTTCTTTATTTTAATATTTATTATGATAATAAATAAATATCGATATATGTATGTTCATTTTATTAATGCGATATCGATATGTTCAATTTATATAACATTATATTTTAGTGTTGTAAATGAAGTTTTTCTAAAAACTTATGGATTACCACCTAATTATTGTAAAAAATTGGTAAATTCGAGAAATAAAATCAGTGCTTTTAGTCTTTTTCTATAGGATTTTTGTATGAAATGAAACAAATTTATTTATTTAAAATGTACACAGGACAACGTAAATATCTTACACTATTTTGAAACATAAAAATTAATATAAATGTACATATGTATATATAATAATCCATACTAATATTATAAGTGCGAAAGTAGTCTGTCTGTTATCATTTCACGCTAAATCCGCCGAACCGATTTAGATGAAATTTGGTATGAAGATAGTTTGAAATCCTAGAAAAGACATAGGATAGTTTTTATCCTCTTAAGGCTAATCCCTTCAGAGGGTGAAAGGAGGAGTAGAAGTTTATATGGGGAATCAATCATTTCTCAATTAAGGGATATAAAACTATTTGACGACACGTTTGGCTCAGTTTGTGTGACCCTACTTGCTGTGGCAACAGTCGCGGGTTCGAGTCCCGCTCGAAGCATTCATTTGTGTGATAAGCACTAATGTTTGTACTCCAGTCATCGGTGTTTATAATTAGTATTTAAAGTTATAAGTGTATCAACTATCTGGTATCCATAACACAAGATGTATGTATATATACTCTACCTAAACTAAGCGTCAGAACTAAAGATATATTTAAATGTATTAAAAAATGTGTACAAATAAACTTCTCCAAAAAGTAAGGAAAAAATGTTCAATTTGCAAAAATAAAATTAAAACATTTTGATCATATTTATGATAAAATATCGTAGGATTGATAATTTTATTCTAAACACGTCAACCTGAATCAGGGCAATGCGATCAACTCAATGGTTGGAACAGGTGCTTAAGAAACAGGTTCCGCGATCGTACAAGCAAACAACTGCTCTCTGCATCTAAATAAATTTATTACCGTAGAAATGTGTTTAGCTCGTTTCTATTGCCCACTAAATATGGTAGTGCTTACTTTATTTTTTCTTTTTTATAAGCAATAGTTTTTGTGTAGATAGCTGTCATATTAAAGTTCTTTAAATTATCATGCAAGCACGTTCGATATAGCGCAAAAACCTTTACTAAGTAAGTATTCTAAAAATTGTACGTCAGAACAAAAGTTGTAATGCTATTTTAAGTAAGAAATCATTATTCTGCACCTCAAACTACAACTTGTTCGTGCCGCATCATACCTTTGTGTCGTAACTTTATATTAATTTTAGTTATTATATAATTAAAGTATCATACTATGTGATATCACAGCAAAAGACGTGTTAAATAAAAAATCTGATACTATGCGCAGATTTTTCAATTACTTATGATGTTACATTTCTTTGGTTTTACTAAATTTATTGAAAATGAATGATCTCAGACGACTGTTGTAGCGCAGTAGTAGATTTTAGTATTTACTAACTACATTATCACTTATTACGAACACAGCTCATACTTAAACTCCCAAACCTTAACTTATTTTTTATTATTTTAATATATTTAGTTAAATACGCCAGAATAGCATACTGCATAGTTAACTTAGTATATTAAAAGAAAAAAGGCTCTTGACAGACAAACCGACAAACGAAAGACAAAGTGATCTTAAACCAACCTATCCTAAAAAGAAATAGATTATTTCTATATTAGATATATTATTTCAAGCTATTAAAACATTGATTTCAGCGTGTAATACGTCACTAATGTGCGGTGAGGCGCGGCTGAGGCGAGGATGCGCGAGGAGGAGCTGGAGGTGGCGCTCAAGGTGGTGATAGTGGGCGACGGCGGCGTCGGCAAGTCCAGCATGATCCAGCGCTACTGCCGCGGCACCTTTACTAGGGACTACAAGAAAACTATTGGAGTGGACTTCCTGGAGCGACAAATTGAGTAAATATCTTATTATATTGTATTACGTATACCTAATTGTGTTATAAAGTTTGAATGTGTGTAAATGTGACCTGCGTGTATGTCTATTACTGTTTCGCGCCAAAATGGCTGGACGGATTTGGTCGAAGTTTAGTATATAGTTAGGCTATCTAAGTAACACATGGGCTACTGGCAGGCACCGCGCGAAGCACCTCAGCCAAACGAGGTTAATTTTTATAGCCAGTTGTATATTTGTATACATTTGATACATGTATAAGCAATATAGATATAATCGTAAGTCATAATAAGATAAAATTATTGTGTTTAAACCTTAACAATACTGTATATATAAACTTACCAATTCGTATAATATTAATGTGTTAGCAAAATAATAAACAATACCTTAGTCAAGTGAAACACCTACCATGTTTCAGTATATTAACTCAGTACTGCCGCCAAGCATGTAGTGTGATGATTCTTAAAAGAAACAAGAGAAAAACATTTAAAGCTAACAAAACGTATTCATTTACAAGTCTATGATGTTAAATTCAGAGTTTTTTAACGTCCCACTGCTGGGCACGGGCCTCCCTTCGATACGAGGGGGATCAGGCCATAGTCCACCACGCTGGCAAAGTGCAGGTTGTCGAACTTCACATGTCTTTCGAAAACTTGCTAGGTTCTTTCAGACATGCAGGTTTCCTCAAGATGTTTTCCTTCACTGTAAGCAAATTTAATTTGCTATAAATAATATCAATAACGAAAAATCTCATAAAACAATTTACCATTTAAATATTATTAGTCAATAATATTTAATTATATTTTCCTTAAGTGTAATCGTGTATCTTAAACCTTAATTAAAATATTTATATTAGGTACTTCATTTCATTTTAATGTATTTATTTATATACAGCCATTATTCAATTTAATGAATGATTAAATAATTAATTAATAAAATTCTTGATGAATATACCGTTATCGTAGAATCATTACTATTTACTATCGGTGGAAGACATATTTATACTCTATACCTAAGAAGTAAACTTGTACTTACGATTTACAAAACGTTTTCACTGGCATTTAAAATAACATACATACCAGTTAATTTATTAATTGAATTTGCCAGACCTGGAAAATATTATGGAAATAATAACAAACATCCAAACTGCAGACATTTTTAATCCATTAAGACTAATTTGTATTAAATTTACATCCATAATTAATTATTTTAGTTAAATGAAGATATAAAATAATGTTATACACAAAAAGCTAGCTTTTAGTAGTTTCTTTATGATAATAATATCCTCTTCGACGATTTCGGTATCTATGGCCAATTAACTAAGAGTTGGGCCCGATTCATATAAAAACGGCTCTGTTCACAACCCAATAAAGATCAGGACCAATACTTCATGATGTGCATCCGTACTAACTAGCCACTAGACCAGTGATGTTGTTAATACCAAACTACTGGTTTTTAATACTATAGAAACTCTGATTCCTTCCTTTAATTCATTTTTTGAACGTACTACTGTTAGACACCGGCTTCCACTCACTCTGAAGAAGAATTTCGTAACAGTTGCCCTAGCCAAATACGAGTTATTGTAATTAACATGTTTTCCAAAATTGGGTTCTGTCAGACATACAAATTCTCTCGCGATCTTTTGATGAAATCACCACAGCAAATGGTGATGTTTAGATAGCGGAACTACGTTTTGGTAATATGACACATAAAAATCTCAAACTTGCAGGACCTTGAGCCTGAAGGCTTCAATTCGATATACTCTGTTTCCAAAACGAACACGATAACAATAATAAATTAAAAATCAAGTTAACTTTCTTATTATTCCTTAAAAGGCAATCAGAGAGGAGTGCGACGGACTACTGCGTTCTTTGCATTCCGACTAGCTTTTTGTAACTGTGCTATTTCATGGCGGTATTCGGACCGAGAAAGGAAACCGAAGAGCTAATATTTATTTATATTACTAAAGTGCACATTTAAAAGATAGATGCCCGATTTCACCAACGTCACCTAAGTTTAAGGGATCCCCTAAGCATAGTTAGGGGGCTGTTAGGGGTTTCTGTTTCACCGTCAGTTATAGTAGGGGAGCCCAAGAGGGGATTTTCTGTAGTTACTCGAGCGCGGCAGATTAATATACAGGGGGATACCTTGTACCCGGTTAAGTACCTCCTCAAAACATGAGGCCCATATATAAGGCCGCCCGTGAAGGATACAGGATCAGATTAGTAAAAAAAAATTGACCACCGGAAATTCTCGAGCGCGTCAGATTAAGGTAGGGTGAGTTAATTACATCCTAAAAAGTGTATATTCCACTAATCTGACAATTTGAGAGTGACGTAAAAAAAGGGGAGGGCAACAAAGTTGTAAAAAAAAAACGTCATCTCGACATTCTCGAGCGTAGCTAAATTTTTTTTTATTTTGAAGGAAATAATGCAAGAATAATGAAAAATATATAATCTGACGATTTCCGCAAGCCGAAATAACAAAAATTCGTCGATAAAGTTAAATGCGTGCAGCAGATCTAATTCATCTCTGGATCTTCAATTGTATCCATTTAAATTCCTTCAAATCGTGTGTCAAAATAGTCTAATTACGAATAATATACTTTTCGTTTAAAAATAAATTACCCAGAGAAAACAATTGCTCATTTTTTAAATTTGCAATATTTGTTCGAATTATTCGAAATTTTTCGAATTATTCGGGAACTTTCGAATAATTCGATTTTTTGAATTATTCGATTCGAGTTTCGAATCGAATATTAATATTCGATTCGGAACGAATAATTCGTAAGTTCGAATTATTCGCACACCCTGTTGTATTAGTTTATCAACCGACTTCAAAAAGGAGGAGGTTCTCAATTCGACTGTATGTTTTTTTTTATTTTTTATTTTTTTTTATGTTTGTTACCTCAGAACTCCGTCATTTATTAACCGATTTGGACAATTTTTGTGTCGTTTGAAAGGGTATACTTCCAGATTGGTCCCATTTAAATTTCAAAAAAAAATACCACCCCTAAGGGTGGAAAAACTACTAATGATGAATTTAACCTACTTCTAATTGTCATATTGACTTGAAACTTTGCAAGTATTTCTAATAATATTTTTTTTTTTCAGATCAGGCGAATCCCTCTAGATAATCGTCAGATTATGAGACAGTACGTTTAGAACATAAAGATGAACCATATATATCTTAATCTGACGCGCTTGAGTATTTCAAAATGGCGATTTTTTTTGCTCATTATGAAAATGGCCGCGAGTTTGCGTCCCATCGAAATCGTCAGATTAGTGAATGAGAGCTTTTTTTTGGTGCACTTAACACTCCCTTAGAAAATCTGACGCGCTCGATTAAATTTTTTTTTTTCATTTTCAACCCTTAAATACAACCACCCGCATCATGCAAACGATCAGATTAACATACGTACATTATTAAAAATACGTAGGGCATTTATGCTATCAATATCTGACGCGCTCGAGGATGTCTATGCAACAGTTTTTTTTTACATATTTAAAAATCTATAGCCGCTTCCCCCACCGATGTAAAGGTATATATCATATAACATTTTTTTCTTCTTATCATCTAAGCTTTGCATCCCAATAGGTCTCTACGACGCTCGAGTAAATCCCCATTTAGCTTCGTGGGCTTCCCTACCATTAGGGGTCACCTAAATATTAAAAGGCCCCCTAAATTTAGGTGCTCGAAATATGGACTTAAAGACGATCATAAACGAAATTTAATTTAGGGGCTAGTTTAGGGGACATTTAAGCTAGGGATCCCATACGTAGGTGCTTATGGGTTGTTGGTGAAATCGGGCAAGAGACTTGTTGCATTAGGAAATAGAATGTGGAACGCCTTATAAATATGTAATAAGTAGGTGAGACTATACATCTATATTATCAAATTGTCTCAGAAGGAGTGTATAATTTTTATCAAATGTATGTAGTGTATGTATATTCTTTTAACTCGTTCTTAAACCATTATTATTTACGAATTTCATACATAATCAACGGCAGATCATTAAAATTCGTCTTACAATTAGAAGTGAGAGTGACATATGCAATCTGTGAATCATAAAAGAGACAGAGGTAAGACAAGAAAGAGAAAGAGAGATAATTACAAAATCATGAACCTACTTATTGTATGACTCTCCGGTATAAGCTAATAGCAATAAATACATACCTTACTAATTACTACTATTTAATGCTTAGGAATCTTATGAAATTGAATAAAAATAAATAATTATTTCATTCAGAATCGATGGTGAAGAAGTAAGATTGATGTTATGGGACACAGCGGGGCAGGAAGAGTTCGACGCGATCACTAAAGCATACTACCGCGGCGCGCACGCCTGCGTCCTTGCCTTCTCTACCACAGATAGAGATTCCTTCCTCGCGCTACATTCATGGAAACTAAAGGTACGGTGTACATTTGTTGCTACTGTTTTATTCATATAACATTGACATTACTTCTGTCTTTTATAATTGAAAGAACTTACCAGAAATATGGAACGTGCGACGTGCAAATAATAATTATAATAATAAAATCTTACAAATAGTTTCTCCCCGATACTTAAGGGTAGTTACTTCATTGTGTGCAATCGCATCTAGAGCCCAAGTATCGGCGAGTCCCAACTGGCTGCCAATGCAATTTAAATAAATTTAAATATGTCAGGACATTAACACACAACGCCATCTAGTTCCATGGTAAGCTACGAGGCTTGTGTTATGGACACCAGATAGTTGATACATTATACATATATAACTTTAAATACATACATATTATAAATATAAACATCCATGACTGGAGTACAAACATTCGTGCTCATCACACAAATGACTGTCCCAGCGGGGCTCGAACCCGCGACCGCTGGCGCAGCAAGTAGGGTCATTACAAACTGAGCCAAACGTGCCATTGGTACTGTCACGCATGCGCTGCATCATGGAGGCATAATGCTTCCGCATGGTTGTACTGAAGCTGTCAGTACGAGCTTCAGCAAACATGCCTGATGCCTATAATATCTTAGCAGCCCCATTAGCACCCTAAATGCATTGTTGCTATTGGATGTGCAGGTCGTTGAATGTTAAATTAATTAACTCTACCAAATAATTGGTTTATTGTTATAATATAGATGTTCGATTGATATTACGTATAGTAATATCAATCGAACATCTATTGTTGCTACTATACATATTAGTACACTGTACACATATTATTAAACTTATTTAAATATTTTAGTACCAATTCCTAGTATCTACCAATCGTTTTAAACTTTTAAATACATTTTTTTGCAAAACAGTAAATATTTTTAAAACGGCAAAATGGTGAAAATATTTTTAATTTTATGCGTAATTTCGCTAGTAATGAATAAAACAATTTGATAAAGAACAAGAGATAAACTATGTCGCGACCCACGCCACTTTCCGCTACACTATGCGTAATCTAAACATGCATATCGCGTACATAAGTCCAACAAATGAGTATATTACTCATAAAACCAACAATATTTGAGTCCTGTACATCACTTACAAAATATTTAAAGATGTCGCGCTGGTTTTGCGGGTTTTTTGCGACATTTATCTTTATCTCGACCGGTGTGACCTGCGCCTCGAATGTTAAGAACCAGGAACAGTGCATCGATTACTATAAAACCGGTGATGAGTTCGATATAAACCTGTTGATCGGAGATTGGTACGCCGTGTTCTATTGGCCACCTATACAAAGACAAAGGAACACCTGTGAAAAGATTCAGTTCCAGAAAATACATCAACTTGAGCTCGATTGTAATAAGGATGTGCCGGTCGGTGAAACATTGCTCAAGTCGAGTTACATAAACAACACTGGAAAACAAAAGAATGTGTATTATTATGGTTCCGATGAAGTGAAGAATCAAATTCGTTCTTGTGATCGTGTTTCAAAGTATATATTCATAGATATAGATGATGGATACGTTATGGGCATCAACTGTTCGGCGGAAGGTCGGGGAGTGCTGCTCGCGAGGAACTTAACCTCGAGAGGGGAAGTGCAGTCTGTTGTTGATGATATAGAAATAATGAATGGCCGACGAGGAAGCCCAGACTGTCCTCTTATTGGTTAATTTAGAACTTAGGTAACATTAAATAAATATTATGTAACTTCACTTATATGTTTTTTTTTGTAGTTTCCTCAGTAGCTCAGTATAAAGTAATGGTTTATAAACTGTACGATACAAAAAACTGAATAAATAAATGTTTATAATAAATATTTTATTATTATTCTTCCTTGAAAAATATACCTATAAAAAGAAGTTTTATAGCATATTAGAAAAGGTAGAGCAGCTGATTATTGAACTTTAATTTATTAACTACTGACTTACCCTCGCTCCGAGCGGGTTCGTCCCTATAGTTACGCTTTAACGTTTAGTATAGACTTCACAGAGATAAGATATTTTCCCGCAGTAAAAAGTATCCTATATGTTGACCCGGATAACTAGCTTTCATCATCATACCAAATTTCATCAAAATCTGTCTCGTGATCATCAAAATCTGCCTGTAGATTTGGCTTCTGTATCGATAATAATTACTATTTCAATAAGATTTTCCAAAAAATATTTAATGTACAGATTCAGACTCAGTTAGAATTTTAATATGTATAGATTAGAATAACTCTATGGTAGGTATATTCATATTTTTTATATAAAGTTCGGGATGTATAAAAATTAAAATGTTATCCGCGTTATCAGGGTTCACTTATTGTCTGGTGTGGTCTAAGCTAGTTCATCTTATTTAGTTATCAAAATATCCATCCTCAAAAGATGATAATAAATACTTAAAGTTATTTGTTTTGACTGATGCATCAAATCCAGGTTAATTCACTGTACCTATTAGTAAAGAGCTATTTTTTAAATTAATGTTATAAATAGCTACAAAAAAATTTTTGATTTCAACTTTAATCCATATAAGGTACAATAGCATTATATTAATCACCGGATGAAGCCGGGGATAGTGCTTGTTTACAAGATTATTGAAGTGAAAACTTCTATAGGCAGGTCTGGGTGGGGAGTAAATTCATGTAAGTCGTCATCGACGTGGTCACGTGACGTGTTAACGCTAACACTCAGAGTCACAATAGATGTCAAAACCAGATAAATGTAAAAAGTTTTAATTTGCAAATTTTAATTTAAGATCAAAGAATTAATTTGAATATACAAAAATAATAATTGTTTCCTTATAGTTTTAAGTCTTCACTTCTGTCGGCAGTTCTCATTACTGCTTTTTTTATATATAAGTATATAAATATACCTATTTATATTTTAAATATACACCTACTTGCAAATTAATAGGTACTTATTTGATTACTTTCAGGTGGAAAACGAATGCGGGGAGATACCGACGATTATCGTACAGAATAAAATTGACCTCATGGATCAATGCGTTGTCGGACCGTAAGTGTCTTGAAAATATTTCTAAAATTATATTTAATGATTTGCAATATTTTAAATCACTTTTAAATGTGCACATTTCAATCGGGTTTTTCTGCTCGGGTCAATTACTCAGTCTCTTGTAATTGTTAAAACTCAGCTACGTTAGTACTTTATACCTATTCAAAGCCAAGTGTTAATCTTAGCTCTAATAAAAATTAGATCGTTTTTTTTAATTGTAATAAATTAATTATAATTGAGAAATTGAATATGCCTACTGAGTGCATGTCTAAATATAAATAAATTATAATCTATATACATATGTTGATAACCTTCATATTCACGTATACCCGTAAGTTCGAATCCTTATACTCTTTAAAAGAAGTTGCTTTAATATTGACGCGTCAATCTATACTTATTATAAAAATAAGTCCCCCGGCCGCGTCTTTCTGTCCTCCTGTCTGTCCTCCTGTCTGTCTGTACGCGATAAACTCGAAAACTACTGAACGGATTTTTATACGGTTTTCAACAATAGAAAGAGTAATTCTTGAGGAAGGTTTAGGTATATAATTTATTATGCTTTTATGTAAATTAGCTGAAATACGGCGACAAATGTTGAAGAGGTCGCAAAAAATCTCGCCAAATGGGAACTTTCCACGCGAACGCCGCGTAAACTAGCAAAGATACAGTTAAGTAATGTACTAGAGAATTCAAAATCTATAAAAATGCTACAAAAAAGTCCGCGATAGCATATCTCTATCTCTTACGGTTGACTTACAATAACCACTTTTATGTTAACATTTTTAATTAAAAACATTACGTTATTTTCAAAGTTATTTTCTTTAGTTCGGTATTAATCCTTATCCAAATGAATATTTTAGTTAGCTTAGTCATTTAATGCAGATTAAAATTGCTCTTTACACTAAATCAATCAGATGAATAGTTTTTGAGATATCGTTGTTAGAAGTAATTAGTAGCGAAACATTTTTAATGCTTGGCGAGCATTGAGATGCCTACGGCGAGTCCATCCCCTCTGCCCCGCATCGCTCGACCGCCTGCTCAAGCTATATAAACCGGGCGATGTAGCGCGCGATCCTAGGATACTTTTTACCGCGGGAAAATATCTTATTTCTGAGGAAAAATACAAAAACTGCAATGTAAGAGTATACTAATATGTAACACCTAAGAATTTAGTTTTTGGTCATCTGAACGCGGGCGGAGCCGCGGGCAATGCTAGTATATAATAATGACGTTAACGAAGTATCTTATTGATAATTTTGTCAAACTTAGGTTTATTAGGTAGTTCTTAGTTATACGGTAAGTTAACAAATTAGTGTTGGTAACACGTCAAACATGCCAGATGACGCCACTATCATTTGGATTTATTCATCCTTCAAAACAAAGACTAGTACGTCTAAAAGTCATAAAGGCATTAGGCAAAAAACTTTACTTATTAAATATAGGTAACAACATTGTGATATTATGGTACTACTAGGGACGAAGCAGAGTTAGTAGCGCGCGCGCTGGGCTGCCGGCTGATGCGCGCTTCGGTGAAGGAGGACGTTAACGTGGGCGCGGTGTTCCGAGCGCTGGCGGCGCGCTGCCTCGCCGACATGCGCCGCGAGCACGCGGCTGATGCGCCGCCTTGCCAACCACCAGTTATTGGTTAGCTTTGTTTATTTGTTATTAGATACTGTTACTAAATGAATATGTATCTATACAAAGACTAAGCTTTATACAACCGCCCAATAATAGGTAGGTACATTACTATTTACTACATAAAATGGCGGTGTAGACGTGACAGTTCACCGACGAGTTCACAAACTCGCTGCTCTTTGACAAATTGTTTTTTTCCAGCTCAGCTGTTGATCTCAAACTCAGCGCATTATGTAGTAGAGTTGCGGGATGGTATCAAGCTTTGTCTCTACCTAACAGTCTGTTATTCATATACGAGTACTAGCGACATACCCTCGCTTTGCTCGAGTGTCCCTAAGTAGCGATGGGTCGTCGACTAGTTCAAATCGTGGACAGTCCACAGTGGTTCACGTACGCTTCAATGTAGTTGTAGACGCCAGACAGTCTATAGTTACTAGTTTACGTTGCGAGGCGGACTGTCTTAGTCTAGAAATTGAACTATAGTTCATTTGAAATAGGTGAACCGTCGAACCGTCGACGCATCGTCGACCGGTTGATTGAACTAGTCCGTTCATTCAACGCCCATCGCTATCCCTAAGGTACGTTTTGAATAAAATGTTATTGCGAGTGCACGATTTATCTTAGGAGAAAGACTTATGCTATTGCAGGTTTTTCTGTAGGGCTTTTTAAGAGAGAACTAGTTATTGTGTATTCCCGTGGAAAAGAAATTGCCGCAGTAAAAAGTATCATAAATCAATCAAAATCGCTCCAGTGGTTTTTACGTGATGCGGTCACAGACAGACAGACAAAAATTCTAAGAACTATAGATTCGGCACCTATCGATAATAATATCTACTTATTTCAATAAGATTTTCCAAAAAAATATTTTATGTACAGATTCGGCTTAGTTACAATTTTATTATATGTATAGATTACGTACACACACATAAAGCAATGTGACAGACAGCTTTGATAATAACATTCTTCTTTATATTCTAGGCACATTCACAAATCACAACACCAACGGCACCATCTTGCTACGACCGACCAAGCACCGGTCTGGCGGCAAGAAAAAGAACGTGCTCAAGAATGCGTGTAGAATATTGTGAAAGTTACTACTTGAATTAAACAAAACTAATGCATTTATTGCAGTAATATTTTCTTTGAAAATGATTTTTTATAATCTATTGGTGTATTAAAGCAGTTGAAATGTTATAATATGTATTTAAAATCGATTAATAAAGCACAAAATTTATTTTCAAAGCGTGATGATAGATTTTAAAATAATCGATTAACGTAGTCAACACAAGGTGCTTCGGTGTATAAGTGTACATATGTAACGTGTATACGTGTAGGTAATAATTATGTAAAAATCTGTTTTCTTCTAATTTTTACGAAATGTATTTTCTTGTTATTAGATTTTTATATTTAATTCGTATGTCAAACCAATTTGATTTTATACTCTTAAGTTTACATTGATAGTAAAAAAATATATTTGCGGGCTCTCTTAACTCTACCTTCAGATAGAAACCGTTTTCTACCATAAAGTAATAAATAAATTATGTAAATATTTTTAATAAAATTATTATATACAAAATTATATACATTTTATTTTATCCATCATTATCTATCTATATTAATATTAGAAAGAAGCAGAATTTGTTTTTTTGTTTGTTTGATCGCGCTAATCTCAGGAACTCCTAATCCGATTTAAAAAAATAGTTTTGCGTTAGATAGCCCGTTTATTGAAGAAGTCTATAGGCTATATGTCATATAATATATAGTCTACCCATGGACGAATTGTGGTTAAGGGACAAACCCGAGCGAAGCGAGTGATAGTCGGTTAGTGTTTTAACAAAACATGAAATCTATATGAGAAATTAGAATTAATAATTCGATTTCATTACTAATTGGTTAATAATATCTCTTAGCAATTCGCTTAGTAGTATATTTTTATATTAATAGAAACTGCTAAACTCGATTGATTCGATTGTGATCGAACATGAGTATCAATTGATCGATATTTGATATTCTAATTATTATAAATTACATATTTATTTAAAATGGGAAAAAATAAAAATACAATTCTTGATTAAATATTTATAATAGAAGCTAAATTAATGTTGTTCAGATACCAATGTTACCGCATAACAAAGGACACGTGAGGCTCACCGTAAACAAACTTAAAACACAAAAACACTTAAAATTCCAATCACGATAAGTGCTGATCGACTTTTGTGGTAAATTTTCGATGTTTTTGCAAGATTTTTAGTACAATTCAGGTCTTTAATATAACATCATGTGTTATAAAAACTTCTGTCAAGTTACAAAAAAATAAAGTTAAAATCGTGACATCCAAATGCCTGATAACTGATAAGAGTACATAAAACACTGAGATCAACTTGAAAAAGTAGCTTTAACATTAAAATTATTTTTTAACATAAAAAAATTGTTTTGGGCAATGAAAATATTCTGAATTCCAACAAAAGATCTAAAACAACAGAAAAAATACGATGGGTACATCTCGTTACATTTTTTACACAACAGGTTTTTCTTAGCTAAAACTAAGCCCGAACAGACTTCAAATACTTCAAAGTTTTGTTTTTAACTTTTTTTAAATGAATTTCGTTATTGTTTCTAAACAATTATATAATTTCATTTAAATCCAATATTAAATAACCAAAACATGCAAATCAGATGTATCTGAAGCCGGCCTTACAATTTGGTGAACTGTGTATAGTCATTCTATCTCAAAGAGGCGGCGAATCTTTTTTATATATTTATTTATTGTTCAACATGTGTATGGACTTTGGTTTAGTGTGAGTAAGCTTTAACGTATCATTACACGAGCTTACGCACACATACGAACTGTAATTTAAAACTAAAGTCGCATACCGACTACTAAAGCTTAATCAACCGCCTACATGCAATAGAATGTCTATAAAACAAACTTAATTTACAACAGACGTACATATTTTATATTGAAAATTTTAACACCTCCAGGTAAATTTCTAAGAAATTAATTAAATTTCTAAGATATCTATTGTTAACTGTAACGCCGGCGTGTCCGCGGTCGTTGAGGGATTAGTTAAAATTATTATTTATTGGTTCCTATCCTAATCAATTTGAAAATCCTAGATAAACTTATCGATTAGAAAGCATCTATTTTTTGATGGTGTTGATATTCGGTATAGGTAATTTATTTAACACACAAATATCATTTTAGTATTCTATCATGGTGGGACTTGTGTTTAGCATTTTCATTGTCATAAAAAATCGTTGGAAGTCGATCCACACCTATTACATAAAAATATTCCCGTATGATTTAAAATGCAACCATTTCAAATCTTACTATCCATCATTCTAAAATAATGAAATTCGATAAACTATCACTTCTCACAAGTTTGTTATAATAAAAAATTAAGCAATACGAATTCGCACATTTAATAATAAAGTAACATGATAATTAAATGTTACCAAGTGTTAAAATATTATTAAACATGAATTCTATAAGTGTTTAATTTTACCATAACTATAACAATATAATAAGTTATTCTTCTTTAAAGTACGAGAATGTAAGTGAAATAGGAATAAAAATTTTACAAAGTAACCCAGCTTTAATTGCTTTGCATGTTGTTAAACCAAAAGTAAAAAAAAAACAAACAAATTTAAACGTTTGCTTTTTAAAAAAAATAAAAACCAATTATCTTCTAACTATTATTATCATGGGCGGCGGCAGAATTATTTCCAGAGGGGTGCGTCTGCACGTTTACATTAAAATACTAAATATATTTAATCTTTAAATGATTAACTTTATAATTTTATTCATAAATGTAATATTTTTTTTTTCAAATGTTTGTGAGGATATTTTTTATCTTTATTTCATACTCTTAAATTTAAACAAGGGTTCTACTAATATAATTTTATTTCTTTAACATTTTCTATATATTTTACTTCACAACAAGTGCATCCCCTTGCATTTTTCCCCACGCCCATGAGTATTATTAATTTAAAAAAAAAAGTTTGGTCATTAATATTACTAACCTATAATAATACCTAACCAAAGGAAAATTCTATTTTCAGAATTATAAATAAGAGCTACATAGGTTTCATATCAAAAATTTCTTATAAACAAGCCACAATACTTACACACGGAGCGTGTAACTGTAGTAACATTAATTATAAGAGTGCAAGAAAAAGTAGAGACCTTAAAACATGTTCAACTTCATTATGTCGCTTAGTGGTGGTGATAGTGTGGACGTGCCATTATCTTAAATCAATACTAATATTATAAAGTTTATTTGTGAGTTTGTGAGGTTGTAGGGAGTAGTCTTTGGATCTACTGAACCGATTTAGATAAAATTTATTAAGAAGATAGTTTGAGACCCTGGCAAGGACATAGAATAGTTTTTATCCAAGAAATCATCCCTTAAGGGGGCGAAAATGGGGGTGACAGTTTGTATGGGGAATCAACCTAATAAAATATATATCAATATTAAAATATTTATTTACTTACAGGAGAGTAATATGTACTTAACATTTTGTTTCAGTTTTGGTAATAAATTCGATCGTAAATTCCCATTAATAGCTAGCTCACCCGCGGCTTATCGACCGACGTGTATACTTGAGCTAACATTTTCTTCTATGCTTTCACAATATTCAGAGAGCTTTAATAAAATTAAATTTACAATAGTGTAAAATATTTCTTTAAAACACTCTGTTTTCGAATGTATTAGGTTAAACAGGCATACAAACAAACAACAATATCAAAATCTTTTGTATTTGCTTGTATCTACCATCATCTATACTAATCATGTCGCTAGACCCTAATAGGAATATAAAAAAGTATTCATAACACTACCTAGCCACAATTCTATGTATATAAATAATTGTAATCCATTCCCCCAGACTTAAAGAATTATATAGATAAAGGCCACCAAAAAAAAAGGATCAGTCAAAAATTTATAATAACATCATGTTAGCTATCTTACAATTTTTGAGAAGGCAAATATGAATAATAAAAATAATAAGCTCAACTTTACAGTCTATTGTTTTTTTTTAAATCAATTCTTTCCTTTAAAAAAACGTAACACAGTATTTTTTATTTTCATTTTTTCTCTTTATTACAAAAAAAATCGTTACATATCTTTATTTGTTAACATTTATTTAGGCTCGTCTTTTATAAACGGGTCCCCCAGCACACTTTTTTTGCAAAGTACTTATTATCTTGAGTAATCCCACAAAGTTTCAAGTGAAGGAAAAAAATACTTTGGGAGTTTTAATTTTGCAAATAATAAGTTGACACGCATTTTAATTTTTATTTGAAAATTCTCAATATTTTATTTGGTTTTAACAATTTCACAGTGATGTCAGATTTTTTTGGGTCAGTAACAACGAAAATTATGATTTTGTGGGTTTAATCTACACCCGAATATATAGATAGATATAAGGGCACCCTTATTCTAAACTCCTTCCTTTATTTACCTATCAAAGTAAAGAGTATTGTATTAATATTTGTGTGCTGTTTTAAATCATACTGTTGATTATTATTAATTTTAAATTTTTGTAAGTAAAAGCATTTTTTAAATATTTTTATAAAACATATTGTAAGAATATTGTAAATAGTAAATCCGAAGATTATAAAATACTTAAAAAAACTTCTATAACACTCCATCTATATTATACCTCAGTCTGAGTGCATTCCAAACATATTTTTGGTGTACATATATGAACTGAGTGTTTTGAGCAAAAGTCTCCGAAACCAACATTTATATATATAACAATTTATCTACATACATATATACATACATACACATATAAACAATACTATTATAATCTTTTATATAATCATTCAGAATAAATGCAAAGTCTACACTGTTAAATCGAACATGTCACATAGTAATTAACAATGACAGAAATTCTCCCGCCTAATAAAAATATGAGACAGATAAAAAATTTAAAGACACGTCCACACTAGACAGTAAAAGCTGGCAGTAATAAAGGCTCATATATGTAGCTTGTCGATCATATTTTTCACTCACGAGTACGACGTGACATTGAGTTTCGCAATATAATCCAAGAGTCCTTGAAGTCGTTTTTTGATACGTTTTTGATCATCTAAAGTGCAGCCGAGAATGGCGGTCTCGAAGTTTCTGTCTGTGCCACTGCTGGGATCGGGCTGAGAAGTGCAGGCGTTCATGTAGGTCTGACAGCGCGTGTGTGCGGTTACAGCGTCTTCATGAACGGACATTACCAACTGGTCTATGAATAAATTTACCTGGAATATATTAAAAAAATATTAATGAAACCGATACAATTAAAAAGCTTGTAATTAATTGAAACTCGCTAGCTATCCTCCTTTTCTTTATGGCCTTGCACCTCGTGTCATAAAACTTTTATCTCCTAGTCATCCCGGAGTAAAAATTCTATATACAATACAATGTATCCGCCATAGGAAAGTACCCTTAATATCGATCAAGGTCTTCTTTTGTTCTTTGACGCGTGGGAATCGGTTACGCCGTTGAGAGGAAAACGACTAGACAATTGATAAAAATCTTTTTAATCGCCGTTTGTCACACGACGGATGGCATTATTAATATAGTAAGTACTAAAACTATCTTTTCGGATTTTGTCGCGGATTTATTTGTATTTTTGTTTCCCGACGTTTCGAATGCTTTACAGCATCCATGGTCACGGGAGAGACTGAGGTGTTACATGTCTTAAAGATATAGTTGTTACAGACAGCCTACCCACAATTAACAAAATGAAAATTGCACCAACTACATTACAATATTTTAACTTTAAACATTTTTATAATTTTAATTATAATTGAATATGGAAAATTATTTATTTAATTTTTGCTATTATTTTTATAATTATTACAATTTTAAAAATATTAATTAGTAATCTATATTTAGTGTTGCCATTATTATATTTATAACCATAAGAAAAATATAAAATATAGTATTAATTATTTAAGCCACAATTGATCTATGTGTAATTTGAAAAAGTTAAGATTAATTAAAAATAATAATTTTAATTTAAATTTGCTATTATTTAAAAAACAAATTATTAAGCAACACATTACTACATACATTTACAAATGAAAAAGTGAAAAAATACTATTAATCAGAAATGCTATCATTTTGATCCACACAGTAAGAACTTACTACATCTACCTGTCTGTTATGTTTAGATTTATTATTAGATTTTATTATATTAATAACAGGATCCCATGACGATGGTAGTACCCAGCCATCTTCCCTATTGAAATTAGGATGTTTTTTAATTTCTATGGCTTCTCGAATCATTCTAGGGCGATATCGGTTTTCTTTCGCCAGGATTTGAGGTCTATCAAAGCCAATATAATGACTTGGGCGGTCCTGACTGTGTTTGCAGACAGCAGATGTTGTATTGCGACGGTGCTTCACATTAGCTATGTGTTCTTTGACCCGGGTTCTAATGGATCTCTTTGTTTGTCCGATGTAAGAGAGCCCACAATCACAATCAAGCTTGTAAACTCCTGCATCTTGTAGAGGGATGTGGCACTTGACAGGTGGTAGAAACTGACTAATTTTCTTTGGCGGCTTGAAGTAAGTTTTAATTGAAGCTCGCTTTAGAATGTAGCCAATCTTGTCAGTGACGCCTCTCATGTAAGGTAGGACTGCAGGGACGCGCTCGACTGTGGCTGGTTTCACTCGGTCCCTGTGACGTAGGCGCGGCACTTGCAGCTTGTTGTCTCGCAGAACTTGCTTGACATGTTGCAGCTCTCCGGCCAGGTGTTGCTCGTCACAGATCCCGCGTGCTCTCTGAAACAAAGATTTTCCCACGGTAGCTAACTGTGAAGGGGGGTGGTGAGATTCACCATTCAAGTCCGAAAAGATAGTTTTATTTAAAATGTCAAATATTCGCGTAAATCTAAGAAAGTATTATGTGAACCAGTACGGACTGGAAATCGCAAACCAAATACGCCGGTTAGAAGATCTGAAGACAAAGCGGGCAAGATTATTAACATCTTTAACATTCTTAAAGAGATGTCGGGATCATCGTCTCATTCCTACGTGTATTCAGCCCTTTTTATCGTCCCACTGCTGGGCACGGGCCTCCCTTCAGTACGAGGGGAATCAGGCCATAGTCCACCACGCTGGCCAAGTGCGGGTTGGCGGACTTCACATGTCTTTAGAAAACTTGCTAAGTTCTCTCAGACATGCAGGTTTCCTCACGATGTTTTCCTTCACCGTAAGGCAAGTGGTAATCATGTTAGAAATGATTCGCACATGAAAATATCAGAGGTGCGAGACCCGGGATTTGAACCCGCTTCACTCGGTTTCTCAAGCGAGCGCGTTACCACTGGGCTACCACTGCCTTTTACATTCCTACGTGTGTGAAAATATCATCTAAAAAGAACATACGGGGAAGCGCCAAGATCGTTAACAAGGCAAGTTTTAAGTTGTTACGGACGGTGATTCGTCAAACCCGCCGTGATCTACGCAGTAACGACCGGTACGTAGAGCAAACGTCCCTTAATATAAAGACAGTATTGACACCAAGTGATTTCAATGATTGCATTGAAACTTTAAATAAGCGCGAAACATCTAAATTTAACCAATGCAAAAACAAACATATACTAAAATACCAAAAATTAGTCGAGAAATATAACATCAAAAAGAAAACCAAAAACAATAACGGAACGCGCCCGTCTACCACTGTTTCAAATTCGTGCGTACGTCAAGCAGTTGTCAATCTGTCAAAACAAACATTGGACGAATCTACTATTCAAGTACCAAGTAAAGGCTTAAATTTTGCTGTTGCGCCGACACGCATCCCTTATGAGAATATTATTTGTGCAGTTGAAGATGCCCTGGCCAAAAATACGATGAAACCTGAGGATATGGAGGCCATACGTCAAGATGTTTCATCTTTGTTACGTCGTAGCTCAAGGCCCAAACCTAATCTCAACAAACAACAGTATTTAGCGTTGAAGAACTTACGCAGCAGGTCAGACATTATCATACTGCTCGCAGACAAGGGAAATGCCACCGTCGTGCTGGATACATCAGATTACAATGACAAAATTAAACAACTTTTGTCGGATGAAAGTACATATAAAAAGGTCAAAACAGACCCAACCACCACTGTGTTAAATAATACTAAAAAGCTGATTAAGAAACACTCCGATGCATTGAATCTTGATGTCAAAAATCTTGTTCCATCTTGTGCAAAGCCGCCTAAACTGTATGGACTTCCAAAGATACACAAACCTAACGCTCCGCTACGTCCAATTGTGAGTCAAATCGACACACCGACTTATAAATTGGCCCAACTAGTAGCGAAAGTACTCTCAACACTCAGAGGACAAACATCAGCGTTCACAAGGGACTCGTACCATTTTGTCAATGAGATAAAACACCTACAACTCATGGACAATGAAACTATGGTCAGTTTTGATGTACAGTCTCTATTCACCAGCCTACCAGTAGAGGACTGTGTCAAAATAGTATCAAGAAAGCTACGGGATAATAGTATGCAAGAAGAATACACTGAACTTTTGAAACACTGCCTTACATCTGGCTATCTATTGTGGAATGATGAATTCTACAAGCAAGTGGATGGAGTGGCCATGGGTTCGCCGGTCTCTCCCGTTGTAGCTGACATCTTCATGGAGGCCTTCGAGGAGACCGCCCTAAACACATCACCTGTGACCCCTCGTTTCTACAAGCGGTATGTAGATGACACTTTCACAATATTACCATCTGATAAAATATCTGTATTCTTAGAACATCTTAACTCCATAAACCCTAAAATACAATTTACAATGGAATTGGAGTCTAATAATTCTTTAGCTTTATTAGATGTACTAGTCATACGTAACCCAGATAACACCTTGAGTCATACTGTGTATCGAAAGAAGACCCATACTGATAGGTACTTGAATGGTGAATCTCACCACCCCCCTTCACAGTTAGCTACCGTGGGAAAATCTTTGTTTCAGAGGGCACGCGGGATCTGTGACGAGCAACACCTGGCCGGAGAGCTGCAACATGTCAAGCAAGTTCTGCGAGACAACAAGCTGCAAGTGCCGCGCCTACGTCACAGGGACCGAGTGAAACCAGCCACAGTCGAGCGCGTCCCTGCAGTCCTACCTTACATGAGAGGCGTCACAGACAAGATTGGCTACATTCTAAAGCGAGCTTCAATTAAAACTTACTTCAAGCCGCCAAAGAAAATTAGTCAGTTTCTACCACCTGTCAAGTGCCACATCCCTCTACAAGATGCAGGAGTTTACAAGCTTGATTGTGATTGTGGGCTCTCTTACATCGGACAAACAAAGAGATCCATTAGAACCCGGGTCAAAGAACACATAGCTGATGTGAAGCACCGTCGCAATACAACATCTGCTGTCTGCAAACACAGTCAGGACCGCCCAAGTCATTATATTCGCTTTGATAGACCTCAAATCCTGGCGAAAGAAAACCGATATCGCCCTAGAATGATTCGAGAAGCCATAGAAATTAAAAAACATCCTAATTTCAATAGGGAAGATGGCTGGGTACTACCATCGTCATGGGATCCTGTTATTAATATAATAAAATCTAATAATAAATCTAAACATAACAGACAGGTAGATGTAGTAAGTTCTTACTGTGTGGATCAAAATGATAGCATTTCTGATTAATAGTATTTTTTCACTTTTTCATTTGTAAATGTATGTAGTAATGTGTTGCTTAATAATTTGTTTTTTAAATAATAGCAAATTTAAATTAAAATTATTATTTTTAATTAATCTTAACTTTTTCAAATTACACATAGATCAATTGTGGCTTAAATAATTAATACTATATTTTATATTTTTCTTATGGTTATAAATATAATAATGGCAACACTAAATATAGATTACTAATTAATATTTTTAAAATTGTAATAATTATAAAAATAATAGCAAAAATTAAATAAATAATTTTCCATATTCAATTATAATTAAAATTATAAAAATGTTTAAAGTTAAAATATTGTAATGTAGTTGGTGCAATTTTCATTTTGTTAATTGTGGGTAGGCTGTCTGTAACAACTATATCTTTAAGACATGTAACACCTCAGTCTCTCCCGTGACCATGGATGCTGTAAAGCATTCGAAACGTCGGGAAACAAAAATACAAATAAATCCGCGACAAAATCCGAAAAGATAGTTTTATTTAAAATGTCAAATATTCGCGTAAATCTAAGAAAGTATTATAGTAAGTACTAATAATTTTAATTCTATAAGTAATTTATAGGACCTTGAGTTATTATCGTATTTCTTTACGAAGTTCGTTGAGTATTTAAAACATCATTATAATTCAATAAACATCATTATAATATACATATTCTTAATTACTGGCATAATTTATATGTTGTTTTGTCTACGATTTTATGTACATAATGTATGTTAATACATAAATTAATTTTGTACAATTACAAGACTCCCACAAGGAGGACCGACGAGTTGGTCAAAGTCGCGGGAGCCCATTGGAAGCGCATAGCACAAGTCGGGTTGTTGTGGAAATCTTTGGGGGAGGACTATGTCCAGCAGTGGATGTGTTTGGGCTGAGACAAACGAACGGACGAACGAATTGCAAAACTCACCTGATGCAGAGCCTCTTCTTGCTGCGAGTCGCGGTCAGTGCGCACCGCCACCTCTACAGTCATCGCTCGCGCCAAGATACGTTCCGAGTATCGCATTATATCATCCTTATCACCTGCAAATCAACAAAATTACTTTAATGTTAACTCTAAATATTTTATTCACCATTAAATTATTACATTTTTTTACTGAACGTCGTGAGTCTACTACTAGTTCGGAAAAAAGAGCCTCAGATCTGAGAAGAACTGGCGAAAGAAACTCAGTAGGACTAATATTATTACGTTATATTTTTTGTAAGTTAAATTATAATTTACAATATGTACATACTAATTCATACTAATATTATAAATGTGAAAGTTTGTGGGGATAGATATATGTCTGTTACTCTCTCACGCCAGAACGGCTGAACAGGTCTGGATGAATTTTGGCACAGAGATTGCTTTTTATTCCGGAAAAATGTACGGTTCCTGTGGTATACATTTGTTTTTCTCCAGGGACGAACCCAAAGCGAACCGACGGTGAGTCGCTAGTAATTCTATAAAGTTAAAGTAGCCTGCAGGCGATCACTTTATTCCCAAGGTGTGCCATCTTCTATAAAATAATTAATTGTATAATAAATAACCTTTAGCACACAAACGTCCTTTAATATATATTTTTTTAATTTGATTTAATTAGTTTATTTTTAATCAAGAGCATATCTCGCGATATTGGTTGTGTTAAATTAAAATTGGAGATGACATCCATATTGATATCTATTTTTGATACCATGTATTATAAAAGTCAATGATTTTAAAATATTAAATCTTCATTGCTTTTTTTTTAATTCTATCCCCTTGTTATGAAGTCATGCGTATATCTTTATTTTTCCCGAAAAAGTATCCTATCTCCTGTCTGTTGCCCAAAAAACCTTACTAATAAATCAGACACGCGATTACATGACGTAAGTATAGAAGTCTCACTCAAAACTACTTAAAATATGAAAGCGAAAGTTTGTGCGTGAAGGAATGTGTTTGTTACTTCTTCACTTCAACGGATTTGAGTGAAATTTGGGATATTATATTAGTTTTTTTTTTAAGTATTAAATTTATTTATTAAAGCTATTAAAACAACAGAACTCTAGAATAACATAAAAATATCTATACATATAATAAAATTCTAACTAAGTCGAATCTGTACATTAAATATTTTTTGGAAAATCTTATTGAAATAGACATTATTATCGACACAGAGGCCGAATCTATAGTTTTTAGAATTTTTGTCTGTCTGTCTGTTTGTTACCGCATCACAGAAAAACCACTGGAGGGATTTTCATGAAATTTGGTATGGTAATATCTGGTTATCCGGGTCAACATATAGGATACTTTTTACCGCGGGAAAATGTCTCATTTCTGAGAAAAAATACAAAAACCGCAATGTAATAGTATACTAATATGTAAAATCTAAGAATTTGGTTTCTGGGCATCGGAACGCGGGCGGAACCGCGGACAATACTAGTGTACAATAATTACAAGAAATCTATATAGACCAAGTGAACAAAAAGGCTTCTCATTAGTAATTAACCAAAATTATTCATAGCATAACAAGCCGTTAATAGACGCAAGTTAACTTTATTTATAATCATGGAATGTGACTTTTACACACCGAAGGTTTTGGATGTCGGAGCTGACAGATGTAAACATGTATGTAATACCATCGTAGTGTAAACTGCCTCGGTGATGTAGTGGCTAGCATGTACGGCTGCACACCCGGAGGTTCTGGGTTCGAGTCCCGGGTCGGGCCAAGTTTAGTTATTTAGTCTTTCTGTATATTGAGCCTCAATAACAGCCCGGAGTTGGGAAGTTGGCGGTGTTTTACCCCCGTGCCTCGGAGAGCACGTAAAGCCGTCGGTCCTGCGCCTTAACTCTCACTGGTCGTGTCGAGTGGTCGTCCCACCAGAGTATGAGAGTGACAGGAATAGAGAGTGCACTTGTGTCTGCGCGTACACTTGTGCACTATAATATCTCCTGCGCAGTTGGCTAGTCTTAATGAGACTGGCCGCCGTGGCCGGAATCGGTCAGGAGAACATCACTATCGTGGTGCCAATATTACTGAATCATCCCCAAAACCCTTTACATTGACGCAGGTAAGGCACAGAACATCCCAGTAAGTGAAATGCGCTGGCAATTATGAAGACAATGATTTCAGACAAAGCTTTGCATGATTGTCAAGCTTATTAAAATGTACTGTTTTGGCTTGTGACTCTGGTGTGTACACACTAAATATAATATTGAATAGCGGAGTTTCATGGGTTTTTATTATTTGCACAGAACCTAATACTTTTTCTTAAATTAAAGCATCTGCCAGAGAAAGTTCCGTCAAAATCGGTCCAAAAAATACAGGTACATGTAAACAGACTGACAGACAGACAAAAAAAATTAAAATTGTTTTATTATTAAATACCTAAGTATATGTACTTAATTAATAAAAAGCTGTTACTTTGACATTACAAACAGACAATTTGAAATTTTATTTACCCGTATAGATGTGGTTTGTGATACGGAAACGCCGACATGCTTATTATATTTTAAATATGTAGCTAACTGCTAAGTGATGCTTAATAATTTTTTTTTACTTCAAGTACAAGATTATGATTTAGCTAGTACATGAATAACAAAAATGTTATGATAAAATGTAAATTATAAAAATTACATTCAGATATTTCACCAAGTAGTTCTGAATGCTTAACACTGTCAAGAGTTGACAATAAAGAATCTCGTTCCTCTTCGATTCGCACGGTATCACGGCGCAATCTTTCTACGCGCATCTCCACTTGATCCAAAACTGCTATCAACCTAAAAACAAAACAATAATTTAGATGAAATAATGATTACCTAAATGAATCACTAGCGACTCACCCTCGCTTCTCTACGATTCGTTCCTAGGTATACATTTTAAGGCTTATGGAACGGTAAGGAATAGATAGCCGATCCCTTGCTCTGTGAAAAACAAAACTATCCCACGGGAACCGGACATTTTTTCGGGATAAAAAGTAAACACTAAGTATGTGCTATTCCAGATTAGATCCAAACTTTCGTACTTATAATATTAAGGGAATGAACTATGGTATGGTATGGTATTTTCGGGCTATTTTCGCAACTCAACGACTATGCGCCTATTTTGCGTGTGTGGGAATTTAAATTCTTGTTACTCTTGTCATCCTAGTTCCTCCAGGAAGTTTAGCAACCCCTTCGTCTTACCGAAGATTTCCGGGAGTGTCCTAGGAGTGCCAAGATGTTGAGCCCGAAGGGAATGAACTATTCAACTCCTATTTTTTTTTGAAGTCCCACTGCTGAACTGCGGGCCCCCCTTCAATGTGAGAGTGGTCAGACCATGGCCCACGTTGGCCAAATGTGGATTGGTGGACTTCACATGTCTTTCGAAAACTTACTAGGTTCTTTCAAACATGCAGATTTATTTACCATGTTTTCCTTCACCATAAGACAAGTGGCAATCTTTTTAAAAATGATTCTTACATAAAAATATTGTAGGTGTGAGAGCAGGGATTTGAACCCTCTTCACTTGGATTTCCAAGTGAACGCATTACCATTACACACTGAGCTACAACTTTGTAGAATATCTAAACTTGTCACTGTTATTAAATGTAGTAAATGTAGAGTAAAAAATACTCATATCCACAAATATATGCCCTTTACAACATTTTTTTATAACTATATCTTATCAAACATAATGAAGATTTTATTTCCAACCTCAAATTACTGAATATGTTGTTGTAAAATAAAAATGTATAATATAATGAACTGTAATTTATTTTAATTATGACTTCTTAAGCAATCATTATACAATAAAAGTAACTAAATCTTGAATATTCTAGTAAGGCATATCTCCAAAATGATAATCATCATGCATGACAAAAGAATGACCTTTTTTTATTAGTACTTTCATGTCTATTGTTTGATCATTTAAAATGATATGATAGAAGGGACAATAAAATAAGCACAATATTAAACATAGTTTAGCCACCTTAGTTAAGCTGATTTATTGTCAATTTAACATGAAATCAATAGTGCAATATTTTCACTGTATTTATTATATATACCTTTTTACAGAATCATGTGGAAAGGATATTTTCAAATGTAAATTAGTTGTTTTTTTTCTAATTACAGAATTCTGTTTTTCCTTCTTAAAACAATAGAGATATCGTACTACTTCCATTGTATTCAATTTTTACTTAATAGGTACTTAATTTTCAGTAATTGAAAAATGCAATGAAAAAGTACTATAATATTGTTTGGTGGCTCTCAAAGTTGCTTAATTTTAAAAGAAAATTATTCATACCTATGATGAGGCATGAAAATGTGCGTGAGCTTTTTACTGTACTATCTACATTTGGTAGTAGCGTGGGCGAAATAGATTTTATTTTTATAATTACAGATCTAGTTTACCTTATTTGAATATATAAATTTATATGAACACCTAGAACAATACTATTTATCTTATATAATATAAGAATAAAATAATTTGGGACATTAAAATTTGTTTTGATAAATAATACAATTTTACCTATCTTTTGGTGCTCGAGTTCCAAGAGCCGATGTTTCATCAATGAGTGGCAGCCGCGTGCCTTCGACAATGGTATATACGTCTACTTCCATTGTTTGAGCTAAATTAGCTGTCGGTATAGCCACGTTTAAAGATTTTAAATTTAACTGTATACTTAAAACTCACAAATATTATATGCGAATGTGTTATTTTTCGTCAATTACTCAGAAGTCAGAAATGAATAATGATCAATCTATCAAAGTAATTGTCAAAGCTACAGATTATGGAGGGTAGAGGACCCTCCACAGTCCACAACCTCCAGTTGTATTTATTATTTAAGTTTAACTGTCATATATTGACTTGACAAACTCTTCAATTTTACATATTAGAATAGAATAGTATAATAATAAATAGTATAATAATATCAATAGCTTCAAGAAGTTTCCTTCTTAAAAACAATTTCATATTAAAGATAAGATAATATCCAAGATCTAAAGTAATATAATAATATCTTAATTTACTAAACTTAACAATATAGTTACCTTCATCTTAACAAAAGAGTTTGGATAAATATGCCTGTCAGTAAGTTTGTTAGCCTTGCAGCACCTTTATGGTCATCTACTTTATACAACATATGAACATAATCCCATTGAGCACGCTGACTGCCAAGGAGCAAATTCTTTTTCTGAAAATTATTACTGAAACATTTCAGTAAATGAGGTACATCATACTTATGATAGGTTTTGTTCCCATTAACTTCATAATGGATAGCACTTGATGCATCATTGGCACTACAAAGTATATTTACCTTAGTATCAGAAATTAATGAATTTATTGCAACTACATTGGCAGAACCCTGGTCAGATAGAGTTACTCTAGAATAAACACTGTTTATAAGAATTTCTATAAGTATACGTTATAAAATTGAAGTGCATATGTATAAGGCATTCTATGGCATGAAAAACCTTCTGTTCCTTCCTGACAATTCGGAATTACAATGCTTTCCCATGATCACACAACATTAATAAAAAACCAAAAAAAGGAAGGAAACACTAATGAAGAAATCACAAATTTTGTATCCAAGCACAAATCTTAACTATATCACTGATCTACATTAATCAGCACTTATCCACATTAATTAATACTAATCTACAAATTGATAAAATGTAAATTTAAAGTGTAAAATAATATAAAAACGGCAAGCCCTCACACCCTAATCCCCAGGGGCGAGTAATAACAACGGTTAAAACTTGAAAATTTCAAAAATGACAAAATATTGCAGTGACGTCACAGTAGTGACGTATGTAACTGCGACAGAAATAAGTTGTTGTCCCACTCGTTGTCGCCAAATGTAGAGATAGCATGCTAGTTACCAAGCAAATGAAAGGGATAGATAGATACACCAAGAGCTCGTATGGAACTAATTCATCTATTTTATTTGTCATCCATGACTTGAATTCACTAGTACATGTGACAGATTAAATTCTTTTTTTTTACATATCATATAATATTATCTGTCTATTTGTTAAACAAAGCTACTAACTAAGATATAAAGTAGCGATGCGCGACTGCGAATAATCCGACGATCGAATCATCTACAACTACTAATTTACACATTCAATTTGAATTATAGTATTCTATCAGTGTTAATAATCTAATTGTATGTATTGTAGGTACGAGATATATATGTAGCAATATACTCTATGTACGAGAGGAAGTAGCCATAGTCCACCACGCTGGTCAAGTGCGTGTTGGCGGATTTCACATGTCTTTTAAAACTTGCTAGGTTCTCTTAGATTTCAGATTTCCTCACGATGTTTTCTTTCACCGTTAAGACAAGTGGTAAACATGTTGGAAATGATTCGCACATGAAAATATAAGATGTGCGAGACCCGGTATTTGAACTGGCTTCACTCGGTTTCCCAAGCGAGCGCGTAACCACTGGGCTACTACTGCCATTATATAATAATATAAAATAATCGAATTACTAGGTATTACTAATTAGGAATTACTAACGGCGTTTCAACCAAATTGGTCGCGACTGCGACTCATGGTCTCCAGTTTAAAATGAAATACCGTACGAATGAATGGATCATTTGCCGCCACTCCAGCGCCAATCAGTAAGAGCGATCGCCGTTCTGGTCAACGCCACAGTAAAATTACATCATAACAATAATTATACTTCTTAATGTTACTTAGCAGTTAGTAAAAGTTTACTTGCTTCCCTTTACCTGTGAGGTGTGATTTTTTCGTGCGCCGTTCGTGAAATATACATACAAGTTGTCAGTCAAAGGAAATGTATTAATAATACACTTAGCGACAAAATCGAGCAGGTATCAAGTTAGTTACTAACTTCGTAATTCATTCGATTCTGTCGAATCATTTATAGTCGCGCATCACTAATATAAAGCACAGAGTACATAGCCACCTGTATGTATTGAAGTGGTATGTGTAAATGCATTTTCCAACGTTAAAAAAAGGTAGTAACAGTAACACTTTTATTATACTAGTGACATAACTGCCTCGGTGGTGTAGTGGCTAGCATGTACAGCTGCACACTCAGAGGTTCTGGGTTCGAGTCCCGGGTCGGGCCAAGTTTAGTTATTGAGTCTTTCTGTATAGTAAGTCTCAGTAACAGCCCGGAGTTGGGAAGTTGGCGGTGTTTCACCCCCGTGCCTCGGAGAGCACGTAAAGCCGTCGGTCCTGCGCCTTGACTCTCACTGGTCATGTCGAGCAGTCGTCCCACCGGAGTATGAGAGTGACAGGAATAGAGAGTGCACTTGTGTTTGCGCGTACACTTGTGCACTATAATATCTCCTGCGCAGTTGGCTGGTCTCAATGAGATTGGCCGCCATGGCCGGAATCGGTCAGGAGAACATCATACTAGTGACTTACCCTCGCTTCTCTAAGATGCGTCCTTAGGTACGTTTTAAATAAAAATTAATAGTTATTGCGAGTGTACTTTAGAGAAAGACTTATTGTAGATTTTCCTGTAGGCCTTTGGTAGTTTTACCTGGAAAGTTTTCCGGGAGTTTTGAAAATTGGTTATTTTATAGAGTTCGATGTGCTCTTTCCGAATTTCAATTTTGCCTCCTCGTATCTTCGCCGCTCGCGCTGCCATATTGGAAAAATGACGCCTTATGGCAGTTTTTTGTCTAAGTTTTCCGACTAATTTTCCGATAAAATATTTATATACAAAATTACTTGAGAAAATTTCCTACAATTTATGTATTAACATTTTTTTTGTAAAATCAATAGTTTTGGCGTATGAGCGCCGCAAAGTGTACTTCAACATGCGTTTTATACAGGTATATAAAAATAGTTTTATAATAAAACTAGATAGGTGCATGACAATAATTATTACTCCCATCTGTCAGAAATCTTGCACTTTGAACTTTAGAACTCTTACTTGTCTCTCTAAGACCGAATTTACAACAGTACCTTTTAATTTTCATTATTTAAATAATTTTCTTGGAGATGAAAGGATGTTTTCCAATGACGCATTTTCGCGCACCAATAAAGGTTAAGAAAAAAATCTAATATTTACAATTCATTTATTTATCATACTTATTATAATTATCTAAGAACATTTATTAAAATATTAGAATGGCAACTACAATTATTAAAGAAACCCTAGTTATTATACAACTTTAGGCAAAAATAATAAGAATTAATAACATACAATGAATTAATCAACCAATATATATTATATAAACCTAATAAGTGCTATTTTTATATGGCAATAACAAAATCAAAATATATGTAACATGGACGGAAGAAAGCTTTACTTCTCCAGAATGGTTTCTATGCTTTAAAAAGCTTTGCAAACAAGTATTTGCTACTATCGCTTTTTGGTGAATATCTTAGACTATTATGTAAAACAATAAAATTTGCATGCTAATTATAATCTCAATATATTACTTTCGGTTAACATAAATAAATATAATACTAATTTTATAATATACATCTATATATTATATAAAACAAAGTCGGGTTCGTTATAACACTTATAACTCGAGAACTGCTACACCGATTTTTATGATCATCGTTTTGTTGGATTTGTCTTCGCCCCGAATAGCAGAATAATCATGAAAACATCGAAAAAATTCACGAAAAAAAAATAAAATAAAAGTATTCCATACTAAGCGACAAAACGTACCTAGGGACGAACCTGAACGAAGCGAGGGTGAGTCGCTAGTATTCTTATATTGTCTTTGTATGTATACTTGGAAGGTTACTTACGAGTATTTTTTACAATACATACTTAATAAAATATTATTTCGTCGTCTTAGTGTTAAACTGTTACAGTCGTACAAATTTATAAGGTCTACTAATAAAAACATACTTAGCCTCTTTCTTACAAACACAAACAATAACATGACATATGAAGACAAATCTATATAATATATAAAACAAAGTCGGGTTTGTTCCAATACTTATAACTCGAGAAGTGATGGACCGATTTTTATGATCTTATTTGTTTTGATGGATTCGTCTTCACCCTGAATAGCAGAATAACTATTAAAACATCGGAAAAATTCACGAAAAAAAATATTGAAATAAGTCTATTCCACACTAAGTAAGCTTCGTCAAAACGTACATAGAGACGAACCTGAGCGAAGGAGAGTGAGTCGCTAGTGCTATATAAATATTACATTTTTCGCTAATATATGAAAATAAGTTATTGTATAAGTAGACAATTTGAGAATATTATTGTACGGGCCAGTACATAATATTTGTCGCATAAGCAAATTACGCAATACTACGTAGAGGTATATATATATAATATATTTATTTCAATGAATGAGTCCGAAAAAGTAGTGTCGCAGTCGCCGTCGTGCGCGCTCACGGGTCGTTCTATCAATAATATCATTCTATCATTAAAGTACGGTTAATATACAATAAGTTAATCTTGGACTATCATTTACTAATCAATAATACCTATCAGTATCAATCACTATCAACCAAAGACTGTAGGGATTTTCGTCTCAGTCCGTACAATTATATCATCACACACATCGGCACATCGACGATAAAGGATAATGAAGTAAGTTCCTAAACAATATATAGCCCTTATATTTGACCAACTTCTAAAAAGGTATGTTTTGCAACATTTTCACCAATTATGAGCTGATTTACATTATACTTTTTTTTCTTATATATATATATATATATATATATATATATATATATATATATATATATATATATATATATATATATATATATGCGTAAAACAGTTTAACACTTTCAGACACTGTAGTGTATAGCAAAAAAGTTGCCCTGTAAACATTAATATACAAAGACTCATATATCAATGGCAGTGGTAGCCCAGTGGTAACGCGCTCATTTGGGAAACCGAGTGGAGCGGGTTCGAATCCCGGATCTCGCACCTCTGTGCGAATCATTTCTAACATGATTACCACTTGCCTTACGGTGAAGGAAAATATCGTGAGGAAACCTGCATGTCTGGGAAAACCTAGCAAGTTTTCGAAAGACATGTGAAATCTGCCAACCCGCACTTGGCCAGCGTGGTGGACTATGGCCTGATTCCCCTCATACTGAAGGGAGACCCGTGCCCAGTAGTGGGACTTTAAAAAGGGCTGAATACATATATCAATGCCCATTAATCACCACACGTCTCTAAATATAAGAAAAAAAAAATACTATGAATAGCCACAATGACAATTGAAATTATGACAGTTGATAACAAAATAGATAAAAGCGAGTAGGTACATTTATTTTAATTGATACACTATGTTTGTTATTATATATAATGGCATTTTTCCTGAATATTTAACTATAACATTTTTATATGAAACATGTATTTATGATTAATCTTTACTTACTTGCTATAATTTATAATTTAGATAGGTACCTGATATTATTTTAGGGAAAATTCACATTGTCTTGTGAGCCATACAACTGATTCCATTTAATTGTAGGTAAAATACAACATATTGATTATTTTTGGGACAGAATTTATCTAATGTCATATGGTAAGACTAATCGTATTCTATTTATTGTATAGTGTTATCTTATCTTTTCAATTAAGTTCCGAGGACGCATTTTAATATAAGACCTTATAGAAATCATAGTTGATACATAATTTGCTATAATATTATTTATAGTTAACTTTATATATTATATTACAATTATGCACAAATATACTATGCCGAAATACAATCAAAGTTAACATTTTATGTTCAATTGATTATAATAACTTAAAATTTTAACTAAATCATGTACCTCCAAAGTACAGGAATGTATATTAGTCTATTTTGGTTTCTGTTCATGGTATTTTAGTTCCCAAACAGATGAATGAAATAATGATTAATAAATTTTGACATAATTCGTTTTATATAGTCTCATATAGGTCATACTTTGGGCAAAAAAGACCTAATACAAAAGATTTGTCATACCACATAATGATTCCATTATAGACACCATTGGTATTATAGTTAGTATTTAATGGTATATAACATACATATATTCATATACATTCACTTTCCATTCCACTCACTGATCCGTCCATTTTCAAACACTAGATTCTTTCTCGGTAGAGGAACTAGAGTCCCACGTTTCACAATTCCCATATCTTCTCCAGGATAATACTAGAAAATAAAAATAAGTCCTCATAAATTTATTATTATTACCCAGATATTTTATTTGCCATTTATTTGCCTTTTCTTTAAAATAATATTAATGTGAAATTATAGTAATGTTTGAAATCTTAGTTCCTCCCGTGTTTCAATGCTTAAAGCATTCAAACGTCGGGAATCAAAAATCAAAGTAAATACGCGAAAAAATCCTTTAATGGTAGTTTTAATTAAAAATATTGTAGTACTAATTCTTAACTTATTACTCATCTTATAATATTAAATGAGCAATTCTTGTATTAACTAGTAAATACATTTATTTCGTGAATCTCGGAAACGGTTCTGATAATTTGGGTCAAATTGTGTATTTTGATGAGGTTTTGCTTTATAAGTTTATCTATACAGATGTGTGTACTGAAAAAATGCAGTTTTTTTAAATGTCACTCAAGTACTTTATCATAATGGTAGATAAAAATGTTCACCTGACACTGCGAAACAAATTTCAATACGTCTGACCTTACGAATTCATTATCTTCTTTCACTTTTTCTAATCTGAAAAAGAAATATGATAAAACTCTTAGTAATTTGACTTTCGAGATCATTTTACCAACGTACTACTATTCTAATTAATATTATTCGATTATTCATTGCCATAAGACAAGATTTTGTATTTGGAACACATTGGATATGTCTTCAATTCAGATGTATGCAGTTATATACAAACAAAACTAAGTTAGACTAGAAGAGCAATTACGAATGAGTGCTCAAGTAAGCAAACTATGCATGGTGTTGGAGAGTTCTTATGATTTACGCTAAATGTTTATTGTTGTATTTGAGTAAAGCAAATATCAATACAGATTCACATCTATACATATAATAAAATTCTAACTTAGCCGAATCTGTACATTAAATATTTTTTGGAAAATCTTATTGAAATAGTCATTTATTATCTATACAGAGGCCGAATCTACAGTTTTTAGAATTTTTGTCTGTCTGTCTGTCTGTTACCGCATCACGAGAAAAGTACTGGACAGATTTGGATGAAATTTGGTATGATGATTGCTGTTTATCCGGGTCAGGATATAGGATACTTTTTACCGCGGGAAAAAGTGTCATTTCTGAGAATTAAAAAAAACTACAATGTAAGAGTATACTAATATGTAAAACCTAAGAATTTGGTTTTTGGTCGCGGACGCAGCCGCGGGCAATGCTAGTATACAATATTTGTACCGTCCCAGTTAGAACAGTACAATATAATTGTTATTAGAATTTAGAGTGCACAAGTTAAAATACTTATAAGCTTGAAGTACTTTAATTATTGAAGTTACAGTATAATTTTGACGGCTCTAACTGGCCACGTCTGTTAGGCTCAGTGTCTTTGAATGCACTCGTAAAAAAATTTGCGACGCATCGCCTCGAAAAGCTATCGCGCAAAGTAAGCAAAACAAAAAATGCACTTGAAACCGTACAACATTTGTAATAATTCAGAATAGCAGTGAATACTCACAATTCAGCCTTCGCTACCCTCTCAACAATACTCTTACACACTCTTTCACATAAATCCTCATCGAATAACGGAATACCAAATTGGAGGTCTAAAATGGTCCATTTCTGAAAAATTAAAAAATATATTTTTAAAGAAATATCGCATGTCGTGTGTCAAATTAATATATTAAGTGTTAAATTAATTGTGCACAATAATTTGTAAGATGATACAGGAATCAATTATTTTAATTTTTTCCCTTACTGAACCTTTGCCCTTCATCACCGCTATACAATATATGGATTATCCTTGTATTGCGAACATTTCGAATTTTCAAACTATTCCAAACTAGAGAACTCGAGAACCACTTTTGCTAGCTCGAATGCGTCTCCCGATATCTCTTGCATTTATAATATTAACCAGTTATCGAAAGTTTATTTTCGCAAACTCTACTGGTGATAATCGTCTAAAATTCAATAACAAACAAACTCCAGCGCAGCGAAGAACTTTCTAGTATGCAGTGAAGATATTGATATATAAAAACATACATATATATACATTTCCTAACAAATATCTCTTCAAAAAGTGGCGTCGACATGTGACGTTAAGTCAAACTGAAGAATAAAATTCAAAAATAGAACGTCATAATTGTCTAAACACAAATTCGAACTTACGCACACCACATAAAGTATTTTTTCCAAACGAAACAACATGCGTTTTATTTTGTCATTCGAAAAGCAAGGAACAAAAGAGATTTGAAAAAAGCGCAGTTCAATTTCGAATTGTGCACTTCTTTTTGAAGACACTTTTGAGACGCTGTGTATTTTGAGATTTTGTATGTAGAGAGAAGAAAAAAATAAAAAGTGCGTGTATGAATACGGTACGGTACTCTTTATGAAATTTAATTTATGTTTTAAATAATTAGGATAAGTGAGATACTAAATATAAAGCTTATTAGGGTATATTACTATCATATATTTATAGAATATCATTAAAGGAACGAATGTAATATTATATATTATTTGTCAGACAATAACAACGGTTACCATGGCAACAGACGTTCGCATCGCCCGATTTACACTTTTCGTAACGCATTCACCAGCTTACACCCCAAGTCAAGCGTGCGTAAAAAAGTTTTACTTCAAAAAGCTTACCTCAGGTTTACAAGTCTCATCGTCGGAATAGTTGTGTGCAGTGTCGACTCCGCTGTCGCCCTCCGCCGTCACCTCCGCCAGCTTGTCGGACAGCTGCGTGAACATGGATATCGACTCCTCCACTGGACTCAGCAAATCGCTCAACTGACTTTCCACTTTCTTCTCACTAAAACTCACCGGCGACTGTATCGAGGCCAGCTCGTCGACTATCGACTCCTTACTATTGTCTATTGAATGTTTCTCTTTCATATTCTCAACACTGGTCGAGGAATGTATCGGTACAAAATCGTCACTGGCGATAGATTCTTTACTTTCGTGAGTATCGATGTTTAGATTATCTAACTCCTCGCATAGTAACCGCCCACTTTCTACGCTTGTAAAGCCGTTCGACGGCGAACTCGTTTTGCTGTCGGTAGTGGGTGAAACAGCGAAATGGGATTCTATGGGCGATTGAAGTCTACTATTTATTGTTTTTGTATACTCTGCAGTTTCTTTTTGGGATTCGGTTGAGGAGATTAATATTTCGCTGACCGGTTTCGCGACTCCGCACGTATCTTTCTTTTTTCTCGGTGTCACTGTAAAAATAACGATTTTGCATGTTCACCAATTCACCAAATTAATCAACAAATTTTATCAGCGAGTCTACCAATATTTTAATGTAAATATCCTCGCGGCAAACCCATTACGATTTATTAAATTTTTTTTTAGATTTTGAAAAAACACACATTTGCAAAAAATATGAGAGTAAAAATTTTACGATGCGCGCGCACACCGACAGCCAAAAAGCGACATGATTAAGTTATCTAAAAGCGACATAATGAAGTTAGCTGCATTCCTTTTACAAACAGAGAGTTGTGACATACGGGACGAAATCTTTAGCTATTTTTGTTGTTACGCCAAAGAAGTATAACTTCTTATGTGCGTACACACACACACGTTTTTTTTGTTAGACACATTTTGTAATATAACTCTCGATACATTTCATTCATTCGACAACGTTGTCTAAAGACTATTGTACAATCAACTATTTAAGTAAAATGAAGATATCAAGAATATTGTTTATACGAGCGACAGAGATTTCTCTAGTTTGTACAATACGAGACATATATTTATCAACTATTCATAAGAAAATCAAAATAAATAACACAAAGACATGAGACATCATTATGTATACAATGTATCATAAAATGTAGGTTTTACGACATAACTCATTTTACTATTTTTTATTATCATAATTGTTCCATTTACGCTTAGGTCACGAATGAATAGTTAAAACGATCTTAAAACTTCCATTTAAATTTTACTGTTGAATGATTTTCAGACTTTTCTTAAAAATTTAAGTGGTAATAAGTATTATATATAATAAGTATAGGCTAGTTTTCTCACATAAGTCTTATATAGTTCACTACCGTTTGACGTGGGGCTCGCTTTATGTAGCAGGTTGTAGCATTTCTACATAGCTCAAGCTATATTTTTGGGTTGACTATGATATAATTCCAGACTGTAAAGTCTAGATGTATTAATGTAGTTAAATATATTAATATAGTTAACAGATTAGATAGATTACCGAGGTGCACGGCGGGCGGCGGGTGCGCGCAGCCCAGGTCGGGCACGCCGATGTCGGCCAGCGTCACGTAGCCGGCAGAGCGCGCCAGGCGCAGGCGCCGCAGTAGCCGCCGCAGCCCTGCGTGCCGGCGCCACAGGCTCTGCTGCTCTGGAATAGGTAGCTCTTCTCACTTATGGGTTTAGGGTCAAGTTTTAATAAATGTTAGAGTAATATAATTATATCTAAGTTTTATTCAGGAGTTCATCAAATAACGCTTGATCGCCAGGTGGCCTTAAGTACAAAAAGTCTGTCCATGCAAACATTACAAGTGCAAGATGTTGGACATAGCTCTCCACTGATGCGAATCTTTATATTTTGTGGGTGGTTACTGACTTTAATGGAGTTCCATTTGTAATGAATCTTATGTGGTTGCTTTTACTACTTATTTGTATTAAATTTAACCTATTTTGTTGAATGTTGCTAACAATTAGATTCCTTATAAACTGATAAGAAAGTACACGATATGATACATCGTGAAGAATGGGACAAAATTAAGTTGGAGAAATATTTTTATGTATTAGTTATACTTTTTATTTATTTATTACTTCCCTATTTAATATATGTACATATTTTTTTTACAATACTGATATTTGTCTTAAATAATTGCTAAAAATACAATGACCAAACATCTATACCATTTGTGGGCGGAAAAGTTAGAAAAAAAGTTAGGCTGAAAAAAATCCGACGTTAGTCTTAAATAAAAAAATACCAACTAACCATCGTCATCACCGTCAGCGGGGGGGAAGGGCAGGTGCAGGAGCGGCGGCGCGGCGCGCACGCCGGCCGCCTGCAGCAGCACGGGCGCGCGCCGCAGCGCCGAGTTGGCGGCGGCCAGCGCGGCGGCGGCGGGCAGCGCGGCCGCCTCGCCCTCCGCGCCCCACCACGACACCGCCAGCCGCGCGAACCCCAGCAGGGAGCGCGGCACCGCGCGCAACACCGTGCCTGCACACACCGCTGGATTTACACTAAGGGCACTCGGGACGTGAAAAAAATCTTAATGTTATCGAATATTTTTTTATTTTTTGTAAAAAATAATTATTGATTAAAAAAAATTGAAATCATTTATAAATCATTTTTTGCATTTTTCCAAAAAAAAAATAATTAAAAGAAATTAAACTTTATCGAAACTTTATCAATTTTATGCGAAATTTCGATAATGAGGCGGCATTTTTATAGTGCGCAGGGGCAGCGCTAAGGTTGAATCCGGCACTGTCTATACAAACCGCAAAATAGTGCGGATTAGTGTAAAGCTTTGGTGGCATTCGTATGAAAATTAAATTGTGAGTTGTTGACTCCAGATCATTAGGTCTGGAGTGTTTCCTATACGTAATAATAATAGTAAAATAAGATTTTGTTTACCTTACTATTAGACATCAAAATCCAAGATGCAGTGCCAAAACTAATGCAAAAAGTTATTTTCTTTTTTGAAACTGCATATAGTTAAACAATAACCGTTAATAGTGCCCGCTGACGCGACAAGGTAATTCAAAAAACAGTTCAATATAATTCAAACGTATCAAAGAACGAAGTACAATATGCTAACTAAAAACGATCTACCAAAATCAATTTTGCCTAACTTCATAATTTACTCCAACCTATGTATAAATACAAATAAAGCATCGTTACCCTTAGTAAGCAGCAGTGTGGGAGGCCCGTAGCCGGCCACGTGGTAGAGGTAGAGGCGCATCCAGGGCGAGGCGGCCTCGGGCGGCGCGGGGCCCAAGTGCGGCAGCGCGCCCGCCGCCGCGCCCGCGCGCGCCTCGCGGCTCAGCGGCGCCGTGGACACTGCCAGCCTGACACAGATTACACCGCTTATACACTCTTTAACTAGCCAAAAGACTGTTTTGACCACAAATAACACTGCTTATATGTATACTCTTTAACTAAGTGCAGATAATGTGCAGACACAAATAATAATAATTTTTGCGCTTATTTCTTATTAGGGAGTTTTGACACAAACATTGACAAACAAATACATTAATTCTAAACACTTCCAGCCGTCTCTAACTATACACTACTACCGTCATCTAATCAACGAATTATAGTCATCCAAATTTACATACCACCTGATATAGTTTAAAATCGATAATATAAGTACATTAAAATGTAATCACATACTTAGTTTACAAGTGAAGCTTATAAAAAAATAAACAAAAATATGTAACCTGTACTTAGTAGCCAATAGCCTGGCGCGAGCGGGCGCGTCGAGCGCGTGCAACGCCTCGCAGCGCAGCAGGTCCAGCGGGCGCAGGTGCGGGCGTAGCGTGCGCAGCGCCGCGCGCAGGCACGCCGCCGCCGCCAGGTAGCGCCGCGCCTCGCCTTCTATCTCCGGATCTCCGACCACCTGAGTTATATACATTTTGTACATAGCCATACTTATATTATAAATGTGAAAGTGTGTGTGTTTGTTTGTTTGTTGGTTTGTCTGTCCTTCTTTCGTGTTGAAGCAGAGTGGATTGGCGTGATTTTTTGTGTGGAGATAGTTGGAGGACTCGAGAGTGACATAGACTACTTTTTACCGTGGGAAAACACGTTATAATATAGCCCACAAAAACTCTTCAACACAGTCTTTATTCCATACTAACCGTTAAAACGTACCTAGGAACGAACCCGAGCGAAGCTAGGGTGAATCGCTAGTATAAATATATTTGAGCAACTTAAATAAAAGAATGTAGTAAAAGAAAAATTAGTTCAAATAATTTCAATAAACGGTGTTGTATATATCGACTGACGATTTATCCTCGCTTCGTTCGGCTTCATCCCAAGGTGTCATTTTGCCATAGCTTTTATTGCTTTATTTCTCTATAGCTTTATTGTATATAGCTTTATTTACTTTTAGTACGCAAATTTTTATAGTGAAATAAGCGAAATAAAAAATAGCCTATAGCACTTGGCGGTAATGTAGCTAGTAGCTACCTAACAGTGAAAGAATGTCCAGAATACGAAAGCTCCTTCTCAATTCAAACTTCTTTCTTGTACATGATTTTCTTTGTTACAAATTTAATCAATATAAGTAAATAAAAACCACAAAACCTTATCCAATTCCATAAGTAAACTGTCCAGACTCTCGTCACACAGTTTTCCAACTTCAAATAAAGTGACTGCATGACTTTTGAGATCCTGAAAGACACATTATAATGTCAATACTATATGTATCAACGTATTTATCTTTAGCATATATTTATAAATAATATTGTACCAAGTCTATATACGTACAGGAGATAGATTGCCCATCATAAGATAAGCAGCCAGGGTGGAATCAAAAAGCACCGCAACCCTTTGTCCACTATTGCTGTTTGGAGATTCACATATATCTGTTGGAGGTCGCTAAAACAAATTAAATAAATATCATATTTAAATTAATATTTTTAAATGCTTTAAAAAATTAAATATAAAAATTGAAATAACACAACAAAATGCAGGATCAAAATATAAGTAAAATGACTTTACTGGCTCGTTTGGAAGCCATTAACAAAACAAATTGAATTCAATTTAAAATGGTAGATAAATAGTATGTAAAAGTGGTAGTAAAAGTATGATAAATACTACTAAATTTCATGACGTCAACTGGTTTAGTGAAACCAAAGGTTCAGTTAGAGGTTCACATTTTTCCGGGGCAGAGGCTGACTGCTACCGGACGCGTCCCCGGGTGGCGGATAGGGGAACACCACTCGCGCCTGTTTGGACCCAACAGGAGCTTGTGGTACCGGAGCAATCCGGCGCGGACCAACAGCCAGGAGGGGAGGTTGAGGGAGCGGCGTTAGAGGGCGCCGTCTCCTTCTTGGAGGCAGCGCGGTGTCTCCGGCCGTTTTGCGGTAGGAGGTGCTGCGCGAGCCACACTGCCGGGGCTAGCCCGTCGGTGCGGCGGCTGGAGCGGGGCCATTTCGGTGGTCCTGCGTATGGCGAGGGATGTCGGCAGCCATTTTGGTCCGGAGGTGGGCCGACAGTAGGGGGGCCGCGGGGGAAGAGGAGTGTCGGTATGGCGATGCGCCGCTCGTCCCTATCTCCCGCGGCCTAGCGGGGCCACCACCGTTGATGGCGGACGCGGTGGGGCTGCAGGGGAAGAGGAGTGTCGGCGTTGTTGCATCCTCTTCTCCTGCAGCCGTTTGTGTTTGGGCTCGTTCGCGGGCGTCTTTGGGGGGTTTGCCCAATTTGGGTGGGGTTTATTATTTTTGCAGGTTGCCCACTTCGGTGGGCGGTGTTTGTGTGGTGTGGGGCTGCTCCGGGTACTTCTCTGATCAGCAGAGTGGACTTAGGAGCGGCCTCACTTCTTCTTGGGTTGAGAGTCTTCCCATAATGGGGTTGTCCCGATTGGGGCGGCCTCATGGTTGGTGGCTTCGGCCAACCGTCGGGGCGTCGCGGTTGTATGCGAGAGCGATCCCGTGGCGTCCCACATGGCGGCAGGAGGGGGGGGGGGAAGTTGGGTTTTAGTGGGTATGCCGGTCTCATTAGCCGGAGAGTCTCCACATAACCACCCCGGGGGAAGTCGGGTGGTATCCGTAATAGGATTTCCCAACTATAAAAAAAAAAAGAAAAAAAAGAGGTTCACATTTTATTCGAACCCATATAAGTGGGATACATATCAAGTTATTAGGTTTAAGCCTACTGTATAGTTACGGGCATATATACAGACAGTTCAGCTGTAATATCTGATTGTATGATTAATTCATATTAATATCTATTCTCACCATGATAGATTGCTATATATTGACAATTATTCTTCATTAGAGTAACAAGATTATTCAATTATATTAATAATGCAAGATGTGTCCGATATTTATGCATTTGAAAGGTGACAGTTATTTTGAAATCATTGCGGCATCATTCCTTCGATATCACATAGTTTTGCTGCCATCATAAAGATACATACTATTACTAATGAATTATTCATACAATCAGATATTATTGCCGAAGTGGTCATTTATGCTTGTGACTGTACCTCGAAATATCTAATATGGATTATAAATGAAAACTCCATGTTAAGTTTAAAGCGCAAAATAATACATAAAATATACCTGTTTAGATGTAGAAGGCACATCTTTAATAAGTACTGGCTCCATTTGTAAATCTTCTTCAATGCTATGATCGAATGTCAACGGTGCAATTTGACGGTATCTGTAATTTTAATAAAAAAAACGTGTGTGTACTTATGTATTCACGTAAGAAGTTATACTTCTTTGGCGCAACAGAACAAAAATAGCTAAAGATTTCATCCCGTATGTCACAACTCTCTGTTTGTAAAAGGAATGCAGCTAACTTCATCATGTCGTTTTCAACTAACTTCATCATGTCGCTTTCAGCTAACTTCATCATGTCGCTTTTTGACTGTCGGTGTGCGCATCGTAAAAATTTTACCATCATATTTTTTTCAAACGTGCCAAAAGAAGTATCGCTTCAAAAAACAAATGTACAAGATAACCAAAATCGATTTCTATGATGAAATTAAAAACTGCATAGTATTATTATTTTAATGTTTATAAATATTGAGATGCTAAATGCTCCAAAGGTAATAGCGAAAATTCTCAAAAGAGAGTTGGGATGGATTGTAGCAAATATTTAGGAACGTTCATTCTTCGTTGCAGTTTTAGTTGATTTGTTTTTATTCAAAGTACCGTTTTTTAATGGAAATTTGTATGGTACCATCGACGTTTAGTAAAGACTAAAAATACCTTAAACTATAAAAAGAATAGGTCTTATATAATTGTTTTTTTTTTAAGTTATCACTCTATCTATTTAATATCAATATGTGCGAGAACAAATATAACTTATTGTTTTTTTAAACTAAAATTCTTGAAAATATTCATTATCACTAAGGTTTTACGCGAAACATACAATTATTTTTATAGGTCACATAAACCAAAGATAAGATCCTATCTATTTAAGTCGTTAATCTAACAATATACATAAAACCAATATACTAAGCTACTTTCTTACGCGAATATTTGACGTAAAAAAAAAAATATTTTTGCTGATTTATTATGATTTTTGATTCCCCATCCGTATAAAAAATATCAAACGATAGTTTCATTATTATATTCTATAATTCTAAGTGCATTAAAAACAAAAAGAAAATGTCCGAAACAGAGATCTCTTCAAGTAAACTTATGGATGTGGAAGAAAATTGGCAATACAGTGCAAAAAATATATTATACACATATTACATCTTAATGATATCTTATTTAAAGTACATATATAAATATAAAACATATAGGACTCAATAGTATTGCTCACGGTTGGTGCGTGTGCGCGGTGAGCGCGTGCCGCCAGGTCGCGTGCTGCGCGGCCAGCGGCGGCGGCTGCAGGTGGCGCGCGAAGCCCAGCCGGCAGTACAGCGACACCGCCTGCTTCACCAGCTCGCACTCCACCTGCACACCACTCGCTCATTGTAACTGCCTGGGTTCGAGTCCCAGGTCGAGCCGACTTTAGTTATTAAGTCTTTCGGTTAGGAAGTCTCAGTAACAGCCGGAGTCGAGAAGTTGGCGGTGTTTCGCCCCCGTGCCTCGGAAAGCACGTAAAGCCATCAGTCCTGCGCCTGATTTCTCGAATGAAAAACCTAAGTTTTTCTATGACCATGTTTGCTGTAGTTTTCGAAAGGTCTCGAACAAAAAATCAGAACTAAACCGTGAGAAAATTCTTAAAACAATTATATTCAAAACAATATTTATGTATTGGTGTATTTTATTTATTTATTAAGCAAGCCAACGCAACATACAATGTGATATAAAACTAAAAATATAAAACAAATTTAAAAAGTATTACACTGTACATCACACTTACAGGCTTGCTCAACATGTAATATAATAAGGCGTTCTCTACTTTCAACCCTAATACCCACACCCAAACAAAAAACTAAATTAAAGATAAAAAAACAGTACAAAATGAAAATAAAAACAAAATTACAGCCAAAAACAATAAAAGTCATTACTATAATCTACACAACCATTATAATAAATAATCCGTACCGTAAGTTAATTTAAAAATGTATTTAAATAAAAAAAATAACGACATAATTAATAACCCAAAAATGAATTAAAAATGCAAGTGGCATAACAAACATTTATTTTTCTTTATTGCGAGTGCGTGAAATATTTTTTTAATTTATTCTTAAATGACGCGGCGGAGTCTTTGAAAATGTCAATTTTTGACTTGCTAAAAAGCAAGTTATAGCTCCTTACAGCTCTGTTTAAAGGAGCAGTTGTGCCTAAGTTAGACTTTACCTTTCGACATTGAAAAGTGCATTTTCTTTTTATATGGGCCCTTGCGTACTGTCTCGGTATAGAAAACATAATTTTTGTCAATAAATTTTTGCAATCTACTCCTCCACTTATGAGTTTATGTAAAGAACAAACATCTAGCATTGTTCTACGACTTGATAGGGAAAGAGTTTTATAATATCTAAGCATGTTAGTGTAATTATTATTCTCATTTATCTTATTATCTTTATAAGTTAAGTGTCTCAAAAATTTCTTTTGTACTCTCTCTATTCTGTCCTTGTGTACTTGATAGAATGGATTCCATACAATTACGATTTTGATCTATTAGATCCTATTTATAAACGTTATAAAATATACATGGACTAAAGAGTGAATAAACCGGTATAAATTTCATTGATGAAAGTCAAGTAAGATACCAAATATTAAAGTATTCTCAAATAATAAGTATCCAAATAAATATCAGTAAAGAGTATAAATACGGAAAACGGGTACAATTTACTTTATATGTTGGGACATTAAAATACAGCGCCATCTAGTTCCATGGTAAGCTACGAGGCTTGAGTTATGGATACCAGATAGTTGATACACTACACATATATAACTTTAAATACATACATATTATAAATATAAACACCCATATAATCCTTTAAGTACATTACATTACAAGTATCAGTAAACTTTCAACGCACCTGTAATACACTTGCCAGCTCAGCGACGCTGGTGTGCTCATCAATGGACACAAACACTTTGTATAGAAGAGTCTCGAAGTAATCTCCGGCTATGCGATTCATTACGAACCCTTTGAGCGGTGGCACCGATACTTTGTCTGCTGCTGTGATTGGTACATCTAGATATATTAGGCCTCGCCTGTAAAATACAATTATTTATTAAATTCCATTTTTTTTGTTTTATACAGTCCATCTATTTTTTTTTATTTTTAAAATATTTGGGAAACATACAGTACAATAATACTTAGAATTAATCAGATATACATAATACATAAGCCAGCGAAGTTTCCACTTAAAAATATAACATAAATTAGAGCACAAGTGACAAGGCAACATTAGTATAAGGCAATTGATTAATTAAAGTTAAAACTAAAAATAATAATAATAACAATCAGAATACAGTAATGATAACATTAATAAATTTTAATAATATTTAGTCGATAATTCATTGATTGATCTATTTTTTAACGTCCCACTGCTGGGCACGGGCCTCTCTTCAATACAAGGTGGATCAGCCCATAGACCACCGTGCTGGACAAGCAACAAGGACAAATTAAACTTGCTAGGTTCTCTCAGACATGTGGGTTTCCTCATATCACGATGTTTTCCTTCATCGTAAGACAAGTGGTAATCGTGTTGAAAATGATTTACACATGAAAATATTAAGAAGTGCGAGACCCGCTATTTGAACTCGCTTCACTCGTTTTCCCAAGCGAGCGCGTCACCACTAGGCTACCAATTTTAGATATATATGTTTAAAAAATATATATATTAAAAAATATAGGAAATTTATAAAATATATTTTTTATTGATAAATATAATTTCTAAGCGTGTAGATAGATGTAAATTATCATATTATTCATTCACTAAGTAAATATTTGGCCATTACTGTAAAATAAAATGAAAGATTATTACAAAAAATAATTTAATACCTGTAGAGTGTCTTGACAACATAGTAATCGAGAGTACCAGCTGTTTGTGAGCCACGGTCAATTAGCAAATCAATAACTGCCTTCTCGTTCTCACCTAGAGGCTATTACAATTAACATTGTTAGGGATTAGCTTTATTAGAACTCAGTTACAAACAGCAAAAAACTTATATTATTTTATTTTCATAAAATTTAAATGATTGTTACAAAACTTATTAATATTAGTATAAAAATGAACAATAATTGTGTAATATGCATTGTCGTAAGGTATATCTAATACATAATAAAAGTGTAAAACACGCCACAAAAAAATTAAACAAAGCAAGTTGATTAGTACCTTCACATCTTCTTCTAGAACATATCCTAATTCCACTCTCCACCATGGTTGCATTGGTATGTTGAGAGGAACTCTTGGTAATAACGACCTGATTGCTCTAGACCTCCCACGTCTTCCCAAAGATCGAGCTTTTGCTACTAATTCAAGATATTCATTACGACCAATTCCAAGTAAGCGGAGACCTGTAATAACATACAATATAATAATTTAATAAGAGTATTCATACTTATGAACCAGGATTGAATTAATGTTATGCATTATTATTATTTACTAGACAATAACAAATCTATCCCACAGGAACCATAATTTTTTCCGGGATAAAAAGTAGCCTATGTGCCAAATTTCATTCTGATCCGTGCAGCCGTTTTAGCATAAAACCGTCACAATCATCCATCCATCCATCCATCCGTCCGTCCGTCCGTCCTTCCATCCATAATCTTGTTAGTGTAACTGGTGTTGCCATTCTAATTGGATGTTAAATAAATAAATAAATAAATCCATCCATCCCTGAAAGTTTGTGAGTATGGATATTTGTTACTCTTTCACACCAGTTTATAACATTAGTAGGATTTAGTTTTTGCAATCATTCCCAATAAAAAATTTCGGTAATTAATATATAATTAGGTTACTTACAATCAGCAGCAGTAAAGTTGGGCATTGTGTCATAACTCTTCTCCATCTCAATTAATAGAGCAACAACTTCAATATAATATATGAACGGAGTAATTCGTAATCCTTCAGAAATAAATAAAATATTACAAATTTAAAGTCTTGTTTTCCATAAAGTGTTAAATTGTGTTGAGATTAAAGAAATGAAATCTGTATACAAAATTTATTTGCACCTCGGACCCCTACATATATAATGGGTGTTCCTTGAGGTTTGTGGTCCTCTAGTATAATTGACAATTATTGACAACAGACATTATGAGCCAAGGGCAGTCCATAATGTGGGGATATAGTCATGTATATTTTAAGAAATGTGCACTCTGTGCAGGTCTTTCTTTAATGAGCTTAATCATGTATACACCATCCAATATGTTCATGTTTTTGATACCCTAGTAATTGTGAAATTTTTTAAGACTTAATTTATGAGTCAAGGGCAGACAACATAAGGAACTCTGTTCCACCAGGTATCCCACCACACTTCTCGTCTTTTCATTTTAGTTTAAGTAAATTATATTCTTTCATTTTATTCGTTTCGAATGTGTTCTCTCTTTAGGGTCAATAATTTTATATGAAATGAAAATATAATAATAACAAAGAATAATTATATTTCTTGCACTAAAATAAACAATAGTCCATTAATAGCAACATGACTGCTTTAAAAATCAAAATATTACTTATTTACCTTTTACAATCATATCGGCTAGATGATATGGATAAAGCATAAGTCGTTGTATGCTGTTTTGTATCAATGCTTCATAATATTTTCTTTCATCTTTTCTAACTGTTCTCACTATAAAAGTTATGAATAGATAAGTATAAAAAAGTTAAGAACAATATGATATACATTGCAATATATAAATTAAAATGAAAAGATTAATGATGATGAATTTTTCTAAAATATTTAACTGCCTAATTAGAATCGTTTTAGAAAACAACATTTTTATATGAATCAAAATTAACTTAAACTCTGTGCTTACCTAGGCTTCCTCTGTATCGCAATTGGTTTTTAATACTGAACTCGAAAATGTATCTTTCATATTCTTTAGGAGAATCATTAAGTATCTGAAAATAAACTAGATTCTTGACACATCTTTTTTTAAAGAATATTGAACCAATGAAACTTAATTTGTTCATCTATATCTTAGAGAAGTAAATTGTAGCTATTGTTTACATCCATGTAATAAATTTTTCGTAAAAATAAACACGTAATATGTGTAATGAATGGAGTACCTTTTTTAAATTTCCAGGCAATTGGGGCCATTGAATCTTCTTTCTAACACATTCATCAATTTCATCCTCCATGGTGTTGGAGATGTTATCTTTTAATCATCAAGATTTTATCGAATAAAACGATTAAAATAACATTGCAGCAAATATTATGATAAGAAAGATTTCTATAGGTTTCTTTTCGTTCGGAAATCAAGAATCACTTTTTATTACTTAAAAGTTTTTTCAATCATGTTCTAGGATAGTAAATATTTTTTTATCAAAAATATAATATTTTAATACTGCTTCTAATAAATATTTATTTAAAATCAAATTAATATTGAAAATTTCAGATGCGATATTTAAGCATTTCTGAACAATAAACATTAATGTCATGGATGACAAAGATTTATGTCAAAAATATAGTGTAACCATAGACGTATTACGTATATGTAGAGAATGAACTGATAATCTCATGAAATTGACCACTCTCTAGAAAGAGAGAAAGCTACTGTGCGGCCATTACTACCTGTATTTAATTCTAACTGAAATTTATAAACAATACAAAACAATAAATATATATACAATATATCTATCTTCAATAATCGTATTTGAATTAATGAAAAATACTTTTGGCCGCACATTAGTTTTGTTTCTAATAAAAAACATACATGCATAAAGATGTGTTGAAAAAAATCCTTTTTTAAAATATTCAATGTTATATTTATCATAGGCCTTATACATACTGCGTTAGGTAATTTTGGCAACGTCAAACAGGAGCCAATTAGATATTTGTGGTTAAAGAGCACAAGGAATCCGTAGTTGTGACCACAAGGTTGGCAAGAGAAATTTACTTAGATAGATTTTATTAAGATAGATAGAGAGAGAGATAGATTAAATTTACAGAGATGGATTATAGTCTAGAATATCACATAAGCCACTTTTTATCCCGGAAAAATATACGATTCCCGAGGAATAGATTTGTTTTTGTCTTTCTATAGAAGCGAACCCGAGCGAAGCGAGGGTGTGCTGCTAGTACCACAAATAAAGTTACTAAATAAATGTTAGGATTCTCAAGACTTAGGGAAAATAATGAATAAAAATGTTTGAAACGTTTAATCTATTTATTAAAAATATTATTCTAATAGATTCTATTTATTCTTGGTATTTTAAGTAAAAAGCTCATCAAAAGATGAATGAATTTCATTTAGCATATCTGAAGCAATCATGTTTCGACCATGTTTAGTGTACGCCTTATGATTACATATTCTTGTAAACTTTGCCGCCGCATACGAAGCAACACTCTGAGCTAGAGCAACAGAATGGTCGTCTTGGCAAGGGTTAGAAATGAGTGCCCAGTTAAAAAATGTTCCCAAGGCACCAGACAAAATATCTCCTTGGCCTCCTGCTCGTCTTCCAGAACCACTTTCCTTTAAAATCCAATCAAATTGTCCTTGATTAGAATGGTAGTGATCCTTTTCGCCTTTTTCTAAGACTGTTACAAATTTCCCCCAATATTCATACCAAGGTTCATAACCTTCAGGAATAGCTTGCTTTAGTCTTTTTACTTCCATATTGTTAGGAGTCAAAATAACTCCAGGACTCGGATAGTTATTTAATATTGAGGCATTCTTATATATTGCATACAAACCATCTGCATCTATTACTAACGGTTTTTGCATTTCTTTACATTTACTAATAATATCATACGCCAAATTCAAGCTCTCTGGCGCTTTACCTAAACCTGGTCCTAGAACCACAACATCTTTTTTATTTAAAGTTGCAGTAATATTTAAAGAAGTATGTGGAATAACAATAAGATCTGGGCTGTATGACTTGATTACTGGCGCTGCGTTTTCAGTAGTAATGACATAAGCAATGTCTGCTCCAACCTGATAATATTTATTTTAAATGCTATAAAATGATTTTCTTAAGCAATACATAAGTTTTAAAATATTCACTTTTAATAAGCTAATTCAAAACGTTACGTTTTAAAAATAATCGAATTGTAATTAGTTTTTCATATTTAAATGATATTAATTTATTTATACTTACATACAAAAGGTACACTCACTTTTAGAGAAGATATAGCAGCAAAATATGGTGCACCTGTATATTCTATAGAGCCACCAATAATTGCAATTTTACCAGCATCTCCTTTCTTTTTTCCTACCAGTTCTGGTATTATAGCTTTTGTAAGATTTAAAAGATATTTTTCATTCCAATTTTTTGTAATTATTGAACAGTCTTCCATAGTCAAAGAATGAACATCAAATAATATTACACCGAATAATATTGGCAAATACTTCATAGAAAACATATTCAAATGTAATTACTGAAATTAAATAAAGAATAACTTTATATCTCAGATGTGTCAATTATTTGTGCTGGACAACTATAATCACTTTATTAACCTTGAAACTATCTAAAGTTTTTGTTTGTTAATAAAAACCTTCATAGAACAGCTGCATATAATTTGCTTCATTAATTTCATCTATTTCATTCTTTCCAGGGTTACTCTATGACTCAGACGAACAGATTTTAATTTTGCATGCTTATATTTGTAGCGAATTACCGCTTGTTCCCTTTTAAGAGCTTTATTCTTATCATGGCAAAGGCAATTGCACCATGTTTTAAATAAAAGGCTGTACATGATTATTTATTGTCGTTTGTATTTTGTATATATTTGATCATTCAATGTACTTATTTAATTTCATAAAAATCAAATAGAGATAATAATTAACCATGTCTCATTTTTTTTATATCTAGATTAGCAGGGTATTAAAGACAGATTTAAAAACACCAATTGCAATTTAGTTACAAATTTTTGAGAAATGTGTGGTCACTGATCAATTTTAGTTATATACATAAATACTTTTTATATTTTGGATATAACTTATCTTTCTCCCTTATAAGTTTCCTGTATTTACCAAATATATTACTACTTATCCGCGTATTATTCTTTCATCGTATAAATGTTAGAAAATATTTTAAAAGAATGTTTTGATATTACCAAGATAATTATTTTACATAATTAGAGAAGTACAATATTATAGCAATATTTTTCTAAAGTGTCAATTTATACTGTCACTCTCCCCGAGACTCGAATCACGAATGTCATAAATAAATGTCATATGTTCAGTGTTTGTGAGTGTTTTTGGGCTGATAATCGTAATTTTAAAATATAAGTGTGCTATTTTCTGATGTGAAAATGGATGATAAATATGAAACTGTTAAACTTAATTACACTATACATAAATATTCAAGTTATTCCGCCAATTATGTACCTGAGTAAGTTTTATATTACGTAAATTAATGGGTTTATTTATTTTTAGGTAAAATCCCGGCAAATCGGTAAATTATGAAATTATTTTTAAAATTAGATGTCTTCTTTAAACAATACTATATATAAATTAATTATTATGAATTATGTGGTTTGTTTGCATTTTCTAATAATAAATTTAAATAAATTTTATAACTATTTGTTTTTTGTGATCAAATCAATCTATTACAATATAAATTTATCAAATATCTGAAGATTCTTTTTTTATTTGCAGAAATATCATGAACAACCATCCCACAGATCAATTGTCTAGGTGGTTTACTGACACTTCCACACCTAATCAGTTTATAATGTTGAAGCTTCAGTCTTTATGCATTGTCGAATCAATAAAATTTGGTAAATATATTAAGGCTCATGTAAGTGATCTAAAAAAATTTCAAATTCTTGGTGGAAGCGATGAAAATAATCTGTCATTGTTATTGACTGCGTAAGTATCTATTATTAACTACTCATCATTGTAATATGCACAATATAACTATGTTAAGTATTCTTGTATATGGATCATTATAATAAAAATGTTTTTACTTTATTAACATTCATTCTAATTTTTTTCAGAGGGTTAAAAAAAGACAGTGTAGCTGAAAAATTCAGATTACGACATAGAACATCAGAAGGGCTATATTTACCTGTGAGGTATATTAAAATTGTACCCCTACAGTCTTGGGGGCCAGCATATAATTACACTATATGGTATGTTGAATTACAAGGCAAAAATCAAGAAGATTTTATTAACTCAGTTATGGATACAATTAACTTGGTATGTTCATTATTTTAATAATTCAATAACAAAATATCTCCAAACATTACATGAAATGGAAGTGTCCATTATTCAAAATAAAATTTGAGATAACTTTTATTATTTAACTGGCAACCCATCCTTGATTTGCTCGTGCCTGCCCCCAAGATAACTAAGTTAATTTAGCATTTAATACTGACAATGATGAATGACTTAGTCCATGTGATTTACAGAAAATGTATTTTTCTGGGTGTGATATAGTAACCACAATGCGGTAGTACCTTGTTGCCATTGCAATTTGCAAGCATGATAGGCATACAAATTATTAGCAGTAATTCATTTGGTAGCAGAATAAATGATTTCAGAGAATTTAAGTTTCATGTCTTAAAAAATGTACATTATAGTGTTTTAGAAGTTTTTTTTTCTATAAATATTTTTGCATTTTATATAGAAATTCTAAACTATAAAACTGAATTACATACTAAGAAGGGCAGACTAATTTCTATTGAGTACTCATAATGTTTAAATAATTTTTTTTTATGATGTTGTATTGTATGTTGTTCAAATCATTTATTAATCATTATGACTTACTCATTTTTAGACTTCCGTACCTCGAAAGGTAAAAAGAGGAACCCTTATAAGATCACTCTTTTCTCCGTCTGTCTGTCTTTGTGTCACCACCGATTTTCTTAGGAACAGGTGGACCTAGGAAGTTGAAATATTATATACCAGATACTGAGGTCTATAGTCCCTATTAGGTGTATAAAAGGACAAGGTCCTGAGTTAACACGATAAAAAGGTATGGGAAAATTTAGATTTTCGCGAAAACTTCTGAGTACCAAAATTTATCTTAATTTTCAACTTTTTTATTTTTCGGAATTTTCCCTTTACTTGTACTGTAAGACCTTGCTTTTAACCAAAATTGACAATTCTAGGCCAACCGGAAGTACCCTATAAGTTTTGGGTCGAAAACATATATTAGTTCCCGTTGACCTAGAATCACGAAATTTGGCAAAAAGCAAGGTCTTACAGCATAAATAAAGGAAAAATTCCAAAAAATAAAAAAAGTTGAAAATTAAAGTTAAACAGATTTTCTACAAATTTGTACGGAACCCTCGGTAGGCGAGTCCGACTTGCACTTGTCCGTATTTTTTTTTAACAAAATCTAAAATATACATCTTAGGTTTATGTTCACAAGTTTTTGGTAGAAATATTGAAGGTCTAGATACTTGCCAAACATTGTTTTCACTTTAAAGAAACAGTTCAAGTAAGCCTTGCGAACAACTTACTTAAACTTGTGTTTTATCAACTTTCGACACAAAAACAATATCATCACTCTGGGATAAAGTAGCCACATTGTCCCAGAATAATACTGATTCTGGGAAATTAATGTTGTAGATGTGTAATTACTAATTTGATTAAATTGAGAAAGTATTATTATAATCCATTCAGTAATTTCCGCGCGTAATATGACTATATTCAAACAAACAAGGACACAAATTTTTCCTGTTTAACATTAGCAACTAAAATTATTATTAGCAATTATAATAAATTTGACTTAACTAAATAACAAAAGGATTTTAGTTTGAAAGTAGATCGATTATTACAAACATTCTATGTAAATATTATTCTAAATTATATATTGGCTGGTCATTTTATTTATTATTTATTTAATGCGAAGGAATATGCGTGATTTTTTTTATTTTATTGCAATAGATAACATCTTTATATAATTGTAAAAAAATCCATCTCTAAATCACTAAAATTTATTATATATTTTTTTAATATCATACCGATACGGATACTTTAAATTTCCGCCATTTCACGCACTTGGTGTGACGTCACATTAAGATATACACAGACTAATAACGGCTGAATTTATAGCCACAAAATCGCTAATCGCTGTTATGATAATACTTTGACGTCATATTCGGTCTGATCAACGGCGTTCGTTTCAACTGCTTTGAATTTCCCACCTATATTTGCACTTTTTAACAAATATTTTCTTAATTAGTAATCGCTAAATGATAATTAGGAATTTGCGTAGGGGGTTTTTTAATTTTTTTATTTATAATTGTACAACCGTTCTGGACGAAATCTGGTATACAAGTTTTATTACTTTATAGATTTTTTTGTCTTACTTTGTTTGTGGCACTTCCTCCAAAAAGAGAGCTACGTGATATCTCTGCCTTATTTATTTTACAAAAAATGAAAAATAAAAAAGATTAACTAGTAGGTACATTTTCAAAAAATTGATATCATTTATAAATTATTATTTTGCATTTTTCAAAAAAATAATAATTAAAAAAATTTAAACTTTCGACATTTTATTCAAAATTTCGATAATAGGGCGGCATTTTTTACTATGCCCAGGAGCGGCGCTAAGGTTAAAGCTGGCACTGTGTGTTGTGTCAAAATTGTAAATATAACAATAGTCTGACACGAGGCTATTTACTTCAGTTTATTTAATTTTCTTCTTTATGCCTTCATTCTCTATTTATTTTTTAGCGAAAAGAAGAAGAAGCAGTTCGAATACTCTTGAAACATTTACGACGGCGAAGATACAAAGATGCTTTTGAAGCACTATCTCGAGAAAGTGGAGTTCAGTTAGAAGGAGCATTACAGGCACGTCTGTGGGACGCCTTAGTTGAAAAAGGAGACTATAAACTAGCCGAAGAAATATTTGACGAAGCAGCTAAAGGTAACTAAAATTCATAACATTAACGTTTCTCTGCTGGACACGGGTCTCCCATCGAAGGGGTTAACTAGACCATAGTCCACTACCGCTGGCCAAGTACGGGTTGCCGGACGTCACATGTCTTTCGAAAACTCGAAAACTTGTTAGGTTCACTCAATATGTTGGTTTCCCTATGATGTTTTCCTTCACCGTAAGGCAAATGGTAACCATTTTGAAAAAAAAGATTACATCGCCTCATTTTTCAAACTGTTCGCAATGAAAATCTGGTATTTTTGCTAACCGGCATTTCACGGGATAAATAAATAAATACTAACACACTTATAAATATATATATATATATATAATAAATCCGCGACAAAATCCGAAAAGATAGTTTTATTTAAAATGTCAAATATTCGCGTAAATCTAAGAAAGTATTATATATATATATATATATAATGTGTTACCCAGAAGGGGAACTCGACTGGTACATGTCGTGGCAGCCGTACACGCCGGAATGGCGGCAACTGTGCGGCTGCTCGCCGGCTGTCGAGGACCGGCTCTCCTGCGACTCGATGCCGGCGAGCCCCCGCACCCGCACCGCTGACCTGGCTTGTTCTGATAGAGAGGCAAGAGCTGATATGCCGGTGAGATTGTTTTGTTTCTTTTTTTATTATTTGCATGGTATTCATATTTTTTTTGATGTCTAAATAATTTGCATCGCTTTCGGACTACTATTATAAAGGCAAAATTTTATATGTAGGATATTCCACATTTTTTTATAATTTGTCAGGAGATGGCAGTAAATGGTGTAGAATCGTCGGAGGCGTCCTACATGTACAACGTGGGCTGCTCCGATCGGCCCGGCCCGCGGGGAGGACACCAACTAGTCGTGGATCCTAACACAGGTGCAATTGCGTGTTTTATATATTATTTTTCTATGTATTCATAACTTAATACCAATACTTTCTTAGAAATAACTCTTATGACATTCATTCATTATGCTTAGGATTTTTTTATTTAGAATATACTTACAGAATTGCATGTTTCTTTTTAATTTCATAGAAAAGTCAAAAACAAATCCATGTATTACATGAAGTATTGAAATTTGTAATAAAACCTTCTAGTATTAGTAAAGTTTCACAAGAAAGAGAGTAATTTAAAAAAAACATTACCAAACTTTGAAAATTATATTTAAGGAATAATATCTCAATCAAATCTAATTAAGAAATAATCTCTACTCATACCAAAACTAAAAACATAGCATATTCTGGCGACAGGAACACTATACCTGTTCGGAGGATGGAACGGCACGGAGGACCTGGATGACCTGTGGAGCTTCGACACGGCCGCCGAGCGCTGGACGCTGCTGTGCCGCCACAGCGCCCGCGTCAACGGGCCTTCGCCCCGCTCCTGTCACAAGATGGTTTTCGACCCGGTCAACGAGTGCCTCTACACTTTGGGACGCTACTTGGATAATGCTCAGCGTATTCCTAGTAATATGAACGTAAGTGAACTTTTTAGAGTTCCGTACGGTATCACTTCGTTGTCCGTCTGTCTGTTTGTCTAACCCTATTTCTCAGGAACGCGTGGAGGTATCTAGTTGAAATTAATATCGAATACTCAGGTCTGCGATCCCTTGGAGATGTGAAAAAATCTAATTTCTAAGATACTCGCAAGGGAATGAGGACCTATAGAGTTACCGTTGACCTAAAATCATGAAGTTTGGCAAGAAGCAATGTCTTACAGCACAAGTAGAGGAAAAAAATCGAAAATGGTAAATTTATAGTTACGTCAATAAAATTTTATTTTTTGCGATTTTAAGTTTATTTTAATTTAATGTTTCATTCTTCTGAAACCTAAAAAGTTTAAAAAAGTTAGCGTGTATTTTTCACCTGTAATATTATTGGGTCGTTTTATTTAAGTTGTAGGAGATAAAAATCATTAGATAATGATGGGCTGTGTTTGATATGGAATTACATAGTGTAAAGAATTTTAATGTACTTTAGATCTACTTATCTAAATTAATTATACACGGCTAAATACGTTACTACATACGTACCTACACTATATCTGTCATGAAATAGCAATTTTTATTTGCAAAAGAAACTTAATAATACATATTAATATAAACGACAGACGCAGGAAAAATGTAATCTTTCGGTTCATTTTTTTTTATATGTATATTTAGAAGATTTCCCTAAAGTACAAAATGAGATTTTATTTAGGGTGGACCCCACACTTATAGTGCCGACTACAGTCCGTTCTCGGTCCGATCCCGGTGTGGGTAAAATATTTTTATGTAGAAAACGTTGCTGGAGTGTGACTGTACCGGAACTTGATTCTTACTGTAGTGTGGATTAGTAATTCCATCAAAATGAAGCAAAATCAAAATGAGTGATAAATCTCTATCCAGTGATATTCTCATGGTGCTTTCCCAGACAAATATTTTAAAAACCACACATTCGGCCTCTGTATCGATAATAATGGCTATTTCAATAAGATTTTACCAAAAAATATTTAATGTACAGATTTGTCTCTGTTAGAATGTTATAATATATATATCATAACATTAGCGTGTTTGTCCGTCCGTCCGCAGAGCGACCTGTACACGTACAGCGTGCGGCGCGGCGAGTGGGCGCTGGTGTGCGCGGACACGGCGGCGGCGGGCGGCCCGCGCCTCGTGTTCGACCACCAGATGTGCATGGACGCCGACACCCAGACCATATACGTGTTCGGCGGCCGCGTGCTGCCCGCTAACACGTGAGTTCGTTTTTATTTTTAAATTTAAACGGATTGAATAGTATTTTCGTTTATTACTTTAGCTAGAGTGGTTTTGTTAAATTAAATTATTTATTTTAGTTTAAGTCTTCTCTCCTTAAATTTAATTATTATTAACTTACGTTAAAGAAGAGTTGACCTAACTTGCCAAGTTGAAAGTAATTTTGTGTGTCTGTGTGTGTATGCGCGCGTGCGTGTGTTTGTGTGTATTCAAATTCAGCATTAAATTATTACATTTTTTTAACTGAATCAGTTTGTTCCAATAAAGACTTTTTATTTATTTATGAATGTCATGAGACTACCAGATCGGAAAGAAGAAGCCTCAGACCCGAGAAGAATTGGCGAATAAAACTTAGCGAAACTAAAATATTTTCTGTACAGATAAATAAAATTGAAGTGTCTATTTGTAATATCAAAATAACAGCGTTTTGCTAAATGCCATGAACGAATTAGAGACTGGACCTGACATAAAATACAAATGTATGAAAACTAGTTCAACCAAGTGACGCATAACGCACACAAAGATTTTATTACATTATTATAAACACTGATACACAATACAATATTTCTAGTGCTTGAACGTAATCGATAAAATACATATATCGATGAACCAATGAATGACATTGGTTAGCATAGTCATCATATTTTACATCTTTTAATTTATTCTTCTTCTTTTAATTTTAATAAATTAAAATAAATGAATTAAAGAGACAATAATAATGTGTCAAATAATAATTATTTTTTAATTTGATTTATATAAATACGATGGCATTGATGGCAGCATTCTGTTGGCCTATAATAATGTTAATGAACAAATGAATATCGGGTATATATTCCATTAATATATAATAAATATTATTTTGTAAAGATTAAAAAAATATTAAGCTAATTTAATTAAATAAAGTGATTTTGTTGATTCTGTTATTGAACTATTTTAATTGGCAATTGATTGTCTCGGGTAGTTATAAAAATGTGACACTGTCCTAATATTGCTCAGTTCTTAATAAACATTTGTGAAATTAGGAAAAAGAAAAAGACATTGCAAATTAAAGTGAGTGTTGCATCGTGAAAGTAAAATAATTAGTGCAAGACTGGTAAAGTGTTTTATTACAAATCGCTAACCCAGAAGTTTAGTGCTAAAACATTATTGTTTGATTTTGTGTAATTTATGTGTTGAAATAAAATGATCTTTATTATTATTACAATGGAATAATATTCCAAAGTATATAAATGTGGAATAAAATAAAATAAAAAATTAAGTACACATACTAATTATAATTTTTGCATTTATATTTTTATTTCATTTAGAAAATATTTTTATAAATTTATTGTCATCAGATTGTAGGATACTGTGGTAAAAGTATTTTATGAACACAATTCGTTTAGTAATTTCGTCAAATATCGATATATTTTTCGACATTGTCAAGCACTAGTCGATGTCAAATGGACTCACTCGACAGTTTAGTCATTTGTTCTGAATGGTATAATCCAGGGATTTTATGATGGTTGTCAGATGTCAACAATACATAGAAATATCGACTATATTTAACATACTTGGATAATATGACATTTTATTTTACATTTAATTAAATTGTGTGATAAATAACAATAAATGTAATAAAATAATGTATTTACAAGTGAAAAGAAATACTGCTGCTTCGGCCGTTATAGTTTTTACATCATTTAACAGAACATTTAGTCATTTTTGGGAGATGTTTTGTTGACAAATAAGTGCTTGAGACTGACGCAAAAAACAAACGACCAAGCCTAAAATCTCCTGGTTACTGAGAAGACCGATAAAGGTACGTCCGCTTATATGTCTAGTCCAGTGGTTAATTCGTTCATGCTAAATGCATATGAAATTATATACGGTATATAAGAAAAACGTAATTTTGTTTGTATGTCTGTTTGTTCCGGCTAATCTCCGAAACGGCTAGTGCGATTTTGACGGGACTTTCACTAGCAGATAGCTGGTATTATAAGGAGTAACTTAGGCTTATTTATATTATAGGGAATAAGGGTTCAGCTAAAAAAAAATAAAACTTACCTAAGGACACACCCGAGCGAAGTGAGAGGGTCAGCCACTATTTTAAAATAAAAACTAAAATATTTTTTATAATATTTGTTTTATTATATCTTTTTGTAGTTAAATAATAAATTACAATGGTTGTACAAAAATTGAAGTGGCCTGGAGGCGATGATATCATTCACAAGGCGTTCCATTTTTTATAAAATCATTAATTGTATAATAATCTTTGTATATTAAACTACGACTTAGAGTAACATATAGGCTACTGTTAGGTACCTAAGAACTAGCAGGCAAGTCGCCAGTTTATATAATAATTAATAATATGTATTAAGCACTTTTTAACGTCCCACTGGTCGGCACTGGCTTCTCTTCAATACGAGGGAGATAAGGCTGACCAAGTGCGGGTTGGCGGACTTCACATGTCTTTCCAAAACTTGCTTGTTTCATCACGATGTTTTCTTTCACCGTAAGACAAGTAGTAATCATGTTAGAAATGATTCGCACATGAAAATATCAGAGGTATGAGACCGGGTATTTGAACCCGCATCACTTGGTGTCTCAAGCGCGTTACCACTGGGCTACCACTGCCTCCTAGTTCATAAAATCTATACTATAATAAAACAGTACAGGTCGAATGTCTGTACATAGCAAAAAAATGCTAAAAACCGAGTCAGGGGATGTAAGAACACAAATAGAACAAATCCAGATTTTTTCAATTTTTTTGTTTCTCTGTCTGTTTGTCTGTTTGTACGAGCTAATCTCCGAATCCATTGGACAGATTTAAATGAAATTTTGCACGGTAGTACCTTATATCCCTTTTTTTTTTTTTTAACGTTGGGAAATGCATTTACGCACGAAGTGTGGGACTCACCGGCGAAGCCAGTACTACCCACTAAAACCCAACAAAACCTTCCCCCGTCTTAATGGAGCGTCGCAGGATCGCTTACGCATTCAACTACGACGCCCCGACGGCAGGTCTGCCGAAGCAGACCACAACAACCATGGGGTTGCTCCACGGTCCACTCTGCTATCAGAGAAGTACCAGGAGCAACCCGCATGGTATACCACCCTCCGAAGAAGGCCGCCTCCCACCGCCCACCGAAGCGGGCCCCTCCTCCTGCTCCGGCTCCCTGTGCGTTTCTTGGCTTCGCGAGTACACTACTGAGCCCCCCCACCACGACAAGGTGAACGCACGTTGGGGGGGCGTACCTTATATCCCTGGGCAACATGTAAAATACTTTTCATTCCGGAAAATTAAAGAGTTCCCGTGGGATAGTTAAAAAACTATAGTAACTTGTACAGCTTAGTACACAACAACTTATGCACCTAATTTAGTAAAATTTGGCATGCTGATACCTTATGTTGTGGGTCAAACAACAGGTTACTTTTCATCCCGGAAAAACGAACGGTTCCCGTTGGAACTAATAGATCTCTATTAGTATTTTTCTAGAGGCGAACCCGAGCGAAGCGAGGGTGAGCCGCTAGTAATATAATATTAAGAAGAATATCGGTGGCGTCGGCAGGTCGGAGCTGGTGCATCCGCAGTACTCGGGGCTGTACGCGTACTACGCGCGGCGCGACACGTGGCAGCTGCTGCTGGCCGACCGCCACGAGCTGCACGCGCCGCAGCCGCGCGTCTCGCACTCCATGCTCTTCCACCCGGTGAGACCGTAGCACCCGCCGCACGCACGACACTCGTCAACATTTGTGAATGTAAAACTTAAAAAAAAACGACTTCCAGACCCTAAAAAATAATTAAACAGGGGTTTTCATTTAGAATATAGATCTAATCAGATATTTTCGAAATCAGTGTGCTTTGATATTTATCGGCTGACACCAACTGGGAAGTATAGCCTTTGAAACAAAAAAAGAATTTTCCAAAACGGTTCAGGCGTCTTCCAGTAATCGGTGAACATATTATGAACCCTTAAAAGAATCTATCACGCTCAGGTATTGTGAATCTGTAATCCTAGTGTGATTCATAGGTACAACGTCGGCTGTACATGTTTGCGGGGCAGCGCAACAAGGAGCAGCTGGTGGACCTGTGGTGCTGGGACTGCGAGGGCGCGCAGGGCGGCGAGGGCGGTCCGGCGCACGCGCTGTGCAATGCGCCGCCCCGCGCTCCGCCCCCGCAGGGTTTCACCCAGCGCGCCACCCTCGACCCGGACACTGACGAGATACACGTGCTTTCTGTGAGCAACAATTCGGTTTATATGTAGGTAGTTGTTGATTGACCCTGACTGATTAGTCACGCCTGGTCTGGAACCACAATGTCAGATTTAGAAATCTGAAGTTTTGAAAATGTTATCCTTTTTTTTAATTTGATTGTTAAGTAGTTGCAGTAAATTTTGATACATTTATAAAAAAGCTGTAATATTTTTGTACTTCATATTATATTATATAAGAGAAGTGCAGTTAAGATTTACCGTAGTTGAATTATTAAATTCATAATTTCGCGTAAATTAGATGGTGTAGTTCTAACGTATTTAAAATTGTGTTATTGTAATTTGTTTGTGGTGTTAAATATTACCCGCATTCTATTAATTCATTCTGATATAAAAGTATCATACATTGTTGAGAAACTGCATGGGGTTGACGGGTATAACTGTAACTTGCGATGAGATGGCATTACAGTGCTTAAGCTTGTGAAAAATTGCAATTTTTTTGGAAAGCTTAACATTTGACCTCATTTCCGTTAAAATCAATGGGCGAGTGCTTACTGTGTGTATTTTAATGCAATATAACCATGGAGTGTGTTGGGTACGGTGCAGGGCATGAGCAAGGAGAAGGACAAGCGGGTGTACAACACGCTGTGGGTGTTCTCCCTGCGGCGGCGCGCGTGGGCCTGCGTGTACCGCACCGGCAGCGCCGCGCCCGGCGAGCCGCGCCCGCGCTTCGCGCACCAGCTCGTGTATGACCCCGTCCGGAAGGTCACTTGTTTTGTATACCTAATGCAAATATGGATATCTTTTAAAATTTACATTAATATTTATTTAGAAAAATTGAATTTACTGTTTTAAAAAAATGTGAAGTGTGGAAGTTGTAATAACTTTATATTAGGTGGACATTATTAATAAATATGATAAATAATTTTATCTAAGCACATTTTTAAATAAAAATATTATTACAACTGTTCCTATGAATAATACCTAATCCCCCGCGCTCAGATCCACTACCTGTTCGGCGGCAACCCTGGCGCGGCGGGCAGCCCGCGCCTGCGCCTGGACGACCTGTGGGCGCTGCGCCTGCGCCGGCCGCCGCGCGCGCCCGCCGCCGCGCGCGCCGCGCTGCGCGAGGCGCGCTACCGCGAGCTGGCCGCCGCCGGCGCGCCCGCCGCCGCCGCCGCGCTGCACTACCTGCGCCACGACCTCGGCGCCGTCGTCGACCACCGGGACCCGCTCCAGGTGACGCTATCTTGTATATAATCGATCACTCCGATACGCAATAAATATTATGTAACACTAATAAATCAGCTATTGTTTCATTAATATTAGTTCTAGCAGTCACGCTGTCTTTATCTATTGATTCCAGGTAGTCAATGTTTTGTTGATTTTAAACATGGCAACCAGTCTCTCTGAAACTAGCCTGCGCAGGAACTATATTATATATAGTACAGATGTGTACGTAAATACAAATGCACCTTCTACCCCTTTTACTTTTAAACTTTAGGGAAACAAAAACTGGACTTAACGTAATCTCCGTGGCAATACAGTAAAACCACTAACCTTCAGTATCAACGAGATCGGCCGCCGTGACCAAAATTGTCCAGGAGAGTATTATTATTATGTCCCATGATGTGTGATGTCATCTGCAGGTAAAGCACTTCCAGAGGCTGGCGACGGTGCTGTTCGAGGGCGGCGGCGCGGGCGCGGAGGAGGGCGCGGTGTCGTTGGACGCGCGGCGTACGCGCGCGCTGGCCCGCCGGCGCGCCGCCGCGCGCCACTGCGCGCACAGCGGCGACCTCGCGCAGGCGCTTGCTGCTGTTAGTACTCACTTCTAATATATACTTTTTATTTTTATATTCAAAGTAATAAAAATATACATATTATAAACTTACTAGAGATTTACCTTTTCTTCTCTTATATATGTACCTACTAGTGATGTGGGTATGTCCCTAAATGCCTAACAGTAGCCTATGTATTAATTACTCCTGGTCCAACCGTTTCAGCGTGAAAGACTAACACACAGTACACATACAATTTATCAATTATAATAGTCTAGCTATAGTCATAATATTTTTATTAGCACGGGTAATATAGTTTTTTTTAACTACTTCACTTAACACGTATTTAAAAATAGATCTAAAACGGACAATGATCGATTCAGACTGAAATAACATAACTATTTATTATATGAACTAAAGAACAAAATCTATTTAACATTAAACACAATATACGTCACTGATCTCAAAACCAATTAATCTTTTAAAACCGACCAACAGGTTCTGGGTTCAGATGAAACATTCGTGGAGCCGACGCAGCCGTTCGAGGAGCTGTCGTCGCCCACGCCCGACACGTGGGACGTGGGCGAGGACGAGGACCACGCGCCGGCGCGCGAGGCGACGCGCGCGGCGCGCGTGCGCGTGTACGACCAGCTGTGCACGTACTTCCGCCCCTCCACCGTGCCGCCGCGCGCAGATGTCATGGACCTCGTCAAACTGTAAAGTGTAAACTGCTGGGCTGCCAGATCGTATAATTGGATACAAAAAGTGTATAATTTGGCTGTCTTATGTATCCAGTGTGTATAGCAGATTGCCTTGTATAATTGGATAAAACAATAAAAATCAAAAATCGAATAACAAAGAACGTACAAATCGATTTTAGATATTATGAAATTTTTGAATCTGTTTTTTTTGTTTGTTTTTCATTGTCCTTTTTATATTATTATCACACAATATATCTCAACAGTTTTCTTGAGTTGTATAATAAGATTTGATTTTGTATAATTTCAATGACCCAACGGTATAAAATAAGTTGTCTCTACTGGCAGCCCTGGTAAACTGATCGAGCTGTAAAGGCAGATGCACACGTTTTAGAAATCAGGATCAAAAACGTCAACGTGTACTGTGCTGAGGCAATTTAAAATGCCTCTTCACACTATCCAACATAAACAAGCTAAATGTGGTTCATGAACGTATGTCGTAACATATTCTGTACGTAGACGATAAACTTAAAATTTGATCTGCATTTTAATTTTATTCTCTCGTCTATATAGATACAAACGTGCGACAAGCGCATTGAAGTCGTTGTGTGCATAGGTCCTTAAGGCCTTATAAGGTCAAGGCAAGAAACTCAAAAGAATTTAGAAAATGCACACATGGTACAATTTTCTGCTCAATTTTTCTATAATCTTTTGGGGTTCTCGCCATGAAGATATGAAATTTAATTTATCAATCCAATTATAAAGTAGTAAAGTCCTGATGGAAGTTTTTACGGATGTAACGGAGTTAAAAGAATGAAAGGCATGAATGGCTGGGATAAGATATGTTAGTTCTAACACTCTACCTATTGTGAATAATTAACACAATCATTTTTTTCTGTTGATCAACAAATGTTAGAACTCTTCATTCAGGTTGTAAGACAGAAGTTAGAAACCTTTTACTATGACAGTAAGAATGTCTCGTAATAATTTGTAAATAAATATTTATAACCGATATTTCCAGCGTTATAAATACATTTTATGTTAAAAAGCAAATCATATACAACAGGATAAACATATGGATTTTCTAAATGTACCAAACAATGGTAACACGAATAAAATACTATTCCATATAAATTTAAAAGTGTGCGATAATGACGATATTCGAGGACTTAAACGGACTGATTTTGATAAGAATTTAAATAAAAAAAATATTTTTAGTATAGATACTACTCGTTGTTTTCGCTATTCCTAACCATTTAAACATTTCGCTTACACCGCCAATTTAATCACCCCTGTATAATTTATTAGTATTTCTTTTAATTAAGGAAATGACTTATCCTATACACATTTTTATAAATATCCCGATTTTACGAATTTAAAATCAAACAATTCCAATATGCACTGAATTTCACAAAATATCACTTAGATTTTTGCACCTAAAAGTTCTATGACTTTTACAATAATATTGAATTCTACAGTAAATTCATTCATCATTAATGCAAATGTATGTATTTGAAAATATCTACAAGTGTTTTTTTTTTATAAACAATGTGTGTAAAAGAATTATTTTTGATATAACAATCATTTTTTAAAGAATTTCAATTTGAAATGTAATGTATACGTAATATTATTAACTTATTTAAATTTTTACTGCCAAAATACAAAAAATAATACACAGATGTTATTATTTGAACGGTGCTCTCTAAAAGTATTTTTAGTTCAAACATATTTTTATATTTATTCTATGGAAGTACACCATTGTCCTGAGAATCGGGAATACTAAATACTTAGTGCAAAACACTACAACCCCTTGCTCCTTCATTAATTTCTGTTGTAGACATGCCACGGTGTTAGCATTTCTGGCACAGGATTGTTCGTCTGTTAACTAAAATGGGATTTTTCTATGTTAAATTTTATTATGAATAATTAAGATTACAATGTAATAAAAATTTCTTCTAGATATTGAATATACACTATGTATATGGAGGCTATAGACATACAAAATATATTTTAGTTATTTTCCACTTGCTACGTATTTTTCATTTTATATCACGTGTATTTTCTTTTCTTTCAATCTTCTATGAATGTGGTTTGGAAGTAATGTAGGTTTAGTTGATTATTATTGTATGTATGTAATAATGAGTCAGTTGTGTTTTCTATAATTAACAATTATTAAAAAATGGAATTTTAATTCATTAAATTTTCGCACAATTTTTGATTTTTATATTATAATTTCTTAGATTAACGCGAATTATTTGACATTTTGAATAAAAATGCCTTTCGGATTTATTTTGATTTTTTAGTTCCGGATATCGACCGACGGACGAAGAAAGATTTTAAAATTAGTGTTTAATTTTGTGGAGCGGTATCCAGTCTGTGGGTAGGTAATGATAAACCTTTGAGACGTCTTAAACCTTAGTCTTTCCTGTGACCATGATTGCTGTACAGCATTCGAAATGTCGGAAACCAAAAATCAAAATAAATCCGCAAAAAACTTATAATTCAAATTGTTTACATTTAGAAAAAGTATGTTTAGAACTACATGGCTTTTTGTTATTAGCCATTGATTTTATTGTAGTTTGTAATTAATTGTATATATTTAAAGTATTTATTTTCATAACATTTACAATTTAAACGCAATAAATTATTGATAATATTTTATAGCATAAACATTAATCTGCTGTATATTGATATGATATTACAATAAATTTTTTATTATATAATCATAAAAAATGTAATCGAGCTCTGTTTTGCATTTTATTCACTACTTTATATCAAATAGTTACATAATATTTGCATTGTATTTAGCCTGTATTATTTTATATTTTTAAAGGTATGTTACACTAAAATATAGATTTTCAGGCTTAAAAAACAATTAATTTTTAAAATCTTCATCTAAACATAATAATAGCCTTTGCCTTGATTAGAAAATATTACATGTTACAGATTCTGAAATTCATGTCCCATTTTCCAAGAAATATTAACCGAAATATATCTTAGAACTGTTTTATTTTCTAATATAGCGAGTAGTCATTTATTTAGTTCGTTTACGGACTGTGATACGAATATTTAGTCATTTGAATGAAATGTACCGTGTGTTCGGGTGTATATTTATTGTAAGCATTTAAATATAATTAAAGTTATTATTCAAAACACCATTTATTTTTTAACCCCACTAATAAGTAAATCCCATTAATATTATAAATGCCAAAGTTTGGACGAATGTTTGTTACTCAATCACGCCAGAATACATCTAAATGAAATTTGCCACAAAGATACGTTATCACCAGACAGCAGACATATATTATCCCGGAAAAAGTACGCTTCCCGTGGGATTTGTTTTCCACTAGGGACGAATATATGAGTATGAGTAGCTAGTAATATATAAATGCACATACATACATTGGGATGCAACTCGCAAGATAAACATTAAAGGACACAAAAATAAAAGACAATTTTAAATATATCATTTAATATTTTCATACTTGATTCATATCAGTCATTGCGACAACACGGCGGTGCCTTATTTTGAAAATAATACCACTCCGTCATGATATGTTCCCGACGCTCTGGCGCGATCACTCGCGGAATAACAACCATAATACAATATATAACAATAACTCTGAAGCTCGATCTGTGTTCCCGACACGCACACGATGCAAAGACATGTAATCTGATGTTTGATTACTTAAAGGAACAAGTGTGGCCATCTCGGAACTAAGCGAACATAACATAATACTGTGCAATCTATCGATACAATGTAGAGGTCGACCGACAGCAGCACTGGGAACAATCATGCATCGAGTCGTCGAACGTGTCGAAAGTAGCAGGCAATTCATATACTTTTAATATTTAAATAATAAAAAAAGTTAATTTTCTCTATGATATAAAATAATCTATGTCTAAGCAAAAATAAACAATCTAAAGTGTTACATAAATAGTGTAAAGAAAAATAATATTTGGTTAATTGCTCATTAACACCACCACCGGCAGCAGACATGGCGCCACGCGCTGCGGCGCGGCCGCCGACAATAAATAATAATAAGAAACAATACATGTCAAGAATACATCGGATAAATAAAGCTTAACATACAACAACGTCAAAATAAGTGTACGAAGAGGCGAATGGACGCAAGATACCCGAAACAGGTGAGTGCTTATACAACCGTGGCTCGCTAGCGAGAGCTCGCCCACACTGACTAGATACACGAACAGTACATACAGATGTCTGCTGCTAAGCTACGAAGAGGAAAATAATACTTGGGAAAATATTATGCGCTACGTCTATATAATGGTAAGTCGATTTTAAGTACGAGAAGAGTGATCTAAGATAAAAGCTAGCCGATTTATTAATCTAATAAAAAAAAACAATAAATGCAAGGCAATGGTCCTCGCGACCCTCGCGCGTTCGCCTCCGGCCGCGCGAGGGGTTACGCTACAATATCGCAAAACGATTCACTACAATCCAACAGAGTTCCGATTATCTACTAAGATATATGAAGGTTAACGTATTCATCTAAACTACGGCTAAAACGGTAAAAATACCTACGCACTACATGGAACGGTAGCTAGGTCCCGGACACTACATGAGCGCATACCGCGGGGAGCTGCCAACATCACATCCGATAACATAACGATTTATCGTAAAATTTTCAATAATCTCTTGTAAATTTTGTCTTATAAATAGAACGCCGGTCTCGCCCCGTGAGCAAAAGTTTGAGCAACTTAGGAACGTGTTCGCTTCTGATCGGTGCGGCGCGGGGGCGTGCGGGCGGGGGCGGGGCGGGCCGGCTGTGGACAGGAGTTGGACGGTGCTGCACCGCGACTCGGAGTCCAGGCGTTGTTGTCTCGAGGCTCAGTCTGTCCCGGTCACGAGACTAATGCTGCTTCGACTCGTATCAGTGAACTAATGAAATGACGCACGATTGAACTGTCCTAATTTATTGCTAGAAAGAAGTAAAGCCGACATGAGCCTCGACAACGACGCGTGGAGAGTAAAACACTAATCGAGTCGATTCCGACGTACCGATTGCAACAACGAGGATCATATCCTGAAGTAACATCATAGAAATAACTCCGACGTCACGACGGTGTCAACGTTACGTTAACAAAATAAATACGGAAATACTACGAATATAACTAGAACAAGATGGACGAAAGTAGGCGGCGGAGGGCCACGACAACACAACAAACGTATCAACTAGAGAACAGATTACATAGTCTTTTTGCGCACACAATGGATGGACATCGATGAAAAATTTTAAATCTTTTTATCCTTGGACGTTCTAACATTCGTATCAAGTAAAGGATTCTATATTTACATATTTGCGAATCTCCGGATTCGACGTTAAATATTACCATGTATATAATACAAAATAACGCGGCGAGCACGAGCCACGGGCGTCGCCGGCGCGCGGGGCTCGGTGCGGGGGTAAATTCATTTGCGTATTAAAATACACCAACGCTATTACAAAAATACATCAAACTTCATCGGAAGGTGCACAAAATATAGGGGAGCAATACAATATCAAAATATCCGTTTGGCGATAACGCAGAGATCGCAACATCACTAGCAGTTCGGCGCCGAGAGGCCGCGCGCTCTTTATAAAACGTATAAATAATTATTTTACTTTCCTAAAAACGATTATAAAAAGTTTACTAGCGGAGCGTCGTCGGCGCTCCTCAAGTTATAAATTCGTGTGCCGTCCCCCGCGCGGGCGCGGGCGGCGCGGGGCGGGCGGGCGGCGCGGGGCGGTGCTGCAGCAGCGCGCGCAGCGCCGCCGCCGCCGCCTTCAGCGCCCGCACCAGTCGCTAGAAGTCGCGGCCGCGCGCGCGCACGCCGCCGCCCGGCTTGGGCACCCGCCGCGTGCGCATCTCCCGGTCCACCTGGACGAAACATACATTTTCAATTATATTAAGAGTAACTGGACCGATTTGGCTTATTTCGGTTGGTTCGGGATCGAAATATTGAAAGTGTCTTTACGACCACAAAGATCACAAATAAATTTTAGATATTCTGAGATAAGATAACTTTTGTTGGATCAGCTAGTAAGTAATAAATGTAAATGATCCCCACCTCGAGCTCCTCGAGGCGCTGCGTGAGGGACAGCTTCTGCTGCACGGCGAGGCGCAGCAGCTGGTTGAGCGTCTTCTTCTCCTCCTCAGCGCTGGAAAGCGCCTGCGTGAGCTCGTCCACCTGCGTCACGTACTCCTCGCAGCGCGCCGCGAACATAGCACGCAAACCTGTGCCAGTCAGGAACGAGTATTAAACAAACAAGTTATTTTAATAACTTTATTAAAAAATATTATAAATGATATAATATATTACATGATTATAGTACATGGTGTCTTGACCAATTTCGGCCACAGCGTCTATTAAAACATGTATTACACTAATATTGTGAATGAGAGTCTCGTTGTTCTACTTTTTAATACGCTCTTTGGTGACTCACACCGTCATCTTAACTTAGCGAATATACGTGCGTATTTTGGACATCTTAATTAAAATTGTCATTTTATTTTGAATTGTCATTAATAAGCAGTTCCATTAAACACGTGTAAATTAAGTGGTGTATATGTACGTATACGTACTGGAGAAAGTGGCGGCGTCCTCCTTGAGCAGACGCAGCTCGTTGCGCAGCTTGAGCATGGTCTCCGTGACGATGGTCTTCTCCGTCTCGTACTTGCTCTTGAGGTTGGCGAGCGCAGACTCCGCCGTGTTCTTGTTGGACTTGAGCACGGTGCGCAGCGTCGCGATCTGCTCGCGCTTCGTGGACAGCAGCGACTTCAGCTTGATCACTTGCTCCTGCAGCTCGGCCAGCTCCGCGCCGCGCTCCTCCGCCTCCATTACTGCAACGCCATTTCACACCATTACTTATACTTATGCCAAACAAAGCGTTATTTTCATCTATAATACTATGTATTGACACTTGCAAGGAAAAACTCTGTAGCTCAGTATTACAGCAATTTTATTTTTTTATTTAATATTCATGTTCTATTTTCAAATTATCTTAACGCCGAGTTTCAATAGTTCTTTGCAAGTATCGTCATTTTAAATAAATCAATCTCTACAATCTCAAAACTACTGTACGGTTTTCCATATGGTTTTCACAAATAGAAAGAGGAATTGTCTAGAATTTATGAACATTTTACAAAAATAAGGCGGTCTGATAATGACATTTGTGAACTAAATCAAAAAATCGTCTCTTCTGAGAACCTCCATAATATTATAATACTAAGATTAGGTATGGGTATTGTAAATTTTGAACTATAGTACCTTTTCCCTATTATAACTAAAATAGTACAAGATTACTTAGTGTAGGAATAAAAGTAATGCTACAAGCTCCATATATCTAAAATATAACAACTTTCTAACTAAAATATAGCTGTGTAACATTACACTAAACATACTAACATGTAAGATAAAAGTTAGATTATTTCAAATAACATATTGCAACATCAGTATCCCAGCCATGAAACTAGCTCGTAAAGATTCGCGAACACTAAATGCACTTCTAGGACTCTTTTTACTTTGAATCAAATTACTTTTCTTGTACAAACGTTTGCTTTGAGACATCGCATGTTTCCACATGAAAGATAAATTTATATCGCATTGTACACAGTTCAATTTTCTGGTAAATATGAAAGGTGAATTTGCAAAATTGGGTTTTATGACGGAGAAAATAGGATTCGATTTGCAAGGAATGCTGGATAATTTAGTTTTCGATATATTTTCACCACAAGCTTTGAAGTCACTATTTGAATTATTTTTGGATATACTTTCAAAATAATCAGTTATTTCTCTAACTGTCCGTCTTGTATTTTCTGTATTATAATTATTTTCATTTTTTTGAATATTATAAGCTTTCTCTAGCATGTTTATTGTTATATTAACATTCTTTTCTTTCAAGGATTGTTGATAAACAGGAGTAAATGAATTTCGAGGGTTATCAACAAGATAGGATATTGATTCTGGAAAAAAAGCAATTTGAGGTTTTTAATACAAAAAAGAAATAAATTAGTAAAGATTTTCTATAGATTAGAAATAAAATAAATAAACTATGTATTCCTTAGATTATAGTCGAATTTTCATAATCATGACGCAATTTCCCATTTTAAAAATATTTCGAACTTTGCATAACTGTTGAATTTGACATTGAAAGTAACAAACGTTAAAAGACTATTGCTATATCAGAAATCCATTCACTTTTAAAATTAAAAATAACATCAAATTGAAATATAGGATAAAGGTCAATTGTAGGACACAGCTTTACATGTTATCTGAGGCATGGTTTTCTAACCAGAACACTCTAACAGGCGCCAATCTTTAACCAGAGTCTGGAACTTATAATGTGAAGTTGGGTACGAGCATACAATGGCAGTTGGCGCGCCACCGGGCTGGAACTGAAAACCTGAAGTTAGGTACGAGCGTAGAACAAAAGCAGTCGCCTGACCTGGCTGGTGGCGCAGTCGCGAGTCGAGCGCGGTGTCGAGCGCGGCACGCAGGTGCGTGAGCTGGTCGAGCAGCGTGTCGGCGGAGCGCGCCACCAGGCCCGCCGCGCGCAGCCCCTCCAGCTCGCCCGCCGCCAGCGCCAGCGCCTCCTCCTCCACGCCGCGCCCGGACCCGCCCGAACCTGCACACAGACAAACGTGGATACGTTACAATGTTCATGTATATAAAAGAATCGAGAGTAGACACACATATAAATACATTAGATTGTATATGTACGTGACTTCTTTGTATTTCTTTGTTTATGGTCTATGCCGTGATCTTTGTGGATGAAACGTTCACGGCAGTGTAGCGTTACTTCATTCGATTACTCTTTAGAATTTTAACTTTAAGAATAAGAATGTTAATGGTCAACGATATATACTTAATGTATATGGTGTTGAGCATAGAGATATTTTTCTCAATCCGCATAATATAGAATTATCAACTTCAATGGGGAATATCAATAAAAAGCAATAATATTATACTACAATGAAATAATTAAAAGACCCTATATTCCACCAAATTCAAATATCAAAATAACATAAATGTCACAACAAGTAAATAAAACAAACAGCAGCAGCTTACCGTCAGTCTGTCCGGCGTGCTCGAGCAGCACGCGCTCGGGCTGCGTGCCGTTGACGGCGCACACGTGGTGGTACAGCGCCGCCAGCGTCTCCGCCGCCGACGCCAGCGCCGGCGCGGCCGACGACAGCGCGCGGCCCGCACCTACACGTGTATAATATATATTAATGTTTATATTACTCGAAAATATTAAGATAAAATTATAGCTCAAAATAAATAAAAACCAATGAACACAAATAGTTTTTGTCATTAAGTAAACTTGTCGGGTATGGAACAACGATTCAACATTAACAATTTTAACAAATTTATTTATTTATTATTTATAACTGTCACTTTCTACCAAAGGACACTACAGCCCTTAAACTTCGAAAACATTCGCCGTGAAAATTGGTATATTTTGACTACTTTTGCATTTGCGTTAAAATCCATAAACGATCGCCATCTTAATTAATTTTATACCATGGTAATACTATCGTGCAATTGTTATAATGAAACTCTACATACTCTACCTACCACGCAGGTAGGTACGTACATATCATGCAATCCCTTTTTGTAGAGCCGGTATGCGTAAATGCTTTTCCCAACATTAAAAAAAAGGTACGCACCGCCGGCGAGTGTGCGCAGCAGGTCGGCGTCCGCCTGCAGCGCCGCGCAGCGCAGCTCGGCGTCGGCCACGCGGTCGCTGAGCTGCGCCAGCTGCGCGCGCTGCAGCGCCGCCGCCGACGCGTCGGGCGGCGCGTCCAGCTCGCGCAGCGCCGCCAGCACGCCGCTCAGCTCGCCGCCCGACACGCGCCACCACGTCAGCCACTTGGCCGCGCGGGACGCGATGCCGCCTGCCGTCGTCGACTCGTCCTCCTGCATCACCATTTCATTGTAAACATATATTATAATACATAGGGTCTTGTTAGAAAGAATAAAAATAGCGCATACAAATCTAAGCATGTGACATAGATATATTGATTATTTTAAAATTCATAACAAAAAAAACAGGTTTGAATTTTTCTTTTTAATAAAATGAAGTAAATATTTTAATATTTATATAAATACATATTAGATTTGGATAATAATAGTCAGTAGTTATTATCTGCCATTAAATCACCGATTCCGTCAAATGTGAATATTTTTGCACCCAAGTTTACATTATTTTTCCGTTCTTTTAAGTTTACTTGCTTTCCTCAGTATCGTGCAAACACTCGTCAATGTTAGAATTATTAACTTTATCTCTGGTGAGTAAAAACTATGGTCGTGTCCAAAAGACCCATGAGAGCTAGTTACATTACTATTTTTGGTTACGTGACATTAATAGGTAGGTGATTGGTTAATGTACATTAGGAGAAAATTACAATTTAATTGTAATAAACAAAGTACTCTACCGATACACTTTAAAATAGTCTCAGTATAGATATAGTGAGGGTTACCAGAGGCGCGCAGTCCCCGTGCAGCGCGTGCAGCGCGGACACGCGCGAGGCCACGCGCGTGAGGCCGGCGCGCAGCGCGCCCGCCGCCGCGCTCTCGCCCTCCGCCGTGGCCTGCGCCGCGCGCAGCGACGACGACAGCTGCGACTGCACACGCACACAACACATTTACATATTGCATCTAATTATACTACTAGTGCGTACTAGTTTCGCTTAGCGTCTCTAGGTGTATAACAGTAGCATATATGTTATTTCAAGTCGTGTACCATATCTGTGTACTAAATAACATCCAAATCCGTACAGCCATTTCAGCATAAGTAGTAACAAACATACACATATACACAAATACAAACCTTCTCATTTATAATAGTAATCCGAAAATGTAATTATAAAAAAATGTAAGCGTTTGTTTAGATAAGAACGTTGTGATTATGGCTTTATAAAATAAGTTTCATCGTTAAATATAATGAAAATATTCTTTTCTTAAAAACATCCATTTTTTTAATAATCAAAAGGTTTTGATTTACATCATATTAATTTTTTATATAACAGCATGCGTAAAGAAACCATAATGAAATCGTATAAAGCGTCGTGACTCACGCTCTCATTATGCGCTTGCTCTAGCTGTTTCTCGAGCCGCGATATCTCGTGCAGATGGACCTCCGAGAACAGGTCGGCGTGGTGGTCGGCCGCGCCCAGCTCACCCAGCCCCGAGCCGCCCGCCTCGCCCTCCTCCGACCCCGCCTCCTCTGGCATACCTGTTAAATACATTAACACAATTAATTCACTTATTAGACGCTTTATATATAACTTATTTTTATATTAAAAATATAATATTTTTTATATTTAATCATAGCAAGTCGATTATATGTCATTGCTACCGAATCGTATATTATTTATAATAAAATAAAATTTGGGATCATCGGAATAAGTCATTGTTAGTATTTTTCAATGAATAGCTACTGTTAATTAACACGCCGCCAGCTACATAGCTGTATAATTAACATTAATTGCCAATAAACTGACACGGTGCTGCTTGCACAAGACGCGTCCTATTTAAAAAGTGGACTCACAATGTGATTTCGATCAAAAGAATCTCGAGGCTGTCCATCCGTATTTGTATTGATATAGGTATAATCAATTCATAACTCATGTACGGAATATAGAATCAATGTGACTCATTCATTTTTTTTATAGTGTTGAATAGTGTGGATGTTTAAGATATGGTGCATTTATTATTGCACTAGCATTGCCCGCGGCTCCGCCCGCGTTCATATGACCAAAAACCAAATTCTTAGGTTTTACATATTAGTATACTCTTAAAATGCAGTTCTTGTATTTTTTCTCAGAAATGAGATATTCTCCCACGGTAAAAAGTATCCTAAATGTGGACCCGGAAAACCACCTACCATCATACCAAATTTCATCAAAATCTGTCCAGTGGTTTTCTCGTGATGCGGTAACAGACAGACAGACAAAAATTCTAAAAACTATAGATTCGGGCTCTGTATCGATGATAATGTCTATTTCAATTAGATTTTCCAAAAAATATTTAATGTACAGATTCGACTTAGTTACAATCTTATTATATGTATAGATTAGCTTTGATCTATATATATATTTTAATCTAAGGATAGGTTATAAATATATTGTATCAGTCCTAAGTCATTTATTAAGTTTTCTTTTATTAACACTATTCTAAACTGGTCCGAGTAAATACGTAGGTATATCTTAATTTATTAATAATCCCTAACCTAATAAATTAGAAGTCTGGCATAGTAACAATTGTGTAAACGGCCTTAAAAAACAAACTTGATTTAGACCATAAACACTATAACACTCTACATAATGTAACTAACCTCGTATACTATTTGCCAAATTGTTAATGTTATACTGCGCTTCTCTGCTGAGATGGGCATCGAGTTCTTTCTTAGCAGCGAACTTGGCTTCTCTCTCCGCCTGCAAAGCTTCCAAAGCCTCTGCCAACTGTCTTTCGGCGATGCGACGTAGCACTGCCGTCTCGTCCGCGGCGGCACGGGCGATCTCCGCCTCTTCGCGAAATTGACGAACCTCATGTTTTAGACCTTCGAATTCAACCTAAAGAAAGAGATTGGATTTAATTTCAGTTGTATTGAGATGTGAGTTATGGCATTTTATTTTCTTTCATTGCAGTTGTAATTGTTTTGTCAGCCTGTTGATATTTCTACTTAATTAAAAGAAATAAAATCATAGGAATGAATAGAAACATCACTATCTATCTCCCCTCTCCCCCCCTCTCCTCTCTATTTCTTTCTGCGTCCATTTTCATTTAAATGTTTTTTTTTTAAATAGAGTTTTAGATACTATGGCGCCGATTTAGATATTTACCTGTGACGATCTTAGCGCAGACACTTGTTTCTGTAGCGATATATTTTCATCTTCTAAATCACCGATGTCCAATAAAAGTCTTTGCTCCCTTTGCCTCGCCTCCCTCAGCTCTGCCCTCAGCGCCGCACGCTCCGACTCCCGCGTCGCTTTGTCGGCGCCAAGTTCTGAACTTTCAGCCAGGAGTCGATCTCTCTCACTCACCACACGCTCTAATTCGTGTCGTAACTATTAGAACAAATGAATTAAGTTACAATATTTTAAGATATGAATATCTAATAAGTATAAATATGTATTTTACGTATCGAAATATGTATATTAGATTTGCTTTGCATCGGCTGGCATCGACTTCGAAAATATCTGATTAGGTATCTATTCTAAATGAAAACCCCCGTTTAGTTATTTTTTACATTTTAGTGCCTGGAAGTCGGTTTTTTTTTTAGTTTTTATTCTAATAAAAGGTGTGGTATTTTGATTGATATTTATACAGTATCACTAAATACAATTTACATCTTTTTCGTTAAACAAGCAAGTATAGATAGTAAAACATTCATTTCCATTGATATAATTAAAAAATTTAAATCAATGTGTAGTATAAAATTATCTATAAATATTATTATTACTTTAGTTCATAAGCGCTGAAATTTGCATTCACTCTAAAATTCACAACAATTCCCTCAAGACAAAATTTACGTAGTTGGAGTAGTACCTGCTACGTGTATTCTCATTTAGAATTTATAGGTGTAAGAATAGTTAGGTCATTATTCTAGGTCTAAATGGATGTTCTCTAGCACTTAGTTGATTAGTATCTAAAACAAGCGACGTTGGGCGCGGCAATGACACGGTGGCGTGAGGTTTTAAATACGCCCCAAAATATAATGAGGTTAAGAGTTGAAAAACTACGTCACGAATTTTAAAAATTCTGAATAAACATGAGCTCGGTAATATACAAGTGTGCTTCAATCTCGAAACGCTGGAATACTGAAATATAGTTCACTTTGTAATTGAGAAATAACGAATGCGATTCGAAAAACGAATGTGAGTTTTACATCAACGCTTTAAGAATAAATCCAATAAAAAATGCCTAAATCAATTTTATAAATAAGGCTTTTAAAATATTTAGAATAAAAAACTTCGTCGTTGAATGACAACCTTTGTTACTCTACCATAAGTACCGTAAGTTTCATATATGAGCCCAATAAAAGTATACTTACTGATTGCAAAGTTACGTATATTTTTTTATATTTTAGATAACATTGTATTTGACTACGGCAAATCATATTACGACAGCATTACACACGACTTTGTGAGTGCGGGTCAAAGTAAATCCAATAAATCGTCGAGTTACAACGTCGTTGACTCGCTGACCCTATTCAATGACAGTTACCGATATAACCACTTCATGCTCTTGTGTATCGGACATTATGGATTGCTAAACTTATTAAGAATTTGGCCTTTTTGCAGAAATAAATAATGTTATAGGTATTTTTTTTCTCATAAATACAAGAAAATGGCTGCCATGCTATGAAACATTACAGCTTCTTTTAAAAAACTTGACTAGGTATACATAGTTTACATATAAACTCACTCACAGGAACAAATATTATCTTCGAGTGCTATATGGCTATATTTTAATCCGATAAAAATGTGTTTACTGTCAGGAATCGTAATAATTTTAATTGAAGTAAAATAAAACTGGCCGTAGCAGCGTGCGCTGCTAAACGGTTTGAAATAAAAAAATAAGACGTATGGCAAAAAGTCACCTATATAAGAACTCACCCGAACGAAGCGTGATTAAGTCGCTAGTATTGTACAAAGAGCAATAAACTCAATTTTGATATAGATAAATATTTTATAAAGAATAAATTACCTCTAAAGTGATTTTATCCATCGTAACTTGGACTATGATAACGTTAAACAAAGCCTGAAACGGACTGAAAATGATTTAATACAATCTACCCTCAGTTATTAAACTTATATCGTCCTAAAACTTTCATTTCAAAATTTTAACTTCGTTTATGACATTATTAAATATTGTACGATATAACATTTAAAAAATAATTAACGTGTATATCTCTTTATGATATTCCCACTGAGAAAAAATATATATATATCTCTAACAGTTGCCTCCTACATATTTATTTGGTATGCTACATTTTGTCGTAATAGGTAATAGTCATTTTCATAAATAATAAAATTTATGTATTCATTTATTACTTCCCTATATAAAAACTCCAATAGGATCCCATCAAAAGCGACAAAAGCCACATAGAAACCAATAAATATTGATTGGTTTCTATGTGGCTTTTGATGGGATTCTATTAAAGTTTTTCAACAGGGTTTTCCGCTGTTCTGGTTGTTCCTTTTCTGGTGTGGTAAATACCTAGATACCTAAACTTTACGTTTGGTTCGTCAAAATATATAATCAAAATAAATTTTAAAATGGCGAAAGAAAATTGGTCAAGCGACCGTTTCTTATTTTCGAAAGTCACCGATACCGAGACCGGTTTTCATAATACTTTCCCGAGAACCGATTTTCATAATTCTTTCACTAATAGATTGCTACGTTATCCCAGATTGCTTATAGGCTGTAAATTATATTTGTATATTTTTATTTTTTATTGTTGTGAATATGTATTGTATGTTTTAGCTACGCTTTCAAAACGGTATTTTAAGGGTAAGAAAAATAGCAATTAGGTATATAAACCGTTTAATAGTTCTATAAAAGAGTCCTCAATACCAATTATATGTACCTATGTATGTGACTTTTGTATTATAGTAGATATACTCGTACATACATGCTTTTATGTTTAATATTACATTTTGATTAAGTAATGCTTAGAGGATTATATGAACTAACATAATATCAATTTTTATCAAAATAAAATATTTTATCATCACAAGTGTACACTAAATATGCACTTTACAGTGTGGTTATACATTTTAGGCGAAAATGAAAATATATCACGACTTGCGTGCAAATATTTATGTTAATTAATCTCAAAAACAAAATATACGCGAGAACTAAGGAAATCCTCATCTTGAAAATTAGTCAAAAAACTTCTTAGAAAGCTACACGATAGAACTACCTATCATATTGTTATAGAAAAAAAAAATATCATTATTATAATGGTATTTTAACATACATTGATATTTATTTGAACACAATAGTATGTATACAATATAGATAGGCATGTGAAGCGGAGGGATGAAACGCATGTGACGAGAAGAGTGATGAAATGAATGTAGGTGGATGGAAAGGTAGAAAAAGACCAAAGAAAAGATGGATAAACTGTTTGATGACGAAAGAGAAAGGGGTGAATGATGAGATGACGAATAATAGGGGAGAATGGAAGAGGAAGACTTACTACGCCGACCCCAAGTAACTTGGGAAATGGGCAGGAAGAAGAAGTATGTATACATAGACATAATATCATGGGATATCATAGAGATATAGTTTTTTTTTCTTTATTTACAAATAAAGAGTGGATTGCGTGAAAAAGTACAAACCTTAAATTATGTAATAAGTCCTTCATTATATTTTTTGTTTTACATAAGTATGTACATTAACACATACTTATATTTAAAATAAAACTTTTAACTAGTTATTTTGATTTTTTAACATAAAACGTCAAATATTCGCCTAAGAAAGTATTATGTATATTTTAGAATCATTAAAAGTAATTGTTATGGAACTATACGAAATACTATGTGCAGCAGAAAATCAAATTTATTGAGTTGAATAAAAAGCCGCCGGTATAAAAAGCCAGCATCTTGTTAATACAAGCATTGTTATCTCGCTTGACTCACTCCTAGCTGAATCGATATGGCAATTTAAACTCGTCGAGTGCACAGTATCTCGCAAAATAAAATTTTATTTATCAAAAGCATCTGCCTAAGGACTTGCATTCATGTATATGTATGTTGTTCCTTTTGTTCATTGGTAATTTTTATTATTGAATACTTATGTGTATTTTATATGAGTATGATTGCCTAGTTCTACAATTATGCAATTTTAAATTACTTAAATAACCATTTGAAATTAAACTTAGTAACGATTTAGTCAAAAAGGTATTATCCAGCATTTTGTATGTTCTCGTCTCTTATCAAATCCTTTTATTTAGATATATAGAACAAACAATATAGATCTTTCTTTATTTCATTCCAATATTTTATTTTAAAGACTATAACAATACTTGATTCTGAAATTCATCACAAGCCCAACAACAAAGAGGTCAAGAGTGAGCCCATTTCTAATAAAAAAAAAAAACAAAACACTGTAATTCATTCAACGAAATAGAATGACGGTCCAGAGGAAGCCTGCAAATAACTTTCTGCAAACAGGAAATATTTTATTCAGTTGAAGCTTTAACCATAGGATTCAAAATGAGGAGGCGTCAAGTTATGCGACCATTGTAATGTAAGTGTGCACGTGAGTCAGCTACAAACAAAACTGTTTGGTCGGTGATAACAGAAACGACCTGGATTTCTGGTAACCTTGTACAATTTAGGTATGCTAATGCGCCGGTGATTGAATTCGCGTAATTTTTTTTCTATAATGGCTTATAATTACGTCAACCGACGCAATCCATTCTGCCAGTGTCACGTTTTGTAAAGAAGACACGAATGAGATTGAGTGGTAATTTGAAAATTTAGTAACTTTAATGTGGAATTAAAACTATAAATGAATGATCGGTCTATAGGAGTAACTTACAACAATAGAAAAATAATAACACAATACAAAAATGACACATTGATTGAAAATGAATATAACGCGTAAATTAATAATTATACGTCTCGAATTAATGATTTTTTTTTATGAGTTACTTTGACACATGTCGTGTTAGTTATAGCGGAATGACCAGTGATAAAGTTACATATAGAAAATAATTTAATATGATACTTCACCATACAATGTCAAGTTTATGCCCGTGATTTTTCTAATGCATAAATTTTCGTCGAACTTATTTCATTTTCTTACTTAAATTTGTCGAAAAAATTATTTAATACGCAACATCTAAACACTAATGAACCCTGAAATATACCCTATTGAGGTTAGGTATTATGGGTGATGGTCAATTTGATGATTATGTTAATGTATAAATATAATATATAAAATATACGTACTAAGTTATATGTTATATCGATGACCATATCTACATAAATAGGCAAAGACAAAACCATTTAGTACTTAGTCTCCTCTGCTTATCAAACGATTTTCTTTTTTTTTTGGGTTGTAACTATTGATCAGCTTTAGTGATGAATAAAATTTTTTGCAAACAATTCAATTTTACTCTAAAAAAAAGAAATATGAAACTTGAAAAAATTAAATATGACAACTTACAAATGTTAAAAAGGAAGATATTTTGACGTGTATAAATCTAGGTTCTTATTTACTGGGACTATTGACAATTGAGTATTGACACCTAGTTAATTTATTAAAACATAATATTCAAGTTAGTTAGCTATACGATAGACAAAGTTTTAATAAGATCTCTACTTTAATGTAAAGCAGCATAATGCAGACGATGCCCAAGACTAGTTCAACGTGAATTAACCTATTCAATTTTAATGGATCCTGCCTCCTGGGACCGAGCCCGAACGTAATCTAGTTTCGAATGATGTGGCGTCTAATACCCGTAGATACGACATAGCAAATTGAAACTGGCAGCATATAAGAGAACTTTAATGTAAATTTGCTTGAGGATGGGTATGATGATACATATATGTACACTAGCATTACCCGCGGCCCCGCCCGCGTTCAGATGACCAAAAAAAATAAATTCTTAGGCTTTCATTATACTCTTACATTGCCGTTTTTGTATTTTTTCTCAGAAATGAGACATTTTCACGCGGTAAAAAATATCCTATATGTTAACCCGGATAACCAGCTATCATCATACCAAATTTCATCAAAATCCCTCCAGTGATTTTTCCGTGATGCGGTAACAGACAGACAGACAAAAATTCTAAAAACTATTATATAAAAAGTATTATATAATATAAAATTATAAAAACTACATTATTATATTATAATATTATTCGGCCTCTGTATCGATAATAATGTTTATATCAATAAGATTTTCCAAAAAATATTTTATGTACAGATTCGGTTTAGTTACAATTTTATTATATTTATATAGATATATAATATTTTGCCATTTTACAACCTATATTAATATTATAAAGAGGTAAAGTTTGTGAGTTTGTGTCGTTGTAGGGGGTAATCTCTGGATTTACTAAATCGATTCAGATGAAATTTGGTAAGAAGATAGTTTGAGACCCTGGGAAGGACATAGGATACTTTTCATCCCGGAAATCATCCCATAAGGGGGTGAAAATGTGGATGAAAGTTTGATTCGGAAATCAAGCTAGGGACGAAACCGAGCGAAGCGAGGGTGAGTCAATAGTATAAAATAAGCGTCAATTTTGAAAGGAAAAACTATAGACAGAATTTAATTCTTGCGTTGCTTATGATACTGGCTCACCGCCAAATAATAATATCAACAATATTCCATTATCTATGTAAACAGCACAGGCGACGTAAAATACGAGACAAAGTTTGACAGGACCGGAGTTAGTCACCGAGGCGGACAATACACATATAACACACACAATAAATACCTCTTCACCTTCACTCATTTTCAATGAATGACTGCTGCATTCCACAATCGCACTGTTTAATATAATCGCACGCGCGTCTGGCATAAATACAACATGGGCGGCGTTATTCAAGAAACACTTCCACTGTAACGCGTGTTCTACTGCATTTTAAAAATCTAACACCATTGAGTTGTAACATGTGAATCAAGGCCGGGCAAATAAAAGTATATTTCTGGATCAGTGTTATGGATTAACGGCGGGTGCGCTTACGCCATTCGCGACATTATATCACGTCCGATATTGGTCTATTACGTTTGAACAAATATTCTAAACCACCAATAATTATATGACTAATAGTACGATTTCAATACGGCACTGGAATTTTTTTTATTTAAAAAAAAATTTATGAACAACGATTTTTCAGTCTGTTCGAAAACGGCGTCCCGCATCTACTGATGGATCATGGAGGGTCAGGCGATGATTCACATCAATTGCTCTCATTTTGATTAGGCAAAGCGTAGGCATATTTCGTCAGATGTGTCTGGGGTTACAGAGCATTAATAAGATAATGGCGCTCTGCATCTCTTAATCGACAACACATTCACCCTAAGCTTTAATATTATCTCGCACTTGCGCCGGCGCATAACACTGTCGGAGCGTTCTCGTATATACTGTTTTAAAGTAACAAATAGTGTGACGTTATATCTATTTCTGAAAGAGTGCGAAAATTTGCCTAACATGTATATTTTATAGATTACTAGCAGAACCCTCGGCTTCGCTCGCGCTGAAACTCATCACGTATTTTACCCCCTTATGGGATGAATTTCTAAAAATGCTAATACACGTATTTATTCAATTGTATTGAAAAGCATAATTACCAAGTTTCAAGTAATTCTGATCATAAATATTTTTTTGGGTTGTATTATAGTGATTTCCCGTGGGAATGAGATAATATCTCGCGAAAAAAATAGCCTATGTCACTCTCCAGACTTCTAACTATCTCCACACAAAAAATCACGGCAATCCATTTCGACGTGAAAAAAGGACAAACAAACAAACAAACAAACAAACAAACAAACAAACAAACACACTTACACATTTATAATATTAGTATGGATTCAAAACATAATATATTTTTACGTATTAAGCTAAAGGAAATAGGTATATTTTAAAATTAGTTTTCAAACAGAGGGTAAGGGTAAAGGAAAGGCTAGTCGAGAGCTCTAGGCTTTGTTCTACTTAGGACTGAAACTGCGAAAAATAAAATAGACGTAGGTACAATAGGCTTCTTGACTGTTTTAAAAACAAGGCAATATATCGAATAAATATGGATATTTCTTTGAAACGATCTATAGCTTAAACAGCTTCATTTATTTTAACATGAAAAAGTCATGATATTATTAGTATCTATACTAATATTATAAATGTGAAAGTGTGTTTGTTTGTCTGTCCTTCTTTCACGTCGAAACGTAGTGACGGATTGGCGTGATTTTTTGTGTGGAGATAGTTGGAGAGCAGGAGAGTGACATAGACTACTTATTACCGCGGGAGATTATCTAATTCCCACGGGAATACACGTGATAATACAAATATTTATGATCAGAATTACTTAAAACTTGGTATTAATGCTCTTCAATGTAATTAAATAAATACGTGTTTTAGCATTTTTCAAAATTCATCCAATAAGGGAGTAAAATAGGTGATGAAAGTTTGTATGAAACTACATTTTTAAGATTTTTTTGTAGTTTTAGCGCAGGCGAAGCCGCGGGTTCTGCTAGTAATATAATATAGTGATATCTTCGGTTTTATGATGAATACAAGTAGGTTGTACTTCAAGGTTAATGCATAAATTATTAAAAATCAAACCATAAGGTTGGAATAAATCACTTTTAAGACAATTTAAAATTGTTTTGGCTCGAAATTAATTTTATAGGTTTTAGGTGCGTCATTTATGCACACTACACTTCATCAATTGGGAATAGAAAAGACAGACTTTTATACAACATTTTGAAAGAACAGAAAAATTAGTTTCTTATTTTAGATTTATGACTATGGATTATGTTTATTCAAACATTATGATAGTTCACACTATGATAGCTTGAAAAACTTGAATATTTATGGTTATTAAATATCCAATAAAATAATATATAAATCTCTATTGACACTTTTGCACATTATTTTTTTACGATTTTGTTTAAAGCGATAAAGGATAAGTAATTGTTTATTCAAATTTTAATACTTAACGAAAAAATGTTACAACATAATAATGTTTCTTTTAGAATTAAATATTAGATTGAACACATTTTAAAGAGTGGAGTGCGAATCTCAGAACACCAGCCTCAATAATGTATAACTAATGTGTGTTTAATATCACCATTAGTTCTACTTGGTTTTGAAAGAAAAGGATAATAAATATAATATTTTCATTTTGGAAATAATACAAGTTGAAAATTAAACATTAATATGTTTAGATAAAATATCTGAAGATCCAAAGATAAAATATGCTTTCTATTTTTGGAGTAAAAGTCGTCAAACACATTGCATGCTAATGCCAGTCACAATATATTATAGTAGTGAAAATGAAATTATTAAAGATGTATTTTAAATACAATAATGACTGTTTTCTAACTGGATTATTAAAAACTTCAAAAAATATAACAGAAAAATTAAAATAAATATAATAATAAAAAAATAAATTAAACAATCCTCAAAATTTACTACAAGTAAGATAAAACAGAATCTTTGAAAATTCATTTTCATTTTGAAAATGAAGTGGAAGATTCAATATAAATTTCATTAATGAAAACTATAACATAATGAGGATATTTTTTAGAGAAATGATAGAAAGAGTTTTAAAGTTTCAATAATTAGACTTATATTATATTAGGTATAAACAGGTTGTTCCAGAAATCTCTAACCCTTTCCAATATTAATTGTAAGCCAAAAAAATAAGTCCTTATAACATGGCAGAGTCAAATGAAATAAATGAAATATTTGATTAAATAATATTAATTAATAAATTAAAGAAGTTAGAGAATACTTTCATTTAACATATTGCTATTACATGTAGTGAAAGCTTTTGCATAAGAAGTCTCTATTCTAAATTGAATAAGTACAGCACATTACATCTCATTATTCAAATGTTTAAAGAAAGGTGAATGTAGAGTATAAGAAGTACATTAGTCTAAGACTCTGAACACGAGAAGTGTTGAATCTTGGCATTGGAAAACATAAAATTGATATAAAATAAAATGACTTTAATGGCTTTAAAATGATAAACATTTCATAAATTTCACAAATAGGAATATCATACCTGTTTTGTTTCCCCTTCAAGTTCAATAATTTGTAATGTAAGAGAACTTTCCATAGCCGCTGACTCATTGAGGAGGGCATTTTCCTGTTCTATGCCACTTTGTGTTGTCACTTTTTGAGTTGTGTCAAGTTTCATTAATGCCTACAAACAAATTACATAAAATTTTAAAACAAATTTAAGTTTGCCTATAGAGCCTGATACTACGAAATTTAAATTAGTGTGAAAAATGGAGTATAAAATGTATTGAGTGCAGTTTATATACTACAGAGTGTAAGAAATATTTATGAGAGAATATCTAAAGAAACAAAATATAACATTTATTAATATAACAATAGTTTAGAAATGCTGTTGTCTTATGACTAAATAAAGCAAGCTGTTTTAACCTTATCAATTTTAAATGAAATCTTGATCCATAAAAAGAAAAGTAGTCCATCTAATGAATACGGGATTTTAAAAAATACAATTTAAAGTTACCGTTTACACGTTAATGTGGCCATTAAGGCATGAAAAGTGAAAATATTACGGTATGTAGGCCATCTAACCTCCTGTGTGATGTCCAGTTCATGTTTTGTATTTTCATATAAACTCTCCAGTTCGTCACATCGTAGTTGAAGGGAACTCTTTTCTTCTAGCAGCACCAGACCAAGCTGTGCCGACTGTATTTTCTCGCTGCTGGCTTGGTCCAGCTCTCGACTTAGCCTCTCGATCTCCGCCTTTAATTCGGAAATCGATAAATCATTTTGTGCCGTACCTGCCATCTTGTGACAGTTACACGGCCTCCTACTTAAATCTTCATAAACAAAGTAAATAATCTCAGAAAATCAACGTTAAAACGTGTAAAATCAATGTTTCTACATTCTCTCAACAAAAGTATAACGTCTTGACAGTTCAGTCGTTTCAGTACTTTTTTTTTATTTCATGACTGTTGTGATTGTTGCGTTGGATTCCCTCCTTTTGAGCACGTCAAAATCCATGACTGCCTCGGGTAACTTTGTGTTGCATAAATAACTTGAGAAAAGTCTACCAATAATTTTATTATATTTATTATCTATAGATATAATAACATTGTAATTATAATCGAATCTATAAATTAAATATTTTTTGGAAAATCTTTTGAGCGTAATAGGGAAGAGTTTTTGCCTATTTCTCTCGCCAGATGTCACGATCACTATAGCCCTCAGCATATTGTAAAGCGTGATTGGTTTTTTTTTCATTTTATTTAAAACTTAATTCAAATGACAAATTTTGCAGTGCTTGGATGCAAGGATGCAAAGAAAATGGATATCATTTATTCCCAAATGACATAAGTTGAAGAAATTGTGAGCTAAAGCAATGAGACGCCCAAACTTGGCGAAATCAAAATTTTTATATTTAAGATTATGTGGACATCATTTTAAAAAAAGTTATTTAAAAACTCTTAAATCGTTTACAGGAGAATATTCTTTTTTATTATTTGCGCTTTTTTACATATTAACTTCAGAGTTTCAAACAAACTTTCATCCTCCATTTTACCCCCTTATGGGATTGAATTTCGAAAAATGCTAAAACACGTATTTATTTAATTGTATTGAAGAGCATTAATACAAAGTTTCAAGTAATTCTGAACATAAATAATTCTTTGGCCTTATAAACTATATTACCCCCTTTCACCCCCTTAGGGATGAATTTCGAGAAAAATCAAATAAATATATTTCTCACTTTAAAGTAAAACACCACTCTTTATGTATTTCAGATTAAAATCTTTACCCACTTAGAGGATGAATTTCCAAAAAATCTTTCTTATTTATAGGTTGCCTACATCAAATAAGAAATAAGGCCTCAAAAATTCATGTTTCTACGCTGTGTTGATCCATCAGTCAGTCAGGACCACCACAGAATGCACCTCCCGTCTCAATTCTTCCTTCCTGATCTAATTTCCAGATACAATACAATGTACAGGTAAGATGCGAATACAAAAGAAGCAAAAAACCAGGTATAAAACAGATATCACAATAAATTGCTAACCTCAGACTGAATATAAATAGGCCATACATGTGGCACTCTCCTTTCAAGAAATCCCCATTGGAAAGCGCTCTAAGCGTGCATAAATCACATATATAATGTTACACATATTTTAATATGTTTAATTTCTGGCAGTAGGTCCAAGTATGTATATAAGATTTTTCTTGCACGATATTATATTATATGCTGAACAAAGGTAAATTATTTTCAAAATGAAAAAATATATATATTAATACTTTAGATGTTATTTTGTCATGTTGCATTATGATGTTTTGATTTTAATTAGTTCTCATCTTTATCTGTTCATTAAGAAAAGGAAACAAAAAACAAGTGATACAAAATTTCATTTATTGAATAACATCAATTGACTAATTTACAATATAAAATTATTTGGTTTTAATATGTTCAAATAAAATAAACATATTGAAAAACATAAGAAATAATTATAGAACATAAGAACAATATTAAAATTCTGTAATATTTGTACCAAATCGTAAAAATTGTATCATTATAGTAAATAACTGAAGAGAAAACTAAATTAGAAGAGATTGTATACTGTGATAATAATTATAATTATTAGCACCTGCGTGTATTCGTGACGGTTTGAAATGTTTAATTATTATTCACAACATTAATTGACAATACTAGAGAATTAAAATTTTATTAAACTACTTATTGTTACATTTAAAAATGTTTTATTACCGACGTATATCTTATGATATTATTGCTGAAAAAATTTAGAAAATTTGGAATGTATACGAGCTAAAATTTACAGTATATTTTAGCGCTAAAGTAATGTAATAAAATGAGATAATAAACCCTACTGTCTTTCTTTATAGACGAAAGAGACACGGCGTTCATGCTTCAGTCTCAAAATATGTTTGTCTTGATAATTCTGTTTCAACCATCACTTATCTCTACAAGTTACAAAGCAAACCATAGCTGATTTCTGATATTTAATTCTTTGTATAGATAAAATTTATTTTCATCTTTAAAAATCACAAATGATACTTAAATCTAATTTCATTCACCATTAATTTCTAAATTAATAACTTAACGATAAATATTGTTAATAAATAGCTAATAATATTCATTATGGTCACTGAAAAGTATTACATTATCAGTAGTTTGTACTAAATTAAATAAAATTATATAGATATTTATCGATATAATTGCAAATATGTATCTAAATTACACAAAAAACATTATTGTAGATGGAGATTTATATAATTAAACTCTTGACAATTACATCGACATACATATATATGTTTTGCTGTGTTCTGTGTATGAACTTGGCACCAAAATGGCGGGAAAGAGGTGGGTGAGAAAATTTAGATACGAGATTATCAAATTGAGCCTTATTAATATATACTCTTAGAGCTTTAGTTTCTGACCTTGTATCAACTAAACGACTTGACCAATAAAAGTCATTTACACCACAACATTTTAGTTTTCGAGACGATGCTTACATAGCTATGCTAGGATGCGATAGATGGCGCTATCAAAGTTTATAACAAATTTTTATATTTATGAACCAATATGACTTGTATCCACAATGTGTATTGGACAGAACTATATAAATCAATAAAATAATAATTATAAGCACTCTTAAATGTACAAAGAGTATGCTGATAGTAAAGATACGTTTTAAGAGGTAAATATTTAACATGTGTTTTAATACCTCACACTGTATGTATAATTGTCCTTATTTATATCAACACTGTAGCGAATGTTAAAGCATAGTTCATATCCCAAAAAAATACATTAAAATGTCAGAATATACAACAGCACAGATTAAGTCAATCTTTTAATAAAAAAATTAAGTAATAAGATATAAAGTGTCAGTTTTCATTATCTATCTATCTCAGACTAAAAGAATAAGATAAGGACTGTACGGACCGCTATGGATTGGTACATTAGCATGACAATAAAGGTGAAGTCTTAATTTGACTTCACTTTTATTGTTCTGCTAATATTTGCTCGTGCTCTCGCTCGGTGAAAGTTATGCCCCAATTTGGATTTCACATAAGACCGTGGAGCCTTTGACAGCAGAGTAAAGAATGATTAGCACACACGCTCAAAAATATTTGTATTATAATATTAGAGTGATGAGCTCGTAACTTATCTTTTTAGTCTGAGTTATCTGTTCATAAAATTAGAGAATTTTTAGACACGTGCCAAATCTTTACTAATGCAAAATTTTGACATATTTTTAAGTATTTATTATAATTAAAACAATTTATTTGATAAGTGGAAAATCTTATCCAGAGTTCTCCATGTAATATCAGCCGGGAAGACAATTTTTTAAACAACTATAATATCTATGTATACACATTGCTAATTATTATTATTAATATGAGATGTTAAACTAATAGTATTTTATTACAGCTATTAAGTACTTACGTGTATTTAATATTCTACAGAGATGATCAATTTATGAAGTTAAAAATAAAAGATTATGATAAATAAATAAATAAATAAATTATGAAATTGAACTAATATAGACTAGAGATATTAACAAATGTAAAAGAATATGAGAATTCAGTGTTCCCTGCACCAATAAGGTTGAAAAATATTAAAATACTAACAGTACCCGCGGTTTCGCTCGCGTCCAAACTTCCAATCGCTACCAAACTACACACGATCACCCGCTGGGCTAATCTGAAGATTGTTTGAAAATTCCATCTAAATCGCTCCGGCTGTTTTAGAGTCCATAGGGAACATACATACACACATCGACTTTTATATATGTATATATAGATAGACTAGAAGATAGATATAATATAATTACAAAAGTTAACTACATTACCAAGAAATAAATTAAATATGTACCTGCACAAAATAATATCTTAATTATTACACTAATTTTATAATTAATTTATAAAAATGTAATCTATCAAGATTTTTAAATATCAAAAATTGGTAAAAAAAATCATATGTTTCTTAGTAAAGCCAATCGTAAAGTTTCCTCATATGATCTAAAATTCATAATTAAACATAATATTTAATATAAATAATTCAACTTGTGATCTACCAAAATTGATAATATTTATAATATTTCACAGTAATTCATTTTAGTTTGCCATGATTCGACATATCTTACATTATGGCACAATTTGACGTTGGTTCTTCCCGCGGTGGCAACGGTGGCCTGGGGGTGAGCACTTCGGCTATTTCCGGTTCCGGGATAGAGTTTGGTGAATCTTTTCTTACCGACTGTTTCGATACTTCCTGTGCTTTCTGCGGCGGTGGCAGTTTTGTCTCTTGGGGGGTTTGTTTTTGTTCTGTGAGCGAGCTCGTGCTGGGCGTCCTGGCCCGCGTTTGCGGGAGCGACACGCGACGCTCGCGCGCGTTGATGATGGATGTGAGGAACGGGATTTGGTTACTGATCGCGTTCATGAAGGGCTTATAGCCGATGCTGTAACAATAAGGTTTTAAAAATATATAATTATTCTTATATTCATTTTTAAACAAAATAAACTTATTTCTGATTTCATGATGATATTTAGTGTATATAAAAATAGGGATTTAGGTTTTACCTTATTAGTATTTTTCTTGTACAAATAAAGAATGGAATTAGAAAGAGTGGTTTACTGAGTTTGTATTGTAAGTATAATACAGTATAATACTTTTGTATAAACTTATTTATTTCTAAATCTTGTATAAGACATATGTATTTTTGTTTCTTTTTTAGTAGCTTCAATTTAGTTTTATTTAATATATTTTTTATTTAATTAGTTTCACTTATTATTTTTGTAAACATACTTATTTAGCATCCGTCACTTTTGATGACAAATCAGTTCGTTTGTAATAATTTAGGGTAATATAGTTCTAATTGTATTCTTACTGTTTTAGATTTTTTTTGTTTACGACTGTTTTTACCTGAATAAATAAATAAATAAAATACAGTTTAAGCAACTGCCATGTATTTTGGTCGCAGGTCTCACAGCGCGGCGTGCAGGCGTAGAAAAAAAAGACTTATTCACATATGAAGAGTATATGAGCTATCCTTAATGAGTACACAGTACACATGCTACACAGGTAGTATATACCATTATCACTGCGTAGGTCCGTGTGAAAATGGCCTATTACGTACGTTTAAAGAGTAAAGCCTGTGTAAGTGAGTGTGATATATGTAAGTATATAGCTTGTACCACTCGGCGTCGGCCCAGGCGCGCAGGTCGCGCAGCGCGTTGCGCAGGCGCAGCGCGGCGGGCAGCGCCACTTCGGGCGCGCGCGCGGCGTTGGCGCAGCGCAGCACGGCCAGCGCGTCGCGCAGCGCCACCGCCACCACCAGCGCCCACTCCACGCAGCTCGCCTCCGTCATCAGCTGCAGTAGGTATCTGGTGGGAGACAAAGCTCCAATTACCAAAATAGTTGTCAAAGAAGTTGAACCTTTCTCAAACTTAAACCATTTGTCCCAGGTCCCATAATTAAAACTAGAGGGCATGCATGACACAATTTCTGTCTCATCTATGTATATTTTTAGACCAACTCCATCTCAAGATTTTTTTATGGTCATAGAGCATCACGATAAGGTCCTTTATGCTTATGTGGTGAGTCATGACACGCCATGAGCTGTGAGTGAGTACTGAGTAGTATACCTGAGCTGCACGTGCGCGGTGTGTCCGCCGCGCGCGGCCTGGTGCAGGTGCAGGCGCTCCATGAGCGCGGCGTAGCGGCGCTCCTCGCCCGCCTCGGCGCCCCACGCCACGCCGCCGCCCTCCGCCACGCTGCCCTCGCCCGCCGAGCTGTTTAGTTTTTACAACGATAAATGTAGTTATCCAGTTACATTTTTTTCTTACTTAATTAGATATTTGTTGTGTTCTGTGCATTGAGATGTGAGGAAAATTAATTGTTAAAGCGTTAAACCGAAGAAAGATGTACTGAGCTTTGGATAACGTAACGCACCAGACTACCATTACAAGTATGTGTGCGTGTGCTCATATGTTTGTGTGTTTGTTAAACAACTCCCTCGCTCCCAAACGGTAAGACGTATTTAAATGAAATTTAGTATATTGATAAACTACTGTTAAGCACTTAAAGTGAGAGTATGTCGCTAGAAATCGATGTAATTTAACTAAACTATATAACTAGCGAATTGAATATCTGAAATAATAAAACGATATAAAAATAGCAATGTCACCTGAGAGGCGCGGGCGAGAGCGGCGCGCCGGCGGCGAGCGGCAGCGCGGCGCGCAGCGACACGTAGCCGCTGTCGCCGCACAGGCTGTCCGTCTCCGCCGACGGCGAGTACGGCGCTGAGCGTTGCGGGTTCGAAGTTAGGTTTAGTATTTTAGTTAGTTCGAAAACGTGGACACCCACATTATAATAATGTGGGTGTCCACGTTTTCGCATAATCACATACATATGTCCTATTTTTGAAAGTAATAAAATGTTCATTGGCATATTTGGTATATGCATAATACTTTGATTGCCTATTTATGGCATCTATCTACAGTCTAGACAATGCTTTTTCATAGTAATTTTAGGATGAAATAATAAATGTATTATAATATTGAAATGTGAAAATAAAATATTGTTGAATTTCTCGCCTTCTCTTCTCAGCAGAACTGCCATCCGAGCCGGTGGTAGGTTCCTCAGGGATTCACTACAGATACATTAAATTTAAATTTAAAATGTAAAATTGACGATTCAAAAGTGATTTTTAAAAGTCTACTTGAATAAAGTATATTTAGATTTTTGATACCTAACTAATTTAGGCTAAAACATACACAGGCGTGAGGTACGATCAGCTAAAGTCTCCATGCAGGCACTTGAGGTAAAATACGACGCAGTTCACACAGACGAATGTAAAGAGTTAATGCAGATCAAAGAATAACATTAGATACCAGGAGTGACACTGGGCTTCCTCTGCTTGCAGTCGGCGTCGTCGGGCTCGGGGTAGGGCCAGTCGAAGTCCTCGTGCAGGCGGCGCAGGCAGGCCACGGCGCAGTCCACGCGCGCGGCGCGCTCGCGCTCGCCCGTGAGCCACGCCACCAGCGGCAGGTCGAGCGCGGCGGCCAGGCGGCCCAGCGCCAGCAGCCGCGCCGTCGACAGCAGCAGCCGCGCGTGTCTCTGTATCATCATGTCGATGAAGAACTCCTCCGCTGTGCCGTTGTAGGAGTCCCTAGGGACAGTGTTTTGGGTTATTCATTAAAACTTTTGAAGTGATTTAGAAATTTACTAGAAAATTTAATTATTCTGTTCTTGGTGTACTCCACAGGTACAATTTTAATTAATTTTCAAAACTGTTTAAGCTTATACTGTGCCTTGTTTGTTGATGAGTTATTGAACGATTTTTTTTATTAAGTACATACATTAATTCTGACGTATGTCAAGCTTTATTATTTTGCTTACGTCACTACTGGAATTGTAAAATCACGTAAAAATTTGTCATGTACAAAGGCCCAAAGAGCTAATGTCTAAGACCAAAAAGCTAAAGAACCTAGTCTGGACATAACTATAAAATTTTTGAGGGAAAAAACTCTATGATAGTTAACCGAAAGAAATAAAAAAATCTAAAACTCAATAGCTTCAAGTCTAAGTTTTATAAAAGATTGTATTATTTTTAAAGTTCCCACTTCTACTGGTCAACTATAATAATTTCCTATAGCTATCAGATTCTTATGTAAAAGACTTGTTCTTATTGAGAAATGAAGTTCTTTAAGGTATATTTTATGCTATGGGCCTCTGTTTACATATTTAAGATCTTTTTGTAAATATTGCCAGAAATAAATGATTAAATAAATAAATAATAAAAATTTAAACCGAATGTGAGTAATTTGCGTACTTATCGCTCCTGGCGGGCACGGACTTCTTGCGCTTGACGGCGGCGGTGGCGGCGGTGCGGCGCGGCGCGGACGGCGACGGCTCGCGCGGCGCCGCCGTCGTGCTGAAGCTGCGGCCGCGCCCGCCCGCCAGCTGCCGACGGAGAGACGACAGATAGACGTCTTGTTATTCATACTTATGAGAAAATATATTATAATAATTGTTTTCACGTACATTTGCGTTGTATATACTAATATTAATAAGAGGTAAAGTGCTTTTGAGACATCTTAAACCTCAGTCTCTCCCGTGACCATGATTGCATTCGAAACGTCGGGAACCAAAAATCAAAATATATTCGCGAAAAAATCCGAAAAGATAGTTTTATTTAAAACGTCAAATATTCACATAAATCTAAGAAAGTCTAAGCCGATTGGGGATATTTATTATTTTCAGTCATCAATGTTTATTATTTAATTTTAAATTCGGTAGGTGAAATAAAAAAGGAAAATGTCTGTTGTAAAGGTGATTCGTTTTTAACTAAACGAATGCTATAAAGAAAAAAAGTTTGTAACTTTTGTTGATTTGATTCCGAAAAATCTTTCACTATATGAAGCTACATTACCGCCGAGTGCTATAGTCTATTTCTTATTCTAATAAAAATGTAATTACTGCCTGTAATCGTAATAAATTTAAGTGAAGTCGAAAAAACACTGGCCGTTGAATTTGTTTTATCGGCGCGCTCTGCCTAAACAGTTTGAAATGAAACAAAATGTATGGCCAAAAGAACTCCAGCGAGGTGAGAGCAAGTTTCCAGTATTTAGCATCTATACAAATGCATATAGTTTTTATTATGATTAAAGTTTCAAACATAATACCCGTCACTATTGCATAAGTAGAACATATTTTATTACACAGTAATAAAAATCTAATAACAAATCAATAATAAAAACTGACCATATATAAAAATCATATTATAATTAATACTACCAATTACATTACATAATCTACCTCTTAATTAACCGTAGCCCGACATTACTTTTTTTTTCCTGCACGAAATAAACCTTCATAACAATTAAATCATCCGCAATTAAAGTTTCCTATAATGGACGTATAACAAGTTTACGTTTATATAAGTTATGTTAGTTTTACGTCATTCAATGTTGCCCAAGTTTTGGTTGTTACACTGTTGATATTGCATGATGCATACTGATAGAAATAAGTTCTAGGTCTAGTTTTATTATATATCTTAATAGTCTTAGTACTGCTATTATAGTCAAGTTATCATAAACACGTTGAAGGTATAAATATAACAATTTAATTATTTATTTAGGGTCAGTCAGTCAGGTCTTCACCACTATACAGAGGGTGGATTTTTGAGACGGAACAGTAAGGGTAGGTACCTTAACTGCTATAGTTACAGGAAAACGTTCGCAGGAGACCATGCATAACTTTTTAAGATATTCTAAATTGCATTCACAGAGTATGGAAAAATGTACAGTTAGTGAAAAAAACGCTAAAATACAAAAAAATATGTATGTCAATCGATCCTGTTTCAATTGTAGGGATCAAAAGACTCTATAAGACCATTTGAGGTATGAGTACTATAAATGACAGAAATCGCCAATAACTTTTCCCATATATTTTGTACGGAAAAATGATAAATGAACTGGAAATATTTTTTGTTGCCAAACGGTCATATTAGTATGAGAGAAAAAAAATTCAATTTATAAAAAAAAAATTTCATATGTACTATCTTCACATCTACTCTCATTTTACCGTGGATTTAACCGTCCTTTAGAAAGACATTAAAATATTTTTCTATAAAAGCTGGCAATAACCTAGGATATTTTCCAAAGTAGCGTAGATCGCTAAAACTGTAGGTAATGTTCAACACATACCAATTGTGGTTGAGAAATATAAGCCTTAAAATTAATTTTTACTATCACAGATCTAATATAACGATTTTCACCTTCAAATGTCTTAGAAACGTGATATTTTAGGCCAACGTATTACTAATACATATTACATAACAGTTCACATCATGCGGCACAACTTTGAAAAAGAAACAGCACAGTATTTATAACCTTCGGATATTTGAAGTTGTCATATCTATTGAAAATTGATTATTCTATAATGTGGCGAAACATTAAAATAGATTTTTATATGTTCTTTCGTTTCGTCCGTTTAAAAAGAAGAAAAAGTTAAATTGATGTCATGTAATATTTTTAGGTTTTTACACAAACTGATGTAAATAATTCTATTGGAGTTGGCTTTAATTTGTCCCAAACTCCAAAAATATATGTTCAGAAATCTCGTTGAAGCTAGTAACAAAAAAAGTAAATACATGTTCACTTTAATACTATTATTTAAGAATTTCAAGTACCTACAATTACTTAAAAGTAACATCAGAATTTTAGAGTAAAGCTAATATAAGCTTCTTCTTACCTGCATACTACCAAGTATAACTGACAAGTCTTCTGCGTTGGGGCTGACGGTCTGTGACTGCACTATTTGTCCGTACTTAGTTTGGACATTTACCGAATTCCTGGGCGAGTCCACGTCATTCGGATCTAGAACAATTACATAGTTTTATAATTTGATAACAAACTTAAAAGACTTTACAACAGATTGATATATTACTTTGAAATAAAACAATATAAAGTATTGAGACGTAGATGACAGTGTAGAAGGTCATCCCAAAAAGGATGGCGCGGTCAACATTCTTTCTTGACACCTCACTCTCGTGATTACTTGAATTTTAGAGTTAAAAAACGATAAGGAATATAAAACAGTCAAGAATAGAGTGACGTGCTGTGACGTTAGCACTATAACGTATTGCTAACTTATAATAAAAATAACATATAGATTTTAATTTAAATCCAGATATAAAATGAATTTTCTATGTATATAGATATCTAAAACAAGTTAAATTCAAATTGCTCACCGATAGCTCTTAAGAACCTGACTAGATCTCTCGCGAGGTCCCACCGCTCTTGTTGTAGCGCCGTATCTAGCAACTGCGTAGCGAGCTGTCTGCTCACTGTCGAGCTTTCGAGGTTCTACGATTGATACAAATTATTGTATTATTAATTTTGATAACAAAATATTAACTAAACATCTATAATGAAAATTTAACAAAATTATATCTTGTAATTATATGTATAGAAATACCTTTGTTAGCTGAAACAAAATTTAAGCTTGTTGAGACACAAATGTTTATTATCGGCCGATTTAAAATTTCTCAATACCTGTAGTACATGTTATAATAATAAGTATTTTTTTTGAAGAAATGTAACATAATGGTCAGTACTTCTATTTTATTTTATTCTTGTTCAATGTTTGAAATCATTAATTTCTTTTTTTTTGAAATAGCTAATGAATCTCTCTCCTTAACAGAAACACCGGCAAACCTGTAATATAATAAGATATGAAGCAGCGGTGTCCAACATCTTCCGTTGCAGACATTCTTGGAACAACTCCTTGGGTTTGCCGGCAGCGGAGAATAAGTAAGCCCATAACGCAATTTCAGTTTTCCGCGCACATTGCACCACAGTCTGAAATTTAAATAAAGTTAAAGAAGCTTTAGCTTACAGCTCAGATAGAGATAATTATAGTAGATAAATTGTCAATATATTAACTATTTTGAAGAATTTAAAGATAAGTGATGCACGTATTCAAAAGTGGATAGCAAAATTACTGCTATAATATTCCATAAAACTATTTACTATTAAAGTATACAAATTGAACCAACTTTCTTAGATTTACGTGAATATTTAACATTTTAAATAAAACTATCTTATCGGCAGTGACTTTTTGATTAGTTAGTCTCTCCCGTGACCATGATTGCTTTAAAGAACGTCGGTAACCAAAAATCAAAATAATTCCGCAAAAAATCCAAAAAAATTGTTTTATTTAACATTTGAGCAAAACAAATACAAAACAAGAACAAATTTATCCCACGCGAACGATACATTTTTCCGGGATAAGAAGTAGCCTGTGATATTCTGATGTATGAGTTATATTATTATAAAGTTTTATTAACAACCATTCAGTCGTTTTTGAGTGAAAGTGTAACAAACATCCATACATCTATACATCCAGAGATCCAAACAAACATACATATATCCTCACAAACTTTTCATGATTTATAATATTAGTATCCTACTAAAAATAAACTTTTGTGCAGGATCAGATTTCGAATATGTCTTACTTGCAAGTACACTGGGAATTCGTGGACAAACTCTATAACACTCGGCAACTGCGCGTCTGGTATAGGTTCCTTACTCGTGGCTTCTTCTTCCAACACTTCATGGAGGAGCAGTTCCAGTGAATGTGGGAAGTAGGGCAGCTGAGAACAAGAACGTGCTATCTCCCACGCATGATAACCCAAATTTCGTCTGAGCAGTTGTCGAAGTATTTGGTGCAAGTATACTTGACTCTGGAAACACAAGAATTATATAAACAATCATTTAGCAATATATTTCACTTAATTTGTATTTAAGAATCAAAAACTTACTGTTCTATTTATGACACAAAATGGTAGAGAAAATACGGAGTTTGAATCAGATGCATACAAAGTTGTGTCATTTTCAGCACCTAGAAGAATTGCATCGTCGAAGAGAATTGCTGGAATAAATAAAAATATTCATGTATGATTTTTCTTACAAAATATTTTGTAAAATCTTTCAATAGTCCCAATGAACAAGTTTTTAAATTAAAAAGAGACGGGAGAAAAGAGAAAGCTAACAAATTTGATTTAAGGTAATTCGAAGAATTCGGAAACTATTTGAGAAAAAGAAATCGTATTTACACTCGAAATGAAAATAAATAGTATTATTCAAAATAATTTATACCAGCTTAAATTGCATTAAAACACAGCAAAATTTGAAAAGCCACAAAATATTTACTCCTCATTATTTTGTTAAACTATAAGTTAACTCACTTAGTGGATATATGTCCAAATGAAAGGGCAGCATGATCCTCTTAGCCATGAAGGTGTGCCGTGAGGGGTCAGTGCGCCGGGTCGCCTCGCGCGGCATTAAGGGCAGCCACACTCGCGCGCCGAGAGCGCCGCACCAGAGCCAGAGAGCGCGCGATAGTTGTGTCTGAGTCCCTGTCCCACTTCCAGACCATACGCTTTCCACGCAAGACGCTAGAACTGTTGCTGGGAGACAGCTATATGCCTATAGAGATAAATTACATATTAGTTGTAGCGGTAACAACAGGGCTGTCTTTTTATTTCAATATCCGATAAATATTGATTTTCCAAATCAAAACCTGCATAAATGATGTTGACACTTTCTTTTTATTCCTCTAGTAATATAACCCACATTTAAAAAAAAAATATATTAAGTGAACCATGTCATGTTAACGTGCTGCAATAGTTCAATCTTCATCAAAATCTATTACAGTACTAGCGGCTCAACCTCGCTTCGCTCGGGTTCGTCGCTAGGTACGTTTTAAATAGATATAAATAGTTATTAGCCAGAGTTAGTCATATTTTTTTTGTTAATTATATTGACATTAATATTTATACGATTCTAACGTCACTCAATTGTTTTGCCTTCCCGGAACCTCTCCACTAACACTTAAACTTTATGGTATGGTATTAAAGTTCAAATTGACTTATAAGTATTATTACGAACTTTTTGTATGGGAGTATAGAAAAGTGTTGTTTTTAGACTTTTTCAGGCATTTTTTTAAATTTTTCTCTCCGTAAGAACCATCCTCGTACTTCAAGGAATATTCTAAAAAAAGAATTAGCGAAATCGGTTCAGCTGCTCTCGAGATTTGCGCTTAGCAACACATTCAGCGATTAATTTTTATATTATAGATACTTATAGGTACTTATGTTACAAAATCCATCTGTCGCTAGTAATTATTTAATTTAAATGCGTTATGTTTAAGTGAGATTTGTAAAAGTTTATTACCTGTATTGTAAAGTTATTACTTAAATTGCGAACATACCTAGCTGGTAAAACATGGTAATTTAAGACTATAGCACCGCGAATGCATTTGTGAAATAAATTTACCTTAAATATTAATCCCTCAACGACCGCGGACACACCGGCGTTACAGTTAACAATAGATTTCTTAGAAATTTTATTAATGTCTTAGAAATTTACCTGGAGGTGTTAAAGCTAAGATCAATAGATGTGACCTAATATCTATGTGTGTACACCTAACATTGATGTAATTTGTTTTCCTTCATGAATCTAAGTTCAATATGATTAACTAAAGTGCAATAGGGACTATTAAATAATATTATATAAACAATGTAAACAGGAATTATGTTATTAATGGTTGTCCGTCGCGTGCCAACATCGCTGATATGTCCGTTTGACGATATTCTATCAAACTTGCACGCTATACAGAAAAGCAATTAGAGCAAATCGTCACAATATTCATTTACAAATATTGCATCAGATCGGCCATGCATCATTAGGTCTCCTTAGCGTTTATATATTCATAAATTCATAACCTACATGAAAAAGCAAGAGCATCATAATACGTTAAATATTAAATTATTATAATTAATTTATATCGATTAGCTATTAAGTTTTTAAGAAAGAGACATTTTCGCGTAGGCCAATATTATAGGTAATTCATAATAATGAATAAGTTCGGATGTATTATTTATTCGTTTTCACCAACTGAAGGTTCTATGAAAATGAGGAAGACTGATGCAAGCTGATATTCAGTATTACAGACGGCGGTGGTCGCGCACGCGTGAAACATTCGACATCCGTTGAACGTCAGGATTCGAAGGTCTTAACTAAACCTATATATGGGCTACGTAGTTCTTTACATATCAGTGCGTTTTTGACACCCAGTAGTCAGCGTGCCTCTAACAAAATGAAGTACTTTGCCGCGGTTAGTGCTAAATTTTGAATAAAAACAAATTAATATACAAAAAAAAGACCTTTAAATGACATCGTCGTCCTTTACAGATTGCATACCTCCTGGCATTATCGGCGTCGACCAATGCAGATGGATTACTCAGTGGACTCGACGTCTATGCTCCCAAATATTCATCTTTAGAATATTATGTAAGTCAAGTTCGTTATTAGAATGAAATATTATAGTACAATTGTAATAATTAATTTAATTATTTTAATTATTGATTGCAGTCATATCCCAGTTACGCTTTTGAATACGCTGTCCGCGATCCTCACACTGGTGATAATAAGGCTCAATGGGAAAAACGAGACGGAGATGTTGTAAGAGGTAGTTATCTATATATATAAAAGGCAAAAGTGATTGACTGATGTATCAACGCACAGGCCAAACCCTTAAGGCTAGAAAATTCTTCATATGACGAAGGCATCCATTAAGGAAGGATTATTCAAAATTCAACCCTCATGGGAGTGAAATAGGGGACAAAAGTTTGTAGGAAACTTTTTATTCCTTGGACATACTTGCATCGTATGAATTGAGTACGGCAAAAATACTGAGTTACGTATTTTAGCGTTTTCTAAAATTAAACCCCTAAGAGGGTAAAATAGGGGATTAAATTTTTATGGAACCCACTTTTTAGAGTTTTTTTGTAATTTAAGCTCTATTTTTATTTAAACTAATTGAACTTTCGTATTCAGGTGCATATTCTCTAGTGGAGCCAGATGGCAGCGTGCGTGTCGTGGAATATCGGGCCGATGATAAGACCGGCTTCAACGCTGTTGTTAAGCGTATTGGCCCGAACATACACCCAGTATCAGCACCAATTTACAAGGCACCTCTACCAGTAATTGGTTACAAGGCGGAAGTGCCAATCTCGATTGGACCTGTAGCAGGAATCGAGAAGCTATCAAGTGCACCACTTATAAATGGACCTTACTTAGGTGGTGGCGCTACTTCATCTGCCGCTCTTTACAAAGTTCCTTCTCCAGCAATTATAAAAGAAGTGGCTCCCATTGCTCCCATAATTCCGACCCAGATTTATTCAAATCCCATACTAAAAAATCCCATTATATCTGAACCTTATCCCCTCCTACCAGCTCCTATTCTTAAAAAGCCACTGTTGGCTTACCCTGAATCTATATATCCCATTGTAAACGCTCCTATTCCCGATTATAAGTCTTTAGCACCTCTTCAAAACTATGGAGGTCTTGATTTAGCTTTACTGGGCAAAGGACTTGTTGGCGACAAAATACTTTATGACTTAAAGGGATATGATGCAGGATTGGGTTATAATGGATACGCTGGCATTGGACTGGGATTAGGCTACAAGGGAGGATACGGTCATTAATTATATAAAAATTAAAATGATAAGAATATATGCCGCTATCTAGATTATGTCTTAGAAATATGTCTGAGCTTCTTGGTACAATGTATATATTTGGATGGTAAAAATGGATAAAGCGAAATATTAATGTAAGTTTTTATCTATGGCATATTAATTGGTGGAGCATTGTATCGACACGAATAAAGCATTCACCACTGTGTGGTAACTAAGACTTGTTTCATTTATAATACTTACCTTTAGTCTTTAACGAATTGTTAGGGGAATATAAATATATAAATTAATATTAAAGCTAAGATCAATAGATGTGACCTAATATCTATGTGTGTACACCTAACATTGATGTAATTTGTTTTCCTTCATGAATCTAAGTTCAATATGATTAACTAAAGTGCAATAGGGACTATTAAATAATATTATATAAACAATGTAAACAGGAATTATGTTATTAATGGTTGTCCGTCGCGTGCCAACATCGCTGATATGTCCGTTTGACGATATTCTATCAAACTTGCACGCTATACAGAAAAGCAATTAGAGCAAATCGTCACAATATTCATTTACAAATATTGCATCAGATCGGCCATGCATCATTAGGTCTCCTTAGCGTTTATATATTCATAAATTCATAACCTACATGAAAAAGCAAGAGCATCATAATACGTTAAATATTAAATTATTATAATTAATTTATATCGATTAGCTATTAAGTTTTTAAGAAAGAGACATTTTCGCGTAGGCCAATATTATAGGTAATTCATAATAATGAATAAGTTCGGATGTATTATTTATTCGTTTTCACCAACTGAAGGTTCTATGAAAATGAGGAAGACTGATGCAAGCTGATATTCAGTATTACAGACGGCGGTGGTCGCGCACGCGTGAAACATTCGACATCCGTTGAACGTCAGGATTCGAAGGTCTTAACTAAACCTATATATGGGCTACGTAGTTCTTTACATATCAGTGCGTTTTTGACACCCAGTAGTCAGCGTGGCCTCTAACAAAATGAAGTACTTTGCCGCGGTTAGTGCTAAATTTTGAATAAAAACAAATTAATATACAAAAAAAAGACCTTTAAATGACATCGTCGTCCTTTACAGATTGCATACCTCCTGGCATTATCGGCGTCGACCAATGCAGATGGATTACTCAGTGGACTCGACGTCTATGCTCCCAAATATTCATCTTTAGAATATTATGTAAGTCAAGTTCGTTATTAGAATGAAATATTATAGTACAATTGTAATAATTAATTTAATTATTTTAATTATTGATTGCAGTCATATCCCAGTTACGCTTTTGAATACGCTGTCCGCGATCCTCACACTGGTGATAATAAGGCTCAATGGGAAAAACGAGACGGAGATGTTGTAAGAGGTAGTTATCTATATATATAAAAGGCAAAAGTGATTGACTGATGTATCAACGCACAGGCCAAACCCTTAAGGCTAGAAAATTCTTCATATGACGAAGGCATCCATTAAGGAAGGATTATTCAAAATTCAACCCTCATGGGAGTGAAATAGGGGACAAAAGTTTGTAGGAAACTTTTTATTCCTTGGACATACTTGCATCGTATGAATTGAGTACGGCAAAAATACTGAGTTACGTATTTTAGCGTTTTCTAAAATTAAACCCCTAAGAGGGTAAAATAGGGGATTAAATTTTTTATGGAACCCACTTTTTAGAGTTTTTTTGTAATTTAAGCTCTATTTTTATTTAAACTAATTGAACTTTCGTATTCAGGTGCATATTCTCTAGTGGAGCCAGATGGCAGCGTGCGTGTCGTGGAATATCGGGCCGATGATAAGACCGGCTTCAACGCTGTTGTTAAGCGTATTGGCCCGAACATACACCCAGTATCAGCACCAATTTACAAGGCACCTCTACCAGTAATTGGTTACAAGGCGGAAGTGCCAATCTCGATTGGACCTGTAGCAGGAATCGAGAAGCTATCAAGTGCACCACTTATAAATGGACCTTACTTAGGTGGTGGCGCTACTTCATCTGCCGCTCTTTACAAAGTTCCTTCTCCAGCAATTATAAAAGAAGTGGCTCCCATTGCTCCCATAATTCCGACCCAGATTTATTCAAATCCCATACTAAAAAATCCCATTATATCTGAACCTTATCCCCTCCTACCAGCTCCTATTCTTAAAAAGCCACTGTTGGCTTACCCTGAATCTATATATCCCATTGTAAACGCTCCTATTCCCGATTATAAGTCTTTAGCACCTCTTCAAAACTATGGAGGTCTTGATTTAGCTTTACTGGGCAAAGGACTTGTTGGCGACAAAATACTTTATGACTTAAAGGGATATGATGCAGGATTGGGTTATAATGGATACGCTGGCATTGGACTGGGATTAGGCTACAAGGGAGGATACGGTCATTAATTATATAAAAATTAAAATGATAAGAATATATGCCGCTATCTAGATTATGTCTTAGAAATATGTCTGAGCTTCTTGGTACAATGTATATATTTGGATGGTAAAAATGGATAAAGCGAAATATTAATGTAAGTTTTTATCTATGGCATATTAATTGGTGGAGCATTGTATCGACACGAATAAAGCATTCACCACTGTGTGGTAACTAAGACTTGTTTCATTTATAATACTTACCTTTAGTCTTTAACGAATTGTTAGGGGGAATATCAATATATAAATTAATATTAAAGCTAAGATCAATAGATGTGACCTAATATCTATGTGTGTACACCTAACATTGATGTAATTTGTTTTCCTTCATGAATCTAAGTTCAATATGATTAACTAAAGTGCAATAGGGACTATTAAATAATATTATATAAACAATGTAAACAGGAATTATGTTATTAATGGTTGTCCGTCGCGTGCCAACATCGCTGATATGTCCGTTTGACGATATTCTATCAAACTTGCACGCTATACAGAAAAGCAATTAGAGCAAATCGTCACAATATTCATTTACAAATATTGCATCAGATCGGCCATGCATCATTAGGTCTCCTTAGCGTTTATATATTCATAAATTCATAACCTACATGAAAAAGCAAGAGCATCATAATACGTTAAATATTAAATTATTATAATTAATTTATATCGATTAGCTATTAAGTTTTTAAGAAAGAGACATTTTCGCGTAGGCCAATATTATAGGTAATTCATAATAATGAATAAGTTCGGATGTATTATTTATTCGTTTTCACCAACTGAAGGTTCTATGAAAATGAGGAAGACTGATGCAAGCTGATATTCAGTATTACAGAGGGCGGTGGTCGCGCACGCGTGAAACATTCGACATCCGTTGAACGTCAGGATTCGAAGGTCTTAACTAAACCTATATATGGGCTACGTAGTTCTTTACATATCAGTGCGTTTTTGACACCCAGTAGTCAGCGTGCCTCTAACAAAATGAAGTACTTTGCCGCGGTTAGTGTTAAATGTTAAATAAAAACAAATTAATATACAAAAAAAAGACCTTTAAATGACATCGTCGTCCTTTACAGATTGCATGCCTCCTGGCATTATCGGCGTCGACCAATGCAGATGGATTACTCAGTGGACTCGACGTCTATGCTCCCAAATATTCATCTTTAGAATATTATGTAAGTCAAGTTCGTTATTAGAATGAAATATTATAGTACAATTGTAATAATTAATTTAATTATTTTAATTATTGATTGCAGTCATATCCCAGTTACGCTTTTGAATACGCTGTCCGCGATCCTCACACTGGTGATAATAAGGCTCAATGGGAAAAACGAGACGGAGATGTTGTAAGAGGTAGTTATCTATATATATAAAAGGCAAAAGTGATTGACTGATGTATCAACGCACAGGCCAAACCCTTAAGGCTAGAAAATTCTTCATATGACGAAGGCATCCATTAAGGAAGGATTATTCAAAATTCAACCCTCATGGGAGTGAAATAGGGGACAAAAGTTTGTAGGAAACTTTTTATTCCTTGGACATACTTGCATCGTATGAATTGAGTACGGCAAAAATACTGAGTTACGTATTTTAGCGTTTTCTAAAATTAAACCCCTAAGAGGGTAAAATAGGGGATTAAATTTTTTATGGAAACCCACTTTTTAGAGTTTTTTTGTAATTTAAGCTCTATTTTTATTTAAACTAATTGAACTTTCGTATTCAGGTGCATATTCTCTAGTGGAGCCAGATGGCAGCGTGCGTGTCGTGGAATATCGGGCCGATGATAAGACCGGCTTCAACGCTGTTGTTAAGCGTATTGGCCCGAACATACACCCAGTATCAGCACCAATTTACAAGGCACCTCTACCAGTAATTGGTTACAAGGCGGAAGTGCCAATCTCGATTGGACCTGTAGCAGGAATCGAGAAGCTATCAAGTGCACCACTTATAAATGGACCTTACTTAGGTGGTGGCGCTACTTCATCTGCCGCTCTTTACAAAGTTCCTTCTCCAGCAATTATAAAAGAAGTGGCTCCCATTGCTCCCATAATTCCGACCCAGATTTATTCAAATCCCATACTAAAAAAATCCCATTATATCTGAACCTTATCCCCTCCTACCAGCTCCTATTCTTAAAAAGCCACTGTTGGCTTACCCTGAATCTATATATCCCATTGTAAACGCTCCTATTCCCGATTATAAGTCTTTAGCACCTCTTCAAAACTATGGAGGTCTTGATTTAGCTTTACTGGGCAAAGGACTTGTTGGCGACAAAATACTTTATGACTTAAAGGGATATGATGCAGGATTGGGTTATAATGGATACGCTGGCATTGGACTGGGATTAGGCTACAAGGGAGGATACGGTCATTAATTATATAAAAATTAAAATGATAAGAATATATGCCGCTATCTAGATTATGTCTTAGAAATATGTCTGAGCTTCTTGGTACAATGTATATATTTGGATGGTAAAAATGGATAAAACGAAATATTAATGTAAGTTTTTATCTATGGCATATTAATTGGTGGAGCATTGTATCGACACGAATAAAGCATTCACCACTGTGTGGTAACTAAGACTTGTTTCATTTATAATACTTACCTTTAGTCTTTAACGAATTGTTAGGGGGAAAATCAATATTAATTATTTTTGTTACATGTAATGTTTACATTCATAACATAAATTCACTTTTAGCTTTATAACTGAGAAAAATATATTATATTATATAAGGATCAAATCAAGTGGAAAACCAACAGGTCGGCACCTGGTTTTTCAGGTGTATATTCATTGAGCTGTAGTGTTTGAAACACATATAAGAACAATACATAATAGAGATTAATCATTGTTTACTTTCTACAGCCGCAGATAAGTTCCAACATGAATAGCATTTTTGCGGTAAATTTCTTTGTAATTTACTGTACATCTTTGTCAATATTTCTTAAATTTTGGTTGTGAAACATGGCACAGAAATTATAAAAAACATCATATATGTTATTTTACAGGTTTTATATATGTTAGCACTTTCATCATCAATCTGGGCAAAAACAATTTCAGATGCACTTGGAACTGAAGAAATTGTGAGTTACTTGTTATATTACAGAAATTTAAAATAATTTACTCTTAAATCTACAGTCACTAAAATCAGTGTAGGTTTTATTTAATGAAACAATACTATTTACTTTAAATAACCTTTTGGATTTACAAATCGAGTTTGGAGAAAAATGCGGGAATATCAAGTGTTAAAATAGAAATTTAACCGTCTTAGTTCAAATTGCTTAGTAAATATTTCAAATTATGAAATTGTCATTTTCCAGGATTACCCTCGCTACGCGTTCAATTACGCTATCACTGATCCCCTAACTAAAGACAACAAAGCGCAGTGGGAGGAGAGAGACGGCGATAAAGTAAATGGAGCATATTCTTTATTGGAACCCGATGGAAACCTACGTGTAGTGGAATACACCGCAGATGATATTAGCGGATTCAGTGCCATAGTAAACACTATCGCTGCAGCCCTGAAAAGTCCTCAGCCGCTTTTAAAATCTTTAATTGTTCCATTACCCGAAATACCTTTGTTGAAGCTGAACCCCCTTACTTACGGATTCGGTGCAGCAAATTTGGCTGTAAGTATTCCAAACGTTAAAGTATCTGGAAGCAGTCTACCTTGGGATCCGAAAACTGGTTCATTTGGAGGATGGATACCAATTAATAGACCAAGTCAAACAATCGCAAAGGCTACAATTCTAAGGAAGAAATATGTCAACGGACGTTTGCATAAAGTGGTATATGGTCCAATTCCTTTACCTAAAAAATCTGTGATCTTAATAAAAAAGAAGAAAGTTAATTATGATTAGGTTACGTATGTTAACGTTACAAGCTGCGAGTTTCTAGTCCTTTTACGAAACAGTGTTGTAAAAAAGTGTTATAATAAATGTTTAATGGCCAGAATATGTTTCGATACTATTTTCTGGTATAATAGTAACACGAAAAGCCAAATCTTAGAAGAATTTAAGATAGATTTAAGATATACAAAATACACAAACGGAAGGTTTTGTTGTAAATCAATAGCGTCTTTTATTCATTGACCTTTAGTGCCCTTAAAGGAAATAACGGAATTGCAATTTTAGCTATATTCTACTTTCCAGAAGTCTCTCATCGTCTAGCATAAAATAACAATTAAAATATGAAAACATGAACAAGTAAAAAAAATATGAACAAGAAAAATGATAATTATATCGATTTCTTAGATTCTCGTACAGTCAATAAAAAAAAACGAAATTAAATTAATTTACAAAAGATGTTTCCACAGATCATACATACATACATACATACATACATATTTTGATTTTTGATAGACAAAAATATATATTTTTTTTCATTTCTCATTTTACTCAGGAGAAAAAAATATTGAGTATTTAAATGGATGACACAACACGAGAATTGAACTTTATTAGAAAATATGTTGTTTATATTGCCATTTATTGTATAATATCTATTATCTACACATATAATAAAACTGTAGAGGTGAAATGTATGTTCATAGAAAAAAATGCTAAAAACCGAGTCTAGTCGAGAATGTAAGAAGAGAAATAGAACAAATCCTGTTTTTATTTTTTCAATTTTTTTGTTTCTCTGTCTGTTTGTACGGGCTAATCCCGAAACTGTTGGACCAATTTAAATGAAATTTTGCATGGTGGTACCTTATATCCCCGATCAACATTTTAGTTACTTTACATCCCGAAAAATGAAAGAGTTCTCGTTGGATAGTTAAAAAACTATAGTAACTTATACAGCTTAGTACACTAAAACTACTGATTGGATTTTAATGAAACTTTACAATAATATAGTTCATACATCAAAATAACAAATAGGCTACTTTTTATCCCGGAAAAATGTACGGTTCCCGTGGGATAGACTTTTTGGAGCGAAGCGGGGGTGAGCTCCTAGTTGTTTAAATAAAAGTATCTTAGTTCACTCGCTTTATTGGACCTAAGAGAACATTCGGGCCTTCGAAGGAATCAAAAGGTTATATGGATACCTAAAATAAAAGGTTTCAGCTAATAATTACAATATATGTATAAAAATGTATAAGTTTCATTGGTATAATTTATTAGGTATAATAGATATTTATTTTATCTCTATTTTAATACTGTCTTTTAAAACAGATGACTTTTTTTTTAATTATTTAATAAATGGAACCCATCAGTATGAAATATTACGTAAATTTCTTTGTTTTTTGAAATATATTTATTATATTTTTACATTTGATGTTATGATACTTTTTCTTCCAAATCAATTACAGAATGTGCTTATATAAATTAATATACATCCTACCAGAGTTGGATTTGCCCGATATGTTCAATGGAGTTTCATGATCACTACACGTCACAAACTCACAAATTTTACCTCCTTATAATATTAGTATGAATATTATCAATTCTTACGGTGTTTGTGTACCTATATTGATCGCCAAAAACCCAGTTCTTACAGTTTATAGAATAACTTTGGTGTCAATTCATGTGCCTGTCTCTGTGTGTATTAATATACTTGTATTTTCTGATTGACATCGAAGTCGACATGAAGCAAGATCTCAAGAATCAAGAAGTCTTAGCATATAAGTAAATTTAAAAAAATATATGGTAGAAACGCATTTTATAAGGCCTTGTGTCTGGTTCTTTATCTTTATAGTGAATTTGGTTTTATACACAAATGCCTAATTCAATAATTTCATATTCTAAGCCCTAAAGACTATATATGGTTACTTATAAAATTAAAACTAATCAATTATGAAGGCCAAAAATATAGTAAAGTATGAATATAATTACCAATTCTAAATTCGAGTTTTACGTAGAGAAAAGTGTAGTCATAAAAGTCATTGGGTTATTTTTTCAAAGTCTCAGTAGCAGTCCGGAGTTAGGCCGTTAGCGACTCTACACCTCCGTGCCTAAGACAGTATGTAAAACCATCAGTCCTACGTCTAACGATAGACCTAATATACATATGTACGTAGTACATAATATTGTGTTGGTGCGGAATTCTCGTAAGACCTCAATACTTGAAAGTTCTTCACCGATTACTACCCATACCCATAGGTATACCCATATATTTGAGTACGATGAATAATTTCGCGTTATTTATAAATAAATATAAATATGTTGGGACATTAAGACACAGCGCCATCTAGTTCCATGGTAAGCTACGAGGCTTGTGTTATGGATACCAGATAGTTGATACACTACACATATATAACTTTAAATACATACATATTATAAATATAAACACCCATGACTGAAGTACAAACATTCATGCTCAACACACAAATGAATGCCCCCAGCGGGACTCGAACCAGCCCTACTCGATTGCGACCGCTGGCACAGCAAGTAGGTTCATTACAAACTGAGCCCAACATGTAGTCAAATTACTTTGCTTATACGTATTGCTCGCCAATAGCGCTAACAAGACAGCCACAACAACGTGTATCCAGGTTTAGTTAGCAATAGTGATAGAATACAATATACATACAAACGTAAATAAATAAAAACTAACGTAGGCAAAATACAAAGTTGTGGGCAATTTTAATATATTATATACTAGCGACTCACCATCGCTCCGCTCGGGTTCGTCCTTACTTACGTTTTAACGTTTAGTATATTTCTCAGAGATGAGATATTTTCCCACAGTAAAAAGTATCCTATAGGTATGTTGATCCGGATAACCAGCTATCATCATACCAAATTTCATCAAAACCCCTCCAGTGATTTTTCCGTGATGCGGTGAGACAGACAGACAAAAATTCTAAAAACTATAGATTCGGCCTCTGTATATCGATAATAATGACTATTTCAATAAGATTTTCCAAAAAATATTTAATGTACAGATTCGACTCAGAATTTTATTATTTATTTATTTATTTATTTATTAAAGGACAACCAACAAAAGATACATTAAAAGCGGCATAATATTCATGTGTTAACAATTTCATTAATGTTCTTTTAGTGATAGGTTATCACAGCATGCTCTTTTTTTTAAATCACGTCAATAACAGTTAAATATAAAATGGAAATTTAAAATTAAATCATAATAATACGTTAATGAATAAAGTTGAAAATTAAATTATAAAATTAATACATGACAATTTAAATATAAAAAATTACTTAATTAGACATAATATAATTAGAATAGATAAGTTAATAATATGTAAATAGTTAGTCCAATAAAACAAGTAAATTCAATTTTATGTATATGTATAGATTAAAAATTAAAATTCAATTATAAATAATAATGTAAATTCAATTATATGTATAGATTACTATGATATCATTTATTTATAAATATATTTTTGTAAACACTCCTTATATGTAACCCGTATATTATATATACATAGGTATATATTGAGTGAGAATATAATTAAGCAATCAGGAAACGGGCGTTAGCAGTTGCGTCTACATCGAATATCGATACACCCGTTGGTACTGACTCTGGTCGATAACTTGTACGAAATTATGAATTAACATGTCCTATATACATGCTACTACCGTGATTTGAATACTCATATAAGCAAATATGTCCAGTGTTGCTTAAGTAATAACTGCTTCTAATGTAAATTTAAATAATTTCATTGTAGAACGAGTTCTTGTTATTGGGAACACGAGGGAATGCAAAAATTAATAGGCAAAATTAAATTAAACGATCCGTTGAAACTGGGGGGTTCTGATAAAAACCAGCGCGCGACCTGATCGAATAATAATTAGTAGTAGTATAAATAACCAAGTATGCGATGTCAAAGGCACAGTGCACTTCGTTTGTTTACCGGAATACACAGTCAGAAATATGAACTCGCTTTTGGTGGTAAATGTCAATAAAACTAATTTAGATAATGTAGAGTTATTGAATATATTGGAATTAATTGAATATTTTGGATTAATTTAAAAAATATATAATAATATTAGCTCTTTATATTTCATAATGTTATGAAAAATAAAAATGATTTAAAAAATATATAAATATTCCAGGTATCGTGCTTGGTTGCAATCAATGCAGTAGCGGGGAATCCGCCTGCTTTGGTCTCTTACGCCGAGGTTGGCAGCATTGTAAGTAATTTTGAATTTTAACATCAAATTTAAAAACATAAAAGAGGCTATATTTTAAAACAATTAATTTTTTTTACAGCCAAATCCAAACTATCATTTCAACTACGCGGTGAACGACCCCTCGACTGGTGACAACAAAGCCCAGTGGGAGACGCGTGAAGGAGACGTTGTGAGAGGAGCCTACTCACTAGTGGAGCCCGACGGCAACGTACGAGTCGTAGAATACACGGCGGATCCAGTGCGGGGTTTCAACGCCGTTGTTAAACGCAGTGGACCGAATGTACATTCCGTATCAGTGCCGGTCGCGGCGGTAGCGGCACCGGTCGCGGTTGCAAAACCCTTGTTCGAACCGGCCGTTGCTCCTATCGCTCAGCAAATTTACGAGCCCAACCTCGATGAATACGGTTTAATCACAAAACCCATTTACGAGCCAATCGACGATTACGGAGTCGCGCCTATAGCTCCCATTGATGATATTGCGCCACTAAAATCATATGATTACGCACCAGCCCCATGGGTTTCCCTCAGTGGCACGAGCTACGGATCCAAAGGCAACATAGTCCGCAGATGGACTGCCGGCCCTATATCTTTACACGGCAAAACACTAACAATTAAAACGAAGAATTAAGTTATTTAAGTATATAATAAGCTGTATGCTATATAAACTTCTATGTGTATAGGTAACCTTATTTAGTTACTCACGGCGCTAGTGTGTTCTTGCATATTGAAAAGTCAATGCAAAAATACACGTAGGCCTTTAGAAGTTAAGCTGACTGATAATTGTATCTCCGTAACAATGAAGTGTACCTGAGGTTTATGACTTTAAAACTGTAAATAAATATTTCATCTAAGGATATGACTTGCTTTTATTTTCGTCTTAAAAATCTGTACTCACCTTTCATATAAAGTGGTAAATTTTTAAATAAAATAGCTTTGAGACAATCCATAGAGTTTTGCAAATCAACTTGGACTAACTTAAAACTTTAACGGCTTAGCTTCCAGGCGTCCAGACCCACATATTAATAGTATAACAAGCAATATAAAACGACTTATTGACACTTTCTCTATTCGCATAAATATTACACGAAGCACGTAAAGTCGAATTTCTTATGTAACGCACAAACGGACACAACTATATAATATATGCAAATATATTACCGACCAATTAAAGTTTAGAAAATAATTAATTTTAGTACGGTACAAAAGAAACTTCAATATAATAATTTGTCTTATATACAATGTTGCGTGCACATACTAAATTCATTACAAGTATTCAGGGTAGTTAAAATATAATTAAGTTAAAAAAAACCCACAGATAAGCCAATTTATAAGGGAAGTGATACGTGAAAAAAGGTTCAATTAGATACACATTACAAGTGCTTATGAAGCAATTGTATTAATTATATCATATTTTACTGAGATTTATTAAATCAATATAATATAGTGATTTATAATATTATTAATTAATAATATAATCCATTGCTGTTGGTAATATTCGATACTAATTTAACTCATAAAAATTAAATGTACTAATTTTAATTCAACACGATGATTATTTCCATTTTTTTGCATGGTGCAGTAGAGTTCCTCTAAAAATGTGTGTATGTATTGTCACAAGTTCGATTACCGTGCAAGACAAATTCATGCAAATAGTTCTAAGGTTTTAAAATGAATTATAATTATGAAACTAATCAAAGTAGAATAATTTCGACTGACAAAACTTCAGATCTATTCTACCTTCCGCCTACTGTTCACGTCAGTCCCTTATATTTTTAGTTTTCTAACAGTTTAACGCTTCTAGTCCTACTACAGGCAAAAAGACGCAATAGGGAGAATTTTTTTTTATGGGACTAAGGGGGCAAACGGGCAGGAGGCTCATCTGATGGAAAGTGATCACCGCCGCCCATGGACATCTGCAACACCGCAGGGCTTGCAGATGCGTTGCCGGCCTTTAAGAAAGGAATACGTTCTCTTCTTGAAGGTGGCCAGGTCGTAGAGGTTCGGAAAGACTGCCAGCGATAGCTGGTTCCACAGAGTGGTTGTGCGGGGCAGAAAATGCCTTAAAAATCGCACTGTTGTGGAACGCTGGACATCGAGGTGGTGTAGAATACAAGACTTACCGGATTGTTGTCTTCGTCCACATCGTACTCTTCTCTTTGAACCATCATCAATTTGCCACTAGCATTGATTACCTGAATACAAATAATTCTATTTATAACTTTCTTAGATTTACGCGAATAATTGACATTTTAAATAAAACTATCTTTTCGGATTTTTTTACGATTTTTTGGTTCTCGAACTTTCGATTACTTTACAGCAGTCACGGTCATGGGAGAATCTGACTCCCAGTCTGTCCCGTGACCATGTTTTCACTCAGTTCGTCCTCCCAAAAAATCCAAAAAGATAGTTTTTTTTTACATAATTCAATGTAGATATATCCATAATTATTTAAATTGGTTTATACCAAATGTGTTTTTTAATGTTTCATAATATTTAATAGTTACTAAAGACGACTGTCTAAGATGTTAAAATATTTGTTCAAATCTATCCCACGGGAACCATACATTTTTTCGGGATAAAAAGTAGCCTATATGCTATTTCAGACTATAATCTATCTCTACGAAAAATTTCATCCAGATCCGTTCAGCCGTTCCGGCGTTATTGTGTAACAAACATCCATCCATTCAAATTTTCGCATTTATAATATTTATTTATGGGATGGGATTGACTAAGAAGATATTTATCTCTCATATTTGCAAACCGCTCGATGGCGGTCTATATAATTAGTAGGTAATATAATTACAATCAACGTAACATGAAATGTAAGGCGATTTTAGAAGGAAAATATAAATAACATTACTCATTTGAGAAATATGTAGAAAAACATACTCATAAAGAAATGGACGGAAAATTATAACTAGTTAGCGTCCGTTTTTCGTTGAATTTAATTAAGCCATTATTTTTTTACATAATACATTATGTATCTTGGACGATTGAGTGTAGTAATTATTTTGAAGTTTTTTATGATTTTATTTTAATTCACAGTTAAGAAAAAAATGTCAGTTGTAAAGTATGATTAGTTTTTTGTAAGATTAGTTTTTGTATACGCAATATACACTAATATTATAAAGAGGTAGAGTTTGTAAGTTTGCATGTATGGGGGTAATCCTTGTAACTACTGATTCGATTCAGGAAATTCTTTCACTAATAGAAGGCTACGATATCACCCAGCGCTACATCTATTATTCATTCCAATAAAACTTGTTCGCTGTTATCCATACTTCCATACTTAATATTACAAATGTGTAAGTTTGTTTGTTTGTTTGTCCTTCTTTCACGTCAAAACAGAGTGACGGATTGGCATAATTTTTTATATAGTATAGAGATAGTTGGAGTGCTAGAGAGTGACATAGGATACATTTTTACCGCGGCAGATTATCTCGTTCCTACGAGAAAACACGTTACAATAAAACCTAAAAAAATATTTATAATCAGAATTACTTGAAACTCGGTATTAATGCTCTTCAATACAATTAAATAACTACGTGATTTAGCATTTGTAGAATTTATCCCATAAGGGCGAAAATAGGGGATGAAAGTTTGTATAAAACCTATATTTTTAGTTCTTTTTTGTAGTTTTAGCGCGAGCGAAACCGCGGGTTCTGCTAGTAAGTCATAAGTTTAAGTTGAAATCGGGAAAAAATTGGCCGCTGAGTTACGATAATCGGCTTGCGCTGTCTAAACGGTTTGAAATAAAGCAATAAAATGTATTGTAAAGAAACCTATGCTACTCTAATGTTCTTATTAGGTCGGTTTAAATATAAACTCACGAGCGAGTCCGGCGCGACGGGCGGGTCTGTCGCGTAGGCGTGGGCCGCGGGCTCGGCGTGGGCGTGGGCGCGGCGCGCGTGCTGCGGCGGCGCGTCCTGCAGGCGGCACAGCGACGCCGACACCACGCACGCGGGGTGCGACAGCGCCGAGATGTCCACCGCCTGCACGCACCGCACCTCCACGTTGCCCACTATAAAGTTACTTCAGTTTAATTCTACATTTCAATTCATATAATATTTTCTTAGATTACTTCTTACGCAAAAATTTTATATTTTAAATAAACTATTTTTTCACATTTTCTTTTTAATTTTTTGGAGTTTTGTAAACTTTACAATAGAAATGGTTGCGAGAGAGATTTAATACTAGTAAGTGCGAAACACATACAAACACAAGTTTTTGCCCGTAGTTCATGTACTTTGGTAAAAGAATAAAGAATCAACTATTCCACCGGCTCATTCACAAAAGTTCGTATTTACAATATTAACGTCATTTACACATAGCTTATAAAGTCCTGAGCAAAATAAGTTAGACCGATTCAAAAATATATATTTTTATTTAATTTGTATACAGTAAAAGCTCCTTATTCGCGCTTCCTTTATTCGCGTTTTCACTATCCGCGGGAAAAAAAAATGCGACCCAATTCCTATATTCGCGACTAAAAATTTCTTTATTCGCGGATCTAATAAGTACATACATAATAATAAAATTATTCCAATAGGTATTCAACCCAATATCCTTGTCAAATGGACTAATAAAAAAGTAAAATAGATCTTATTATGTACAACTTTGCCTAAAGTATGTTGTTAAATGATATCGCCGGACGCCGATGCTTTTGACAAAAGCCGCCTTCGCCGCTATCAGTGTTTTTAAGAATGTAAACAAACAGAATAAAAGCAACCTTATAGCTCAATTAATAAAGTATATTTTTAAATGATGTTGTTCCGTTTATAGTAAAAGCCGCTTTGCGTGTTTTATTGTTTCGTCTTTCACATTCGTTACAAAAATTGTGATCGAGTAACACGTCTCTACTGCACTCTTTCTAGTTTATAATGTCAACTAAAAAAAATGAGAAAAGAGTTTCGACACGAAAAAAATCTGTGTTACCGCTTAAAGTGAAAATAGAAATGCTTGATCGTTTACGCCTTGGAGAGTCATTTGCATCCATATCACGCTCATTCAATGTCAACGAATCAACTGTACGATCAATAAAAAAATCCGAAGATAAAATAAGGTCGTCTGTAGCTTCAACTTCACTGTCAGCTAAAATTGTCCGTGATCCAGCAATAGAAAAAATGGAAGTGGCGTTGTCATTATGGATCGAAGACCGCAACCAAAAAAGGGTGCCCCTGAGTGGTCCAATGGTCCGGGAGAAGGCAAAGCGTCTTTACGCTCATTTTAAAGAACCTGATGGTAGTTTTAGTGGTGAACGTACAGATGGAGGATTTCAAGCATCGGAAGGTTGGTTTAATAAATTTAAGGTGAGACAATCATTGCATAACATTAAAATCGTTGGAGAAGCAGCATCTGCAGACACTGCTGCAGCAGGACGATATCCAGAAGAATTTGCAAACCTAGTAGCTGATGGAGGATACAAACCTGAGCAAGTATTTAATGCAGACGAAACTGCACTGTTTTGGAAGAGAATGCCAAACAAAACATTCATTTCTAAAAGCGAAAAGTCCGCTCCTGGATTTAAGGCAGCAAAGGATAGAGTTACACTGCTGCTATGTTCTAATGCATCTGGAGATTGTCTCATTAAGCCACTGATGCTTTACAGATCGTTTAATCCTCGGGCTTTAAAAAATCAAAACAAGGACAACCTGCCAGTATTTTGGCGTGCTAATAAGAAAGCGTGGGTTACAAGCGCTATTTTTTGTGACTGGTTCCGGAATTGTTTTGTTTCTGAAGTTGAAACTTATTTAAAAAAACAGAATTTAGACTTTAAAGCGCTTCTAGTTTTGGACAATGCACCAGGTCATCCTCGCGAACTTGAAACTATGCATCCAAATATAAAAGTGACATTTTTACCACCCAACACGACGGCTTTGCTTCAACCTATGGACCAAGGAATAATCCAGGCCTTTAGCTCTATTACATTAGACGAACCTTCAAAATCATATTGGATAATATGGAATGTAATTCTGATATGAATGTTATGGATTGCTGGAAGAAATTTGACATAGCAAAATGCATCGCAAACATAAAAGAATCATCGGAAGAACTGAAACCACACACATTAAAGTCGTGCTGGAAAAAACTGTGGCCTGGTCTGACTGCGGAAAATGACGAAGAATCTGTGCAAGTTCAAATTTTGACTGCAAACATAGCCGAAATCGCGAATGGAATAGGACGAGATGGGTTCGAACAGATAGAATCAAGTGACATTCAGGAATTGCTTGAATCGCAAGATGAAGATTTGACTGAAACCGACTTGGAGGAAATGTTAAATTCACAGCCCATTGAAGAAGAGGCTTCAACAAGCACTGGAAACGTGACATTTAATTTGAAAAATCTTAGTGAAGGTTTAAGAATGGCAAATGAGCTTTGCGATTTCTTTATGAACATTGATCCGTCTATGGAACGAAGTCTTATTTTTAAGAGGCAAATTGCTAATGCGACTGCTGTGTATCAGTCTGAATTGAAGGAGCTTTTAAAAACTGCCAAGCAAGAAAAAATTACAAAATTCTTCAAACCATTGCCTAAGCCTTAAGATAATTAATTAAAATGTTCAAAAACTTCAATTAAATATTTTTTTTATATATTTGTTTTTTTTATTTTGTCACCTAGGAACGTATCCCCTATAATCCCATATAAATTGCCATTCCGTACTCACGGTTTCTGTATTCGCGGCATATTTATGGAACATATACCCCGCGAATAAAGAGCTTTTACTGTACTACAACTAAAGCATATTTCGACAATATACTATACCTACCATGCTATGTATGTCTAGCTAATTAGTTAAAAAAAACATAAAGAAACAAAATAAACACATTTTTATCGCTCAATAAAAAAAATTTTGAAAACAAAACAACATCTGACCATCATCGATCCGCTGGAGCTCGTAGATGGTGACGAGCGCGTCGGCGCCGAACACGACGAGCTGGTCGTCGAGCACGTCCAGCACGAACACCTGCGCCTGCACGCGCACGATCTTCGCGAATCGGTTGTCGAGCTTCGCCTCGCGCGGATACAGACGGATCTCGTCCTGCCCCTCTGCTATGCTGTAGCAACCTGGCGGATTTGTTTTGGTTACATTAGGAAGCAAGAGAAGCAGCTTATATTAATAAACTTATTAAATTGTATAAAAATGTTTAAAATTAAAATTAACAAATATTGTAAAGGTACTTTTATCGACGCCATTTTTGATTTTTTGAATTCTTTTCGTTATTTTGCGGGTAGCCTACCTGTGACAATGCTTTTGAGACTTTTTAAGCCTTAGTCTGTCCCGTGACCATGATTGCTATAAAACATTCGAAACGTCGGGAACCCAAAAACAAATAAAATCCGCGAAAAAATCTGAAGAGATAGTTTTATTTTAAATGTTAAATATTCGCGTTAATCTTAGAAAGTATTATACTTATGGATTCAATAAACAAATGGGACATATCCAACGATATGATATCCTGGGATAGATTTTATCTACTCATAATATATGACAGGTAATACGTACCTTGTATTGTATTTACACTCGAATAATATACTGTACACAGCACACAAACTTAAGTTTGTAAACATACAAAAGTGGCGTGACGTCGTCGAAGTCTTACTAATGTTATAAACACATTTGATTATTTATGTATAGGTACAATATTTCAAATGAGTACTAGAGATAGAACCGAGAGATGAGATGGTTATTAGCAAATGTCAAATACACTACACACATTGTGCCTCGGCCATCGGCACTGATAACAAAGAGCCTACGAGTGTACCGCCACAGTAAAAAAAGCTATTACGATAATAATTAACCACTGAATGAATGAATGTATGAATGAATGAATGAAGAGTCGTGGCTCGGCCACAGCCAGCAGTCGCCGCTCACCGGCAACGATGTAGTCGCGCCACCACAGCACGCCGGCGGTGACCACGAAGTCGCGCTCGTGCGCCTCGTTGCCGAACAGCTTCCAGCGGCGCGACGCGCGCGCGTAGTGCGCCAGCCCCGCGCGCCCCGCCACGCACACGTGCTGCCCGCTGCCGTCCACCGCGCTGTACTGCGACACACACACACTATACAATGATGTCCTCCTGGCCGATTTCAGTCATGGCGAATAATCTCACTGAGAATAGCTATCTATAATATATAGCAATAAGTATAGCACAGGAGATATTTCTTATACTGTAAGCGCTATTTCACTTTAATAGAAAATAGTAATATTTTGTTAACTACAAATTTTACAAATTTTGTAACTTGAGCGTTTAGCAATACACAAGTTCTGTATTATTTATTCATTATTACAAAAAATCGATCAAGTGCGAGTCGATTTCGCATACGAAGGGTTCCGCACTATCGTACATGTACTTTTTATTAATATAAATTTTACTCTATATAAGTAGTATATTAAAATAAATAAAAATAAATAAATAAGTAAAATTAACTTCGATAATCGATTACGAATGTTAAAAAAATGTTTCTTGTATTTTTATTTATTATTTGTTGTTAAAGCGACAATAGAAATACATACTCTGTGCAACATTAAACTCTTTACCTATTACGGTTCATGAGTTACAGCTCTCTGACAGACAGACGGACGAGGGTTCCGTTGACCCTTCAGGTACCCAAAAATGAACAGACAAACACACAAAAATATTTGATATAATTCCAAGAAATGTACAGTATCGAATTAATTTAATCGCATTCAGTAACATGGAAAGTGCTATGAAAAAGTTTAATAATTACATTTTTCTCAAAATTATTAATTTAGTTATCTAATTATAATTAATGTAAGAAAATTATTGGAACTCACTCGTAAGGGCCAATTGCTAGCTATGTAGGTGGCCGGCAACTGCAGGACTATCCACTGCTTCCTGCATTCGTTGTCATCCACAAAGTCGTTATACTTAGCGCTGCTGACGTATTCCAACGGCGCGTCCTGGCCGTTCTCTTGGAACGCGTCTGAAGACGAATCTATGATGGGGACTTTTGTTCGTCGAGTGAGATTATCTTCCAAATTTATGTACAATTTATCATCCGCTTGCAAGTATAGATGCCTTTGGTTGCTCTGAAACGAATTGAGTTATAAATGTGCTATACAAAACGCTTCGTCCTCCAAGATATTTATAATTTTGTAGTAACAACGGGTAGAATTGAAATGAATCTCAGCATTTTAAGGGTTCCTAATGTAGGCTCTTGGACTATATATTGATTTCAAACAAAAGAACTTACTTTGAGTGTGTATCTTTTTAATATGTATTACACAACATGTTTATCTAATGTGAATCGATTTTTATCATTCTTTAAATTATAAGGAGATTATTCAAGGCTTGTAACTGTATGTCATAAAATAAATTCATTACTTACCATACAAGGGTTCACACTCATGGGGCTTTTAACAAAGTCCATTTGGATTAAATTCGATTTCGCTTCTTCCTCCACTTTAACCATCCATAACTGATATCCTTCCGTTGCCCATTCCTAAAAAAAAGAAGTAAAAAGAAGTAGTATATGATCTTAAACATTTCAAAAATAGGTAAATTACTAAAAGAATATTCAAATCAAAACAAGTACTATCTATACAGTGTGTACATCATGGCGAAGGGTCCATACAAGACGATTCCCACCGTCTTATCTTTTAGAAATCCAATAATCCATCATTCATTATAAATATTTATTTTTTGAATTAAAATAATATGTTAATAAAAAATCTAATTATTATTACTACGTCAATTTCTAAAAATAATATAACGCAAAAAATCACAAACAACGCATAAGCAACACAAAATACATTTCTGTGCTCCAAATTGTTTACGCGTTTTTAGAAATGCGACGATAAAATGTTGTATTTTACCAGTAAAGCAAGTTATTAGAAAAGTGAGACATATTGACCTTACAATATAGAAAAACTTTTTAACAAAAGAACAAAAACCGACTTCAAACAAAAGCAAAAAAAAGTATTAAGTAGTGTATGTATAGTAAATGAAAACTACCAATCAGTTACTTTTTACTTTTTAGTGCTTTTGTTTGAAGTCGGTTTTTATTTTTTTGTTAAAAAGTTTTTATTTTTCCGTTTTTAGTGTAGACAGTAGTAGCAAAGTAAGTAAGTAGTAGAATTCGAACGTGTTAGGCTTGTCAAATCAAACAAAATAAGCTCAAACTCAAAGTATCTACTATTTGCCGTTGAACCTATCCACCTTCTGGCCTTACCATCAGATCAGGTCAACAATACCGAACCACTGTACTATCAACGGAAATAGAAACCCTTGCAAAGTTTCAAGTCATTATGACAATTAGAAGTAGGTTAAATTCATCATTAGCTATTTTTCCACCCTTAGGGGTGGTAGTTTTTTTTTGATATTTAAATGGGACCAATCTGGAAGTATACACTTTCAAACAACACAAAAGTTGTCCAAATCGGTTAATAAATGACGGAGTTCTGAGGTAACAAACATTAAAAAAATACAGTCAAATTGAGAACCTCCTCCTTTTTGAAGTCGGTAGAAAACAGCAAGTTGCGTATAGCATAAAGAAGATATAAGTGATTAGCCAGTTATAAGATAACTTGTATGTAAAAACTAGCCATGTCAATCTTGAACTTCAATTTATCCTAAGTTATCTACTCTGTGTAAATAATTCGACTGTTCAAATTTAAGAAGTTTTATTTTTAAATAGCACTTTTGTATGTTAAATAGATTTTAAGTTATTACGACGTAAAAAGTGGCCCCAAATGGTTCGTGTAAATATACGCACGGTGCTTCATCGCCAGTTCCTTTGACTTGAACTTGGCTGGACACGCCAACGCGTGTCTTGATAGTCCGGACTGTGCCCAGTGTGTAACATTACCATGCAGGAGACAACAAGCGGGTTACGCTTGGCGAGGTCCTGGCTGAGGCCGTAGTCCCAGGCCAGCGAGCACATGAGCAGCGCGCCGAACGTGCTCCACACCGCCATCCCGCCGCCCTCCCAGCTCACCGCCACCGCGCGCCCGTCCCCCGTCCATCTAACGGACACATTTATAATTTACTAACATTTACTTGTTAGTCTATGACTCTATACTAATATTATAAAGAGGTAGTTTGTGAGTTTGTGAGTTTGTGACGTTGTATGGGGTAATCTCTGGATCTACTGAACCGATTTAGATGAAATTTGTTAAGAACGTAGTTTGAGACCTTGGGACGGACATAGGATACTTTTTATCCCGGAAATAATCCGTTAAGGGTTTAAAAATGGGGATGAAAGTTTGTATTGGGAAGCAAACTAGGGATAAACCTGAGCAAAGCGAGGGTGAGTCGCTAGTGTAGGAATATACTAGCTCCGAGTAGTATTATAATGTTAAATTTTGCAAATGGGCCAGTAGATCCAAATATTAGCGCGTTCAAGCAAACAAATAAACTCTTCAATATTATATATTATTTAGCTAGACGATTTATTGGTTGTGGAAGCTGGAAGGTTCTAAGAGGACCATAAAGAGTTAAAAAAAATATCTGTATTGGTATCATGATACTATGTCATGCATAATAATTTTTATCATTAAAATTTATTTCTTTGAACCTAAAAATAGGATGTGGGCCACATCTTATCAATACTATCTATATAATAAGGCACGTTTAAATTTAATATATGAAACATAATGACTGTTATTATGCACAATAGAATGTAAGTTAAAGAATTTTGGGATAATTTATTTTTGTATACAAACAAAAAAACAGGTGGTAAGCAAAATAAGTTTGAGAACCTATGGTTTCATCAAATATAACTACAGACTATAAGCAAATATAAATTTCACCTCATACACTTCACAGGCCCCGGGTCACCGGGGAAGTCCTTGGAACTGAGCAGCATTGTGTGCGAAAGCTCAAGGCCACCCGTCGCTTCGTCAATCGTGAATACATCTACTTGTGAGCTACGAATATAAGATTAAGATTATTATCTTATTAGCGTTTACCCGCGGCTCTGTTCGCTTAGTACAATTATACAATACTTTTAAATCTTTATAAATTATAGTTATATTACTGTAAAACATCAAAATTCAAATAATAACAAACGTACATCCATATTCCATACACATCCCTTAAAACTTTCGTGTTTATAATATTAGTAGGATTTCAATATTTAAATTTTAAACCCGTACAAGTATCATAATTTATATTTTTAACTTAAGGGCATAGAGTATTCTGTCTATAAAAAAATAAGCTCAAAGGCTTACAAAATTTATATGTAATAAAAAAAACAACATACTTCTTTCTACCAATAGCAATGAGCCTAAACTTATGATTGACTCGTACACAAGTCGCATCGTCGATGCCTTGCGCCCAAATACCTTGTACTGCCTGAAAAAAATGCTTACATTATATTATAATAAATAAATGAATAAATTACTATATTCAATACATATAATGAATGACGACTAGCTATTTCTGTAATATACTGTTTTTACATGTTACTAGCAAAGATTTTAATGGACCCTTTTTTTTAAATTCTCCTTACAAGAACTTTTCCACATTTTCTTAAAACGAAATGTCATACTAATATGATATGAATAAAGAACATAATTAAGTTAGTGTTAATCTAGCATTCAAATATTGAAAGTGGTTTGTAGATTACAATGGATGTAGCATTATAGGACTTCACTCTAACACAGTTTAGTCTTACCGTCAAATCCGTCGCTAAATATATCTGAGATAGCAAAAATTCTTATATAAAATCATACAGACTAGAAATACTTATATTTTACTTTTATTATATATAATATTTAATAGTTTATATATTTTATATTTAATAGTTTATATATTTTATATTTAATAGTTAAATTAATTCTAACTTACATTTGGATCGAATTTAAGATTTGGGGCAGTCAGATAAGCAGCTCTTCCATCATTTAATGTTATACCAAATCCACACACCAATGGTGAATATTCAATATCACTAACATTTGTATTATCTTCTAAAATAGGCTCCGCTGCAAAATCAGATCAATACTAAATACTCATTTTAAAGTAAAAAGCGAAAAACAATAGTTATTTAAGGAAAAAATATTGTTTTTCATAAGCTTATTTAAAAAGTGTGGGTTTAATTGAATTCTCAATAAATATTTTATTTATAGTTTTTTTATAAATTCTCTAATAGCACTAATATACTTTAACTTAGAAATATTTTTTTTAAAACTTGAATTATATAAAATAAAATATTTAAAATATACCTTTAGACACCTGCTGGTTTATTGAAAAAGGTATTCTTCCTAAATCGAGGCAGTAATCTCTGTTTTGAGTTCCGTCCCAACGATATCGTAAGAGATGGGCGCGTGTGGTACATACAAGTATTTCCGTGCCAGATATACAGCACATCCTTGTAATCTGTCCATCCCATACAAGAATTTCTTTGAACTAGAACATCCAAATTAACATGATAACATTGTAAGCATGTGTAACATTTATTTCAATTGGATTTGTTGAAAAACATTAAAGTATATAAAAATATATTAAAATACTCCTTAGATTTCTTTATTTTAACATACATATTATTCATAGAAGAACATAACAATTTAATAAAATACACAACTTTATACATATTGAATTAAAAGATTCATCAAGTATGATTTGGACTTGCCTAAAGAACAGTTAATACATAGTCTGATCTTAAAGGAATTTAAGCACCTCAAAGTTTACCTTATAAGGTCTTTTTGAGATTGTATGTAACATGGTGTATGTAATAAAATTTGTTTTTATTTACTAGTTTAAGCCTCAACAGTATCACCTAGATAAGGTATTTGCAAGTATTTTTTTAAATTGAACTCATTATTTAGATCATCATTTATTTATCATTTTAACAAATAAATAAGTAAGAACACCAGCATAGATATATGGTTGATAAATTATTAAAAAACTTACATTTTGGCATTTTCATGCATATTTTTAAATTTATGTCATATGTAACCTGATGTCAAATTATATCTTTATGTGATATTTATTTATGTAATACATTTATGTAATATACAGTTAATTACACTATTGTCCATTGTGGATATTTATAGTGCATATCATGAGTATAGTAATTAAATTACTTACTAAGGTAATTTTAAGAGATGGAATAACTTCTTTAACAAATAGTTCAGCAGAATCCCTCCTGAGGCTAGCAGTCGGTGGGTCACATTGCTGATAAGCTGTGTGTTCATTCTGTGCTTCCACATTATATAAAATTAAATGGCCTTCAGAAGTCTGAAATGTTATAAATATTCACTTATTTCAAACATTCACTGTTTAAATGATGCTGATATTATATTATTAAAACATTTCATGCCAATTATTGCATGGCACAACATACAGATATACATATCATTGATGAGTCTGGTTTCCATTCTACTCCAACATTAACTCCAAGTCTTTGTAGAGATTCTGCACTTCTTTTATGATAGACTATAGGTACAGATGGCTGAAAGTTAAAATATTTTTTTACATTGCAGTATGTATTACTTAAATAGAAAAAGATAAATTTTAATGCTTATACAAACAAAGTATAAGTTTATAGGATTACAAATATTGGAAGCCATGGAAATTAGATATCTTATTAGGACAAAAACAAATGCTTTGCTCATTGTGAAATATTAAGTAAGCAAATGATTTATTATATATTAAGAAAATGACAAAAATCTTCTTTTTTTTGTTTTAGTTTAACACATCTAAAAGCAAAGCTTGTTAATATTTCTAAGAAAGCATACCTTACAAAACCATATGACTAAAAATTCATCACTTAAGGAGGCAAATAATATTTTGTCCCGATTAGATACTATTTGCTTCACTAATTGAATATCCGTCCCTAAGTTCTTTAGAACTTTTGGCCATCCTATAGGGAAATACATTGTTTTCTGTCATTAAGCAATTTTTTTATAACGTAGAAATTTCAAAATAGAAATTAAATATTTAAACTCATTTTTTAATCATTGACGTTTATCACAAAGAACGCAAAGCATTAATTTTGCACAAATTTTCGATTCATCTGTTTCGTCAACACTTGGACTGGATTTGACATATTTGACATTTGTATTTTGGCAGTTGGCACTCTGCATTTGACGTTTGTGATATGTAATTTTTTTTCAGCTCGATAAGGTTTTTTTTCACTCCTACAAGAGAAACTCCTGCACCTAATATCACTTTTTACACTTGAAAACTCTTGAAGTTAACGTTGGGTTCTAAAAAAAAATAAGTTTTTAGCTCGACAGGTTAAGGTTATTTTTTTGCATAAATAAACGCCAGAGAGTGGTAGATAATCGTATAAACCAACAATAATCAAACAAATAATATATTTTTATTCATCCGATTATCAGACAAATAGGAATAGCCTATAGTGTATTTATTCGTCCAATAATAGTTGGATGAATAACATATTTTTTATTCATTCGCTTAGCGGAGACTAACAACAGCCTTTTTTATTTATCCTTAGTGTGTCTGTCAAGGCGAAGACTTGATTATGGTTAAGTATATTCTGTTGACATATTTATTCGTATGATTTCGCAATATAATATTAGTTTACTTAATAATTTAATTACCATTAAAAAAAATGCAGTACAATATGAACATGTTATATACCAGAATGAAAATAAAAATAATAACACATCGATACAAAATCGATACGTTTTTACCTGTATCGATTTTGTAGATTAAATAACTTTTGACATGTCTATTGTCTATATCCATAATTTGGCAACACTATTTTCTCGATGCTAGGCTGCTAACATTTTAACTAATCAACAAATATATGTTATTTTCCCGAATATTTTGTGATTTCAGTAGAAATACTAGAAAGTTTAATTTTTATCCGTATTAAAGTTATTTAATGATGTTCATAAGTAACAAGTGTATGAAAGTTTTCTACAATGTCCGAAGAAATTGATTTAGAAACCAACCACCTCTGTACAACAGAGGACGCATTTGAAAAATTTCAAGCCGTTTCTATGTATGAAGAAGATGAATTCATAACTCTTTCTGATATTGTATCACCATCACGAGGTAACCATGATATAACTGAAGTACTTAACGATGCACCACGCAATAATGATCGTGAACATGTGGAAATTGGCCAAGAAGAGATCATTTCTGAACCAATACAAGCGCCACAGTTGTTAGAAAAAACTATAGAGAATACGATACTTCTGCAGAAAAATATACCCACAAAAAAAAGTAGAAAAAAGAAAAAAAACGATCATCAAAATACAAATATAGAATGCAATTTTATGACATCGGATTCTATAGATACAAAAAAACCATTAAACATAGATAGTGAATTAAACTTAGAAAGTATAGTCGAAGAAGAAAAAGATCTACAAATATCAGCAACTTCTTCAGAAAAATTGACGAAACCTATTCAAAATGAAAGAAAAGATTTGTCAATAGTCACTCAAATTACAGAAAACCAACCTAAAAGACGAGGTAGACCACCAAAACGACGAAATGCTGATATCCAAAAATGTGAAGATGATGAAAATGAAATATCAAATAAAAAAATTACAAGTGAAAATGACAACAACATTTCTATGAATGCCTCTAATTTAGCTACCAAAAGAGGCAATAAGAAAAAAGATCCTGACCTTACTTCAAAGACATTAAGTGATCGTGGAGTAAACATTAACTCTAAACAAAATTGTTATAGTGATGAAAATGAAACATTAAAAAATATAAATGCGACCTTCCCATTAGAAGATATTAATATTACTAAAGATACAATTGTAGACACTAGTGATGATAAAAATAATATTTCTGAAGATGACACAGAAGATATACCATTAGTAGCATTAAGTACTAAGAAAAATAATAAAGTTGAAAAAATTACAGATAATGTTAATAACTTAGAAATTAATACAGAACTTGAAAATAAAGTATTAAGTGATACTATTAGTGACCCTAGTCCTCAACAGACAGAGCCAGATCAGTTTTTGGATAAGATAACAAAGAAACGTGGTAGGCCTAAAAAAAGTAATATAAATCTCATACATCAAGTGCCTGAGGTAAAATCTGATCTTGAGATAAAAGACAATGAAAAGCCTACCAATGAAGAAGATGATATAAGCTTGAGTAAGTTAAAAGACAAAGGTTCAATATCAGCTATTACCATAGATGCTCCTTCTGTAGGTACTGATCTTCAAGAAAATGTTAACAATTTACAGAATTTAGATAATACAGAAAGTAATTTAATTAGTAAGAGAAATTCGAAAAAACCAGTTTATTCAGATTATGAATATAACATCGATAGTATCATAAATAGTGATATAAAAAAAGAAACCACAGATGAGAAATCCAATGATTCGGAATTACTTTTGACAGAATCAGCTAGGCCAGCGCGCCGTAAGGCGAAAAAAAATTTACATTATGATGAAGGATCCGATGAAGATCCTTTTGCAAATATTGAGTTATCTGATGATGAACCAAGAAGAAGAAAAAAGGGTGGTAGATATAATTCAGATGATGAATATATTCCAGGCGATAATAGACTTCAATCAGAATTGACAGATACTGACAGTAATATTGAAGAAGAGATTGCGGATGAATTTAAGATACACAAAAAAAAGAAATTCAGAAAATCAAGTGGTAGTTTTCAGAAAAGCCCCAAAAAACGAATTAAACGAAGTATAGAAGATACTTTAGAATCAAATGAAAATGTTGATATTGAACTTAACTTAGAAACATCAGTTATTAAGGCAGATGAAAATAAACAATCCACTCAAGCTAAGTCTTGGAGTGCAACAAATGAATTTGAAAACTTCCTAGCTAAAATAGTCCAAGGAACAGATATAAAAATAAAGAAAGCTAAAAGTATAGATAATGCAAAAGCACCATTGCAAATACCAACAATTGATCCCACTAAAGAAAAGAAAAGTGTTGAAACATCTTCACAAACTGATATCATTAAAACTAAGCCAATTGCAGTTCAGACAAATACATTGTATGAGGTTCCTATGAAAAATCAGGTTGCTTTAACAACAGAACAATCTCAAAAAGCAATTGAATTTTTGTCTGGCATTGTAAAGACAACTTCAGAATTAGGCCAGCTAATGACTCAAAAAAGTGAAGATTTTATTGAGAAAAAAATAAACACTGCATATGTAACCGATACATTTAAAATGGATTATTGTGTAAAAAAATCTTTTTTGCTGTTTAAACTAGCCAAACACAACTTAGTTCAGATGGAAGAAGACTTATCAAAACAATATGAGGAATTTTTAAAGGAAAATAATTTAAGTCAACATAGAGAACAAGAAAAAGTAGTTGCATCAACATCAAAAGGCAATGATAGTGATTGTGAAATTGTTGAGGAACCAATAAAGAATAAAAAGAAAGAAAAACCAGTCTTTAACCCAAAAACTGTATTCCTAAACAAGGAATTATCTATTAAAATAGCAAAGAAGCCAACAGAAATGCCAAAAGCCAAGGAAAAAATAGTTGTTAAAGGAAGACATGCCGTTTGGATTAATGATTCAGTAATGGTAAAGAAAGTTAAGCCTACACAGTCTTTTTTAGCCCAGGACGGCCGAAATAAAAAACCACCTGATACCTTTGTAACATTAGAAATGGTAAGTGATTTCTTCAAAATGTATGAACGCCAAAAGGCTCTATCACTTTGTGCTCCATACATAAGACACAGTTGGTTACAAAAAGAAACAAGATACGTTTGTAATTATTTTTTTGACAAACCAACAAAATCTTGTGAAAGTTCTTATGTTACTCCGAGTGAAGAAGTATCGTCTGATGTCTCAAATACTGTAATGGATTCAAATAATACTAGTAATTCAATGTTGACTTCAAAACTAGACAAAACAAGCCCTGATTCATTGTTATCAATATGTATACAAACTTTGCAGTTTCTAATGCATTTCAGAAAAACTTTAAATTCTAAGATATGCCCCTCTAAAGATAATGTACATCACTCCAAAGTGCACTCTCCTTGCAATAGGAAATATGAGGACAATGGTGATGTACTATTAAAGGATGTAAATAGGAATGATGAATGTTTAAAAACTCAGAAACTAATTCATGTTAATTCCCTTAAAACTCTTTGTTATAAAACAATTATCCAACTTATTAATGTACCTACTTTCAGTGAGAGTGAATCAGGAAAAGTGAGAACGAAATTTGCAGAAACAAACAATAACTATATTTGTACAAAAAACAGTGACATTGTGAATTGTGCAAAAAATACTACTTGTAGTTTTCAAGTGAAATCTTTATCATCAATGTGTGTGAGTGTACTTCAAAATCCAACAAGATGTCAAAATAAATGTAAAAAACAAATTGTAATATATAAAGTCAAACCATTGAAAGATTTAGTATTAAGGAAAATTAAGAGAATTATTTATGCTGAATTCAAGCCAGACCATTTGAGTCAGCGAGAGACATATTTAAAAAGAGAGAATAATGGAGTTAAAAGTTTATTACTCTTATGTACAGAATTAATTTCTTTTAAATTGTCTGAAACATATGATGATAAGCAACATGTACCAAATTACATGTTGCATGGTAATCAAATAGGAACATCTGTAGTTTTGCCTCTAAAATCAATTTCCCTTAAGAAAGTTGTATCTTTAACTAAAAGTGATAATATATTGGTATTAGATAATGATGTAACACTTAATTTTACAATAGATAATGTAAACACAGTGTCAGAAGAGATATTTAATAAGAATTCTGAAGAAAACAATGAAAATGAATTGAATATAAATAATGAGCAGTACTACTCTGATAATGACTTTGATATTAGCTATGACGACGGTGATGGTGACGTCGGTGATGAAAACAATGAAACTAATTGGGTTTCACAAGTTCAGATGCAGGAATTACGCTCTTGCGCAGAACCAACAAATAATGATGATTGTGAGAAATCTCAGAATGGTATTCTAGAAGACTCTGTTATAAATGTTAAGATTGAACCACTTGAAGATGTGTGTGGAAATGTTATTGATTCTTCTACTATCAAAATGGAGCCCGAAGAAGTGCATGATAATTTAATAAATTATACATCTTTAGACATAATTACTAAACAAGAAGATATAGTGGTTAATTCAACTAGAGAACCCATTCAAAGGAAAAACAGTAATAGTTACGATGTAGACGCATTCGAATCTTTTGTAAGTTCTAATAAAATGATTCTATCTATGACCAATTTAGATAGTGAAGAAATTTTTAGCCAAAGTGCTAGTCGAATTCGTCGACAATATGAGCCGGACTCTGATGATGATATTGACACTCTTTATGATACTATGAATTTATTAGTTCCGCAAAGTACTGAGACAGCCAAAGATAGATTAATGGCAAGCAGTTCGGATGAAGGAACTAGTAAACGAATAGGGAAAAAGAAAACAGATAAGCGTAAACCTCGGATTAAAAAAAATAATAAGGATCTTGTAGAACTTGCAAAAGAAAAATCATCTTCAAAAATTGAAACATTAACTAGAAGAATGAGAGGAAAAATAAGATTAGAAGAGAAAAAAAATGAGTCTTCGGATTCTGAAATAGATGATGAACTAGACTTAAACTTAAAGAAAAGGAAAAATTATAAAATATCTAGTGATACTTTATGTAAATTGCAAGAAAATGAAATACAGTGTAATGATGTAGATTCTACTGAACATATACAATACATTAATGAACACAAAAACGAACAAGAGAAAAGCCCAATTAAATCTGTAGAGGAAATACAACCATCAGACGCTTCTTTAATTTTTGCAAATGTGCCTATTGAATTATTACAATGCACACCATCTATAACTACATCAGAAGACTGTATTGAAGGATCTAAGAGTATTAATGAAAATGACTGTAAAACATCTGATGAAATAGAGGTAAATGGTGTGTCGTATATTGAACGTCATGGATGGAAGTGCTACCCTATAAATGATAGAGACAGCAAGATCTATCGATATGCTTATGTACCATTAGATAAATTACCAGAATGTTTCGTAGATACCTATTATAGATATCAAAATGTGACCGGAAAAACACAAGACGACACAGAAATTGATAAGTATGTGTCTCCTATACTTTTTATGTTATACTTTTTAGCTTGAGTTTTTATTTTATTTTTATTAATATTTGCAGATTGACAAACTTACAAACATTACATAGATTACAAACAAAAGGCAAGTCTAAAGGAAGCAAAAATGTTTCTACTAAAAACCCAAAAACACAATTTTTAGAAAATGTCCAAAAAAATAACCGAAATGATGAGGAGTTTCGAGAGCTTTCGCCATCAGAGGATGAGGATGATAACGTTGTCGACAATTTTGTTCTCGATGTAAGTCTTTCTATCATATGTATTAATTAGCGGCTCTCCCTCGCTTCGCTTGTGTTCGCCTCTGGGAAAACAAAAACAAACCTATCCCACGGAAACCGTACATTTTTCCGGGGTAATAAGTATATGTGTTATTCCAAACTATAATCTTTCTCTCTGCCAAATTTCATCTAGATCCGTTCAGCCGTTCTGCCGTAAAAGAGTAACAAACACTCATACTCATAAACTTTCACATTTATAATATTAGTATGTATAGATAACTACCTCGGTGGTGTAGTGGCTAGCATGTACGGCTGCACACCCGGACCGGACCCGGACCCGGGTCGGGCCAAGTTTAGTTATTGAGTCTTTCTGTATAGTAAGTCTCAGTAACAGCCCAGAGTTGGGAAGTTGGCGGTGTATCACCCCCGTGCCTCGGAGAGCACGTAAAGCCGTCGGTCCTTCGCCTTAACTCTCACCGGTCGTGTCGAGTGGTGGTCCCACCGGAGTATGAGAGTGATAGGAATAGAGAGTGCACTTGTGTCTGCGCGTACACTTGAGCATTATAATATATCCTGCGCAGTAGGCTAATCTCATTGAGATTGGCCGCCGTGACCGGAATCGGCTAGGAGAACATCATCATCATCATGTATAGATAAATCGTTTCTTCGTTGGCCTAGTGGCTAGCATGTACTACTGCAAATTTTAAGGTCCTGGGTTCGAGTCCCAGGTCAAGACAAAAAAGTGACTGAGTTTTACTGTCATGAAATAGTAGCAACTCAAACTTAAGAAGTCGACCATGTATGCCTGTCTGTAGATACTGTGAATTAATTTTCATCATTTCGGTCGAGTAGTTGTCCCACTCACATATTTGGATTGGATATAGGAGTTAAAGATACAGAAAGTGCATGTTGTGTCAGAGCGTACAGCTGCAGTATAATATGTCTCGCGCAGTTGGCTAGTCTTAATGAGGTTACCAAAATTGGTTAGATGGTAATTTCTTCAATAATATTTATATTATTTTAGGCACCACAACAAAGCTCTGATAATTACTTAGCTAAAAACCTTTTAATGGATGATGAAAGTGATGAGGAGAGTAAGATAAAAAAAATCAAAGAAGAAACTGATGATGAACTGAGCCCTAAAACAAGATCAAGACGTCAAATAAGATCTAAAGGAGAAACGGAAGAGAAAGAGAAGCCAAAATCTGAAGTCTTAATGCTTACAGCTGATAAAATGATGAACACAGAACTCAAGCTATTACATGCACCAGTTGAAGTCAAACATGAATTAGAAAGTACAAAAGACATAGAAAACAAAACTAATACTAGAAGTACTAATGTGGGTATAGTAGCAAAATTATTATCATTATAGAGCTAGATTTATTAGTAAATTTTTATTGAATATTCATTTTCTGTACTTTTAGAAAAAAATGCCAAAAAGTAATGTAACGAAAATACGAATAAAAGATGAGGACGCCTCTTCCTCTGAAGAAGAGAAGCAATGGGTTACCACCAAAGAAAAGCTTTTAAAAAGATTAGAGAAAAAGCAAGAAACCCCTAGGTATGCGTATTTTTATGTTTTATATTATAATTATCATTTTTTTACTTTTTATGATATATTGACAGTTAGTATGGTATAGATATGCTATTCATACAACAGGTATGATGAGTTGTTGTGTGTTGTATATTATAACGTGTTTTTGCATGGCAATGAGAAAATTCCCCGCGATAAAAGTAAAGTACCCTATGTCACTCTCCAGCCCTCCATCTATCTCCACACAAAAAATCACGCTAATCCGTCATTCTGTTTCGACGTGAAGGAATGGCAAAAAAACACTTTCACATTTATAACATTATTAAAGTATGGATTTTGAGGTAGAAATGTTAATCTGTCTGTTAGGTAGCTCCTGTGGTTGATCAAATGCACGCTTTTTAGTACTAATATCCTAACCACCAGTGACCAGATGGTTATTAAATGATTATGATACTAGATATAAGAAAAAAAAATTGTTACGCCATATGTATAATATAATATTATTAAAATTTCAGCGTGGACGATGCTAAACGTGCCAAGATTGTAAATGAATACATAGAGAAGCGCAGCGACGGCATGGAGACGTCGAGGCAGCGAGCACGCCCGCGCCGCCGCTCTAAAAAAAAGCTGCTCGAGCGACGTAAGCAGATGAAGTTAGTATCGTTAAAATAAAGTAATTTTTAATAATAAAACACCTTACAAGTAATGATATTATATGTAATTTCATATTATAAAATTATTATATCATTATATTATATATATTAGTGATTAACCCTGGCTTCGGATTCGTCCCCGGTGTGACAGAAGTCTATTTGTTACTCCATGTCTTAGTCTATCTATGTATTAATTACTAAATAAATAAATTTCACGCAAATCCTTCCAACCGTTTCAGCTTGAATAAATAACAAACATACACACATTTACAAACTTTCGCATTGATATAATTTTATTTTATTTATTTCATAAGCACAATACAAATGGTTGAATGTTATTTTTTAGATACGAGTACAGTTGATGTGTCGGTACAACGCATTTTTCAAGGGCAGTTTGTTAGTCATTGAAATTATTCTTGTTTTAGGATACTTTCAAGAGAACTGTTCGGTGATGAATCTTCTCATACCGGGAAAAAGTATCAATCTCAAGCCTACAGCAAAGGTCGACGTAACATTAGAAAGGTATTTTTAAGTTTTACTTATAAAAAAAATATGTGGTAGTTACTTTATAATATTTATCATATATATTTTATTCAATATTTAAAGTTGATATGATACATTTTTGAAGTGAAACTTCTTTAGAATCGTTGTGATTTGAAACTCGATGAAGCGGAAATGCAGAAGGAGAAAGAGACAAACACATAAATATATAGGTTTAAGCCGGCGAGATGATCACAAACAGTTAACTAACGCGCTAACTCTCTGTCACTTTAATCTATCTTTGCCATGATAACGTTGTTATTGTCTGACAAATGACATATAATATTGTATTTTTCCTTCTTTTCTTTCCATTGCGGCCACTTTTACATAGGTAGAGGTATTTTATCATGCACAGAAAAAAAATATCTTTAATTTTATATATAAATGATGAATATACGCCATGAACATATAAATGTAACAAAATATGATCTGCTTACACCTGGCTGCGATGAGGTTGCAGCCAAGTGCGCAATCGATTTTCAAGATCTCTACGTATATTTCTGTAAAGTGGAGTATAATTCATTTTAATAACAAATGCATCGTTTTTGTTCCAAAAAGTCGTCAGTCCAAAATTATTATTTATTTCATTAAACATACTAGCGGGCACATTTTAATAGGCACCCCGGTCAAAACATATTGTCCCTTTTATTATTGTATATAAAAAAATGATTTCGATTAAATACGCTATGAACGTAGCAATTTTGCAGCCGGATCTCGATCCATAATAAGTGTATTATCACGTTATAAAATTAGTTTTTTGGTCCAACTAATTTTGATGTATAAAATTCGTGAAATAAGTCGCCATTATATAACATGAATTTTGACTATTTTTTTTATTTTTGTTCGTGAAATTTTCCGATGTTTTAATAGTTATTCTGCTATTCAGGGAGAAGGTTATGTTAATAAAAAAAAAGAAGACCAATCCAACAAAATATACAAGACCATAAAAATCGGTCCAGCAGTTCTCGAGTTATAAGTATTGTAACAAACCCGACTTTGTTTTATATATGTGTGTAGATTATATTCTTTCCATATATGATATTCCATAAATATATGATTGTAATATGTCCAACATGCCTTACTTAATTAATGATTTGTTTTAATTAAATTGCAATATTTGCCAAAGAAGTTTCACTTCTACCGTGAGTAAATTGCATACACACACACTTTTAAATTTTTATTTTATTTAAAGGTATTAGATAAGAAATCGTTGGCGCGAAGTACTGTTCTAGCGAATATGGAAGAATTTGAAAGGAAAAGAAGGCTGAGTCAGCGTCAGGGACAATTGGTAATTATTAGTATTACTAGCAGTACCCGCAGCTTCGCCCGCATCCAAACTTTCGATCGCCAATGCAATTCACAGGATGACTCGCTGGTCTAATCTGAAGATTACCTGAAAATTTCATAAAAATAGTTCCAGCTGTTTTGGAGTCCATAGGAAACATACATACACACATCGATTTTTATTTTATTTAATCAACAATATAAATTTATTTATTGTTCGGAAAATGGAATCTTTTATAAAAATTCAGTGACACACCGACTGCAGCGCCACCTACCGGATCCATTTGTGAATTTTGAATTCACTTTGCAGGGACTCGGACTCGAACATACACAAAAAAAATCATTAAAATCGTCCCTGCACTTTAGGAGATGGTCAGTGGCATACCGACTGCAGCGCCACCTACTGGGTCCAATTGTGTTTTCAAACCTTGCAGGGGCCCACTAGAACATAGACAAAAAATATCATTAAAATGTTCATACTATCCAGGAGCCCATTGAAATATACACTCAAAATTTCATCCAAATCGGTCCAGCCCTTTAGGAGGAGTAGGGTAACAAACACACCTACAGAATAATTATATATATTAAGATATAGTACATATATATATAAAAAATATTCTAATAAATCATCTGAATCATCAATGCTGAAGCTCAATTTAATTTTGTTACATATGTATGTAACAATTGATTTCGTTATTTGTAAGTCTACATAATCTTTAAACTGAAGAAATTTTATTTTCAAAGTGTAGATTTTTCATTTTATACATATTTTTTTCATACAGAGAGAAGTCCTTGGCTGTGAAGAAGGTGTTAATGTTGTGGTTATCAATGACGAGCTCTGTCTGGAATATGACTTTGAGAATATGCGACCTCTTGTCACTGTTCATCAGTTCTTTACCAAAGTCATGAAAGCCCATCAGGTAATTAGAAATATATAATAATTTATAAAAAGGGATGGTTTCTTTTTTCTATATGCTTAAAATTCAATTTTTAAAACTTGCAATAATAGTAGGGGAGCCCAAGAGGGGATTTTCTGTAGTTACTCGAGCGCGGCAGATTAATATACAGGGGGATACCTTGTACCCGGTTAAGTACCTCCACAAAACATGAGGCCCATATATAAGGCCGCCCGTGAAGGATACAGGATCAGATTAGTAAAAAAAAATTGACCACCAGAAATTCTCGAGCGCGTCAGATTAAGGTAGGGTGAATTAATTACATCCTAAAAAGTGTATATTCCACTAATCTGACAATTTGAGAGTGACGTAAAAAAAGGGGAGGGCAACAAAGTTGTAAAAAAAAACGTCATCTCGACATTCTCGAGCGTAGCTAAATTTTTTTTTATTTTGAAGGAAATAATGCAAGAATAATGAAAAATATATAATCTGACGATTTCCGCAAGCCGAAATAACAAAAATTCGTCGATAAAGTTAAATGCGTGCAGCTGCGTGATGCCTACATTTCCTTCTCCGCGTTTCTATTCCTCTCTCACTCTTTCTCTATCTATTACTCTCTCACTCCGTCCCCACTCTGGTTTCAGCCGCCATGACACCATCACAGCTGATCATAAAGAGTCTAGGGGTGTGCGAACATCGTTCGAATCGAATCGAATATCAATATTCGATTCGGAACGAATAATTCGTAAGTTTGAATTATTCGCACACCCTGTTGTATTAGTTTATCAACCGACTTCAAAAAGGAGGAGGTTCTCAATTCGACTGTATGTTTTTTTTGGTAGTTTGATTGGTAGTTTTCATTTACTATACATACCTAATCAAATATTTTCGAAGTCGGTGTGCTTTGGCTAAATAATTAAAGCCTACCTATTAAATACATACCTAATCAAGTTAATATTAAGTTTAATATTAAGTTTTTATTTTTCCCTTTTTAGTGTAGACAGTAGTAGAAAAGTAAGGATTCTAACGTGTTATTATATGTATTCGAGCTCAAATGCATAGAAATATTATTTCTTTGAACTCTGCGAGCTCAAAATATCACATAAATTATATTTTGAGCTCAAAAATGCCATAAGTACAATTTTAAGCGCACAGGAATGGAATTAGCGGGAAGTTGCAGGTACGGCCTTTAAGGTGAACCGTTTTTCTAAATTTTTTTGTCAGATCAGGCGAATCCCTCTAGATAATCGTCAGATTATGAGACAGTACGTTTAGAACATAAAGATGAACCATATATATCTTAATCTGACGCGCTTGAGTATTTCAAAATGGCGATTTTTTTTTGCACATTATGAAAATGGCCGCGAGTTTGCGTCCCATCGAAATCGTCAGATTAGTGAATGAGAGCTTTTTTTTGGTGCAATTAACACTCCCTTAGAAAATCTGACGCGCTCGATTAAATTATTTTTTTTTCATTTTCAACCCTTAAATACAACCACCCGCATCATGCAAACGATCAGATTAACATACGTACATTATTAAAAATACGTAGGGCATTTATGCTATCAATATCTGACGCGCTCGAGGATGTCTATGCAACAGCTTTTTTTTACATATTTAAAAATCTATAGCCGCTTCCCCCACCGATGTAAAGGTATATATCATATAACATTTTATTCTTCTTATCATCTAAGCTTTGCATCCCAATAGGTCTCTACGACGCTCGAGTAAATCCCCATTTAGCTTTGTGGGCTCCCCTACCATAACAAATTCTTCGCAAAGTTAGTTATTGTGCGATCTTAAAATAAAAATCTTTTCGGATTTTTTCGCGGATTTATTTTGTTTGAATATGATTTGTATCATAGTCACGAGAAAGACTAAGATTTTAGACGTCTTTAAATGCCATTAATGTAAGGGGCTTTGGTGCCATTTTTTGTATTTTTTGAAATCATTTCTAATTTGGTGGGTAGGTGCTGTTTGTAACAACTATATACTGACCCTTGAGATGTCTAAAACCTTAGTCTCACCCGTGACCATGATTGCTGTAAAGCATTCGAAACATCAGGAACCAAAAATTAAATCAAATACAATTAAATCAAGTGGAGTCACGGGTTGGGCTAAGCTTAGTTATTGAATCTGTTATTCTCAATAACAGCCCGGAGGTGGCAAGTTGGAGATGTATCACCCGCGTGCCTCGGAGAGCACGTAAAGCCGTGGGCCTTGCGTCTGATCTCCCACTAGTCTTGTGGAATTGTCGGCCCATTGGGATATGAGAGTGATTACATTTACTCGCAAATATCGATGAGGAACGATAGAGTGCAAAAATGTCTGTGCGCATATTTGTGTACTATAATATCTCATGCGCAGTTGGTTAGTGACCGAAATCTTGATCGATTTGGACATTATAATATGTGCATAACGTTTGAACCCTTAGTACGAAGGCGTGAAGTTCATGTGGGACGCGTGCTTCGAGAGCGTGTCGGCGACGGCGCGCGGGCGCGGCGGCGGCTGCATCCTCGCGCACTGCATGGGGCTCGGCAAGACGCTGCAGGTGCTCGCGCTGCTGCACACGGTACGTGCCGAGGCAGGGGGAGGCGCGGTTGGGGCGCACCCGATTGTCATACTTTTATATGACTCGGGTTCGTCTCTGCTTACATTTTAACGTTTAGTATAGATTTCTCAGAGATGAGATATTTTCCCGCAGTAAAAAGTATTCTATATGTTGAACCGGATAACCAGCTACCATCATACCAAATTTCATCAAAAGTGGTTTTTCCGTGATGCGGTCAAAGACAGACAAAAATTCTAAAACTATATATTCGGCCTCTGTATCGATAATAATGTTTATTTCAATTAGATTTTCCAAAAAAATATTTAACTATTTCAAGTTGAAAGACTAATAAACATACACATTACACATATACAAATGTTGGCTTCTAATTATACTATTAAGTACATACTGTGGTTATAGGTATTGACTCACCCACAATTGAACATGCGTCGCGTCCTTGTGTGCTGCCCGCTGTCTACGGTTCTTAACTGGGTAGATGAGATCAATAAGTGGATTGGACCAGTCACAAATAACATTAAGGTAATAATGAATACACATAGTTATTTAATTAAAATATTATAATAAATATTTACTTATTTTTTATTTTATTTTTTCCATGCAGCGAAATGTAAAGAAAAAATTACAGGTACTTGCTTTTAATGCTTATGTATAAGGAATGAAGATAATATGTATATTTTGTAATAAAGTATACAATATTAAATTTGAGCTTAAAAGTTTTTTTTTTAATTTTTTCAGTGATATGATTAAAATATTATACAAATTAAAATTTACTTAGTTTTATACCAAATGGAATGTACCCATTTTGGAAAAAAAAACTTTTAAAACCATTTTAACAGTAATTATCAGAATTGTAAAGTATTTTTTTAGTATTTGTTTTATTTTAAAAGTTTTTTAGTATTTCATATTGAACCATACTTAAGAATCATGGAAATCAGTGTACATATCAACAATGTCGAGTAATATGTTCATTAAAAAACACTGCTTTAAAAAAGTCTACAGATATAACTTAACTATATAGAAAATAAAATAGACCAATATTGTTCATCAAAACAACATTTCTTTTTTAGGTATTTGAACTATCAAAACTTAAGAAAACCTACGAACGCGCCTACCAGCTCGAAGACTGGTACAACGGGGGTGGAATTTTCATAATAGGATATGAACTATTCCGAAGTCTCTCAACATTACACCCATCTATCGACTGCGTGAGGCCAACAATCGTTAATAAGATTCGAACAGCTCTGTTGGACCCTGGACCAGACATCATCATTTGTGATGAAGGCCATCTCCTGAAGAACGACTGCTCGGTGCTGGCGGTCTCCATGAGCCGGGTGGTGACTAAGCGCCGCATCGTGCTGACGGGCACGCCGATGCAGAATAACCTCAGGGAATACTATTGTATGGTCAACTTTGTGAAGCCTAATCTACTTGGAACATACTCGGAGTATTCTAATAGGTTAGTGCACTATTTAAACTGAACTTAATAAGGTCATATTTGGTTTTATATTTGCGTGCATGTTATCTGATGTTTTTGTTGAATCTCATTTAGTTTTAATTATTTATATTAATGTTTAAAAAAACTACGCCTATATATTGACAGAAAAACGAAGTTAATTATGTTTTTTTTGTTAAATAAAAGTGATATTGATATATTGAATTATATGCTTCTCGCATTTTAAGACGAGACGTTTGGTTCAGTTTGTAGTGACCTTACTTGTGGTGCTAACGGTCGCAGGTTCGAATCCCGCTGGGGGTATTCATTTGTGTGATGAGCATGAATGTTTGTACTCCAGTCATAGATGCCTATATTTATAATATGTATGTATTTAAAGATATATATGTGTAATGTATCAATTATCTGGTATCCATAACACAAGCTTCATAGCTAACCATGGAACTAGATGGTGCTGTGTGTTAATGTCCCAATATATTATTATTTCACAGATTTGAAAATCCAATAATGAATGGACAGCACAGAGATTCCAGAGAGGAAGATATAAAGTTAATGAAAGCTAGAACTCATATACTGCATAAAGTTCTAGAAGGATGTCTCCAACGTCAAGAAGCTTCCGTCCTCTATCCATACTTACCAAAGAAACATGAATATACTCTGTTCATATCGCTGAGTAAATGCCAGTGGGACTTATACAAGCATTACTTGGAAAATTACGCTAAGGAAGCCAAACAAAGTATCTTAAAAGATTTTCATATCCTACAAAAAATCTGGACCCATCCGCAGGTGTTACATAACTTTCTAACGAAGGCTCGAAGTGAAGAGAAAGATACTAAAATTAAAGGTAAATAATCTAGTTTATTTATATGCCTTGATTATCTATATATTTATTGAGTGTATCTGTGTATGTGTATTCGTGCGTGCGTTTGTGTGTGTACTACAAATATGATAAATCTTAACAGAGCTTAAGATTTTTCATTTTATTAATTTTATTAATTCATAATTATTTGAAGTTAGCTTAGCAAGTAAAACAAATTTACTATTTATTTATTGTCAGTGGAGAAAATCGAGGACGACCTGGCTCACGAGGATTTGGCCGCCACCGAGGACATCAAGCCTGGTGCCACCGAGACCTGGTGGCTGCAGTACGTTGCCGACACCAACAGTCTCGACTCTCTGGAAAGTTCCAACAAGTTCCTGATGGTGTTCCATCTGCTTGATGAGTGTACTGCTTTGGGCGATAAAGTGTTAGTATTTGTTAAAATAAATTTATGTTAATAAAAGTATTTTTATATTATATATATATAGCAACGAAAACTTGTGAGAACAATTATTATTGGTCAGTTTTGTAGAATGAGGATAGCGCAATACCTGATTAGTAATCTTAAATAGTTGGATTATTCGTGTATTTGTCGAGAGTATACTTGTCCCAATTATTGATGTGCTCACGATTCATATACTATAATATTAATTTAACTAAACTGATGATCCTGCTCTTAAATTATTTCGGCCATGTCGGTAAACCTCACTGACACTAGCTATGAGGACAGAAGATATTATGGAGAAAAGAAAATCTTAATGACTACACTTGGTCCGATTGGGAACTCGAATCCAAGACAACCGGGCTTGAAGCCGTACATCTCATATGTACGTAGATAGCGCAATTAGACTCTGCTACGAAAATGAGTAGACATTCAAACAATGAAATTATTTTAACAAATAAACTCCTATTCAATTTTTTTTTAAATGGAACTAACTTTCTGGATTTTTTTTTCAGATTTATTTTGATTTGAGACGTCTTAAACCTTAGCATCTCTAGTGACCCTGATGCTGTAAAGCAATCGAAACGTCAGGAACCAAAAATCTAAATTAATCCGCGAAGAATCCGAAAAAATAGTTTTATTTTGAAATACACACTTAATATTATTAATGTGAAAGTTTGTGAGGATAGATGGATATTTGTTACTCTTTTACGCCAGAACGGCTCAACGGATCTGGGTGAAATTTGACACAGATAGATATAGATTATTGTCTAGAATAGCACATAGATGAGTCGCTAGTGTCAAATGTTCGCGGTAAATCTAAGAGTGTATAATTCTTATCCACTCCGCCTACAGGTTAATCTTCTCCACGTCGCTGTACACGATGGACGCGCTGGAGTACTTCCTGCGGCGCAAGAGCTGGAGCCTGGGCAAGGAGTACTACCGGCTGGACGGCTCCGTGCCGCCGGAGGTGCGCCAGAAGTGGTGCAGGGAGTTCAACGCGCCAGCTAATACTACTACTAAGTGAGTTGTCTTAGTACATATTAGTATTAGTACTCTAAACCCTAAATGCAACATATGTTATATTACTTTGGTAATCACCATTTATATATAATTACTATGGTAATATAGTATATAATCCAAAAATAAGAATAGTATTAATGTGTACAATAATATATTATAATAATAAAAATTTAACTTAATTCAATTTATAAATATAGCAATAAAAATTTATAATTAAAGTAATTTATATAGAATAAGAATTTATAATTTACAATAATCTAAAAATGTTAAAATGTTATAATTGCATGCTGATTATTGCTTCCACACTGAATTATGTTGATTGAATGATTAATAAAAATTAAATATGTGAAATGTATTAGATGATTAATGTAAGTAGTGAAATAAAAGGCTCATTTTTTATTATTTATTTTATGGTAATATAGCATAGGTTATGATTGCTTTTATGTGCAAAAATGTGTGTAGTATTTGTCCTGCCTTAGCTGGATAAAGCGTAACCGAAAAATCTGATATTTCTATTCTTACTATTTATTCGCGTAGTTTAACAATCAACGATATATACTTGAATCATCATCATAAATCAGCCTTCTTTCATCCACTGCTGAACATAGGCCTCTCCTTAGGCACATCACTAAGCTCTTTAGTTCTACGTATCCAATCGTTGCCTACCACTTTACGTATATTGTCGATCTATCTAATTTGAGTTGAATAGCAGGACATAATTTGCATAGTAGTGTATCCCTAACACCAAACCTGGTAGCCTTTGTTTTACTCCAGTTCATAGTCCATGTATCTGTATACTAAACATGCAAATACATCTAGCCGTTTCACACATGTACAAACTGCATTGCATTTTTAACAGTTATTCAACAATAAATTGTTTTGTCTCAGATTGTTCCTGATCTCCACGCGAGCCGGCTCGCTGGGGCTGAACATGACGGCGGCCAACCGCGTCATCATCCTCGACACGTCGTGGAACCCCGCACACGACATACAGAGCATCTTCCGCGTGTACCGGTTTGGGCAGAAGAAGGACTGTTATATCTACCGTCTTGTCGCCATGGTAAGACAAATAATAAGAAACCGGCTAAGTGCGAGTCGGATTCGCGCACGAGCGGTTGTGTACCATTATCTATACTCGTAAAAACGGCAAAAAAGTCATGTCTGTTGTATGGAAGCCCCCTTAAATATTTATTTTATTCTGTTTTTTAGTATTTGTTGTTATAGGGACAACAGAAATACATCATCTGTGAAACTATCTAACTATCACGGTTCATGAGATACAGCCTGGTGACAAACGGACAGACAGACGGACGAACAGCGGAGTCTTAGTAATAGGGTCCCGTTTTACCCTTTGGGTATGGAACCCTAACAAGCTCTTATGAATAAACAGTGATGTAAACATTGAAAAATATTCACGAGTTTCACTACTACATATCATAACGTTTTTTTATCATTATTATAAGCCTGTTCTCGATATTTTGGGATCGTTTACATCATTCCGAAATAAGGTAAATCGAAGACATCCGATCTTTCAAAGAAACTCAGAGCACAACGCTCTTCATAACTCGCTGAGCGACTTTATACTGGTAGACCTATTTTACCGTCAGTGGCTCCTTTATATCATGGCATACTTATTAAAGACATTTGTTTTTAAGCTTTGCGGCGTTAAATTATTATTTACAAAATACAAATGTTCATCGAATGTATAATGTGCAGGGTACGATGGAGCAGAAGATCTACGAGCGCTCGGTGACGAAGCAGGCCGTGGCGTGTCGCGTCGTGGACGAGCAGCAGATCGACCGGCACTACAACATGTCCGAGCTCTCTGAACTGTACCGGTTTGTGCTTTATGTACTTTTTGTTATTTTGTATTATTATTAGTATTAGTTGGTTATAAATTTATACTAAGTAAATCTAATGTTTCTCAGTAAAATGTTTGTTTTAATTCTCTTGAGAAATAAATAGATCATATATCTCAATATGCAATTAACAATTAGCCTATGACTGAAATGAAATACTTATATTCATCATAAATAATTTTAAATATGTTACATTGTTTTCGCTCGGATTCATCACTAGGTGCTGCTTATGTGTTACTCCGGGTCATAATCTATCTGTGTTTCATTTCATTTTCATCATTCACCAAGTTTCATTTAAATCCGTCTAGTAGTTACAGCGTGAAGGAGTAACAAATACATTAGGATGCGAAACGATAATAATTATTGATAATTATCATGATATTTATCTTGATAATTATTGGTTGATGTATACAACTAATGAGGATGATATTCCACTCATTTATTTAATTAAATAGTGCCTATGTATTTGGTTAAATTTATTCTGTTTTTGTTTTCAAGTTTGTATGTGTCAAAATTATGAAAAGAAATTAATAAAAAATTACCTTAATTGTTAAAAGTGTATAATTTATTCAAACGTAAATTATGATAGGCAAGTAGTCAATTACCAATACCTACACAAGGATTGCTAAGTTTATATCTTAAATAAAACTATCTTTTCGGATTTTTTCGCGAATTTATTTTGATTTTTGGTTCCCGACGTTTCGAATGCTTTACAGTAATCATGGTCACGGGAGAGACTGAGGTGTTAGATGTCTAAGGTATTATATAGTTGTTACAGGCAGCCTACCCACAATTAACAAAATGAATTCAAAAAATTAAAAATGGCACTAAAGTACCTTACAATATTTTAACTTTAAACATTTTTATATAATTTTTATTAGCTTTATAATTGAATATGGAATATTATTTATTTAATTTGAGCTGTTATTATTATAATTATTAGAATTTTAAAAATATTAATTATTAATTTACATTTTTAGTGTTGCCATTATTATATGTATAACCATAAAGAAAAAATCATAATATATTAATTATTTAAGCCACATAATTGATCTATGTGTAATTTGAAAAGTTAAGATTAATTAAAAATAATAATTTTAATTTAAATTTGCAATTATTTAAAAACAAATTATTAAGCAACACATTACTACATACAAATGAAAAAGTGTGAAAAAGTGAAAAATGAATTGAGAAATGAATGATTGTATTCGCGTAAATCTAAGAAAGTATTAAGTTTATATCTGTTTGATAATTATCGGATAATTATCAATAGACGTATTTATCTTGATAATTTAATTCTTTGAAACACAGACACCCTTTCACATGTAGAATAATAACCCGTCGGGTGGGTACAGAGTGGACGAGTCGGGCTGCAGCGTGGCGGCGGGGCTGGCGGCGGGCGTGCGCGACGCGGCGCTGCTGCGCGTGGCGGGCGCGCGCGGCGCGCGCGCGCTGCACGCCGTGCACGAGCACGACTCGCTGCTGCGCGGCTCCGGCGAGACCGGCCTGCCCGAGCACGAGCGCGCCGCCGCCTGGATGCAGTTCCAGCAGGAGCACTCCAACACGCACAACAGTCAGTACACTCTCTCTCTCCCCAACACATGTCCATGCCAGCTCGGACGATTTCCCATCTACTTTTCTGTCATGACGCTACTTTTAAGTATCCTCTTATATACAACGGCCGATACTATTTTTTTTTAAACCAAATGACCAAATAACAATATTCCACAATTTTTTTCTTAAATGTGCGATTGAGATTTGAGCAAGTATAAAAATCAATGTTATACATTTATGATAATCAGGAAACATTTTCAAAGTTGGTGAGATGTCACTATATACGAAATGCTCGCCATGAAAATAGGTATTTTTGACGACGTTGCATTTGATAGCATTTCCATTAAAATCAATGGTATTGCATTTCGTAAATTTTATACTGTGCTGATGCCATAAGTACCTTTCCGATGCAAGCAAATTGGCCTCCTATTTTCAAATCTGAAGTTCTTTTAAAATCAAAAGATTGAAGACAATTTTTTACTTTTATTATTATTCCACAAAAATAACTAATCGATAGACGTAGCGCCATCTATTGACATTTATGTGGACTAACTTATTTGCGTCCTGATAAAACCATTCACTTGACTATTAAAAAACTGAGCCTGTAACATATTTCCTATTGCAGATATACAAAATATTGAATTGAAAATTCCAGCAAAATCAGGCGATGACAATGATCCCAAATCAAAAATAGAAGTTAAACCAGAATCTATTAATCCCTCCAAACAGGAACTGAAGTCGAAGAAAAATAAAAGAAGTGCAACCGTAACAGACAATATGTTGTCGCAACCATCTACCAGTGCGCAAATAGACCCTACTCTCAACCCTGAAGTAGAAAACGCGATGGTTCAACAAATCATGGATATCTTAATAAAACATCAATATCATGAATCAAAGGGGCCAAAAGAGATATCTGAACTCATTAGAAAAGTACGAAAAACAATTGCTAATATAAATGAGAGTGGATTTAATAACGTAGATCCTTTAACTGCGAGTATCGCCAAGGTTTTAATCGAAAGTGAGAGGGAAAATCAAAGTCTAAATAACGCTAGAAGTGATATCCAGCAAATAAAGTCGATAGAAGATATCGACTTAGCATTGAGCGACTCAGGCACAATCAGTGCCGACGAACTACAATTGATAAATAAGAATGCGTCTGACAGAAAACGAAATAAACAGAGACATGATTCAGATGAAGAGTATGTGCCTCGAGGCAAACGTAAAAGAAAAAAGGCTTGCGCTAGTGACATGTATATAAGTAAAATATGCAATGAAATGAGTAATGTTAATGATAATTCTAAAATGCTGATATCTGAGGTCGTTGACGATGTACGTAACGTATTTACCAATGTTAATGAAAACACTAATTCTTTGACCGCAAAAGTCTCCTCGATTTTACTCGAAAACAAGGACATTTGTGAGTCAGATGCAGTACATCACAATGTCAATAATGCTATAAGTGATGTCCAGCAAATGGACTCGAAAGAAGAACTCGAATCGGCACCGAGCGACTCTGAAACAATTAGTACCGATGAAATTTCTCAAGAAAATAAGCCTTTGTCTGACAGAAAACGACAGAAACAAACACAAGGTTCAAACAAAACATATATGCTTCGTGCTACACATAAAGGAAAGAAGGCCAAAGCTTGTGACAAATATATAAGTAAAACATCAAATAAAATAAATCACTCTGCAGGTAATTCTAGATCACAAACATTAATTGGTATAGAAGTTCAAAATTCAATGTTAATGCGAGCCGCGAAAAGTCTACCAATCAAAAAAAAATCTGATAAAAGTGCTATGATAAAAGAGCAAACTGTAGAAAATGAATGTAGTTCAGACTCGGTGACTTCACTAAAGGATATAGAAAATACTAACGATAATACAAATGAGGTGAGCATTGTGCTCAGTGACGACGATGAACCCCTAATAACACCAAATATATCAATAGAAGAAGCGGAAAAGAACGAAATAAAAGATAGCCCAATTCCATTGCACAAATCGTTATTGACAAATAAAAATTTTATAAAAATAATAGCTCATACATACTTGACTGGAAATCCAAAGTTGGACGAAGACGCGGCCCTCCTCGCGGCGCAGTACAGCGCGCTGAAAGCTCTGAAGGAAGTAGAGGCGACTGGGAAGGAAATCGACAGTGGCCCGATATATGATATCGCCAAGCAGGTAAGTTAGTTCTTCGAGTAATGCTCAATAATACTAAAACTGTTTAAATGTCGTTTAAAAGAACTTTATCTAAGTGACTCCACATTATTTCCTTATTATATATTACTTGATGTATATGTATGTATGTATGGGAAATATACTTCCCAGCGTAAAATGCTGCCCGTTACTTTCAAACGAATTCTATTTTCGCTTTTTCTCTATTTCGAAATCCCCGCTAAAATCTATTGAGTTACGTAGATTTCTTCTACCCATTTTCTCGGCGAAAGCCATACGGAATTTGAATAACCATACGAGTTAAATATGTATTTTAAAATCAAAGACAAATATACCGTATATATAATATGTCTATGGCAGTAGGCCCACCACATAATATGGCATTTATTGAAGTAAAAACCTCTATAGGCAGGTTTGGATGGGAAGTAAATTCATGTATGTCGTCTTCGACATGGTCACGTGACGTGTTAACGCTCAGAGTGCCGATGGATGTCAAAACCAGATAAATGTAAACAGTTTTAATTTACAATTTTAATCTAAGTTAAAAAATATAATTTTAATATCCAAAAATTACAACTGTTTGTTTATAGTTTTAAGTTTTTACTTCTGTCGGCAGTCTTCATGATTGCTTTTTTTAATTTAATTTTCTTTGTCAACAGGTACTGGGCATGTCTATATTGGAAAGATTACAAAACATCCGCGGCACTAAACAGGATATTACCGATACAATAAATAAGAAGAGCACCGTTTTAGTAAATAAGACATCATCGGCTTCGAATATGGCGAAAAATGAACAACCTAAAGTTGCATCAGTAACAAATATTGATAGTGAGACTAATATGAATGTGCAAAAACAATATAAAAAGAAAATAAATATAATAAAACGTTCGAAAAATACTAAAGCGAAACCTATAAGTGAGCGGACTTCTGAAGCTGTTGAGAATTCCCAAAGTGAAAGTATGGAGGATGCAACAAGTTCAATAGCCATTGAACAAGTGATGTCACTCAGTACGGCGCAAGCGACGCCGGCTTCTGCCGAGGTCGTGCCCGTGGGAATGTAAGTATATCTTCTATACAGATAAATAAAATTGAAGTGTCTGTTTGTAATGTAAATATAACAGCTAAATGTATAATATGAAAGTATACATGATACTAATAAGAAAAAAAAACATTTTTAAAATTATGTCTGTTTGTTCCGTATAATCCGAATCGCTGCACTGATTTTGACGGTACTTTCACTGGCAGATAACTTATGTTATAAGGATTAAGGAGTAACTTAGGCTACTTTTATTTTAGAAAAACAATTAAGAGGTCCACACAAAAAAATTAAAACGCACCCGAGTGAAGCGAGGGTAAGTCTCTATAATTCAGAAATTTTCATTCGTTCATTTTAAACATTGTTCACTTAAGATTTAAGTTTTCTAAATCTTCTCAAGTACACCAAACAAATTTTGACCAGCGTTATAGACTATAACCTAGTCATGGTAGTAAAGGGTGGCCTGTGGGCTACTGTTGGGAGCGTTAAAAGAGCTAAATTATTATTTATTTATTGTGGCTTACAGTGTATCGAATTAATCATGAGAAATAAACTTTATCAGTTTGTTTAATAGAATGAAGATCAGAGAACTGTACTGTAAGAAATTTTTGCACAAAACAGATTATGGAACGATATTTTATTACACGTAACTTCTATGCGGCATGACTGTAGAGAAACCGTTTAAGATATTTATCATATTAAATTATAAGAAAACGTATTATTTAATAGAAAATAATGAAACTAAAATATATTTTAGAAAAAGAAAAAAAGAATATGTAAAAAAAGAATATGTAGGTACATGTAATCGGAGTGAAATCAAACCTAATGAGAAACGGTTGTGTGCTTGTAGGAGACTAAACTTTAATTAGTATTTTACACAGATACAAAAAAAACAGAATAAAGTTTGACATACATTTAACGATATGTTGTGTTAGTTTACAATATTCAATTTGTGTTCTACATCCATATTTTGATACAATTTTAACAAAACCTCTTTGTATTAAAATACATTATTGAATAACATTATTTATGTCACCTTTCTCTGAACCCAAATGTCAATAATCGTTCAAATTAAATAGCACTTAAGTAAAATGATAAAATAATAAATGTGTCATACTCACTTTAATGTCTATATAAACATATGTTAAAAAAAATCACCAAAACTACAAAGCGATATCTTCTTTTAGGTTCAAAGGCCCAGTATCTCTTCAGGCAAGCGAGTCTCCACTTCACGAAGAGTGTATCTTACCTGACGATGATTTAATCATCATAACTAACAGTCCGCCGGCATCGTCCAGTTCCGACAATCTGGTACGGCGGAACTCCCAACAGCTCCTTATTACCAATGTGTCGTCTGACGCAACGATAAAACAATCACAAAATCATTTTATAATATCTACTGTGGATCCTACAAATAATGCAGAAATCTCAACACCAAAGACATCAGGAACAAAGTATTTACACATTATACCACCATCTTTAAAAGTCTCTCCTCTCAACACACCCGCTGCAGTCATGCCACTAAAGAGCGAACCAGGGAACTCTATGGATAAAAATCCAATGCTTAGCAAAATGTTAACAAAATCCACTCCAGTTAGTAATGAATCCCACGAAACAATATGTTTAGACAGTGATGAAGATAATAATGTTGTGAAGGAAGTGAAATCGAAACCAAGGGCCCTAAAATCCACTACTAAATTACCTTATGCCCCAGCACAACAAAAAAAACATGAACAAGCAACAACATCCTCTCAACCTAAAAAGGTAGAAACCAAGAAACAGATCTCGCAAAAATCGCCCGTAGAGCAGAAGGAATCGAGTAAAATAATCGCATCAGCGAATACTACAAACGAAGATGTTTCTCATCAAACGGACCCAAACACACTTTCGAAACTAAAAAAAGCATCGTGTAAACCCGGAGATATCATTCGCATCAGTGAAACGGGAAAAATAGAAATATTAAGAAGAACTGAATCTATTCCGCCCAATGTTATAGCTGCGGTAAAGCACGTTCAACCGTCTATTGAGGACCAAAACGTATCTCAAAAACAACAAAAGGCTACGGACAACGAAAAGACAGATTCTACAAAGACTATTATAAAGAAAAGTCAGTCTAAAGGTCCCGTTGACAGTGAAGACGAGGTCCCGCTTTCAGTACTACAGAACGTAGTACACATATCGGCTGATCAATATGAGACGCAAAATAAAGCTGCTGTCACTGAGGAATCTAGTGAGATTTTACGTCCAACTCCTAAAACCTACATTAAAAAACCAGTAAAACTTAAGTACAACCCTAGTAAACCAGTTACTGTACCGATTCTGAGCAGTACAGTTAAAGAAGTAGGGGTTAAAAATAAAAAGAATTTGATCAAACCGTATAGTAAAAAGGAAATTGTTTTGAAATTCCCCTCTGGTAATGCATCCACGTCTAAGGCGCAGGAGAAAGTTATTGATCTCACAGCAAGCATCGTCAGCACCAAGGATAAGAAGAAACAAATTCTAGTCAAGAAAAAAGACTGGGATAAAATCAGTGGCACCTCTAAGGATATAGTTCTAAATAACGCGGGTACTCTCTTCAATTTGAAAAAATGCAATACCTCTTCTGTGGATCTCACGTAAGTATTACAATATTGTTACGCGAAAAGAAAACTTAAGTAATTTCCTTTTAAATATACTGCGCTCTTACAGGGAAGTATGTGCTTTGGCGTAGTTAAAGTTTATATGAAGACCTTCTTAGAAATTTTCTTTTTAAAATAGCACCAAAGTACTTTACAATATTTGATAATTTTAATTTTAAAGATTTTTATAATTTTAATAACTTTTATAATTGAATATGGAATAATATTTTCGATGACTAATTATATCTATATATGTACGTGATAATTATAAATATTGTATTAACCTTGAACGAAGAGCGAGTGTATTATTGTGTTTAAACAATATATTTCTTTCTCAACATGTGTTTCTTAAAATATTATCAAGTTATAAAATAACAATTTTTATCATTCACCTTTATATTCTCCTTCCTGCTCTCTATGCTCGATTTTATATAAACAAATCAACGATGTTAGTCTCACTGAGACTAGCGCGGAATCTCATTCGCAAGGCTTGTTCATTTGCAAGTTTCTATGCTTAATTTTACAGAAACACGTCTTGCACTACCACCGTTACTGTAAAGAAGTCTACACTGAGTTCCCAAAAACCGTCCACAAGCGACAGTGTTAAACGCTCCTCGACGTGGCAGGACGCGTCTTCTAAGAAGAAACCAAAAGTTGAAACTACTAAAAGTAAGATGTTGTTGATCATTTCATAAATTATACCGTAATTGAAAGTAGATTTAACTTGGCCTAATTTTTTTTTTTATCTTAAATCCATTTTTTATAGAAATCGATTTTTTTACCCCATATAACACTGTGCACAATTTACAATAACAACTTATATGAGGAACTACTTAGATTGTGTAGCTCATCCCACCGACAAACATCAGTTTCTGTGATCATGTATCACGTGGACAAAGTCGTTTTTGCAAATGTGCTCTAAATGTTGGCCAGTAATAAATTTTAGGTCAATCAAAATACACCGATTAGTTAAATAAAAAATATACTACGAGCGATTTTTTTTTTACTTTTTGTGAGCTAGCATGAACGCTCTGCTTAGTACAATATTAATTGGTCAGTTTTATCTTTATTAACTTTAACTAAAATGCACCTCAGTTTATATAAAACATTAGCCAAAAATTGAATATAATGCCACACATTACTTAAATTTAAATTATGTTACTTAAACAAGTTCATAATCACACAAACAAATATGCAAATATGTCAAGATATGAAGTTAGTATTTTCTATGTTTTACAGTCGTCATGAAACATACTGCACTTTTCAATAATAGTATCCGCATTTTTGAAACTTTAACTTTGAATTTACTGCTACCTGCACATTTAAATATTTTTTTTATCCTGTCTAAAATATTATCTTTACGAAGATATAAAAGAAACCCGTCATTTACAAGCTACCTCTATCAATACCAGAATTTATTTGAGATCACTTTGAATAGTGTGGAAGTCTAATAGGCAGACCCACTTTAAATAATTATAATATCAGAAAGGATTATGTATTTGTAAATTAGTTTTTAAATTTATATTTATTATTCTTTCAGAAGCGCTGACACTTCAAGACTTTAATCTCGACGACTTCGATGACATCATCGAATTGGAGTAGAGTGATGTTTACTTAAGTCCATTGCTTGTTTATTGCACATAATATGTTATTTTTATTATAAACGATAAGGAAAACTATATGAATATAAGTAATTGTTTATTTTCTAAATTTTTATCGCTGTGCAACTTTTGAATGAAACTACATATTGTAATAGTATATTAAATTGTGATAATTTTATTTTTATTTTGTGTTATCAAAAATTTTTATGTTTGTTATGAACGGGCTGCATTTTATTCCATTTAATTTTCTATTTTATACGGCTTGATATTAGTTTACCAATAATGAATCGTATTCAAACCAAGCGTTAGTGTAACGCATGTTTGTATTTTTTTTATTAAATTTTTATTCCATTTTATAATTCTTCTTTTCAATTTGCTTTATTTACTAGAACAATGACAGTTTGTTTAGCCGTGTTAAGTCGCAAACCTAACCAAGCTATATCAGTAGCTGCTATTAGTGTTGTTAGGTATAAGATATTATATATTCTAAATGAGTGTGTATACGGTCGTTCTTGCTTTCCTCGCGAGACTGAACGAGACCCTTTGACTCGGCCTCGAAAAACCGACACGCGACCGAGACGTGACGAGGCGAGACGAGAGAGAGGTTCCATGTACACAGTCTCTCGGCCTGTCTCGTGATGTCTAAGCGTGTGTGTACAGCCGGCATAACAGATATTCCGTAAGCACTAAGGATTAGTTATAAGGAATCTCGCTTAATTCTTTCTGTGTTTATTTAACTTTAATTAATGCTATTTAAAATTGTTGGTGTAGTCACTCGCAGGTGTACTATTCTGTTATTATAGAATTAAGTTAGAAAAGTATATTTTAAAGTTGTAATTTAGATACTATTATAATGTCGTGTTGAGGGTGCATAAGTGGTATTTCCTGTGTTGTATTAAGTTTAATTTTGATTTAAAAATATCATTTTTTTACTTGCGTAAGACTTGGTAAATAAGATTTTAAATCATAAAAGTACTAAGAGTTTAACCTATGATTAATTGGATTGATTGAATTAGGAGACGTGTTTATGTTAAAGTTAATTGATGTAATCTTTAAACATAATAATTAAATATATCATTTGAATACTTGTTTTATTTTACATTAACACTTATTCTAGCACAAACCAATACAAATCTTTGGATCCGCCAAACTCATGTATTACTCACCTTTAACATATATTCTGCTTCCTGTTCGATATGTTTCGATTTTATATAAACAAATCAATGATGCCAATCTCATTGAGTCTAGCGCAGAATATATTTTAGTGCATTGCATATGTACAAAACCAATTTCTCTCAATCATAAAGCAAAACACCGTCAATTTCTCACATGGAAAAAAACTTTTTCACAAAAACAAGCAGCACGAACCCAGTACCTATGGGTCTGCAGCTGTACATGCTAGTCACTAGACCTCCTATGCAGTCATCTATATGTGATATATAAAAGAAAACACAAGGTTATTGCAACTATATATTCTTTTAAAATTACAACAAAATAATTATATTAAAATAATTTATGTTCCTTACGCTAAAGTTAAAGCTGCTAGATACATAATCCAAACAAATCAATAAAGAAACGCGTGACCAGTCGATTTATCACTTTTTACTTAATTTTAATTACTCCTAAAATTAGAAAATATTTTTAAAATATGCATTGAGTAAAATATATCAAACACACAAAGTTTCTTAGGTTAAGTATTAAATTTTATTTTTAAAGGAAATAATAACTGACATATTAACACCAGACCCAAGATGCAAGCTTAGACCTTCCATGACTTGGGTAAAATATTTAAGTTGAAAATAAAATGTTTGTCTTTTAGAGATTTTTTTAGTAACAAGGGTATTTCATTAACAAAGGAAAGGCAACGTTGGTTCAGAGAACAAAATAGATAAATCTTGAGCAAGCCTTACATTGATATGACGTCATATTCTATTGCAACATCTGAAAGATTGTACTTATTTTTGATAATAGTGTTATCAATTAAAAATATACTACACTTTAATAATATATACTATAATTTAATACTTTAAGTATAAAAAATTAGTGCAAAAAATATTTTTTGATAATGCAAGCACTCTCAAATTTGAGATCACAAATATTTTTGATAGCATATACTCTGTAATGAAAGTTAAATATAAGACGTACAGTTTTAAGATTAATTAAAAAAAATAACATATTGTCCTATTAAATAAGCAGATATTTTCTTTTATTAATAATAACAGTTTTATAATTTTGTTTTTTTTTGTATTTTTATGAGTGTACTAAAAATAACTCAAATAGAATATTACATACGTTAAGAATATATTAAATGCCTTATCATTGGGATACATAAATAACTAGTTGAATGTAATATAATTAAGTTTTAAACTTAAACTATCTTCTTTTTACTTAAAAAAACTCAAACCAGACAGAGTTGTTCGTAAAATAACACTATTTTCTCTTGTTCTCAATGTTTATATTTAACATTTCTTACAATTATTAAAGGTACTTAATTTTTTTATGTAACATGATAAAGTTACATATGCATTATGATTTACATAACATTTTGCAATTAAATATAAATATAAAATCATAATGAATGTTAGCTTGAAAATGCAACACATATTTAAAGAGATAAACTTTTTTTTTTATATTTTAGAAGTAGCGAGAAATAATAAGTAAACTACCAAAAGCTTACCTGATACTTGCTAAGGTTTTATATATATAAAAAAAATCAAAGAAATATTTTCAAAACATTTTTCTTTCATTACCTACTATATAAAGTTTGTTCATAAAAATAACAATATAAATTATGTAGAATATATTAAGACTGAATTTCTTTATTATTATAAAGAAGCATAACTTGATTTTTTTAATAAGCAGTTTAAGAAAAAAGTAGAAACATTTTCATCAAAACTTATTGTTTTCAGCCATTTAAATTTATGATGACACAGTTACCAAGCACTGGCCACCATTAAACTTTTATTCTTACTAATGACAAATATTTCATGATTAAACCTCCGTACATCTTCAATATTCTAATTAAAAGTATGTAGACAATTAAAAATATTTCAGATATTTTACATCACTTGCAAACATGCAATGGGTTCTTGAGAGGGTCAATTGCGACTGTCAATGTTTACGTTAATTTATTGTTCTTAAACAAACCAATTTTTTCGAATATTTTAGCGGTTTTATTTTCATTCTTTGTTTTTGTTACAGATAATGTCTACCCACAATACGTAATTGTGGGTAGGCTTTTGAGGCCAGGAACAAAAATTAAACTCAAAACAAAACCGCGAAAATATCAAATATATAGTTTTATTTCAAATATTCGTTTAAATGTAAAATTGTACTAATAGCTTTTTTTAAAATCGGTATATTATTGTCATTGCTTTAATTGGTAAAATGATTAATATTTGCATAGATTAACGTCAATAACATAAATATTGACATGGCAAATGGTTCGAAACCCCCGTCCTAAGAGCACATGAATAAATTCCGTTTATTTATTCATGTGCTAAGAGCACACGCGGACTGCAAACTACTCTATCGGCCAATATATAGTAAGTAAGTATATAGGTAGTAATATAACCCATATTAAAAAATACTAATTTTGCTACATTAGTGTTTTTATTCGGTCATCATCATAAGTATGTTTTGTTGGATGATTTTACATCGTTATCGCACTATTGTTCTTATCTTAATACTGATTACGAACCCTTAAAAAGGAAAATTGAATTAATTATAGGTAAATAGAATCTCGATCAGATTGATCTATAAAATCGAGGGTACCGATGCCACTGTACCAAAAAAAGGTTATATCAAGCATTGATATATAAAAACATACATAGATACACATTTCCTAACAAAAATCTCTTCAAAAAGTGTCGTCGACATGTGACTTTAAGTCAAACCAAAGAATAAAACTCAAAAACCAAAAGTTCTAATTGTCTAAGCACAAAATTGAACGCACAAACGAAATACCGTCCGTGACCGAAGTCCTCCGGAAAGCAATGAACAAAACAGATTACAAAAAAAACGCGATTCAATATCGAATTGTGCCCTTCTTTCTGAGGATATTTAGAGACGTTAATTGTGTATCTTGAGTGTTTGTATATCATTGTTATCAAGTAAACTATAGACCGACAGAAAGTCTCAGTCCGCGAGAACCGTAAAGATATTTACTGCGAGTTAACGCGCGCGAGGCGAGACTTATCGAAGGAGCATATAGCGCTGAGCAAGGCGCCCCGCGCGCTCGGGCTCGTGCCCGCGCACGAGCTCGTGGCGCTGGTGTCTGCCGCTGCGGGGAAACCGAGTTTCATTCAAAATACATGTTTAATAGACATTTAAGTTTTTAAAACGATTGTACATGAATTATAGATGTTCCAATTTCTAGCTTGCAGAATAGTATGGAAGAATTAAATGTTGTTTTTTTCTCGACCAGAGCGGTACAAGCATCTGTATGGTGAACAATAACAATGTCCTCCTATAAGCTGGACGATTACGCCACCACGGCCAATTTACTGAGACTAGCCATGAAATATTTAGTGCAGCGCGATTGCGTGTAAACACAACGTGCACTGTCTATTCCTTTCACTCTATATGTCTGTTGAGAAATCAACTTATTAACTCCGAGCCGTTACTGCGAAATTCTCAACAGAAAACTGAGCAACTATACTTGGCTCTACTGGGGACTTGAACCCAACACCTGTAAATCTGCAGTAGTAAATGCTAGCCTTTTGTTAAAATTAAATGGAAATCACCCATTATGCGTATGAATTTTTAAAATAAAACTATTAAGGACCTGATTCCTTTAAAAAAAATAGTTAAATGAAGCAATAATTGATGTATACTTACATAGCGGCGGCGTAGGCGGCGTCGGGGAGGACGCGGTGCTCGCGCTGTGCGAGCGCACGTCGGCCAGCGATGAGGACGACTTCCACATCGTCTCGCGTTTCTTCTGCAATTTGTTTATTACCATAATTATTTTTTAACTTAAAAGATAAGATTCGACGACACGTTTTTAACTCAGTTTGTAGTGACCATACTTGCTGTGCCAGCGGTCGCGGGTTCGAGTCCCGCTGGGGGCCTTCTTTTTTTTATTTATTTTTATATATGTGTAACTATCTGGTATCCATAACACAGCCTCGTAGCTTACCATGTAACTAGATTGCTTGCTTTATCAGTTGTTTTATTTAGTCTTTTGGGCGGACTCAATTTAAAACTTTATCAAAAAAAACTCCAATTAAAGCCATCGACACGAGAAGAAGAAGAAGATGTAACTAGATGGTGCTGTGACTTAAATAAATATATTTATACACACATACATACTTACAAACATATATACTTACATATACGTACATGCGTATCTATACTAATATTACAAAGAGGTAAGTTTGTGAGTTTGTGAGATTGAGGATCTCTGGATCTACTAAGCGGATTTAGATGAAATTTGGTAGGATAATAGTTTGAGACCCTGAGAAGGACATAGGATATCTTTTTATCCCATCATCCCTTAAGGGGGTTGAAATGTGGATGAAAGTTAGTATTGGGAATCACTATAATTATTATAATTTAAAATTACTATAATTTATGTCTGATTTGATAAATTTAGTATAAGTATGGACAACACATAGGCTACTTTATGAAACCTATAAGGAACGCTCTCGAGCGAAGCGAATGTAAGGCGTAAGTTGAATAACAAAATTTACTTTTATTAAGACGAAGCTCGATAAATAAAAGTAGTGATAAATAAACTCACCACCCTCTTCTTCTGCTTCTTCATTTCTTGTTCAGAATTGAGTATCTTCTGTATCCGGACCTCTCTCTTCGCGCTTCTAAACTGCAATTATATTTTAATCAATTACTAAATTACCTATACTTCAATATTTATTAATTCAAAATATTGAGCCAGAATTAAAATAATATTATTTTCTAAAGGTCAGATTGGCAAAAAAAATTACATAACTTGTAATTAGCATGTAATTTTACTAATGAAATAATTTTATGGCTCAAAATAATATTTTTTCAATCTCTAGGTCTTATATGAAAGAAGATGAAAATTTATATTAATATTTAGGATATACTTAAGGTCTGAACGATGAGGGCAGGTTAATAACTGGTCCAAATAAAGCCAACTCACGCTAAAGCCAAGCCAAAAAATAATAAAAATAATGTAATTAAAACAATCCTTACCAACTTCTGGTCACTCGATAACCTCTCCTCCGTCGCTTTAACAGCAGTTTTGATGTTATCTTTGATGTTTAACGGGAACTTTAAGTGTGTTCGTGTATCATATTTAGGAGTTAGTCCGTTGAGTGTGGTCCGTGTGAAGAACGGGTGGTACAGCAGGTGGTCCAGTGAGGGGCCGCCATGCTTACATGAAGTACTTGATATGCAGAGGCGGAGTATTGATTCTGGAAAGTATTATATGTACTGTTAACCATACGATGAAGAAAAACATGAAGAGGAAACCAGCATGTCTGAGTGAACCTAACAAGTTTTTGAAAGACATGTGAAGTCCGCCAACCCGCACTTGGCCAGCGTGGTGGACTATGACCTGATCCCCCTTGTATTGATGGGAGGCCCGTACACGGAAGATGCAAATAAGCTAAATAGATACATATAGTATATCTACTCATAATAAGAGTAATAATTTTAGATCCAATCTAGATCCAATTATATTTAACTAAGAATAATTTGTAAAAATATACACATGATGTGTCAAACTAATTCGAACTCTGTTATTATGGGCTTGCTCAGATTATTTTTAAAATAAAAATGCATAGCTAAAGAACTTTGGGGTATGGATTATATGAATTATACAAATATTTTACATTACACGCATTGATCTAACTCGGAACCACCATCATGCTCAGTGCAAGATTCAACCTTACCGCCGCTCCTGGGCCTTTGGGCATAGTAAAAAATGCCGCCAAATTATCGAAATTTTGCATAAAATGTGTAAAGTTTCGATAAAGTTTTTTTTATATTTAAATTAATTTTTTGAAAAATGAAAAAAATGTTTATAAATGATTTGAATTTTTAAATGTACTAGTAATTTTTTTTAATTATTATTTTTTTTGTAAAATAAAAAAATGCATTTTCGATAACGCGAAGATAATTTCTTTCCCTACCCTCCGAATTTTGCCACCCCTAAAAATATGCCGTCCTGGGCACTAGCCCCGAGTACTCCTAGTGTAAATCCAGCGCTGATCAAACTTATCATTTACCAACCAAATTACTAGCAATTTAATTACCTAAGTCTTCTGAGATTTCTTCCGGATATGTATCACAGTAATGCGTCTCGAGTGTAGTCGCGAAGGCCATTTCATAGAGTGTTCTACCAAAACAATACACATCTACTGTTTCAGATGTGTTTGTTCGTTTTAATTCTACTAAAAATGGTCGGTAGAGACACGGTACACCCATTAGAAAGTTTTCTAAATCCATCAGTAAGGCCCTTTGGTTTTCTATCGCTATATTGCCTGGGTGAATGTGACCTGAAAAAGACAAGCGATATAATGATTTCTTATTCTGTATGAAATTCGTTTAAAAATACATAGAAAATAATATATTCGATAAATCACTACAGTTTCAACAGCCCAAAGATTAGATTAGAAAGTACCTGTTATAGTCTTTGAAATATTAATAGAACATTTTATAAACAAAATATATGGTAGGAATAAGATCAATAATATCGACTTTCTCACATACCTAATACAACTACAAGTGCTTATCTAGTATGTAAATATCTCGTGTCACGATGTTTGTGGTCATACTCCTCCGAAATGGCTCGACCAATTTTAATGATATTTTTTTTTAATATTTGGTAGGTACCTATGAGAATAGGTCGTAAAGTATTTTTCAGCCTCCTACCTCCACCCCCCATTTTTTAATCGCGATTATAGTATTTTTGTACGAACAATATTATATACATACATAGCAACGAACCCAAACTAAGCGAGGGTGAGTCGCTGTATAACATAAAACCAAAGAGATTGCAGATTGAACGTGGCGACAGCCGCGGATTCTGCTAGTATTCAATAAAAATTATGACAAAAAAAAAGAAAATATTACTGCGAAAAAAAAAGTATAAGCATCATACCATGTGGCAGGCCTTTTTCATGTAAAAATTTCAAAGCTTGTAATATTTGGTATCCATAATGCGCTATCTGGCCAGTCGTGAAGGGTTTTCTCACTTTTGGGTTCCCATATTTATATAAGTAACTCTTACTATATTCAGTTCCATAGAGTAAATCTCTAACAGTCCCGGTCTCATGAATTTTTCTAATGACATAAGCACCAGTTTCTAATATATGAATTGATATTATTTCGTCTATGTAAGGGTGCTGGAAGGTAAATAAATAAATAATTTATCAAGAAGAGATATTGAATTTAATTGTTCAAATAATATTTTTAATGTGACATTGGGGTCCAGTTGTCTGTATGTTTTTTATCTCTGTCAAATATATTAATATTAGTATGAGTATATTTTAACAAATATCACTGTATTGGTTTAATTATTTATATTTATGAATGGAAAGCTGAAAAGTTGACAGTATACTTAAACGGGTCGAGGGATGTAAACTAGTTTAAAAAGTAGTTAAAAGTAAACTAGAAATATAAAACTAACACTAACCGACAAAGAAACATTGAAGGGTACAAAAATTTAAGTGTGCGTGTAAATTAAAACAAATCAATAATTAAATAAGGCATGTTACAATTATATATTTATAGAATATTATATACGGAAAGAATATAATATTATATATTTGTCAGACAACAATGGTTGCCATGGCAACATGGCAATGTATTCTATCCCATTCTCTCGCCGACATAATCCTATATATTTATGTGTTTGTCTCTTTTTAGTGTAGCATTTCCGTTTCATCGAGGTTCAAATCACAACGATTCTAAAGAAGTTTCACTTCACAAAAGTCTGAACATTTTTTTTATAATTGAAAAATTATATCCAATTCTCTTGTTTAATGGCTTCAAAGCGTGCCAGTTGAGCATAGATTACTTCGCTATTGTCACATAGAATATTGAGAATGTCACATCTAATATAATTTATTACAAGACTGACTTCTAATAATATTTTAACACTGATTTACTGTTATCAAATACATGGATATACCATTAGTACAACGATTAGCTACCCACACATCCATTTTAGGGGATAAGGCCAACCTAAGTTAGGTACCTATTTATTTTTATCGAAACATGTAGAAAACCTATGAACATTTATTTTAAAATAAAATTATCTTTTCGGATATTTCGAGGATTTATTTTGATTTTTGGTTGCCGATGTTTCGATTTTTAATTATTTTTTCCTTTAAGATTTTACTCTGAAAGTCTTTAATAAAATTGGTTAAATGATGCCACATCCCAATACATATGGAACTGACAAATATCACCACAATATCATATAAAGAAAATAGTACAATAATATTAACATCCCAATTCTATAAATCCAATTACATTCTGATTAAATAAGCTGGTCGCTTATGGTGTGTAATGGTTCAGTAATTTCTTATAATTTTAATAAATATTAATTACATTTCTTGTTATTCAATTAATTTTTACCTAGAAAGAAACTATTATTTTTAATATATAATTTATTACTTTTTCATTTGCCATGTTTTTTTATACAAGATTACAAATTTATTTATTAGTTTTTTTGCTAATTAACAATAAATCTTAATAGTTTAATAAATCTTGTAATTTCTCTAAAAAAAAAAGTATAATTTTGATACTTACAGATATATTTTGCAAACTCTTAAAAGCAGTTTGCAGATCTTTGCTATGTAATGTATGATCAGGTCCATAACTCTGCCAAGATAGTATACAGTTCATTAGAGTGTTTGACTCAGTGACCTGAAAAAGATAGATGTTATTATATACTATTCACATATACAAATATATTAATCAAAATAAATAAAGAAATAAGTATTTGTAAATGAAATATTTCTTAGGCAACACATGACACATGCATAAGTATGCAATCATTAAAATGTTGACCAGAAAACTGAAATGTGTCACTAAGAAGAGACTACTTTGTATATAAATAGAAAAATTAAAAAAGTAATTTTTTTCATTAAAATGAAGTTTAACATTTTTTTTATTATTTAATTTTTTCAATTTAATTCAGTCTCTCCCGTGACCATGGATGCTGTAAAGCATTCGAAACGTCGGGAAACAAGAATGCAAAAAAAAAATGCAAATAAATCCGCGACAAAATCCGAAAAGATAGTTTTATTTAAAATAATTTTATTTCAAATATCTAGATCATACTCTTGCTTAAGCAAGACAGGCATACTACTAAATGTACAATACATTATAATATTAGTAACATAAAGGAAAGTGAGTGATATTTTTATCAATATGATAAAAGTATGTTGAGTCACATGTTTTAACTTATTTGTACTGCTTTGTTTTATCATTGGCCATTGTATTTATTTATGCAAATACGGATCAATGACTTTTATGAGATAAGTTTAAGCAACTATTTAAAAAGATTATTAAATATTACACAAACAACAAATAAAATAGAATTTCAGTAGCTTTTAAAAAAGATAATAGATACATATATAGATTACAACTTACTAAAAAATAATGTTTTCTTACTCTCCATCCTATATCAGTTAAAAGACTTTTTATTTCATACTGACCATCACCTCTTAAGGCTATTGACATTGTTTGCAGTGCCTGCTCTAAGAAAACAAAACAAAAATACCATTAAGGTTATTTCTTTAGAATAATTCAATGGCACATTAAAAAGACAATGTATGTATTATGATAAACTGTCCTAAAGATTAAAGTTCTACCAAATGAATTTAATAAATAAAAATGAAACTCATACTATTTTTTGTACATAATTACTTTATTAAAACAGTTTTATTTGAGAATCCATGAACGGTTCACATATGTATCATTTGTAATAGGGTTAAGAATAAGTTTGTCTTTCAAAATATATTTATTTGTCCAGTATGCACATGCATGCACATGTTAATTAAATAAATGCTGTTATTTTCCTTAAATGAAATTATTATTACTTATATGAATTATTCAATGAAACAGCATACCTGCTATAGATAAGGAATAATTGTTAGGGTCCAAAAAACTTCTCACTGGCAATGATAATGCCAGCACATGATGTTTTAAGACTTCATTTATATAAGTCTGTAAGCAACAGTTGTTATTGAGTTTCAAGAAATATAATATTTAAGATGTTTTTTGCATTGAACAGAATAATTTACATTATTGTGTAGATGTAGAACAATAATAGGAATTGAATTCATATAACATTTTGTTTTAAAACAAATCCTTACCTGTAAAGCTACTTGCCGTTCAGCTACAAAAGCTGGTTGCATATTTCCAATTAATTTCTTTGGTGGAATAGTAAGGTCAATGTTAGATTGCTGAAGGCTAACGTGTAAAGCGGCGAAATCCCTATATCGTCGAGACACACTCCATTTATTTTCCTTATTAGGACCTCTTTGGACCCGTAAAATGTACTCCTAAAAGCCAATGCAAGTGATTAAAATGATGTGTATCCATTTTTTTACTGTCGTAATTAAGTATTCGCTAAACTTACGGTATGTTTGTTAATATTTTGCGCATTTTCCAAACAACATGTCAGTCTTTCTGTATCATCAATACGAATTTTAGAGTTAGACGATTTCTCAAATATAGCCATCACAACTTAATAAATTTATAATTTTTTATTTGAATCTCACAAGCAATAAACATTTTGTTATTGCATTTGTCAATTAAAATATGTCAATTGTCAACCAAGCATTCGAAATCGAAATGCTAAGTTGTCTGACATTACTCAGCTGACAAAATCTAATAATCTACATTTGTTCAAAAATTAAAGTTCATACAAATTTATTTCATCAAAAAAGTAAGATTTATTAGCTTATATTGTTTTTATGTATGACCTTCTATAATAAGACTTTAAATATTTTTTACCATGTAAGCATATAAAGCTAAAATAAATATAAAGACAAGTCCTTTATTTATTAAAAAACTCTTATTATATAACAATATTTCCGAACTGAACTGCAATACTCTAACCGTCTAACCACAGACAAAGATCGATTGTGTCATTTCCTGTAATATCGCAACGAGTCGTGAGCGGAGTATATCAAGATCTTCCAATCCACCATTTAGTTTGAATATTTGTGAAAAATGTCTCTTATCTCCGCTCGTTTGGCCTCCTCGGTGGCCAGGCGCTTGCCTAATGCTGCCACCCAGGTATTTAATTCATTTTTTTATTTTAATAAAAGATAAAATTCTATCCGGTAACCACCACAATGTCTGCCCATAATCTATATTTGTTTTATAAAATTCATTCTCTGCACTAGTTTATCAGTAATTGGTTATATATTTCATTCTTATTCATTTTATGTGCTTATAATTTCTTTTAACCTGAAGTTATCACATCGAAGCAAACCATGTTATGTAATGAGTCCGATCGGCTTTCTGTCAAAAAGCATGTCCATTTTGTACTTCAATCTATACGATAAAGTTTAAAATGTTACTATTATAGAATATCAGTACAGATCTCTTCAGAGGAGTGCGTATTTTCAATCAAGTTATTATGATCGGTGATAGGTTTCGAAGGTCGCCGTGCCCGCGGTGGCGGTGGCTTCTCGCAAGCTCCATGTCTCGTGCACGCATAGGGCTGCCGAAATCTCCACAATCCTGGAGGAGAGAATCCTCGGTGCCGCACCCAAGGTATGTACATATTATATAAACTATACATGAATAATTATCAATAAGTATCTAATTGTTAAGGTTATGTAAAATTAAAAATTAATTATCAATGTATTTAAAACTCGATATGAGTTGTATAAAATAATTTTTTTACAGAAGTGAAATTATGCTAATATAAACAAATAGAAAAATTACAGATAATATTTTAAATAGCAAGAGTTGGTAATGTTTTAATTATATTTTAAGGTCATGATATAAAATATTCCTTTTTATATTGAATACAATTTATAAGTTATCTTAGAGATTGCACTATACCAATTGAGGTCAACACTATGTTTTCAGGCTGACTTGGAAGAAACCGGCCGTGTGCTGAGCATCGGTGACGGTATTGCCCGTGTGTATGGCCTTAAGAATATTCAGGCTGAGGAGATGGTGGAATTCTCTTCTGGCCTTAAGGTATGTAATACTTTCTCAAAAGATATATGTTATTATAATAGTTCAATGTGTAACTTAGTCTGTATATTTGTTAATTAGTATTATATACACAGACAGAAAGGCAGTGGTAGCCCAGTGGTAATGTGCTCGCTTGAGAAACCGAGTGAAGCGGGTTCAAATCCCGGGTCTCGCACCTCTGATATTTTCATGTGCGAATCATTTCTAACATGATTACCACTTGCCTTACGGTGAAGGAAAACATCGTGAGGAAACCTGCATGTCTGAGAGAACTTAGCAAGTTTTCTAAAGACATGTGAAGTCCGCCAACCCGCACTTGGCCAGCGTGGTGGACTATGGCCTGATTCCCCTCGTACTGAAGGGAGGCCTGTGCCCAGCAGTAGGACGATAAAAAGGGCTGAATACACACACAGACAGAAAGAACATCTGCAATGCAGTTGCATATTTTTTATCTAATCTAATTAATAGGGCATCTGGTTAGTAAACTGAAGTAACTAATCATCTATATAATATAAAACAAAGTCGAGTTTGTTGCAATACTTATAATTCGAGAACTGCTACACTGCTTTTATGATCTTTGTTTTGTTGGATTTGTCTTCACCCCAAATAGCTATTAACTACTAAAACATTGGAAAATCCACAAAAAAATGAAAAAAAAAAGAAAACTATCATACTAAGTGTCAAAACATACCTAGGAACGAGAAATGAGAAAAATCTTGAGAAAAACAATGAATATATAAAAAATAAAAGTTTGATTTCTTTCTACTAGGGTATGGCTCTTAACTTGGAGCCTGACAATGTTGGTGTTGTAGTCTTCGGTAACGACAGGTTAATCAAGGAAGGAGATATTGTAAAACGTACTGGTGCCATTGTAGACGTGCCCGTAGGTGAACAACTTTTGGGTCGCGTAGTCGACGCCCTGGGTAACCCCATCGACGGCAAGGGCCCCCTCGACACAAAAACACGTATGCGTGTCGGTATCAAAGCCCCCGGTATCATCCCCCGAGTGTCTGTACGCGAACCTATGCAGACTGGTAAGATTATGTAATACTACTACTACTGCTTATTGGTGTGTCAATGTCTTAGTATTTTCTTAGTTAAAAATTAAAAGAAGATATTGTGGTAAAATGATAATCGATTGCTTGAAACATGTATCATTTTAAATAATATAAAATGTTATATTGCTCACTCTTTATTTGTTTTTAATTTTTATATTAATTATAAATATCAAATTAACTGATGGTTATATAACAAAAAAAATGTATTAGGTATCAAGGCTGTAGACTCCCTTGTGCCAATTGGACGTGGTCAGCGTGAGTTGATCATTGGTGACCGTCAGACCGGTAAGACCGCCCTTGCCATCGACACCATCATCAACCAGCAGCGTTTCAACAAGGGAGACGATGAGAAGAAGAAACTGTACTGCATCTATGTTGCCATTGGACAGAAGAGGTCCACTGTCGCTCAGATTTTGAAGAGATTGACGGATGCTGGTTAGTATTTGAAAGTACATATATAAAATAATTTAAATAAACAAAAGTCCTAAAAGTAATAAATATTATATAATAATAATAATTTGTTCATATAGTTTTTACAAAGTTACATAATGATGATGCACATGATTAACAGATAGAGTAGCTCCAATATTTAATTTGGAACCTACCTGAACTAGGTTAAAAACCTGTGTCTCAGGTTACGGTTTTACAATGCATCTTACTAGGACAGAGATGAAACTTAGACTTATATATAAGAGGACAAGTATGAAACTTACATTAATAACTACTCTTAAACATACAACATATAATAACTAGATGTATGTACATATAGAAATTTCGATATTATGTTAAAATATAATTGATACTTACTTTTTGTAAATCCTTGTTTTCCACATTGTCTTGTATGTAAATACTAAAGATGAAAAAATAATAATATCATTCGATCAAATAAAACTATCTTTTCGGATTATTTCGCGGATTTATTTTGATTTTTGGTTCCCGACGTTTCGAATGCTTTACAGCATCCATGGTCACGGGAGAGACTGAGGTGTTACATGTCTTAAAGATATAGTTGTTACAGACAGCCTACCCACAATTAACAAAATGAAAATTGCACCAATTACATTACAATATTTTTAACTTTAAACATTTTTATAATTTTAATTATAATTGAATATGGAAAATTATTTATTTAATTTTTGCTATTATTTTTATAATTATTACAATTTCTAAAAATATTAATTAGTAATCTATATTTAGTGTTGCCATTGTTATATTTATAACCATAAATAAAAATATAAAAATATAGTATTAATTATTAAAGCCATATAATTGTTCTATGTGTAATTTAAAAAAGTTAAAATTAATTAAGGATAATCATTATAATTTAGTTTGCTATTATTTAAAAACAAACTTACTAAGCAACACTATTCATATATACTTTTACAAATGAAAAATATTAATCTGATAAGCTATCATTTTGATCTACACAGTATGAACTTACTACATCTGTCTGTCTGTTATGTTTATATTTATTATTTGATTTTATTATATTAATAACAGGATCCCATGACGATGGTAGTACCCAGCCATCTTCCCTATTGAAATTTGGATGTTTTTCGGTACCGATATCGCCCTAGAATGATTCGAGAAGCCATAGAAATTAAAAAACATCCAAATTCAATAGGGAAGATGGCTGGGTACTACCATCGTCATGGGATCCTGTTATTAATATAATAAAATCAAATAATAAATATAAACATAACAGACAGACAGATGTAGTAAGTTCATACTGTGTAGATCAAAATGATAGCTTATCAGATTAATATTTTTCATTTGTAAAAGTATATATGAATAGTGTTGCTTAGTAAGTTTGTTTTTAAATAATAGCAAACTAAATTATAATGATTATCCTTAATTAATTTTAACTTTTTTAAATTACACATAGAACAATTATATGGCTTTAATAATTAATACTATATTTTTATATTTTTATTTATGGTTATAAATATAACAATGGCAACACTAAATATAGATTACTAATTAATATTTTTAGAAATTGTAATAATTATAAAAATAATAGCAAAAATTAAATAAATAATTTTCCATATTCAATTATAATTAAAATTATAAAAATGTTTAAAGTTAAAAATATTGTAATGTAATTGGTGCAATTTTCATTTTGTTAATTGTTGGTAGGCTGTCTGTAACAACTATATGTTTAAGACATGTAACACCTCAGTCTCTCCCGTGACCATGGATGCTGTAAAGCATTCGAAACGTCGGGAACCAAAAATCAAAATAAATCCGCGAAATAATCCGAAAAGATAGTTTTATTTAATAATGTCAAACATTCGCGTAAATCTAAGAAAGTATTATCATTCGATCAATTATTACTTTATAAATAAATTAAAGTGATTACTTTAAATATTTTTTAAATCCAAGGTGCCATCAACTACACCATCATTGTGTCTGCCACCGCTTCTGATGCTGCTCCCCTACAGTACTTGGCGCCTTACTCTGGTTGTGCCATGGGAGAGTTCTTCCGTGACAACGGCAAGCATGCTCTCATCATCTATGATGACTTATCCAAGCAGGCTGTTGCTTACCGTCAGGTACATTTAGTCATGTTATTATAAAAAGTATATTTCAAAATACTTTCATTAAAACTATTTAACTATTAAAGAACTAATAAACTATAAAAATAAGATAATAAAACTACATATTTACTGTAGATGTCCCTGCTGCTGCGTCGTCCCCCAGGTCGTGAGGCCTATCCCGGTGATGTGTTCTATCTCCACTCTCGTCTGCTCGAGCGTGCCGCTAAGATGTATGTTATGCTTATTTTATTTTTATAAATATAATTAATTATTTAATGAAATATAAATATGTATATACCTTAATTTATCATAGAAAAAATTATAATGCATGTTTATTTTCTTAGTTTGTTTAGAGTAGATAAAACAATTTTAAATATATTGGAACATTAACACACATCAACATTTCTATGTTAAGCTACAAGGCTTGTGTTATGGATACCAGATAGTTGATAAGCTACATTATATAACTTTAAACACATACATATTATAAATGACTGGAGTACAAACATTTGTGCTCATCACACAAATGAATGAATCTAGCGGGACTCGAACCCGCGGCCGCTGGCACAGCAAGTAGGGTCACTACAAACAGCCAAACATGTCGTCGAGATAGTTGCATATATTCTTAATTTTCAACTTTACGCCCTAACAGGTCCGACAAAATGGGTGGCGGATCCCTCACCGCTCTCCCTGTTATCGAAACTCAGGCCGGTGATGTGTCCGCTTACATTCCAACCAACGTGATCTCCATCACTGACGGACAGATCTTCTTGGAGACTGAGTTGTTCTACAAGGGTATCCGACCTGCCATTAACGTTGGTCTGTCTGTATCACGTGTAGGATCTGCCGCCCAGACCAAGGCCATGAAGCAGGTACTTTTTAAAAATTATGACTAAAGTACTTTATGAGATTATGCTTATGTAATTTTTATAAGTGTATGGCCATAAAATTAGTAGGAGAGAAATTAAAGATTATCCTGTTCATATTATATGGAATGATTTTTTATATTAAGCAACTACTTGTAGATAGCAATAATCAGCTACTTTAGCGCATGTATGAAGCTGACCCCCTTTGAAATACAACTGGCGATTTTCAATACTATTGAAAAAGTTACATTAAAAATAGACTGTCCATATAGATACTTTTAAAAATTTACATTCCTATTATCATAGATGCTGATCATAATTTTTTAAGGCTGTAGCTGTATGTTTTAGTATGGGTAAAATGTTATTAAGAATTTTAGTTGATATATTATCATGTACCTTCCCCTACAACTCTTTTAAAGTTGTATTCTATGTATATTTTTTATTTTATATATATTTTTATTAAATCAGGTGGCTGGTTCCATGAAGCTTGAGTTGGCTCAATACCGTGAAGTGGCTGCCTTCGCCCAGTTCGGTTCTGATTTGGATGCTGCTACTCAGCAACTGCTTAACCGCGGCCAACGTCTTACCGAGTTGCTTAAGCAAGGACAGTACGTGCCCATGGCTATTGAGGAACAGGTATGATCAAAGACATTATTTTATTAATATTTTGTATTCTGTATGAAAATATTAAATTATCTTGTGCCACTTATAAAAAATTGATAAAGCCATAGTTGTAACTTAATATTTCACTATTGTTATTGAAATTATCAATGTTAATTACCCTATAGATAAACCAAGTATAATAAATTATGTACTTATTAGGTTGCCATCATCTACTGCGGTGTCCGTGGACATCTCGACAAATTGGACCCAACCAAGATCACTGCCTTTGAAAAGGAATTCACCCAGCACATTAAGACTAGCCACCAGGGTCTGCTGAACACTATCGCCAAGGAGGGTCAGATCACACCTGATTCTGATGCCCAACTGAAGAAGATTGTCACCGACTTCCTCGCCACTTTCATAGCGCAGTAAAGTGTACAAAAAAAATGTCTTCAAATTATATAAGTTATGTAGTACATAAATCAATCCATAATTTATATAATTTTAAGTGACATTAGTAAAATATACAGAGATCGTCAACGGAAGGATTTGTCTGTTAATTAATACTTCCGTCAACGGTCTAGTAGTGTATCATTCGAATGGACTGTATTGAATGTGAATACAATCACAGAATGTATTTATCTCTGGAGTCAGCAGTGGTTATATATAAATAAAATTATTATTTACTTGTGGCTTTTATTTTTACTCTAAAACTTATCCAATCTATGCATAGCTATAAATGAAATAAAATAAATCAAAGACGAAACATTCGCGATATGTTTTTTCGATTCCAACTACGTTTACAAATGCCATGTTATGATTGAACTCTTGATGGAAGATGAGGACGGAATTTGTTTGATATGCCTCAAGAGATGGTCACCAGTTTCTAGTTTAATAATATAAGACCAAATATTTTATAGTTAAAAGTGAGTGATAAAATTAGATTTTAGTTCATGTTTTAAAGGACACAGCTAATGGTATCTGCGATTAAAGCATTATTTATTTTAGTTCAAAATATCTTATATCTTTAAACAAGCAATTCTTGTATATATATAATCTGAATCTTGAAAACGGCTCCAATGATTTTCATTAAATGTAGTACACAGGGTGTTTCGGGGGCGGTAAATCGATTTAGATTAGTCTTATGTCTGAGAAAACGCGTATTTTCGAGTTTTCATGCAGTTTTCTTTTGCATTATTCCACGCAAAATATGGTCAGTAATTTGCACACTCTGGTATAAAGCAAAGTGTTCAAGCGGCCAAGGTGCAAGATGAACAATCACGGGTTCGAATCTCGGTCGCTACAAAGTTTTTACTCTTATATTTTTTAATATTTATTCAAGTTTTTAGTTTTTTTTTAAAGTAAATTGTACTTTTATACCAAAAACTCCGAGCGAAGCTCGTTGGCCCAGGATATATATATATATATATGTTCATGATAATAACATAGTACCTGGGCTACCGCGATTCGCTCGTAGTTTTTGGCCAAAAAACATAAAAAAAAAAAAACAAACTAAGAATTTGAATAAATACAAAAAAAAACAAAAGTAAAAACTTTGTTTCCGACCGGGATACGAACCCAGACACCTGTGGTTGTCAAACTTGCGCCTTGGTTGGAATTAACGACCATATTTTGCGTGGAATAATGCGTAAGCTTCCGGTATTTATATTTTAATTACTTACTTAAAACTAAAATAAGCAGGACATTGTTATGATTTTTTTATTCAATTATAGTTATTATAGACATTATTTTTTTGTTAAGTTTAACGCGGAACGTTACCAGTTTCTTTTTTCTGCTTAATTCTTTCCAGTAAATCCTTTGTTTTTCTTCCAAGTTTTTCCAATACAACACTATCGTCTTCTGTTATAAGATTTTTTTCCGTCAAACTAATCAGTATTTCTTCTAATGTTGTCACTCTTTTCCTTAAACAGCGATTACTGTATTGTAGTCGTTTAATTTTTTTAGTTTGTTCATGTATCTTTTTTCTCAGTCTAAGCATTCTTGGAGAATCTAATACTTGAACTTGATTGGACTTTGTTGTCTGTACCAACTGCACCTATACGTTAAAATCTAGAGTTAGCAATGTATTACATTTCAACAGTTACATACATATAAGACATTTGGGATATAGACATTAGACAGTGTATATCTCCTTTAGTTTAGTGTTAAAACCAGTAAATACAATTTTAGTAACAAAAATTACTGTAAAAATTTTATAACAAAATTATACCTATTTTGAACTTACATCTTCTTGTAACGGGTTTAAACTTTCAGCTGGTACTACTACGTCTGGATTGATTTGAACACTTTCTATTGAATGCTTGTTATTTACTTCTTGTGACTAAAAGCAAGAGATTTAACTTTATATTAGTAGATAATTTACAGGTTTGAAAACCCTTTTTTTTTAACGTTGGGAAATGCATTTACGCACGAGGTGTGGGACTCACCGGCATAGCCAGTACTACCCACTAAAACCCAACAAAACCTTCCCCCGTCTTAATGGGGCGTCTCAGGATCGCTTACGCATTCAACTACGACGCCCCGACGGCAGGTCTGCCGAAGCAGACCACAACAACCACGGGGTTGCTCCACAGTCCACTCTGCTATCAGAGAAGTACCAGGAGCAACCCGCATGGTACACTGCCCTCCAAAGAGGGCCACCTCCCACCGCCCACCGAAGTGGGCCACCTCCCTGTGCGTTTCTTGGCTTCGCGCCCGGTTGGGTTGCCGGGCACTACTGAGCCCCCCCACCACGACAAGGTGAACGCACGTTGGGGGGGGAGGTTTGAAAACCCTAAACCAGCTTCAATTATAAAATTGATATAGCTTATTGGTATTAAATGTATATGAGACCACCTCGAGAGTATATTCTTTTGAATACAAAAATAATTTTTACAATCGGTCCACAATTGGCGAAGAAATGGCGTAACAAACATACAAAAAAAATCTGAAGAATTGAGAACCTCCTTTTTAAAGTCGGTTGAAATGGTACAAATAACAATAGATATTTCAATTTTGATGGTAATACCAACTTTTGGAGAGATTAGTAATGTTGTAATTGAAGAGGATGCTTGAAATTTTGAATTCGAGTATTCCTATTTCCTTGGTATTATAGCTTAGTTCTAGTGACTAAAAAAAGCACTGTATTATAATATTATGTAGGTATAATACTTTTTTTAGGTTTACGCGAATATTTGACATTATAAATGAACCTATCTTTTCGGATTTTGTCGCGGATTTATTTAGATTTTTGGTTCCCGACGTTTCGAATGCTTTACAGCAATCATGGTCACGGGAGAGACGGTCAGGTAAAGCCCGAAAAGATAGTTTCATTTATAATATTATGTAGGTAATAAAAGTTGGAGAAAGTGAAAATCGTACTTAAACATTATTTTTGTCATGCCATCAAATATTAAAGTAAGTCGTTTTGATAAACTCACATATATCGGTAAAAACAATGTTGGAACAGCATCTTTTTCGAGCTTTTTCTGTTTCTTTGCATTGTTATTAAAATAGGCAGTTTCGAAATGTACACTGCATATAGCGCTGTGTTTCGTTGGAATCCAGGTGTCTTCTCTACGAACTGCTTCTACCCACTTTCTCTTTCGAGAAGGGTCCCTGGGAAATCTAAAATTTTGTGTAATTTATGTGTTAAAATAAAATAATCTTGATTATAATTACAGCACAGTATTGAAAAGTATATAAATGTGGTATAAAATAAAAAAATTAAGTACACATACTAATTATAATTTTTGCATTTATAATGTTTTTATTTGATTATAAAAACTATTATTTTAAATTTATTGTCATCAGATTGTAGGGTACTGTGATAAAAGTATGTTATGTTATTGTACTGTACAAATAACATCATTCGTTCAGTCATTTCGTCAAATATTGATGTATTTGTCGACATTGTCAAGCACTAGTCGATGTCAAATGGACTCACCGACAGTTTTGTCATTCGTTCTGAATGGTATAATCCAGCCATTTTATGATGGTTGTCAGATATCAACAATACATAGAAATATCGACTATATTTAACATAGTTGGATAATACGACAATTTATTTTACATTTAATTAAATTTTGTGATAAATAACAATAAATGTAATAAAATTATGTACTTACAGGTGAAAAGAAATATTGCTGCTTCCGCCGCTATAGTTTTTACACCATTTAACAGAACATTTAGTCATTTTTGGGAGATATTTTGTTGACAAGTAAGTGCTTGAGACTGATGCAAAAACAAACGACCGAGGCTAGAATTTCCTGGCTACTGAATGACAACCATGGATGACAACTGACAAGACCGGAATAGACGTCCGCCTATATGTCGGGTCCAGTTGACTAATTCGTTCATGGCTATGCTAAGCACGAAAATTTGTGATTATGCAAAGATGTACAAACATATTATAGATCTTGCTCTTAGTTACTCTTTCACACAAAATATACTGAAAAAAATCTGTTAGAACTAAAGTAATATAGCAAATACATAGGAGTAAAAATTGGCTATAATTTATACGGATATCTAAATACATAATCGAAATTCGCGGACTTTTGTGAGTTAAATGAAAAATTCTTATTAAAACTACTTAATTTTTTTATTATTATATGTTCTGAACAGATATGAATTAACAGACAAAAAAATTTTAAAAACTAGTTTCGCCCTCTGTATTTTAAAAAAGACTATCTTAAAAAAATATTCAATGTACTGATTCGGGTCAGAATTTTATTATATGTGTATAATATGGTTTAAAATGCATGCTAGAATTCAGGCGATGGATAACAATTCAATTCTATGGATATGGCTTCTGGACGTATCAGTTGAGCAAAGACCATTTTAAAAATTTTAGTTCTGACATGTTTCATGACTTTATGACCTTGACATAAGTTTATATTTTACGATTTTTGACAGCTAGGAACCGTGTGCCTCTATCTATTTTTATTTTGTATTCATAACTATATTAAAAATGTTTCCTAGAATCTAAATAAATAATTTAAATCATTATACTTAAAGAAAGAGTTGCTCTATAATTCGCAATCTGTATAAATTATAATATAAAAGCTTCTACAGTTACTAATTAATTTAAAATGGAATTCTTTGAAAGAGCGCACGTTGTAAAAAATAATAAAGCAACTGAAAATGTAAAGAAACAGCTGAAACAAATGTTATATGGGTATAAACTTAGCGATAATAAACTTATTCAGAATTCTGCAGACAGTAAAAATGACTTCGACGACTCAACGTCTGTAAGCGGTTTTTCTGATTTAAATCTTACCAATTCAAGTTGCGAAGACAATGTCATAGACGACGGCAAATCTTTAAATGAAGAAAGTACTATCAATTCCAGTGAAAATATCGATGAGTATTCTTCAAATATTGTTTCCCGCGAGAAAGATGTTTCACTATCAGAAGAGAATGAAAATAGCACAATTCCTTCTGAAGATTTACATGAACAATCAGAAGAAGATGCTTCTTCAATATCTGAGTCAGAATTATCACTAGCAAGTGCCTTACTTGATTCAGATCTAGAATCAAATTCGTCAGAATTATTTGATAAAAATGGTGAACTGGCATTAAGAATACACAAAAGGTTAGAAGAATTAAAATCACAAAAACAGACACACAAAAGAAAATATAATGAAATTGATCCTAATGACCAGGTAAGACCAAAATCTTTAAGCGCTAAAGCAAAATATAAAGAATTTGAAGTATCACAAGATATTAGTGAACAAGATGATACATCTATACATAGTAATGAAAATGTAATCGATATCAGTGATGTGGAATCTGATCAATTGTCTCCACCTTTTGTTTCTATATCAGCTGTAGACATGCCACACCAAAGATTAGATGATATTGTTGGAGATTATAAATATTCAACAATAAGAAATTTACCATCAGATAATCAACATACCATACTTTCAACAAATAATTCGGGCTTTTTTGCTGAAGAAATTATGAGTGTTGATATAAACACAGAAGATGAAATAGGTAGCTTAATTCCAGAATTAGATGACATTCCAACTATTGATGAAATTGATGAGGAAATCATAAATCTTGATACAACTGTCGATACAAACATTAATGATACTGTACTTGATTTAGAAAATACATTAGAGTCTGAACCAACAAGTGAAACAGAACAATTTATAGATCCACAAGTTAATGTAGAAGAAACTTATAAAATATATTACACTCATATGGGTTGTATTATTGTGTTAAAACATCCATCAGAATTGTATATACAAGGAAAGGTTAAAATAAAGCGCTTAGGAGGAACAGTGGAAGTATTTGGATACACACTAAAAGATGAATTTTATGATTTATATGCTCCCTATTATAATTTTGCTCAGTCAGTTAAAACAATAGAAAATCCAAATGCATATTATGGTTTGTTTGGGAAACTCACTGCCACTGGTCTGTCTGTTAGAGAAGCTGAAGATATAGTTACTTCTATAGGAGATCAAGATGGAGTTATTCTTTTACAGTCATTACATAGCGATAAAATAGATTTCATAGAAAATAACTTTAAAGTAACCTATTTGTTTGTTAAATTGAACAAAGTAGTTGAGCCTTATTTTAAGAGCACCTCTGATATTTTAAAATGTTCATTATATTCTGTAAGACCATTGAACACTTTTCGAATTCACCCTAGTTGGAGTGAGGCCCTAGCACATTCTGAATGTAAGTAAATATCCACTGATCTTTTTTAAATATATATTTTATAAATTAGTAATATTTTATAATTAAAAAAAAATCAATTTAGAAGTAATTTGAAATTTTATAAAATAATTTATTATAAATAAATTAGTTTATATATAAATACTTTATGTATATATTTAATAAATATTATAATAATTACAGGTCCAGCAAGTAGAGGTATAGTCTGTGGAGGAAAAGGTGCCGGCAAGTCAACTTATCTAAGATATCAAGTAAACAAACTGTTGGCAAATGGACCAGTGCTTGTTGTGGACTTGGACCCGGGACAATGCGAGTTTACAGTGGCAGGAAATATCTCGGCTTCAGTTGTAACTAGTCCCTTGTTAGGACCAAACTTTACACACTTGAAGAAACCAGAAATGTTAGTATTTACATATTTTCATCAGAACACATTCACGGAAACACTACAGATACACCTTCTCATAGAAAGAAAGGATGGCCTTAATTCTGTTAGTTTTACCCTAATATTGACAATATTTGCTATTTATCGGAAAAATATTCAACTTATTTACACTATGTACTAAAATATTCTGAAATGCTTAAATAAAATAAATTTCAGTATTTGTAATAATTTATGACCAGGATGAACAACTCATAAATTGCGAACAGCACCATCTATGTTTACACAACTGAAACTTTGTCTAAACACATTTCAATTTATAAAAAAAATAAGTTTTACTTTAATTAATAAAACTCATTCTGTTGGTGTCTGTCTGCTATGGGTTTTAAAGAATATAAATACTTTATGATGATATTTTTTTCTTATTTTACTTTTACAATAATATCAATTACACATCCTTGCATATACTCGTAGTACCTATTGCATCTTTTGACATTTATTGGAGTTTTTTTATCTTTCTGATGAAACCATGACCATGAATTTCCAGTAAAAAAACAAATTCAGACTATTGTTTCATTAATTATGTTTTGTTTGTTTCAGAATGCTAAATATAGGCATGATCAACACAATGGACAATTCTAAGCGATACCTTTCCGCTGTCCACACTTTGATAACTCAATGTCGTGAAAACGAAGCCTTTGCAAACATGCCATGGGTCATAAACACTATGGGAATGACAACAGCTTTAGGACTTAAGTTTATAACATATATAATATTAGTAACCAAACCAACTTATGTCCTGCAATATGAATCTAAGAAATCTAAAAAATACTTTAACACACTTCTTCAACCACACAATGTTAATACTTTATATGAAGAGTACAAGAAAAGTCATTTATTCGAGAATATATCATTTCCAGCAGATTTAAATTACTCCTTCGTTGTCGCCTATGAAACAGATAATTCTTTAAAGGACAGCTTCTCCCTGACTCCTAAAGATGAAAGATATTTGAATTTCTTGGCATATTTCAGTCAGTTGGCGAGTATTCAAAAAAACTTGTTAGCAATTACGCCGTACCAGTAAGTATAATTTGTAAAAAGTTCATTAAGCGCGGCATTCGCTGCATGAACACGGACATCACTCAGACGCAACCTGATTCTCAACAGACGCATTGTAATACAGATGCCCTAGAAGTTTGTGCTCTAGAGTAAAGGTGTGTCTTGTGAATCGATAGACTTTCACTTAAAGACCTGGCTTATTGTCAGACCTATCGACGTCTGGCGCTTATGATCGTAGTGCTTATTGATATTTGAAAATCTATTATTGTTTTTGTATTATTAGAATTGATGCAATTAATTTAGCATATACAATTGTAGCCTGTTGCTATAGAGGTGGGCGTTGATAACTGCGACTCAGTTGTATAACTAATGCAGTTATTAACATAGAAACTGTTTATGATATTATATGCTATGATGTTCTTAGTAAATAAATAAATAAATAGTGACGTCAGTCAATGGTTCAATCCACCGGGCAGAAATGTACGTGATTGACAGCTATTTTGCGCTGTAAATGGTTATATAGCGTCTGTTTGACCGATGACCACTGCAACGTCTGTTTGAACGATGTAAATATTTTATCTCCCGCGAGAATCGAATCTACGGTCTCCGATGTAGGTACCACATAAGCTGCAGTCTTCTACGACAATCATCTGAATTTAATAGCATTTATGTTGTTATAAAAAGTATCCTATATATTTGGTTTGTATTATATATGTACTTCTTCTCATATAGCTTCTTATAAGTTTTAACAACTTCATTTAAATTGGCTTTTTAAAAAAAAACAGAAACATAAGGTCTCGAAGGGTCCTAACAACGTACTCGTTATTTTTGTTAACTTTTTTCTCACTAACTAGATTAGTTCGATAAATTATTACTTTCAAATTAAGAGTGGTATGCTTAGTTGATAGAAACTATATTATTATAAATATTATAATACCTAATTAGTTAAAAAAATATCTCTTCTGAAACTTAAAAATTAAACTGATTATTTAGTATTTGAAAATAGCTGTTTATATGTAAAATAGCGACTTACTCTCTCTACGCTCAAGTTTGCCCTTAGTTACGTTTTAACGGTTAGTATAGATTTCTCAGATATGAGATATTTTCCCGCAGTAAAAAGTATCATATATATTGACCCGGATAACCAGCTATTATCATACTAAATTTCAACAAAATTTGTCCAGTGGTTTTCTCGTGATGCGTTCCTAGACGGACAGACAGACACCTATTCTAAAAGCTATAAATTCGATCCCTGTATCGTTAATAATGACGATTTCAATGAGATTTTAAAAAATATATTTAATGTAGAGATTCGGCTCAATTAAAATTTTATTATATGTATAGAAAAGAAATCAATCACATTAAATAGTAAGCTATTTAGTATTAAAATCAAAACAAAATACTTAAGATAGCAAAACTTATATTTCGATTTAATTAAAATTACATACAAAAAGGCTGTCAGTGCAACACTTAGCATAACTCGCAGCTACAAAACGTCTATAGATATTTTCATACATCGCGATGTTTACAAACCAGTTCGAATGTTGACCACGCCACGTCTCTTATAATTCATGACGCATTGCCAGCTAATGATGTCACGACGCCGCCAGACAAAGTATTGGTGAGAAAATAAAAATAAGCCCCAAGACTTCACAGAACACGACAAGTTCATTGAGTTTTTATGAATAATTGTATACGGGCCAATTGTGGAAACCGTAGTGTACCCTTTGAAATTAAGTAGGTTTAATTAAGAGGAGTCGCTGGGTTGGACATTCAACTTATCATGTTAATCGATTTTTTAAGACCCTTAACAGGTCGTACGTTCGAATCCTGCTAACATAAGACTGCTGAAATATGTAGTGTGTGGATTTTAATATTAATTTCTAAGAAACCATTGATATTTATTTAGACAAATTTCGGTGAAATATATCTATCTACAATCATTGCTTAATTTTAATCATTTTAATTATCTTTGTGATTATAAAAAATATTGATTTTACTAAGTCAATTAATTGATCACTAATCGTATTATGTCTAATAATATAATATATAATATACTATTATAGTATAAAACGTCGTAAACGTCTAACTTAGTAGTTTTAAAAACTTTAAAGGCGATGAACCCTCTTGAACATGAGAGGCTTCGCGTAGCAGTCGGAAGCAACAGGTGTTCTATTTTACCTAGCGACTGTAAACCTTATGGTCTACATAATAGAGAGTAGAATAGTTTTTGTGGTGTCACATGAACTTTGCAAGCGATCAACACATTGTTTTAGAAATGAGCAATGATATCGCGGCTTCTATAGTATTATGAGTCAGTCGGTCGCCACTACAGCATCATTGTTCAATCCTTGTTATCAATCGTTTCTCTGAATTATTCATGTCATGCAGGATACTGGATTATTGACTAATACTATTTATAAATGACGGGAAACCGTTTTTGTTATAAAATTGTGTGTGTGTACTTATGTTTATGTACGCACGTAAGAAGTTATACTTCTTTGGCGTAACAGAACGAAAATGGCTAAAGATTTCATCCTGTATGTCATAACTTTGTAAAAGGAATGCAGCTTTCATCATGTCGCTTTCTAGCTGTCGGTGTGCGCGCACTTCGTACAAATTTTACTCCTTATAATTTTTCCAAACGTGCCAAAAGAAGTATAACTTCAAAAACCTAAACAAATGACAATTCCTCATAAATTTAATAATTGGATTTATATCCTACTTTTTTAACGCTTTTTCTCTATCACGATAAGGCCGCCTCTTGTACCTTCTTCTATATTATATTGTATATTTCATTTTTTCTTTGTGGGTGTACAATAAAGAATAATTCATTCATTCACTATTTAAAGTTTGGCGATGCCTCATCCATTCAGTAATAAAAGCAGTCAACATTTACTAGAAACTATAATAAAAATATTATCAGCGACTTTCATACAAGCAAACATATACATGTCTACAAAAACAGAATGACTAATTGATGAATGCATTGTTATGGAATTTTCTATACAATTTCAAATATCTGGGTTATTTCATATGCTAACCTTTCAGGGTATCTCTAAAGGCGCTTTATATCGGGACCAATGTGGTAGTCAAAGCGGATAATATAGCGAAGGTAATCAACGGAAAAGTGGTGGCATTGTGTCAACAGAAACAATGCGATAGCGCGAGAGTGTTTACATTGGCCGATAAGCCACTGCTGTGTCACGGACATGGTAAGAAAGTTATTAAAAAATGTTTAGGTCTCAACAAAAACATTTTTTCTAATATAGCTATATAAAATATTTGCAACACACAACATGACGTCATCCATTTTATTATTTGTACCATTGCAATTAGATAAGATTACTCAGTCCAGTTTGATGAAGACATTCATTAGAGGAAAAAATTTAGAAGAAATTATAATAGAAAATATATTATCATTACAATTAAATTATTCAATTCTCACAATAAGATTATAACAATATTTCATTTGATAATATAAAAAAGTCTAGAAAAATTCAAATAAACCTATGCATGTCGTGTATTATTTTTACTTCAAGTTAAACCACCTAAATGACTCAAAAGATGATGTAACTCGAACAAAGTACATTAATATCATATTTGTGTTATCAATAAAAGTGCTATAATATAGTGCTTGATTAACTGATAAGTGCAAATACATTCCTACTACTTTATATATGTGGAACAATCTGTCCGTTAGTCACAAAAACATCAAAGCAATTTTGTCTGAATTTAATGTTTGTATTTGCAGGTCTTATAAGAGGAATAGATTGGGAAAAGGAGATTTTATATGTTATTACACCAGTTTTGAGCGGTGAGCTCTGCAGTGTGGACACATTGGTGTATGCAGACTGGGTGCCGGACCTGGTGGGGCAAGAAAACCACCTACTTGAAGGCACCGTGGTCCCCTACCGCACCAGGACACAGGACCAACTCAAGCAACTCATGTCCACACCACGCAGAAGGTTTAACCCTCTGCAACTGCTTAAAATAACAAGAAGTGCCAAAATTGAAAGCTTGGTTAATTAGTTAATAAATTTGTAATTGGAATATATCCAAAATATCTTAAATTATAAAAGGAAGTCTAAGTATGTTAATTCATGTATATTTGAAAGATAATTTTGTACTTACAATACTAATAAAACATAACATAGATGATTGAATTTAACTTAAATATTCCCCCATCCTAGATAGAAACCTTTCCATTTATTATAAATGCTGTATTCAATTTTTATAAAAGTCAAAAAGTCTAGAAAAGAATTGTTAAAACATGGGGTTCCTTTATTACTAATAAATTATATTAGCATGCAATATAACCATATGGAAGTTAAAATTTTCACACAACACATTACAATAAAACTGCCTTAAACAAATAAAATGGGATTGTACGTCTCGGAGACATGTATGATGTCTAGCTGACAGGCACTTAGCTGAGTCATATGGGGCTCGCGCTCCATGTCAAATAAAGTTCCTAAGCAATTTATACATTACTATTTTATTGAAAAATTAAAATACAAAATACCAAACTAAACAATAGTTGAGGAATCTCGCTGAGACAACAACAGTTGAGGAATATAATGTAGAAGAAATGCTACTTGATTATATAACATGATAGTATAGCACGAAATATTTCTGCAGGCCCATCGGATATGAGCCTACGGTTGCCCCCCGACTACATCTGTTAAGGCAATTATGCTTACTCTTTATAGATATTCTATAAAATATACAAGTACCAATTGTGAAAGTATAGCCACACGAATACTGAGTGGGTGTGCGTGCTACGCGGGCCGCGACATCGCGTCAGCTGTCAGTATCGGAAGGAAGCACTGTGTGGCCGACATCGCGACTGCTGCAGAGTTCGAGTCGTATCAAACGTAAGTTTCAGGCAGTATGCGAACGATTCATAAATCAGAGTTCTTCCGTCAACAGCACAATTACAGCAGAGAACACCTAGTCTTCTTCTTCTTCTTAACTTGTAACGCGGCGCGAGTCGCCGTCTCGAACACTTCGCGAACGCCTTCCTTGCTCTTGGCAGAGCACTCGAGGTATGCGAATGCGTTAATTTTCTCGGCCATAGCACGACCTTCTTGAGGCTTGACAGGTTCCTGTTTCATCTTACGGAGCTCATTAATTGTGGCCGGGTCATTACGTAGATCCTTCTTGTTGCCCACAAGAATTATGGGCACATTAGGGCAAAAGTGTTTCACTTCTGGTGTCCACTTCTCCGGGATATTCTCGAGCGAGTCGGGAGAGTCCACTGAGAAGCACATGAGAATCACGTCAGTATCCGGGTATGAAAGTGGTCGCAGCCTGTCATAATCCTCTTGGCCGGCCGTATCCCATAAGGCTAGCTCCACCTGTTTACCGTCAACTTCTATGTCGGCGACGTAGTTTTCAAATACTGTCGGCACATACACTTCCGGGAATTGATCTTTACTAAACACGATCAACAGGCATGTTTTACCACATGCACCGTCACCAACAATCACTAATTTTTTGCGTATTGCAGCCATCGGTCCTGTAAAAGAATACAACGCAAATAATTATGATGAGCGTCAACGCCTTTCATGACTTATAAATATGGCCGCCGTATAGGAATATGGGAAGGGAGTAGTCAGACAAGCCCTCAAATGTGAATAAGCACCTGAACTAGCGGAAGAAGAACAGCACCACCACATAGTACCCTCACATGCGAGGGTGGTTATTTAGTATATTTTGTAGATACCTGAAGATTCTGGCTAATTTCTGCAGAATATTGACCTATCGACACTTTTTTATTCGTCTTTGCTCATCACAAGCACTTTCGTTTCGTTCGTACGTCAGTATTGCAATGTAAGAAAATAAATTTAGTTAAGGATATTCAAAGTATACCATGGAGTAAAAGATTGAAATTGGAAATATTAAAAATAAAGCACATATTATGAAAATGAAAAACATTTTTTTAATTTATATAGGTACCAATTATTTCATAGAGATTTAAAAACATTTTATATAAGTATAAATTATCTCAAATTGCCATTATTTGAAACACAAGTTTGCCTCATACAACTAGTTTACGTAAATTTATAGAAAAAAATTAAGCTAATTATGTAAATAAAAAATATCAATTCACACGTCAGCGGCAGTTTTTTTAAGCACTTTGTTTTTCTGCAACAAGGAGTTCAAAAGTTTAACATTCAAATTAAATCAATCTAGAAATGTGTTATTGAACAGCTGATTGCATAGTATTTATTTTCCGGCTAACTTTATAACATAACTATAGAATAAGTCAACAATGTCTAACAACATAGGAGCAATAATTAATAATATAAAAATGAAAGCCAAAAATATAAAATATTCTTTGCATACTAGCGATAAGCCTCGTTTCGTTCGGGTTCGTCTCTAGGTACATTTTAATTTTTTTGAGCTGTAATTCTTTTTCTAAAATAAAAATAGCCTATGTTACTCTCTATGACATCAGCTATCTCCCAGTGAAAGTCCCGTCGAAATCAGTCCATCCCTTTCAGAGATTATCCGGAACAAACAGACAGACAGACAAAAATTTTAAAAATTGTGTTTTTCTTATAAGTACCCTATATAATTTCATATGCATTTAGTAAAACGCTGTTATTTTGATATTACAAACAGACACTTCAGTTTTATTTATCTGTATAGATTCCATTGTCTACTAGAAATCACATGTGTATGTGTAGCATATATCAAATTTGTTTTCGAATAATATTTCATGTACAATATTATGTATGTACGTACTAATTTTAATCGTGTGGAATGGTCTTTATATTGTGTTCATCTCATAGACATAATATTAACTAAAAAAAGTAGAGAGTGGACTACGGATATTCAGGTATGATAATATATCGTATTGTTGTATCGATACTTTGCAATATATTGTACAAATATATCGATATATCGTAAGTCGTAAGTCATATGTTTGTATTTAAATAGTCTGTAATATTAGATAGAGATCAAATTAATATGAGTAAAAACAGTTAGTGAAGGAACAAATCATTTTATTTATCTATCCCAAAAAAAAAAAATTCTTTAGACCTTGCCAAAACAAAATTTTATTTACTCTTTTGGCTTGCAGTCTGCCGTCTTAAATGCCGTATATAAAAACGGCTATTTTAACACGGCAGTGTTTTTATATATCGTTATACACAATAACTGTATTTAAATTTCGTAAACTGTATTAAACAAAACAGTCAATATTTATTTATACTATATACCTAGGTTATTTTGTAATTTGTACTGAGAAGTGAGAACGATCGAGGAAGTCGGAACTCTGATTTCGGAAGCGAGTGAGACTCTCGAGGTACAGGTCCACATCAATCCATGGTCCACACTACGAGTTACGCTACAGTCACAGATTATAAAATTTTTACTACTACTAGTCTGCCTTCACGGAGAGTAGGAGAATAGTATTTCGATTTTTGTGTCTTTGCGTTTCGTTATTGGGAAGGCTAGTTTTTCGGGGTATAATAATTCGGGGTTTTACGTTTTATTTTTACTCAAGTTGCCATCCATAAAATATAAGGGAATTAAATCAATCAATATATAAAAAGAAATGGAATGTGGTTTTAATTACTCACGATATTTGGTATATCGGATGAAATATATCGATTGTACATATCGAAACTAGATGATTCGATAATATCGATATATACTCGTATATCGTGCACTCCTAGAGTCCTAGAGTCAAGAGTGGACTCAGTCTAAGTGTGGGAGTCTCAGGCGGGACAGGGACAAAACGAATGAGCAGCCAAAAGCCTTCTGTATTAATCCAAATATGATTGATGAAGATAGATATTTAATATTTATAACCATTTTACATTCCATTATAATATTATAATATAATTTTTTTTTACATCTTAGTAATATTACAAATGCGAAAGTTTGTGAGGATATATGGATGTCTGAATGTAAAGAATATATATATGGTTGATTGTTACTCTTTCACGCAAAAACCACTGAATGGATTTTAATCCAACGTTACAATAATATATTATTGTATCTGCCTCGGTGGTGTAGTGGCTAGCATGTACGGCTGCACACCCGGAGGTCCTGGGTTCGAGTCCCGGGTCGGGCCAAGTTTAGTTATTGAGTCTTCCTGTATAGTAAGTCTCAGTAACAGCCCGGAGTTGGGAAGTTGGCGGTGTTTCACCCCCGTGCCTCGGAGAGCACGTAAAGCCGTCGGTCCTGCGCCTAACTCTCACCGGTCGTGTCGAGTGGTCGTCCCACCGGAGTATGAGAGTGATAGGAATAGAGAGTGCACTTGTGTCTGCGCGTACACTTGTGCACTATAATATCTCCTGCGCAGTTGGCTAATCTCATTGAGATTGGCCGCCGTGGCCGTAATCGGCTAGGAGAACATCATATTATTGTATCCATATACATCAGAATAACACATAGGCTACTTTTTTCCTGGAAAAACGTACGGTTCCCGTGGGATAGATTTTTATATTTATTTATGTAACTGTTTCTTTAACTGGTTGTTTATCTGTCAGTTAATTTAAATGTCACTTAGGTTGACTGTCAGATTGTTTAACGGCTAGTAAGTTTTACTGTCAGTTAGTTTAACTGTCTGCTCGTTTAACTGTTAGTTAGTAAAACCTACAGTTAGTTTAGCTGTCAGTAAGTTCAACTGTCAGTTTGTTTAACTGTCAATTAGGTTAACTGTCAGTTAGCATGACTACCAGTTAGCTTGACTGTCAGTTAGTTTAACTGTTAGTTAGTAAAAGCTACAGTTAGTTTAGCTGTCAGTAAGTTCAACTGTCAGTTTGTTTAACTGTCAGTTAGCATAACTGTCAGTTAGTTTAACTGTCAGTTTCTTTAAATGCCAGTAAGTTTAACTGTCAGTTTTTTAAATGTCAGTAAGTTTAACTGTCAGTTTGTTTAACTGTCAATTAGGTTAACTGTCAGTTAATTTAACTGCCAGTAAGTTAAACTGTCAGCTTGTTTAACTGTCAATTAGGTAAACTATCAGTTAATTTAACTGCCAGCAAGTTCAACTGTCAGTTTGTTTAACTGTCAATTAGGTTAACTATCAGTTAATTAAACTGCCAGTAAGTTAAACTGTCAGTTAGCTTGATTGTTAGTTAGTTAACCTACAGTTAGTTTAGCTGTCAGTAAGTTCAACTGTCAGTTAGGTTAACTGTCAGTTATTTTAACTGCCAGTATGTTATACTGTCAGTTTGCCTGACGGTCAGTTAGTTTAACTGTCAGTTATTTTAACTACCGGTAAGTTTAACTGTCAGTTATTTTAACTACCGGTAAGTTTAACTGTCAGTTATTTTAACTACCAGTAAGTTTAACTGGCAGTTTGTATAAACAGCTAGTAAGTTTAACTGTCAGTTAATTTTACTGTCAGTTTGTTTAACTATTAGTAAGTTTAACTGTCAGTTAGTTTAACTGTCAATTAGGTTAACTGTCAGTTAATTTAACTGTCAGTTAATTTAACTGTCAGTTAGTTTAACTGTCAATTAGGTTAACTGTCAGTTAGATTAACAGAAAGTTAGATTAACTGTCGGTGTAACTGTCAGTTAGTTTAACTCTTACTTTGATTAACTTACAGTTAGTTTGATAAACTGCTAGTTAGTTTTACTGTTAGTTTGATTAATTGCTAGTTAGTTTTACAGGCGTGTCTTCCTCGAATTTCTTCTTCACCTGTATTCTGTTCAGAAAAGAGACATTAAAAGAAACACAGTTTCTTTTAATGTCTCTTCTCTTTTCTCTTTCATCCATCAAATTATACATTAGTTACAAGCGGCTCAACCTCGCTTCGCTCGGGTTTTTAGACAAACAAAAAAAAACTATCCTACGGAAACCGTACACTTTTCCGGGATAAAAAGTAGCCTATTTGTTATTGTGATGTATGAACTAATACAGTTTCATTAAAATCCAATCAGTAGTTTTTGTGTACTAAGCTGTATAAGTTACTACAGATTTTTAACTATCCCACGGGAACTCTTTAATTTTCCGGGATGAAAACTATCTAAAATGTTGACCGGGGATATAAGGTACCACCATGCAATATTTCATTTAAATTGGTCCAACAGTTTCGGAAATTAGCCCGTACAAACAGAGAAACAAAAAAAAAGAAAAAAATCTGGATTTTTTCTATTTCTCTTCTAACATCCCCCTGACTCGGTTTTTAGCATATTTTTTCTATGTACAGACATTCGACCTCTAGTTTTATTATATGTATAGATAATATCTTTATGCATCCAAATACTTTTTTGTAGTCTGAACGCGGGCAAAATCGGTTTTCTGCTAGTAATTAATATGTTAAAAATTTAATTCACTTCATTTGGCAGATTCATTTTCAATGTATGTACTCTAAGGTCGTGGCAGTTACGAGATCTGTGGATTTTTTTTCAAACTAACGTTAGTTTTTGACTTACAGTAAAAAAGTATCATATGATGTTTATAATAAAACACAAAAATATCATAACCCATTTTTATTTATACACGCATATATTATCCACTAAAGGTGATATCCTAGTGCTACACATGTTATAAAATTGTATTAAAATATAAGCTCACGCTTTTTATAATGGTAATTAAAAAGTGACAAAAGAGCTGATATTTTTAGTTAAATCTGACATTAAAAGAAGAAATAGACAGAGCAATAGGACAATTAAATTGAAGTTAAACTCTCTATATCTTTTTCTGCAGTTAAACTCTCTATGGTGGTCCTTGAATGAGCACTGCGAGGAAACCGTATTTTTAGCATACTAATAGAATACCATTTCTAGCAGTCAATCGCAGTGTTTTTTATTTTAGTTTAACTCATTTTCAATCATCAATTATATACTGTGTATTGCAAATCTAATTCTTCTTTGTATACATTTTAACATAACATAAAAATATTATATATGAGTATGTATTAAAAAAAAACAGTCTTATTTATATTAATTTTATATAAAGAAAAAATCACCAAATTTATCACATGTTAATAATTGCTTTTCAATAATGACATAATGCCATTATGTGTTCATTGCACAAAATTAATATTACTAAAAAATATTTGAAAATCTGTATAAAATTGCTGTATAGTAATAATATAATTTTAGAATAATTGTTATAAAATAAATGCATTTCATTGTGCAAATTGGGATCTTTTATTTAATTTTGTCAGCTTATTCTTACACCATAAAAGTTTTTTTAAATATATTAAATAAATAAACTAGTATACCTTTACAGCTGTTAGAAGTAAATATTAAAAAAATCAAATATTTTATACAGAATAAAGTTAGTTGCAAAGTTTAACAAAGTCAAAGACCTAACAAACTAACAATATAAAATATTATTATAAACTATATAACAAAATCACATTTGCAGAATTGTGGAATGTTCAAAGTTACAATTCCTCTGATGCCATCTGTGAAAATAAATTAAAGTATTAAAATTTTATTTATGTCATAAAAACAATGTTACAAACATAAATAATACTTAGTAGTTAAAAATAATAGTAATAGTTGACTTTATGATGACCTTTTTAGTAGCTAAATATAGCTGCAAATATTATATTACAATGTAATTATTAATAAATTGTAATAGTGATATAAAATTATTCTTGCTAATATATTGATAAATAAATTGTTTTAATATTATAAAAATAATTAAAATGGACGCTATATTTGTTCTTTATAACTATTTTCCTCGTATATTAATCATACAGATAAAAACTCTTTTTCTTTAATCCTTCATGCTTTGTAAATATAGTGCACACAGTTGCACTTTGTTAATATAAAACTACTTAGCTATTGGGTAAGAATAAAACAAAAATTTAAATGTTAATAGTTTTATGTTTCATAACTTTAAAAAATAGCTCAATAATGTAGAATAACAACCCATGTTTATCTTTATAAACTATGACAACACTATTTTATAATATACAACATAGACAAAAAGAAAATTGTATTTTGACATATGTCACTTTTCAAAGTCAATATTAATAATCTATGTATTGAAATGACATTTCAAGGACTTAAATATAACTTCTTCACATAGTAGGATTCGTGTGGCGCCACCATATGAATTATTTAAATGCTCAGAGTAAGATAATAATATAGAGAACAATGTAGTAGTGATCATTTTTAATATTTCAAAATAAATTACTTCTAATACTCTAAAAAGACGTTTACAACAAAATTCGGTATAATTACATTGGTTTGCACATGTTGTGGTCACAGGGAGGAAATAATATTATAAACAACGAATTAAATAATCATTTCATCCTTCAATCAATCTTATTATCTTAAGCTAATATGTAACTGAATTATTTTAGCCACGAAATGTCAACTTGGCTTAGCCCTTTGAGCTTATTATCAAATCAGTTTGATCAAACTTAAATATACACCAAATTATATTATATATTATTTACGCCAGTTAATACTTTTCATATAAAAGAATATTTAGAACATAATTAAAAAAAATATTTTAACTTTTTTTTGTGCTTGCTTATGTGTGCGTGTGAATACTTGTGTTTCAATTGAGTATACGTATTAAGCTTACTAATATTCGAAAATCAAAAAGGTTAGTCATTTTTAAATTAAATAAGCCATAACCACATAACTAAATAAAATGTTGACTTGCTAGAATATAGAATTTAAACTCGATTTGTAATAACGAATCATCATCATACAATATAGTAAAATTATGCCGTTATATTTATACCTACAACAAAATAAAAAAAAATAACAAAAAACATACATTTTTGCTTGTCTATTTTTGGATGAGTTAACATTATATGGATCACTTCTTTACCTTCTGCCAAGCGCAGATGCCATAGGTGATTCCAGCTCCAAGGGCAAATGCGAGGAGATGTGGCAAGTATTTGAAAGACGGCTCGGACCTTTTCTTCATTAGGCCAGATATTAGCTTCAGTTTGCCATCTGTGTACGGAGGGTAGCGTCCACTGTGAAAATAAATTGTTTTATTATTTTTAATTGATATTTTTGGAGTAATTTATGGAAAGAGGCAAAATATTTCAGTTTATTTATTTATAGAAGTGAACTGATTAATAAAGCATAAAATATTTTTGTTAAAAAAAACCATATTTATTTTAATAAAAAAACATTTATTCTTAAACCATACTTTGAGAGGTTATTTATTATTATGCCACTAGGCACCTAAGAGTAGCGTATGTGTACTAAATTACATCCAAATCTGTCCAGCCGTTTCAAAGCGAAGGATAGTCAGCGTGAAGGAAAAACAAACAAGCACACAAACAAAATTTTGCTTTTATATAGTAGTCTGATAAATATGTTGAATTATTTTAAATATTAAATAAAGTATTTAAAGACTAGACACTCAACCTAACTTCGCTTCGGGTTCGTCCCTAGACAAGAACAAATCTATCCCACGGGAACCGTATATTTTTCCGAGATAAAAAGTAACGTATGTGCTATTCTCGACTCTACCTCTATCTCCGTGCCAAATTTCATCCAGATTCGTCTAGCTTTTCTGTCGTGAAAGAGTAACAAACAGCCTCACAAACTTTCACATTTATAATATTAGGAGGATATTAATAGGACATAATTTACTTACGAAGCCAATTTCTCTCCGATAGCGGCAAAATTTCTGAGCAGGCAACTCTTTTTGTGTGTAAATGTATCAAAGGAGGCTTTTCCGTGATACGCTCCTATGCCGCTGTTACCGACACCACCAAATGGAAGTGTGTCGACTGAAACATTTAATCACTTATTAGTTTACACTCGCTTCGCTCTGGTGTGTCCCTGAGTACGTTTTAATTTTTTTTGATCGGAATAATTCTTTTTCTTAAATAAAAGTAGCTTAAGTTACTCCTTGTAACACCAGCTATGTGCCAGTGAAAGTCCCGTCAAAATCAGTCCAGCCGTTTCGGAGATTAGCCGGACCAAAAAATTTAAATTTCATATGTACATACATATGAAATTTTTACATAAAAAATGTAGTAAAAAGTTGTAATTTTGAAATTACAAACAGACACTTCAATTTCATTTATCTATATAGATAACAAGTAACAAAAATATGAGGAACAATTTGTTTTTTTTTTCAAAATATTGCATTACCTTACTAAATAATTAAAAAAATTTACAAGAACATATTATTTAAATATAATTGAGACAGTAAATTACATGTTTATAATACAAAAACATTAATTCGATTTAATCACAGAGTCAGTAACATGCTCGTTTTGTTAGTAAAGTTCCACAAAACTACATTAAGTTCAAAGCTAAGTGGAAAGTAAGTGTCGTAGAAACCTCTATTAGGGTACTGTCTTAAGTATAAATGAATTTTTGACTTTATTTCACAGTCAGAATGTATTATAGGTACCCCGACAGTCACACGTACAAAGAAGTTAGACGGTCCCAGTTCTAGATTTTTTATTTATTTATTTTACATCCAATGAGAACGGCGGCGCCACTTACACTAACCAGATTATACATTATAAATAATTACAAACATACAATACACAAACAACAGAAGTAAATACTACTTGGGTTCTGAGAGCATGCTGAGATATTTTATCTAGTTCGGACAGACCAAAAAACTGTGTTTATTTTGGTATAAAAATGTATTGAAAAATGTGCAATTAAACCAATTTCGATTACGATGATTCTGATGATTTTCTATCAAATTGTAAAAATATGTTTTTTTTTTAACGAGTAACATTATAATTTTCTGTTCGTAAATTCAAAAATTCATTCATTTTTAAAAAAAAGAAAAGAATATGTACCTATCTATACCTATATACAATAGTACTAGAAAGAAAAGTTTATATTGAAGAATGAAATATATGTACACAGATATTAGCAACTAATTTACAGACAAACAGGCATAATAAAGATTTAGTTAATTTAAAAGCAAATAACTTATATAATGTATACAAGTAAATTAAAATCTAACTACTCTTTTTTAGTAGAAAACCAAAAGAGACAAGAAAATAAAAAAAGAAAATCCTTTAAAATCCGCTCAGTCAGAAAAGTCTTAATTGTATCGAGCCGGCATTACAATTAGAATTTACAAAACTCTATGTATTTAGCCCCTTTTAAGTCCACTGCTGGGCACATGTTTTCAATACGAGGGAGATCGAGCCATAGTCTATTACGCTGGCCAAGAGCGGGGCGGACTTCACATGTCTTTCGAAAACTTGCTAGATTCTCTCAGACATGCAGGTTTCCTCAAGATGTTTTCCTTCATCGTAAGACAAGTGGTAATCATGTTGGAAATGATTCGCACATGAAAATATCAGAGGTGCAAGTCCCGGGGTTTGAACCCGCTCCGGTCGATTTTCCAAGCTAGCGCTTTACCACTTGGCTACCACTATCAAACAAAACTCTACCTCTATTTATATATAAATGATCTCTCCTTTTTTTAAAGTTAATGGATATAAAAAACATGATATATGACGGTGATGACGTCATACCTCCCATTTGCATTACGGTATCGTTTACACACATTCCGCCACTGCTCGTATTCTCGATAATACTGCTGGTAGTCGCCTTGTGGTTGGAGAACACGTACAGCACCAAGGGTTTTTCTCTACCACAGATAATATATACCACCACCATTATTCACTATATTAATACTAAGAAGATTATATCACAAAGACATATTTACAAACACATATATTTTCAGTGGAAGAACAGTAGAAATTTTTTATTTATTTTTTCACTAAATTATAAGACCTTCACCTTAGTATGTATATAACCACATATTATGTATGTATACAGCCTTATCCTATCCAACACCAATCCATTTACCCTTAAGAGTATACTGCAACCATTACAGAGTAAATATCGATATAAATACAAATCACATGGTAAAGTAAAGAATATGCAATACGATGTCAAAAACAAAATATAATAATCCTTTATAATTACAGGAATATTATCAAATTTAAGTACCTATTTGATTATTTAAATTATTACTATATTTATATGATTTGTATTAAATCAGTAAAAAATATAATATGAGAGTAAAGATGTAGAATGAACCTATGCGGCTTGTACAAAAGGACTGATGAAAAAAAAGTTTAACCCGATTGTGGAAGTTTTGAACCTTTAAAATATCATTGATTATTATTATCTAACTTTGAATTTGCTTGCAACTTAAAAACTTAGCTATTATATGAAATCTATAATACAAAATTGTGCAATCGAACTATAATTATGAGGCTTGAAGACTTTGAGTTATAATTGGTTTGAACGAGATAATCTATGAATGACAATCAGACTTTCATGTACATTTTAGAGTTAAAAGATACATTTTACAGCTGAAAGATTTTCTAACAACGCTACGACCCTTCGTAAATAAATAACTAAACGAGCGGGGCCGCGGACAAAACTATAAAGCTTAAAGAAGAACCAGAAACATTTTCCATCAGTTCAATTTCCAAGCCACAAATTAAGACCAAATTTTGGACCTACAGTCACAGTTTTACTATACATTATAGACAAGTTCAAAATTAGGTCACATATCCCTTCACCCGAGTCTTACCGCCATAGAACATGATCGTATCGTTCACACAGAGACTGCCCGAGCGAGTCTGGTCGGTAAACAGCTTTTGTATGTTGCTTTGCTTGGTGAACACGTAAAGTACTAATGGATGCTCCCTGAAATGATCCTCGTATCTTTGTGACACGTCATACACGCTATGTGATGCGAATTTGTCCATTTATGATGTTGATTTTCTATTATCGATATCGCTAATAGATAAAAATAACGTCTACGAGATTTACAATTTTTACCATTTAATTAGAGCAAAAACGATTACATACTCTCGACATTTCTATACTTTTTTTAATTTCATATTAGCGTTAACGATTGTAGAATATCACGGTGACGTTCAAGTCTAGCACCTTGGTATGATAGTCGAGATGAAAATCTTGAAAGTGCCAAAATATAGTAGCAAAAATACCTTCTTCAAAATATTATATTGTAATAAACACATATATAATGATGAATTTACAGAAATTTTAAGTATATTGTGTAACTTAATACAAAATTGTTTTCTAAAAAAGATTTATATTTTCCGTCCATTAATAATTTTTAAATGTATATTATACACTTGTAAAGCAAGTAGATTTGCATTAAAGGAGTTTTTGAATATTTAGAGCATTTCTTTCAGGTACAAGATCCTTTATTCTTTGTATAATATAAAAAATGTATTACTCATTAATTGCAGCGAATTTTACAAATATAAGTAAGTAAAAGTTGAATAAGCGTATACAAGCGTCACTGAGATATGTGAGTTCACTTATATCAATATGCACCCTTTTGGCTTTATAGATTTAAATCTTTGCTTATGAAAAACCTTTGTAAAAAAATGTATACCTTTTTAATGCATTTGAAGAAGTTTATGTTTAAATGCGAGCAGATGTATGTAAAAACCACGCACACACGCGTACAACAGAATCACTCTAACACATTACGTGCAATGTTTCACATATACAAACACATCCTTGAGACTATGCTACTTAGCCTTAGGCAGATTTACCATAGACATTATCAAAAATAGAAGTGCCCTACGACTTTAATCATTGGCTTATTTTATAAGTTTACACATAATACTTTCTTAGATTTACGCGAATACTTGACATTTTAAATAAAACTATCTTTTCAATCATGGTCACGGGAGACGTTCTCTCCCGTGACCATGAGTACTGTAAAGCATTCGAAACGTCGGGTACCAAAAATCAAAATAAATTCGCGAAAAAATCCGAAGAGATAGTTTTATTTAAAAAGTTTACACATAGTTTAATATTAATATGATATAATTTAAGTAAATTATATTTAACTGTTAGTTAATAAAAAATAGCCATTAAATAAAAAATCATCTGTCACACTCCAAGGCTGAATTGAAAATTATTTTATTCTACAGCTTAGACCATGTTGTTTTTTATAAAGGGCACCTCTTTTTGTGATAGTCTATGTACAGCTTGTTCGCATAAAAACCAAGCAATTGACGTAATCGGTTGTTGCCATAAAATTAAAATTATTGAGATGAGATGTATCATTGTATTACGGACTGATTGAACCCAAATTATGGTAAATTGTGCCTGAGTTATGCATAAGGTAGGTTTTGCCAATGCAATGCGTATGGCGATTTAAAAGTGGCATTTGATTTGTCCCTATGGTACACCATATTAAATTTATGGTATATTTTGACATATAAAAGGATAATCATTAATTATTGAAGTAAATATAATATATTTTTTATTTCTCAACCAAGGTTATATTGTAAATTTAATAAGCATATACATAATAATAATAATAATTCATATAATTTACACAATATAAGAATATTTTATTAATGGACAATGGATATAAGTAATGTTTTTATACATATTATAATGGCAGGGTAAGATTGGAGGTCAAGGAACATATTATGCGTAGTAAGGACACTGATATAAAAACAACACAAGCAAACAGGTGTTTGCAGACAATTAATTTACAAATAAAAAAATTAGCAGAATTAAAAATTAATATCCTTTTATAAGTTAAAATAAAATAAAAATTGTAAATAGCAAGTAAATTACAATTTTTATTAGGCTCAAACTAAATAAAGTTTGTCAAATAATAAAAACCGACTTCAAAAATTATTACAATCACACACACACACACACATACACGCGTGCACAGATACACAAAAACAACCAGATACGAACTTTCTTTTTTTAAAGTCGGTCAAAAACTCACCTCGCGTTAATAAATTTGATAGCTTCATATGCATTCTCGATAGGGACGATGGGTAGGATGGGTCCAAATATCTCGTCATCCATTATTTTGTCGCTGCCAGTGACATTTGTCAATATGGTGGGCGCAATAAATTTGTCTTGTGAGTCGTATTGACCGCCGATGGCAACTTTGTCCTTGCTAGCATCTACTAATGCTTGGAGACGACTGAAATTGTTTTATATACGTTATAAACTACGGCCTGATCCCTCTCGTATTGAAAGGGAGGACCGTGCCCAGGAGTGGGACGTTAAAGAGGGTTGAATACATACACGTTTTAATTTGATTTTAAGTTTTGCATGTAATATTAATAAAATATTTTATTTTAAAACATTTAAGTATTTTCGTTAATAAGCATTAACTAATTAATATATGCGATAGGTAAAAATATTTCTGATAAATGACGCAATAAAGAATTATTAAAGATACTTGATTCAAATACTTTATACAAACCCTTTAAAATCGTTAATTTTTACTTTTTTTTAATTTAAATTCAATTTAAAAATTAAGTCTGTGAGAAAAATACCAGCGGCTCGGAATTCAGTTCTGCTGAGAAGAGCCGGCGAGTAATAAAAACGATACTTTACTCGTATTAAGAACTCACCTAAAATGTCTGTGATTGATAATTCTGCATAGATCTGGAGATTTCTGGGGGTCTTGTCCATACCATTCTTTTAACACATTTTTGGCTATTTCTACGAATTTGTCTTGCACTTCCTTTGTGCATAGCACGTAGTCTGGCGCAATGCAGGTTTGACCCACATTTATGAATTTACCCCAAAGCACCCTTTTAGCTGTCACCTCCATATCAACTGAATTGTCTATGTACACTGGGCTGCAAATAAAACGTTTCAATTTTAATTCAATGTACCTACTAAATATTTTATTTAAGCAATCCTGATGCGGCGCATTGCCTGTATTTTATTGTCAGATATTTTTGCCTGTCAGACATATACACGATGGAACCCAAGAAATATACTGTTAGGATTTTTTCGATATAAAAAATAAAGGAATTATTCCTTTGGTAAATGATGGATTGAAGATATTCTATATTTAAGTTATTTTTGTTCCATACTAGCGACTCACCCTCGCTTCGCTCGGGTTCGTCCCCAGCTTGCTTCTCCATACAAACTTTCATCCTCATTCTCACCCCCTTAAGGGAGGATTTCCGGGATAAAAACTATTTCACTCACTCACTTTTCATATCATGAGATTAAAAAAAATATAATAGTAAAATATATACGACCAATAAACTTATATACCTCAAGTCTTTTTTTTTTTTTTAACTTTGGGAAATGCATTTACGCACGACGTGTGGGACTCACCGGCGTAATACAGCCAGTACTACCCACTAAAACCCAACAAAATCTTCCCCCGTCTTAATGGGGCGTCGCAGGATCGCTTACGCATTCAACTACGACGCCCCGACGGCAGGTCTGCCGAAGCAGACCACCACAACCATGGGGTTGCTCCAAGGTCCACTCTGCTATCAGAGAAGTACCAGGAGCAACCCGCATGGTACACCGCCCTCCGAAGAGGGCCACCTTCCACCACCCACCGAAGTGGGCAACCTCCCTGTGCGTTTCTTAGCTTCGCGCCCGGTTGGTTATATACCTCAAGTCTAAAATATAAAATCCAATTACGTTATTACTGTACTGTGAAACTTGTACTACATAATATGAGCATTCTTTTTGGGTAGATTAGAAGCCGTAGAAAATTAGGTAGCATTAATTAAAACGAACCGAATAACACATTACAGAGACCAGATGACACCTATAAGTTTATAGTTTAGTAAATGCGTGTTAAAGTTAGTTTTATTATTGTTTTATTTTATATTATTACTTTTTTCACTCATAAGTAAAAAAGGAACACACTTCATTATTCCTAATTAGCCTATTCAAAAAAAAAAAGAAAAATCGATTTACAATAAGGAATATGCGTGTTTTGTTTTGTTTTTGAAACAATAGCTTACATAGTTATATAATAGGAAAAAATATCCAGCACCAAAAAACTGAAATTCAATAAGTATAAAAAAATATCATACAGATACGGATACTTTAAACGCTCACCATTTTGGCACGCTTGACGTGACGTCACAGTCTATGACAACAATGCAATCAACGAATGAACAGGTCTAGATTGTTAGTACCAATCGCAAACACCAAACAACATCGCTCTGTTATTATAAACTTCGACGTCACATTCGGTCTGACCAAGCGTTGCGTTTCAACTACTTTGAATTTCCCACCTATTTCTGCACTTTTCAATAATATTTTTTTAATCAAAAAGAAATGATGTACATTAAAAAATATTGATATAGGCTTAATTCAGAAGCAATGAATATTATAAAAAAAATCACCGTTATTTAAATCACACGCATTTTCCTTATTGACTAAGATATTAACAACATACGCGTGTTTAAATGGGGGTAATAAAGTAAATTACCTCTTTCCGCCCAACTCCAATGTGACTGGAGTGAGATTTTTTGTAGCAGCAGCGTATACTATCTTGCCTACATTTGTGCCACCAGTGTAGAAGATGTAGTCGAATTTTTGTTTCAATAGATCTGTAGTTTCTTCTGGACCACCCTCCACTATTACTACTGCATCCTGTAGTAAATACGAGTACAATATATATTACTAGTATATAAATGGTGAAAGAAGCTGAGGCAGACTCTTTGGTTAGACGTATTGCTTCAAGTACTTCTTTGACAGCAAAGTGGACCATGGAAGCAAGCAAGCCCTTGGTTGTTGTGGTCTGCTTCGGCAGGTTTGTGTAAGCGACCCTGCGACGCTTCATTAAGACAGCAAAAACAAGAAGTATCATTCGTTGCGTTTTAGTGGGAAGTACTGGCTATTCTAGCAAGTAAGTTCGACAAAACCTGTATTCAATCCGTATGCGTAAATGCATTTCCCAACGTTAAAAAAATACTCTTTGATTAGACAGATGTTAAGAAGGTTTTGAAAACTATTGGAGTGGGTTGGAGAGGAAAAGCTGGAATCCAACGTCTGTATTGTATATAGGGAATGCCCTTTATCAACATCTTTGACTATGGACTCTAAAACCACCAGGTAGGTGAAGATTCGAACTTGGAATCTTCTATCCTCTTTAATTAAAATATAGCAAGGTAAAAAATTAATGCCGTCGAATTTGACTATGAGAGTGAGGGAACAGATATTGTATCTATAATTAGTTTGTCTAAGTAGGAGTACAGAGTAGTATTATTAGGAATTGTCAGGGATAGATAACATAAATTGATGTATTCAGCTTTTTTTAACGTCCCACTGCTGGGCACGGATCTCCCTTTAATACGAGGGGGATCAGGATGAACACGCTGCACTCGGTTTCCCAAGCGAGCGCGCTACCACTGGGCTACCACTGCCTTATATGTATAAATTAATAATTTATGGAAAAAATATCTAATTTTTTATGATATGTTATTTTAGTACTAGTAAAATAGTCGTAAAATATAGTACTATTAATACTTGTAGTTGTAAATATTTATAATACCTACTTAAGAATCGTTAAAATCTTAAGAGCTTGTAATAAATTGAAACAGGTTATTTTTGTTTTGAATATTTTTTCTATCTTGCAAGATGACTGATGTTCTTTAAGTAGACATTTGCGTTGTTAATACATTTGTCCCGTAGAAATCGTGTGCCAATAACATATTTGTTAAAGAAAAACACACTAAGTCCCTTAGAATGATCAAAGTTCAGGAGGAAAATTTTCTAGTAGGTACATAAACTTTCATGAGATCTAATTTTGTTTTTACATCATGACAAAACGTATTTTCATGTTATAATACTTCTTTGAATTTCTTCGTATTTATAATTAATTTGTTTACCTTTAAATTATTAAAACTCATTGCAAAACCAAATAGGTATTTATTTATATTGTTTCAAAACATCTTGTATTTCGTGGAAAGATGACATGCATATCATATAACGACACCATATTATGTAAATTCCGTGACAGTTTTAATTACTTAGCTTTTATTATAGATAGTTAAATACTTATTTTTATAGCACTTAAAAAAGGCACTTGCTGTAATTTCTTTTTAATTCTAAATTCCAAGATGATTAATTATTTGAACTAGCAATACTTACAGTATCTAAATATTTGGGCAGAGTTTCGACCATATACTGCGCAGACGCAACAGCAAGTTCACTCGGCTTCAGTATCACTACGTTGCCAGCCGCGATAGCAGCGGCCATTGGCAACAAGAGGAGTTGAAGAGGGTAGTTCCAAGCCCCTATTATGAGGACCACGCCGTATGGATCGTTGAAAATGACCACGTCATCTAGGATATTTACTAAACCTTTCGGTGGCTGTAATGTAAATATATTATTTTAAACTATTTATACAATATACATACATATGTATAATAATATACTAGCGAGTCACCCTCACTTCGCCCGGATTTGACCCTAGGTACGTTTTAACGGTTAGTATAGAATAGATAGAGTGTATATTATATGATATACTTAGTCTTCATATAATATATAGAGAAAAGATTTTTTTAAATCGGATTAGTGGTTCCTAAGATTAGCGCGTTCAAACAAAAAAATTCTGCTTCTTTATAATATTAGTATAAATAAAGCTAAAGAATTTGTTCGTATACTAATTTCTTGTTTTAAAAATTGTTTTCGAATGTAATAGTTTATTAATTGAGGATTATAGGCAAGTTATTGATATCACGCAATGACCTTTGAAACGGAACAATTACGCTCTAATTGCTAACGCTAGTTAAATACTTGTAGTGAACGTTTAATTTTTACTTGTCGTAAGTAAACACTGATTTCTGTCAGTTTCTTTGTTATGTATAAAGAAACTGACATACAGACACAATACATGTGTGTATGTATGTACAATGACAGAATACATCTATACATATAATAAAATTGTAACTAAGCCAAATCTGTACATTAAATATTTTTTGGAAAATCTTATTGAAATAGACATTATTATCGATACAGAGGCCGAATCTATAGTTTTTAGAATTTTTGTTTGTCTGTCTGCCTGTTACCGCATCACGAAAAACCACTGGAGGGATTTTGATGAAATTTGGTATGAAGATGGTTATCCGGGTCAACGTATAGGATACTTTTTACTGCGGGAAAATTATCTCATTTCTGAGGAAAAATACAAAAACTGCAATGTAAGAGTATACTAATATGTAAAACCTAAGAATTTGGTTTTTGGTCATCTGAACGCGGGCGGAGCCGCGGGCAATACTAGTATATCATAAAAATAAAAAACCCAACTGCATAAAAGCTACCTTAAAACGTTTCACAAATCCGTTCCATCCTTGCCGCGAGATGTACATACTCGTATGTATGTCTCCGACTGCATAATACTATATTTCTTCGTGAACTTGTTTTCATCTCTTTAGTTAGCTTTTATGCAGTCGGGTTTTTTTTATTTTTATAATATACTAGCGGACCCGACAGACGTTGTCCTGTCTACACGTCTTTAATTTGAAAATTTCAAACTTTTTTTAATAATTTTTTTGATGAAAATTATTATTCAAATTGTGAATCTAAACCATTCCCAGATCCCCTTGAACACACACAAAAAATTTCATCAAAATCGGTCCAGTCGTTTGAGAGAAGTTCAGTGACATACACATTCACAGAAGAATTATATATATAAAGATGTATATGTATTTATTTATAGCTTTTTAAGTATTTTTAAGAAGGAAAATTAGCGAGCGATTATACCTTTTTGGAATCCTTGTTATGAATCCTTTAATTTGATACCCATATTGCAAAAAAGAAGATTAAAAATGAAATCTAGTAGCCCCCATATTTTTTTATGTCACTTATCTAAGAACACTTGAACTAATGTGACCTAATTATACCATAATTAAAGAAATCCATCGAGTGGTTTGGAAGATATGAGGGAATAAAAACTATTACAAACATACAAAGATAGGCGCGGAAAATATAACCCTTTCCTTGCAGTCGGGTAAAAACAAGCTTAAACCGATAAAAAACCGAATTTCAAGTTCGGTTATCGTCGGTTACTATTCATACACTTTAACTAATTTGTTCAATTCACATTTCTAAGCAATTTAGGTGCCTGCATGAGTTTGCAGCTGTCTTTCTGCACATGAAGCGTATTACTTTAATTATTATTATATTATAATTTTTAATATATTTTATAAACCCTGATAAATTTAAAAATTCAAATAAACTCGAACAGTTTTTTTTTATTTAACAAAATAAATTGCGTGACGCAGACATCTAACTAAGAATAATTTACAATTTAAGGAAAAATGCATTTTAGATTCATTTAAGCTAAGGTATAGATGATATAATATAGTCAATTATTCAAAGCAAGCGCAAAAGTTGATGCTCTTTTGTTTATGTATCTCCAAAATAATAATATGCAATATATCTATTCTAATATTATAAAGAGTTTGTTTGTTTGTTTGAAAGCGTTAATCTCAGGAACTACTAATCCGATTTGATTTTTTTTTGCATCAAATAGCCCGTTTATTGAGGAAGGTAATAGCTATATATCATATAAATGATATATGGTCTATCTATTCCATGCTAACCGTTAAAACGTACCTAGAGTGCTAGTAAATAATATTATGTGACTGCAAAAAGATGTTTTCTGGCTAAGGTAAGAAATGGGGAAAAAATAGCAACCATTGTAATACTTTTTTAACCAAAAATCAAAGTATATCCGCGAAAAAATCCGAAAATATAGTTTTATTTAAAGTTGCTATCGTAAATTCCATTATAATATTTACTTAAAGCGTGTACACCCCTTTCGTTGTACTTTATTTGTTTATAGTTAGTTGCCTTTTTAACCTGAGGTTACTTGGAAGCGAACAATGACTTAGAGATAAGGTCGTTTTCATTATGTCATTTTGTTGGTCATTCTACTAATATTGATAACGCAAATTTTTGTGAGTATGTATGTTGTTACTTTTTCACGTACAACTATTGGACGGATTTTGATGAAACTTTACAGTGATATGTATAATATAATAAAATTCTAACTAAGTCAAATCTGTACATTAAATATTTTTTGGGAAATCTAATTGAAATAGACATTATTATCGATACAGAGTCCGAATCTATACTTTTTAGAATCTTTGTCTGTATGTATATATATATATATATATATATATATATATATATATATAATATTTTTACTAAATTTATTAATTTGCCACGAACCTTTTCCGTTCGTGAACTCGGAAGGGTGTTGTTACTCTGTTCAACCATTTTTTCAATTTTTCTAAGGACTTGGACAGAGGAAGGTGTTTAATTTCTATTTCCTTCATTATAATAAAACACACCACACATAAAAAAAATTTAAATTATTTCACCTACTGAAATAAGTAATGCCAATGAAAAAGTACTAAAATGTGCAATAACGCTAAAAATAGCGTTTTATAATCCGATGTCTCGTAATTATGAACTATGAAGTGTCACGAGGAACAAGTACGCTTATAGGATTTACTCTGTGTGACTGATTTAGGCGAGCGCGTGCGCATACCACATTTTATTGACCAATTTCAAAAACGAGAACGTACTTATATCGCTTATATGTTTTTTGTGTATATGTAACTCGATACTTTCGCTAATTTGGAATCCATTTTCACAAAAAAAATTATTGATAAATATGTAGATGGGATGACCAGAACACCTGGGATGACTTTTGTTTGTTGTTAGTTTGTCTTCATATTTTTTCAGATTAAATACGTAAAAAAAAGTAATTTTAATATTTATGTAGATAGTTATGTTGTACTTAATCGTAAACAATGGTACCTACGAAACACGCCACGACCTTGAAATTGTCTTTATAATACAATGCTAACTTTGTGAAGTTGAAAAACATTGTAATTCGATATTGAAATACAGTATACCTTACATTAACACATACTTGTTATTCGTTTTGTGAAAAATCTACCAAATTCACTTACAAATACGTACTTTTATCTACATATGACGCAACAATTTAGTAGCAATTAATCAATTTCAAATAGAGATTAGGTAGGTATATTTTAGCAGGATGTGTTTATTTTTTACTATGCCAGCGAAATCGCTCGTTTGTTACATCTTGTCAATGATTCTACTTCTATAGGTACTCTACCCGACGCATAGACATAGAGAGCATGGATGAAAAATAAAGATAGAGAGTGGACTCGGTGTTTCTTTGCCAGACGTCGGCTAAAAATGGCGTAAAGGCGCGACAGGGACAAAACTAATGTACGGCCAGAAGTCTTCTGTATTAATTGAAATACGATTAATGAACATAGATATTTATAACCATTTTACATTCCATTATAATATGATTTTTTTACATTCCATTTATAATATCAACTTGGAATAAAAGACAGGTATTGGCCTCACGTTCGCTTTCTCTCTTTCTAGAGTGGGGTCAATTTCATGAGAGTATTGCTCAGTCTATTCTCTAGATCTAACTTCTAAGATCCGACGAAAATTCTATTTCTCATTCTGTATTGGCGACCTACACTCGCTTCGTTTGGATACGTCCCTAAGTAGCAGGCACGTTTTAAATAGATAAATATAGCTATTTATCACTTTCACTAAAATTCTTTATACACCGTTTCGGAAATTTAGATACATAAATAGATATACATTTGCAATCGTTGTTTGGATTTTCGTTAGTACAAGGTAGCTATTATGAAATCACAAACAGACACTAAGTGATAATATTCATAAATTATATTGATAATTAAATAATTAAGTGTAGCTCGTGAATTTAAAAAAGAAACATTCAGACTGGCTTTAACGTTGCACGCGACTTGCGACCTCTATGAATGCAATTATACCTACCATATATATAATATGTTTATGTATTTGGTTAGTACCTACTATTATTATTACATTACCTGGCAATAATTAATAAAATTGCGGGCCATAGAGATAAAACTTAAAATTAATAAAATTAAATTTAAATACTTTGAATTAAAAAAAAATGTTGTTTGTTGAAATTATATTTTTTCTAAATGAACAGGTGTTCAAATTGTATGATCATATATTCTACTCACCCGCTCTGGTTTGACCCATTCATCAAAGTTATTCAGTGTATTCTTGAGGTCATTTACTAGATAGTCCACTTCAAGTAAGATGGCCTCAGTTTTGCTTCTTCTTAGATCCTTTACTAGGGCATCAACCATACTGTTTCGGGTCTCTTCGTACATCCTCATCAAATTTTTCAGCTGCTTCTTCCTCCATTCTACTGGTCGAGTTAATCCACTATTGTATGTATCGTGGGCTTTTTGTACAACCTGTGCAAATAAAAAATGATATTAATTGGTATTATTAAATATTGAAAAACTCCCTTTTTATGGGAGAAACCTTCATTGGGTTCCTTCAAGCCATTAACGGACAGGAGATTGTAAGAATTTTACTCACCCACTACCGCATCATATTGCTGTAGTGTAATTTAATTGTACTCAAGTATGCTTTAAAAATATATTTGTATTATATTTCAATGTCAATTCATTTAAAACGTAATATATTATAAGGAAAATGTAAATGTAATAACTTAAACGTAAATACCTCTGATATGTTAACTGGTTTCGGCTTCGAGTTAGATAATGTTCCTGAAACATAATAGAAATATTATGTGAAATCCATGTTTGCAACAAATTATCAGGATTAAAGACTAGGACATTATTTAACATAAGAAGTTTTAATGTTACTATAAAGATAAAAATGAATATAAAGTAATTTTATAAAATAAATATTTTAGTTATCTTTTAAAGAGTGAACCTTCTAGAGTTCTATATTCATAGTTACTAGCAGTTGGTTAACAGTATGTCTGTGTATCTACACATTTGACTGCCTGTTCTACTTTTAAAGGACTGTCTGTATCTATTAAATTAAAATAGGTAATCTGTTTAGATGAATGAATAAACGTTCTTAAGGGGGTGGAACTTTGTATGGAGAATCTATCATTTCTCAACTATGGGATATAAAACAGATCATACCTATGTATATATATATATATATATATATATATGTATATATAAAATTGTTGTATATACCATATAGTCTATTCCATACTAACCGTCATAAGGTATATAGGGACGAACGCGAGTGAAACGAGGGTGAGTTGCTAGTTTTAAATAAATGTAAAGTCTATTATATAAATTATAATAAAATAAAGTATTTTTATAGTTCTTTGATAATTTTGGTAAAAGATGTGTTACTTGAATTATCTATAGATTAATGTGGGAGATATTAGGGATAATTAGCTCTATAGAATAATAATATCAATATAGAAAAACTATCCGTAGTGTAATAAATATATAAAAAACAAAATTATAGTTTTTTGTTTGACTATTATTTGCTTGTTACTCCTGGTAATATAAATGTTAATTTTAATTTTATGTTTGTTCTCCTTTGATGCAATTTAAATGACATTAAATTGTTTGATCAAGTTTTAAATTGTACTATGTTTTTGTACTTTATATTTAAAATTAGGTTTTTTAGGACAAAAGTTGTTACATTTTATGATACTACTATAATTGTAGTCCATATCCTCACCCTTTATTAAAACATATTTATTAAAATGAATGGGAAATTTTTCTCAATCTAATTTTCTTTATTTTGGTATATTAGATACACAAAAATAATATATTCTTCACAACACTAAGTTCCTTCAATGATATAACAAAGGAATGTAGAAATAAATTGTTTTAAAACATTCAAAAAACTTCTGTGTCATGTCCCATTTTAAGAATGACAAGGTTTATGATGAATAATTATTCCCATAATAAAAATTTGTGAATTTAAACACATTTATGCTATAATAGAATAAAGATATCATATTTATAAAATAAAATAAAAATTGCATTGGGAAATTTTTGTATGAATAAGCTTCCAGTAAGTAGAGAAAGGTCCATACAAGATTTTAATTATGTAATGAATGCTTGTCAAAAAAATTAAATTCATCAATATAAAGTTCATATTAACAAGTTTTTAATTATAAACTATTTAAACATATGTATTTATATTTTATTATATATTTGTAATGATATTTACTAGTAAATAAATAAAAAAACAACTGAGTGACAATATCTATAAAGTAGCAAAATTCAAACCAAAGTATCAAAAGGTAACCGAACTGTAATCATCACAATAATATGAAGTTACTACGTTTATCAAGTATTTTAATCAGAGGTTAAAGTTCTTAATTTATTTGCAGTTATTTATATTGTCGATTTTCCTAAAAAATAATCCCACTATGATTAATTATATAGAAATATTTTATTTATTGTAATGTTCAATCTCCAATTTGCAAGGAATTATGATTGTAAAAATTTATATAATTAAAGTCCGTTTAAAACAAAATGTAAAATAAATACAATAATTAAGTTTTTCATTAAATATTGTACACTTACCTAAAGTCATTTTGAGAAATGTATCACAGTTTCAGATTTTACAAAAAGTTTAGAGTTCAACTTTTGCAAACGAATCGACAGACGACTTATACAACTAGCTACAAATGCCTTATCTTTCAACTAACTAAACTAGAGTCAAAGACTAAAGAATAGAGCTAAAAAGGTTTCGTCAAGAACAGAAAGTCATTGCGTATTTGACTTAACAGATTATAAAATGAAAATATTTTACCTCACTTTAATAGGTCTATATGGATTTTGATCAAGAAATCGTAAAAATATAAGTGATGATTCTTACAATTTACACTTTATTTCCTTTTTATTCTTTATTTATTTTACAATTTTACGAGTTTTACTTACTATTGACAGATAATTAGACATTGACATGCTATCGTATTACGCTATGGCCTCTTCAATCTTCATACACAAACCATAGATGACAAATAAAAATACAAACTATAAACAAACTTCTTAAAAACTATATAAACAAATATATTTGTACCGGTAAATAGAATGTTCGCAGTTTTAGGGTAAAAATAATGACAGCCCAAGTGAGTAATAATCAAAACACATTTTCAATTAACTATATTTTAATGTTAGAATTATGATGATGTTCTTAGATAATCATTAGAGTTATTTCGAGGTTGGATAACGGATTTCATGACAACCCTTGAAGGCTTGACAACAAAATGACATTTCAAAATGGCGACACGTAGTTCCAGTTTTGGCCACCGGGTCAGTTATGTTTGTAAATTATTGTACCTAATTTGTTTGTTTAGCTTGTTTGTGAATTGTGGTACTTAAAAGGGTTTACCAAACCTGGCCCCCTGGATATTTTTTTTTCTAATTTAATTTTAAATTTTTATTTTTACATATCGATTGGTCGCCATAAATGGCGAACAATCAATAATAAATGACGTTTGTTTAATTTGTTTAATTATTTGTTCGTAAATTGTTTATTTATAAATAACTAGCAGAACCCGCGGTTTCGCTCGCGCTAAAATGACAGAAAAATCCCTAAAAAGGTAGTTTCATACAAACTTTCATCCTCTATTTTTACCCTCCTTAAAGCATGTGTGTCTCCCTGCCCATTTTCTAATCACTTGGGGTCGGCGCAGTACATCTTATGTACTGCTGATAGGATTTGGCAAAAGTTTTACGACCGGCCGCCTGCCTGACGTCAACCCTCCTTGCTTTTTTAAATTGTATTCTAGTTTGTTTTCCCGTCGGAATTAGACAATCTCCCGCGGTAAAAAGTAGCCTATGTCACTCTCCAGCTATCTCCACACAAAATAATCACGCCAATCCGTCACGTCCGTTTCGACGTGAAAGAAGGACAAACAAACAAACACACTTTCACATTTTCAACCGACTTCAAAAAGGAGGAGGTTCTCAATTCGACTGTATGTTTTTTTTTTTTTTTTTATGTTTGTTACCTCAGAACTCCGTCATTTATTGACCGATTTGGACAATTTTTGTTTTGTTTAAAAGGGTATACTTCCAGATTGGTCCCATTTAAATTTCAAAAAAAAATACCACCCCTAAGGGTGGAAAAACAACGAATGATGAATTTAACCTACTTCTAATTGTCATATTGACTTGAAAATTTGCAAGTATTACTATTTCCGTTGATAGTACAGTGGTTCAGTGTTGTTGACCTGATCTGATGGCAAGGCCAGAAGGTGGTTAGGTGGAACTCTTCAACGGCTAATAGTAGATACTTTGAGTTTGGGCTTATTTTGTTTGATTTGACAAGCTTAACACGTTAGAATCCTTACTTTGCTACTACTGTCTACACTAAAAAGGGAAAATTTTTTACTTTTTAGTGCTTTTGTTTGAAGTCGGTTTTTATTTTTTTTAATATTATAATTAAACAAAAATGTACCCTCAAAAGAGTCCCCTCAATCGAAATTTATGTATATTTTTTCATGTTCTACTAGTAGTCTTTAAATATTCCTTACTGTTTGTTGGTTTATAAAATACGTTTGTTCTATCTTCAAAGTGGCTATTTTTTGTTTATTTAACTATTTTCATTTAGCTCAATTATTATTATTCAGTTATACTTACGGAAGAATCAAAAGGTTAATAATTTAAAATTAGGTTCTCAATGGGATGTTTGTTGGTACATTTATGCTTTTTACCCAACAGCGTTATAACTCATATAAGAGATAAGAAGTGTAGTCAGTTACGAGTATGTATGCACTAAGTGTTCATATACTCTTTAGTCTAACCTTTTTAAGTTCTAAGTTTTAACTTAAACGAGTATGAGCTATATCGGTTTTTTCTTAAAATAAGTCTATCTGTTTGTTTCTTTATATTTTATACAATTTTATTTATGCATTTGTTCCTTTTTTCTTTAATTTTTCTATTTTTCTATCCTTTGGCTTTTGTAATCAAAGAAATTCTACTTAATTCGCAATTTATATGTAGCTACGTGTGGTGGTAAAATGTGTGAGGCCGATTGGCACGTGTTCACATTATAACGTGTGTGGCTCAACTGAACATTATGTTGCTATGTGCAGAATGCAAATCCTTTATTAATGTAAGTATTATACACTTTGTTAATGTGCCTAAGAGGATACGTGATGACAGTGAAGTTGGTAAAAATGTTAGTCTGTTTTAGTTTGAAAAAATCATTATTTTGAATTACCTGCCCTGATCCTACTAAAATTATAAATGCGAAAGTTTGTCTATGTATGTTTGTGTGAGGATGTATGGACTATGGATGTCTGGATGTATAGATAGATGTATGCATTTTTGTTACTCTTTCACGCAAAAACTATTTAATGGATTTTGATGAAACTTTACAATAATATAACTCATACATCAGAATAGCACATAGGTTACTTTTATCCCGAAAAAATGTACGGATTCCGTGGGATAGATTTGTTTTTATTTTTCTAGAGACGAACCAGAACAAAGCGAGGGTGAGCCGCTACAAGGTAATAATTTTTCTAATGGCTTTCCATTTTTAAGCTTAGTAACTTAATTTTTAATATCTATCTCACAGGAATAATATGGGCAGTGCAAATTATTGTATTGGCAACCATATTTCTTATTCCTACAAAATTTCAAATTACGTCATTTTTCAGTAGCATAAAATCAACTTATAAAATTTGATTTTCTTGGTTATCAGTGAACTTAATAAGAGCGCTTTAATGAAAGAATATCTTAGATAATTTTGATTTCTAATTAAAGAA